ATCTCCCCACACGATACAACTCAGTGAGTGTATCCCCTGAATAGGCAGCCAACCAACTAGCCAGCAAGCCCCTTTCCTCTCCTCTCCTCCCGAGCTCTCCCGCATTCCGCTCCTCCAACACAACCCGGTAGAACCACTCCCCCCTTTTCGACGGGGTCGTAAGGCTGCTTTACTTGTGAGTCAGATCCCGACCTCCCCTCCCCCCCCCTAGCCTGAGGGAATAATAATACACCTGCTTGCCTAGCCTAACATAGGTACCTAGCCTTGCTCGCGGAGCTAGATACATACATACAGCCAGCCAGCCAGCCAGCTACGTGGACAGGAAGACCCAAAGGGTCTGTGAACCGGGTACGCAAAGAGCTGAGCACCTGATATAGATGCCACGCCTAGAAACCCCTCGTCGGACACCAGCCAGAAGAGTCATTCGGCGGACCTCGTGCAAGGCGACTTCGTTGGCCTTGGCTTTGAAACCCTAGTTGTTGTTCTCCACGCTTAAACTCTATTCCCATAAGGAGGTAGGTAAGTAGGTAGGTAGGTAGTCGAGAACCTGATGACCGACCTAGATAGAACGAACCTACGAGAATCTAAGATTAGAACATAGGTACCTAACATACATAGATGTGGTGTCGTAGAGTCCTCGACTATCCAGGTAGATAGTACTCAGCTGTGGAAAGGAAAGGAATGTGATGTGACGTCTCCAGAGACGTATAACAAGTTCTCTTCGTACTTACACTACTACCAAGTAAAAGCGACACGTTTCATAAATCTATCGCATGATCATGATCATGTTCATCCATAATCATATTTCGGATCCAGTCGTCAACCCTAAAAAAAGGGACGAAGGGACGAAGGGCGCAACCCAGTAATAATAAATTGCCTTAAAAACGAGGAGAGAGAGAGTTCTATGACTCCAATCCGATTTACGTTTTGTTTCCCATGACCGAAACACCGAAGAAGTCATCATCAAGTAAGACCCACGCATATCCCTACCCCTCTCCCCCCTTCCTCGCTCTCTCAACATACCTAAACATCTGTCCTATTCCATCCTATCCTCGCCTCGCCTTTCCTTTCCTTACTGAACCTCCCGAACGACGGCGTTGATCGCCTTGGCGACGTACTCGACGTTCCGGGTGTTCAGGCCGGCCATACTTATGCGGCCGTTCTTCGTCATGTAGATGTGGTAGTCGGAGCGGATCTTCTGGACCTGGGCCTCGGACAGGCCGGTGAAGCTGAACATGCCGATCTGGTCCGTGATGTGGTTCCAGGTTCCGGGGGTGCCCAGCTCCTCAATCTTCGACCGCAGGGCGTCGCGCATGGACATAATGCGGCCGGACATGGTCTTGAGGTTCTCCTCCCACTCCGAGAAGAGCGCCTTGTCGTTCAGCACGATGCTGGCGATGCGCGCGCCGTACAGCGGCGGGTTCGAGATCTCGGACCGCTGCAAGATGGACAGCTGAGACGCGACTCGGGTGGCCGTAGCCTCGGCGTCCGGCGCGGGCGCGGTGACGAAGTGGAAGCAGCCGGCTCGCTCACCGTACAGACCGAAGTTCTTGGCGAAGCTCTGTGCTACGACGAACTCGAATCCCTGTTCGACGAAGTATCGGACGGCCTCATTGTCGCGCAACAGGTCACCCGACGCGAAGCCCTGGTATGCGGAGTCGAAGAAAGGGAAGTGGTTCTTCAGACGAATCACCTCTGCGATCTCCTTCCACTGCTCTAGTGTAGGGTCGACACCGGTAGGGTTGTGCGCGCAGGCGTGCAGCAGAACAACTGATCGATCCGGAGCGCCGAGTAAGGCCGACTTCATACCCTCGAAGTCCAGACCTCGTGTCTCCTTAGAGAAGTAGGGGTAGCTGGCGATGGGGAGGCCGACATTGGTGAAGATCTGGTGGTGGTTTGCCCACGTAGGGTCCGAGAGATAGACTTTTCTGGTTCCTTTGTAAAATTTGGCGAGGAACAGAGCTCCCAGATGGACGGCACCGGTGCCCGAGATGGTCTGGAAGGAAGCAACGCGCTTCTCTTTAATCGCAGGGGAGTCGGCACCACCGAGGATCAACTCGGCAGATTTGCTGGTGAACGAGGCGAGACCAGAGATAGGGGCATATTCGTGGTTTAGCTCGGGATCGTTGTGGAGGATATCGTCGGCCTAATATGATTTCGGAAAGGTGAGTAAATTATAAATAAGTTAAGTTCAAAGTTCAAAGAGAGTTGCTTTGATGTTGGTTTGGGCCGATATAGGAGCTTTGGAAAGATATGGGACAAAGCCTTTTTTGTTATATTTTTTTATTTCTTTTTTTTTTTAAAAAAAAAAACCAAAAAAAGAGAAAATGGAAGATAATAACGATACCTTCTTTACTACTGATAATATCCAAGGCTTAGCATTGTCGTCTCGATAAACGCCGATACTCTAAATTCTAGTTAGCAATTGGTAAACTCTCTCGATATGAGGTAGTTAAGTTAGTTAATAAGAAGGGCTGATGCGGTGAGACATACTAAATCTACTTTGTTGGGATCTTCGTCAGCTCGGAAAGCTCTTACGAGACCAAACAGAGGATCCTCAGGAGCTTGAGGAACGACCTCAGCCGTGAAGTTGGATGCTGATGGCGGCGACATTTGTTTTGCTAAACTCTTAACTCGGGACGCTGATTGACCGTGGTATGATGAATCAAAAGGCATGATCTCGAGAGAAAGAGAGAGAGAGAAAAGGAATATATAGATAAAGAGTGCGGAGGAAAATAAGGTGTTATGCAAGCTCGCAACTCACAAGGGTCGCAGGGTCGCAGGTCGCAGGGTCGCAAGCAGCTGTCCGAAGCGCAGGACAACACGGGGGAGGGGCAGTGACTAGTGGGCTGATGGAATATGAAACCAGGTGAATGTTATAGGTCCGTTAGCCCTTTCTGCAATTGAAGAATGGGGTCAAATATTGTTAGATTCTCCAATTTGGTACCCACTCTTTACGTATCGGGGTACCTTAGGTTAGGTCTAGCCTCTAGGTAGGTACCTTGAATAATAATAGAATGACGGGCGAGGATCTAGGCGGTCCCTTTAGGAGGTAGTCCCTTGAGGTAGTCCTCGGGTGGTCCCTTAGGCGGTCCAGTCGGAGAGGAACAGCAGATATGGCGGGGTCGAAAAAAGGGCCAGGCTAGGTACATGTATGGGGACGTACGTCAGAGGTTTAGCGGCGGGGAGAACGGGGAAATCACTAAAATACCCTTGATACATGTAAGTTAGTATGCTATTGTATTGGACTTTATGTATATCAGGTGGTGTATTATTGGGTACTCGAGGTAGGTACCTACCTCGAGTACTTGCCTTAAGTGCCCAATTTGGTTGAGTACATGTAAGTCGGATAAAAGGAACAGAGGAAGGATTGGAAGTCACGATGGTTTAAGAAATTATTTGAAGTTAGTACCAGGTAATAGCGTACCTAAGGTAAGGGGTTACATGTACTGATGTAGAGACGGTTCTAGGGAAAAAGTAGGTAAGGTAAGTTGGAGCCGGAGCTTGGAGATTAAGTAGCCGGTCGCTAAAAAGAAAAAAAAACCAATTCGCTTCTCTTCGACCGAGGTCCCGTATCCGCAACTAAGCTATGTAACTTACACGGTAAACTTATGAGTATTGTCGTCATCGGTTAAGGACCAGAGGTCACCGGACCCATCGCCCACGGTTAATACGGAGTTTGGTTCAAGTAGACCGAATCCTTTTTCATGTACGCTTGGCATGGGATCTACTCTTTAACTCTTCCAGCTTCCCATCTGAGACTTACCATCAAACTATTGACCTATTGACCTTTTTATTTTCCTGCTTGCGTGCGCGCCTATAGTAACTTTATTAGCTTGATAGCTTTATTACATCGTTTATGTACATTATCTACATCGTGCCGAGAATCTTGGAGTTATTCACAAAGAATAGTCTGCCGGAGGGATGTTGTTGTCGTTGACTATAAGTACAATTCAGCATGTGATTTCCGATGTGACCTTCAGCTTCAGCCTCTTCACATGCTTTTTTTCTTCTTCTTCATCTCACAAATACCCGCGTATAAGGCTGGTACCTGTTTCATATAACTAAGTCCCACACGATCAAAAATGCGCATAAACCGCATGTTGCGAAAAATGTGTACTTGGCTGGACTCGCTTTCTTCGCCGCTTGCCCTAATTGTCTGTTGGCTCCTCCTATATTCTCCGTTGTCTTTTCCGAATCGGCTACTAATTGTTCGATACCCGCTGACTGCGTTGTCAGCGTGTCGATTAGCTGTGTTTGGAGCTCTGATATCTCAAGCAGTGACTTTTCCGCAGTCCTGGAAGTCCATGTTAGCTCAGCTCTATCTTGTCATCACATTCTATCCCGTAATCAACTCACCTAACTTGATCCAACGTGCTTTCGTAATGTTTGAGCATATCTTGGTTATCCTTCTCGAACATCTGTATTTGCTCCGCAGTTAAATCTCCTGTCGGGATATACGCCGGTGTCTCTTCGGGTGGCAATGCTTGACTTGGTCTCCTTTTTGATTCCTCAGTATTACCCGCCTCTTGTGCGCTCGCCAACGCGCCCGTGGAAACAAGATGTTTCCGTGACTTGGCTAATACGCTTCTACTCTTCTCCATTTCCCTCATCAACCGTATCTCCATCATATCTTGTTGTGTCTTGACGCATTCTTGAAGTCGGTGCCGTAAAAGCCACAGCACGCTGTCCCGGTGGTTGCTAATGGTCTTAACGCGCTCTTCGGCTTCGACATGTTCGGGCGACTTGCTAATTGATCCGCCGCCTGCCGCCCACGCTCCTAGTGCACCTAGACCGCGGGCAAACTTCTTCTGGATTATCCTAGACTCGATTTCCGACCGCGCTTGCTCGACGTCCGCGAGACGGCGTATGCTCGCATTGAGCTCCCGCAACATTTTCTTGGCATTTGCATCTATCTCCTCGCGCTCTCGATCCGAAAGCGGTCGCGGTTGTTTGTCTGAATGCGCCGACCGAATCAGCGTCTTTCGCGGTTGGGCAGTCGAAAGATACGATTGTCGTATGTTTCTAAGGTCGGCATGAAGCGAGGCTATATGGGAATTCTGAAGTCTCTGGTTAATTACTACTAGTTTGTAGGATGTGTAGGTGTTCAATCGCGAGTACTTGCTATTCTGTAAGCCTCCTTTAGAAAATCATCCAGACTGTCGAAGCTGAAGCTTCGTCTCGTAGTTGAAGCTTCGTGCTGCTTGAGGAAGCCATTGAAAATAGGAGTGAGATCGGTCATCGTGAAGGTTTCGGGAAGTTGAGTTTCAGTAATAAGGCATAATTTATTATTTTAGTGTTGAGCAGTTCAAAGTTTTTGTCGCGTTGTTGCGAAGCTATCAACTTGTTCAATTCAATGTGCGATGCCCCGTTAATTCACATAATGATGCTACCTATCTATTCGTCGGTGAAAGGTAGAGCTGATGGCCGATGTGGCTTGTGTTGTATAATACATACATACATGTATGATGCAATAATATAATACGTGGCTTTTACAGTGCTGTACAGTGCAGCTCTGTTTGACCCAACGCGCTGGAATCAAGCTTGACTTAATTTCATATCGATATTATGCATTCTGGTTTCACAATCCCAATCACAATCGCCCGGTCCCGGCAGTTCCCAGTACCAGATCTTAGTAGATAACGTTGAATTCTTTCTACATTAGTTCACTATTTAGGTCATCTTGATTGGATTTTTTATTTTACTTTTACAATGGATATACCTATTAGGCATGGCTTCGCAGATCTGATGTGAGTTCAAAGTCATCCCCTAATATACTATGCATTTGACGTTATCATCCAAACATCCCGACTTCGCATTTCGCTTAAATTTGTTATAGTTTCTTTCTTTTTTTTCTCGAGTCCGTATATCGGTCAAGTCGTATATGTACTTAACCGCTTTAATTCCCAAGGTTGACGAAGGTCCAGTAATGTTAGCCACGGCTTATTGTATGGCTACCACCTGTCTTAAGTTTTTACGGGAATAGCACTGATAAGGGACACATTCGCCGTAGAGATCCGCGGGAATAACCGCAAAATGTAAAGGGAAACTTTTGATGGCCACTTATATCCACTTTCCCATACTGAACCTTGCTAGCAATAGCCGAACGGGGAAGAATAAGTAGGAGGATGGGTACAAATTCGGTTTGGTAAATCTTCTCCTATCCCATTTTTTATTTACAATGTCATGTCTTGATGTAATTGTAATATCGTGGCAATGAATGATAATGAGAAACCGCCGACAACACCAAAGGATCACCATGATAAGACACAAGAAGATCGTTTCTCTATAGAAGAGGAACTAGCACCCCAGTCTCAGTCTCTACGCCAAAGTAGTGATCATACTCATACTCGTACTCATACTCAATCGAGAGATTCAGACGACGAAGAAGACACACCCGGTTCTGAAGATGGCGTTGAAGATGATGATAATAGGCCTCGAGACCTCGAGACGCTCTCTCGAGTGTCCAGTGGCCCACCTTATACCGTTTTCTCGCCCTCCATGATACGGTGGATAATCTTTATGAATACCATCTCAGCTTTCCTGTCACCCATTACGGCCAACATATATTTTCCGGCTATTCCAGCTTTGTCGCGCGATCTCGGTGTCACCGTTGGGCAGGTCAATTTGACGCTGACGACTTACATGATCTTCCAAGGTTTGGCCCCGACGTTGTACGGTGATTTAGCTGACGTCGCCGGAAGACGACCGGCCTTCATCATTGCTTTTACCATCTATCTTGGCGCCAACATTGGATTAGCTCTGCAACGCAATTATGCAGCGCTGCTCGTTCTCCGTATGTTACAGAGTGGCGGAAGCAGTGGTACTCTTGCCCTCGTTTACGGGGTGGTTGCTGACATCGCCCCGACCTCCATTCGAGGAAAATATATGGGTATCGTCGGGGCGGGTTTGACGATAGGCCCTTCCCTGGGTCCGCTTATAGGCGGGCTGCTAGCGCAGTATTTAGGATGGGCAGCGATATTTTGGTTCTTATGCATTCTTGCCGTCGTGTGGATGATCCCTTACGTCTTGGCGGTGCCGGAGACGGGACGGAAAGTCGTAGGAAATGGATCCATCCCGCCACAGGGCTGGAATATGACCCTTGTTGACTATATCCGGTTCAGGCGTCGCCCCGGGAACCTGTCGACGGGTCAGGTAAAGCAGAAGCTCCGATTTCCAAACCCATTCAACACACTTGCTGTTATAGGTAATAAGGATATGGCGATGATCCTCTTCTACAACGCTTCTCTCTATATAGGCTTCATGATTGTTACGTCCACTCTCGCCTCCCAGTTTGCCGAGATTTATCATTATAACGATATCCAGCTTGGATTATGTTATTTACCGATTGGTGGAGCGACTACAGTGGCGTCAATCGGTAATGGATATATGATAGATTGGAATTATCGTCGTATAGCTAAGAAGCTAGGCGTCAACATTGACCGGAAACGTGGAAACGACCTCAAGGGATTTCCCATCGAAAAAGCCCGTCTTCAGCTGGTTTATCCGCTCGTTTCTATCGGAGCCGTGGCGTACATCGGCTTCGGCTGGGCATTGCACTACGAAGTCCACGTGGCCGTTCCTTTAGTGCTATCCTTCTTTATCGGGACATGCGTCACCGGGCCTTTCCAAATCATCAATGTTTTAATTGTTGATTTATACCCCTCAGCTCCTGCAACGGCGACCGCTGCAAACAACTTATGCCGATGTTTATCTGGTGCCGTAGCCGCGGCAGTTATACAATACATAATAGATGCCTGGGGAAGGGGATGGGCTTACACCTTTATTGCGCTTATCTTTACGTCACTTTCCCCGGCCCTTTGGGTTATTCAGAAATACGGACCTAAGTGGAGAGAAGAACGTATAGAGAAGATGAAGCAAGCCATCGAGAAAAAGGAGGCGGAAACCAAAGCCAAAGCCACAGCCACAGCCAAAGAGAAAGGAAGTGCTGCAGTCGAGCAGAGCAACGATGGTATCCTTGCCGAGCCTCAAGTCTCATCTAGATAAACCTCATCCTTGGTGTCTGGTTTAAACTATAAACATATGCTATAGGAGGCCTGTGCTTATGGGAACAGGCTTCCAGACATACATTGCACGAGACGTATAGCCATAGATTGCATAAGGGTGAGAAGTATAGAATCGAATGGCCTGTTTGTGTGATGGTTTGAGAACTCATACATTCTACACGCTGATGTGTAACTTAGTTATGAAGAGAAGCTTTCTTGGCAAGGGCATGGATTAAACACGAAGTTGGGCCAAGATTTATTTCATTTTGATTGTTCAGTGGATAATGATTTAGATAATTCTTCACGACGTCAGGATTCATATTAACGAGCTACGAAGCCTGATGCGTAAATAGGGGGAGTTGGGGTTAGGTACATATATGAACTTCATAGATAGGTAGAAGGTATATATGCATAAACATGGATACCTTATAAATGGATATATAAATAAATGATATTCTTTACACTTCAAGGTTGCGTCTTCTTACCCTTGTTTCCTTAAACAACTTCAAACAGCACACTTTCATCTTTTTTTTTTCCATAATTCTGCAAAATGTAATTGATACCTCACAGCATTGGATATGACGCGTAAACTACCGTGGAAAAGGGTCGAAATAGACTCAACTATTACTCCAAGATCGCCTAAGTCGACGCCTATTAGGCAACAGAAAACAAAACGTGAGGACAGCGACGATGATGATAAGCAGGTGGTGGCTTCGCCTGGTCCTAGTAAACGGATAAAGACGTCCGATTCTGTATCTGGATCTCCAGTGCCCAAGCAGACGCCTCCTCCTGGATCATCACCGCCTGCTCCTAAACCACTTCCTGAAAGGTGCGTATGCGTGCGTGCATGTTCATCTCTTAGCAATTGTAAACCCGTCTAATTTCATATTTAGCTACATGATAGAGGGCCTTGAAAATGATGACTTGTATCGGATGGTGGAGGATGAATTTTTATCAACTGCTCAACAGTTCACCGCTCATCTCCATGCTGCTGAGTATCATCGTCTAAAGGCTGCATCTAAGTCGCAAAATGCGGATACAATCAGGGACATCTCGAGACCAGTTGTCGGACGGATGACCGACCCGGTTAAGCAGAAGCAAGAACGCAAGGCTCGTCTTGAGAAGCAGAGAGCGGCGTTGAGAAAGGCAAGGACCAATAAGGACAAAAATGACGACTCGACTGCGAGTGAGAGCGACCTGTGGGATTCCGCATCTCTGCACGGACTTATGGAGAGCCCAAGAAAGAAGGTGACACGTCTAGACAACCTCGCTAAGGTAGCAACTACAACTCGTGCTGCCGCTGGGTTCCACACAGCTAAGCCCGGACAGCTATTCACCACCTCTCATCCAATCCGTAAAGATCTTACTAGCAGTAGACCCCTACCTAAATCGATGCTTAATCACAATAGCGAAACGGAAAGTGATGACGAGGATTTAGATGCTCCTTCTTCCAGGATGGCTGCGAATACAAAAGTGAAACCTATATCAACTACGTCTGCATCTACGTTACGCCTACGTCTCAACTCCCAAAACCAAGGCAAGTCCCAGGTATGACAAGGGACAACGGCCCTCTACGCCGTGCGGAGAAAGTTCATCCTATCATCCGACAACCAGAAAATCGGACCACCACGGAAGTCTCTGCATTATCAGACGACGATGCCGGCAGCGGAGACTTCCTAAGTCGTCTTAAACGGCGGCAGGAAGACCGCAAGCGCAGTCGCGAGCAACGTAGCAAATTAGCAGCAGCAGCAGCAACAGCGTCAAGCAAAGCGCAGTCAACAACAGATGATATCATTCCGGGGTTTCTATAACTTAGATGGGCAGGCTTATATTATATATACACACACAAGTAAATCAGGGGCGGGCAATCACGACGACGGCTGGAAGGGCGTCTCGTACGGCCGCTCGGCCTGCGGCGTGATGCGCGCCAGATGCCTTCGCTGGCCGGTCTTCCAGTCGTGCAGCGCCGAGTGCTGCGTTACGCGGTTGTCCCAGACGACGACCGTGCCCTCCTCCCACTTGACGCGCGCCTGGAAGTCGGCGCCGTACGCGAGGTGGTCGTATAGGAACTTGAGGATCGCGTCGGATTCTTCCTTCTTGAGACCGACGATGTTGCGGGTGACTAAGGTTAGGTAATTAAGGATTTTGTTTAGCAGGCGGCAGTCTTGAGAAAATACGTGGAAGGAGGAGCAGGAGGAGGAGGAAAAAGAAAATGGTACTTACACTGAGGGTTCACGTATAGCGCCTTTTCGCCGGTCGCGGGATGTGTCCGGACAATGGGGTGGGCATTCACGACGGGCTCTCGCCTTCTGATGCCGCCCCTTGCGTTCGACGCGTTGGCTTGTTCGATTCCGGAGTGGTTAGCCTTCAAGCCGTGTAGACGCTCCTGGAAGAGCGGGCTCAGGCGGTTGTATGCTTCGACAGCGTTGACGAATATGGTGTCGCCGCCAGTCTCAGGCTTGTCGAGGATGTATAGGAATGTCGTTCCGGGAGGCTGCTGCTCGTACGACACGTCCGAGTGCCAGGCCACTGAGCTGACAGTGTTCTCGAAGAATTGGTCATGGCTCTTATCCCCTTCACCACGGTGGACGAGGTGGATCTCGGGATGGCCTTCGGGAGAACCAGAGGTCGGGTGGATGTGGTGGCGGCCGAAGTAACCGCCGAATTCCAAAGCCTTCTCGATGGGCAGGTCGGCAAAGTCCTGGTCTCGGAATGCGACTACCTTCCTCTCCGCTACGTAGCGGGCGAGCTGGTCCTTGCCGGCATCGCTTAGAGAGCTCAGCTGGATACCGCGGATCTCAGATCCGATGGTGGGCGTGAGATCGACAATCTTGGTGCCTTCGGGAAGAAGGTCGGGATACGTGGTGTCGGCGTCCTTGCCGTGCTCGTAGTGCTCAAAGGGCTCCAGGGGAGGATACTTCTGCTCGGGATTCCATGTTGGCAGATAGTTGGGGTACTACAGAAAGGTCAGTATTGATCCAGCGAGTCAATTGACAGTATCGTCTCACCTTCGCGGGCCTTAGTCCAGTCTTACCCTCTTCGACGTCTTTGTCGTACTTGAAGGGAGCAATCTCCTTGTACGCGCCGAAGAATCGGGTCGTCTTCAGCTGCTGCGGTAGAGACTCGGTCTCGGTGACGGTGGTAGTAGCAGAGGGAGCCATGATTTCAAATTGGATATGTGCTTAACCTCGAGGTAGCTTTGGGGTTTATCTAGGCACCTAATCTATCACTACCAGAAAACCAAAGGAGATCAATTCCTACCCACAGCTGCCTCTACTGAGATTATATATATGTATTAGGTATATATATACATTTCCCACCTCCACCACGCCCGAGCACATGAAACTAGAGCTGATGTGCTCGCAAGGACACTATCACGCAACTCATCTACCGTTCCAATAGGAGACCCCATATCTTCATCGATCCTATAGCGTCCCCATTTTCCATGGTTGCCCACACCCTCCCTCGTCTCACGCTTATCAGATCCGATCGGAGCAATGTGTGGTCCTGTCTGGCTGGCTTGAAATTGGGGGGGAGAAGATTTCGACCCCGCGCTGGCAAGCTTTCGCGCATGATGTTGCTATCGACAAGTTCGATCACGTCATTCCAGTCCGGCTGCTGCTTCGTAATCCACCCTCGCCTTGGCTTGCCAACCAACCCAATCCAACTTCGTCTCGTTACGAGTCGATCCCCTCCGGCATGTTGACGTGAGCGATACGGGACTTCACTCCCCCCGGTACTGCTGGCGAATTTGAAACTGCCATTGGCAAAGCTAATGTGTAACGCAATCTCGGCTCGCTTGAGAGAACCGTATTCAGTTGGACTGACATTTTTATCTTTCCCTCTCTCCTATTTCCATCTCCGTTATTAATCTGTATCTTGAGAGAACATTAGTATGGCATGCGTATGGATAGAAGGGAAGAAAGACGACATTTTAAGGGGTATTATGCCAGGGCCTTTTATTACCTAGGTACCTAGCCATTGGCGCCAATCAATACTGGCACTGTAATTATAATGATCGACCCATCACTTCTCGTCGAACTCAGATGACGGATTTAGATTTGTCCCCGCCTTCGTCGGTACGAGGTCCGAAGTTCGTCGGAAACAGCCGGGGGGTTCGCCGGGGCTGCCGGAATCGGAATATATCGCGTGTGTGGGAAATAGGAATTTGGGAAGACCGGGGATTTATAATTAATCTATAGACAGTATACCTGATTCCATATAGGAGTTCGTCAATACAATATAATATATGTTTCATCCTTTTCTTTCATCGTAGTGTTTAAATCTCAGCCTTACTGTATCCAACGGCACTTATAGACGGGAAAGAGGATGCTTAAGAGGTAGGTATGCACAGCTGAATTTTATGGCTAGGTTTTATTTATCAGAACCTAATATATCAGAATAATATTCAAGCATAATACAACTCTGTCGTTAACAGTGCAGGTGATAAATAATGTCTTTATGACCAGACAACTCCCAGCTATAACTCTAATAAGCATTACATGTTATAAAGTAATCCGTGTGTTAACCCTTATTGCGATATATCCATTTGGTGCATATCATTAGGTAGCAGCTGGTAAGTACAGTCCACTTACATCCGTACTAGTGGCAAAGTCCCTGCTTATCAATCGAGGGGCAATACATCCTGTAAACCACATTTTTCCTTATCCAAAAAAACCCCACCATCGTTCAAAAGTTCAACCTTTTATCATCTATCATTTAATTTACCATCAACTACCCATCTACAACAACCCAAGGCATACAACGGAATAAACCGCCAATATGTCGATGGATATAGATATAGATACCCCCATCTCTATAGCGCCACAGCAAGGGTTTGATAATGCACCCGTTACTGCTACCATATTCTGTTGCGACTGCGGCGCTCCCATAGACGGCACGACGGCTATCGACGCCAAGTGCTACGATTGCTTCAAACTCACAAAAGATATCTCACAAGGCATCCAGCGCGAAGCCACCCTACATTTCTGCCGAGACTGCGACCGATGGCTTCAACCACCTTCCAGCTGGGTAACAGCCCCACCCGAATCCCGCGAACTCCTAGCCCTCTGCTTAAAGAAATTAAGTCTTAACCGAACGAGGATAATCGACGCCAGCTTCATATGGACCGAACCGCACTCAAGACGAGTAAGGGTAAAGCTTGTAGTCCAGGCTGCCGTGGCAGATGATCGGGTTATGCAGCAGGCCTTGGAGGTGGTGTACGTTGTCGCATATCAGCAATGTCCAGAATGCGCCAAGTCATATACGGCAAACGTATGGAGAGCAAGCGTGCAAGTTCGTCAGAAAGTGCTTCACAAGCGAACATTCCTCTACCTCGAACAACTTATCCTAAAGCACGGCGCACATCGCGAAACCATCAACATCAAAGAAGCTAAAGATGGTATCGATTTCTTCTTCTCCGCGAGGAACCAGGCAGAAAAGTTCGTCGACTTCTTAAATTCTGTCGTGCCCGTGCGGGTCAAGAAATCCCAGGAACTCATCTCCCAAGATGTTCACACCTCTAAGAAATCATACAAATTCACCTTCTCCGTCGAATTAATACCTATCTGCAAAGACGACCTTGTAGCCTTACCTATTCCACTCGCCAAACAGATCGGCAACATCTCCCCGCTTGCCATATGCTACCGGGTCGGCACCTCTATCAACGTGCTCGATCCCAACACACTCCAAACCGCAGACATTAGTTCGCCTGTATACTGGCGAACGCCCTTCCCTGCGCTAGCCGATGCCCAGGATCTCGTCGAGTTCATCGTGATGGACTGCGAGCCCATCGGACCGACACGCGGGAAATGGATTCTAGCCGAGACGCAGTTGGCGCGCGCATCGGACCTTGGCGTCAACGATAAGACTTACTTCGCGCGCACGCACCTCGGCGGACTGTTGCACGCGGGAGACTCGGTGCTCGGATACATGCTAACGGGCACGAACTTCAACAACCCGCAGCTCGAGGCGCTCGAAGAGTCGCACGTGTACGCGTCGCGCATCCCCGACGTGGTGGTTGTCAAGAAGCACTACCCGAACCGCCGGCGCAACCGCAAGCGCGTCTGGAAGGTCCGCCGCATGGCCAAGGACGAGGGCGAGCTGCTACCCCGCAAGGCCGACCAGGAGCGCCAGGACCGCGAGTTCGAGCAGTTCCTACGGGATATTGAAGAGGATGAAGAGTTCAGACAGGGCGTGCAGCTGTACAAGCAGCCGCCGAAGAAGAAGAGCGCCGACGAGATGAGCGTAGCCACGACGGCGGACGACGACGGCGAGGACGACGACGCCCCGCATGTCGATATGGACGAGCTGCTGGAGGACTTTGACGAACTTACGGTGGAGGATCATCAATAGTTTAGGTAGTTTCTCGGTTTCGTACCAACATAAATGGGCAATATTTTATTTTTCTTCGGTGTTAATGGGCGAAGGAAAAGGAAAATAGATAGATATGAGTTGCCTAGGTCAGCTCGACGAATGAACCCAATGTCTACGAGCTTCTTTTTGTGGCTTCGGCTTCTTAAACTACCTACCTGCTACCTACTTGCTACCTTAGGTACTTGCATACAATAGGGGGCTTTATCTCTTGCGTGGAATTAGGCTAGGTTAGGTACCTACCTAGGTAGCTTCAAGTGAAATAAATACATTATCTGAAAATAACACGAGATGAAGCAACGTGAAATGAAGTTTGTGATATTCGATCCATGTTTATAAAGGTAGGTAGGGAGTAGACGGGTATATTAGGTTGGTTGGGTACCTTACTCAGGCTACCTACCTCTATCGTGGTGTCCTTTTTTAGTTTTGTCATTTATACAAATGTCCTCTCTGTCCCATTTTCTCGTTTTCTTTTCTTGTTTTTCTTTGAGAGAATCTGATCTAGAAACCAAGGTATATATACCTAGGTACTGTACCTACCTATATATTAGGTAGTTTCACAAACCCGAAGCAAGTTCTCCCTTGTAAATTTTATAACTCAATCGATCCACACAACTCGTGCTGACAAGTATGCCATTCTACTCGATTTACTACATTGCATTCCTCTACAATAAGAGAAAAAGGTCAAAAGCTACCTAGCGTTTCATTCAACGTAATTTGCATACTTAGGTAGGTAGGTAATTACTAAAGTTAGACGACGACCTTACACGCCCATACACACATCTTCATCGTCATCAGCATCATTAACATCACCGTTACTAATTCACGCCCCTCATGTCACATCCTATCGGGTTTCACAGAATATCAGAACCTCAGCGTCGGAGACATGCGTGTGAGAAAAGCTTTTCTCTATTAGTTGCGTTTGTTCCGATCAGAAGGACTTATAGCTGCCAAGGTGCTAGCATAGCAACGAGCGGTGATGCAAGGACATCATCGTCATTCTTTCCATATTCCGTCTTACTAAAAAAAAGGGGGTGTTTTGTTGTGCGGCTAGCTGGGCCGACAGACAAAACTACTCCTCATTCATTCCTATTTACACCATCGTGAAAATCTCACTCGTACTAGCATAAAAGAGAAGGCAGTACACGATCCACGCGTATCGGGCATGCTGTGTGCACTTCATTCGTTGTTTCCAGATTGGTCATTGTAGTTTGTAGTCTGTAATATAGAGACCTTCTCTCGTATCTAGTCGTCCGTAGTTGGGAGACTTTCCAACCCCTCCCCATTCATTCCGGCAACGCCCCAAGGAACCACGGTCCGGCATATTCGGTGTCACATGTAAAGTCATGATTCCATCGAGACTCGGACCCGTACCCCAAATTCCATAGGCCACGCTGCTGAATATAGTTCGGAATAACGACAACAGGACTGAAATAAAGGCCTGACAATGAACACCGGAATTTCGAATGGCCCAGATCATTGTCGCTTCATTCACAATAATATTTGGAACCCGGAGTCGCGGCATCACAATGGGAAAGAGTCACTAGCATTTCCGTCATATGAGATGTACGCAGCAGAAGAGATGCGCCGAAAAGTATGGATGTACACACTGCAGCCCAGGATAGGTTGATTATCCGTGGGACAGCAACAAATAGATGAAACTTGCAACACGGCGTTGCAATCAAATATACGAAGAGACATATTGGGTGGATGCTGCTGGTGGATTGAGTCTGATCAAATCTGGAGAGGGCAGCTGTGAAACGGGACATGATGTACCTGTTCGATCATTTGACTCCTTAAGAGATAATTACGACTAGGCTGACGGGGTTGTCGGAGTATGTCTGCTCCAATTCTCGGTTCGGGGTCTATAGCTTCCACGCCCGCTTCTAGTCGGTGGACGTCCAGGCGAATGTGTCGACGCGTGGTCACCAACGTGGTCGGCGTGTTCCCTTCCTCCGCGTTGTCCACCGCGGCCCGACAGGCGACGAGGTGTCCCTCGAGGTCCAGACCGGCGTGGGTTACTGGTGGACCTATTGTTAGCAAAAGGCACTAGAACGGTCTTCGCTTCTGGCATAAACGGAGCAAAAATTCTAATTACGCTCTTGCCGTTTGAAACTTCGGGTAGAAATCTCAGGGATTCAGAGGCCGTTGGTTCAACGCGCAATTTGGCTGGTGCAGGATCAAAGTTTGGTTCAACAGCTTGCCATAGTGCATCTGGCGCCTCGCTGGGGAGTCGGACAGCGGGCAGCGAGCCCATCTCCTGCTCACCAAAGCACTCTTCGGCCATTTCCTTGCTAGTGTAGTCACTATCCTCAGAAGCTGCAGAACTTATAGAGTGGGAGAGACCAGGTAACGCAACGGTTGCAGGGTCGTATGAATGGGTATGCTCCAGCGCGATTCTGCTAGAAGAATCTACAGCCATAGACTTCGCTTGATGAACCGGCTTCTTTCCCATTAGATTGTTAATTTTGTCCTGCCAATTCTCTTGAGATGCTATCTCGTGCGGCTTTTGAGGGATTCCCGCATATCCCTTACCTCTGCTAGAGGGACGGGGGACTGCTGCTTGCGTATTGCCCCGTACAGGTGCAGCGGCTGCAGCGGCGAATGAAATCGGCGCAGGTTTAGCAGTTGAAACAAGAGGACTGGGCGACGCAGAGCTGGTTGGAGGTGGTAGCTTCACTATCGGACGAGCTGGTGGTAGAGCCACGTGCGGACGAGTGACGTCGCCGTCAAATACCGGATGACCATCTGCGGTTGGGGGAGGCGGAGTTGGGGACTTGGTGCGGGCTTCTTCCTGAACACTGATGTCTTGCATAGGCACGTCGCGCGCGGAGGGGAAGAATCTGGAACTGCTCCTGTGCTGGGTTTGCGATCCCGGCACATTCCGTCCAGTGTGGCCGACAGAGGCCTGTCGACCAAAATCGGAATGAATGCCGTTTACTTCTTGAGCGGCGGCTTCTCTAGCCGCATCTCGAGCAGCGAAATCTGAAGGCATAAGACCTTTGCGTTTAGCCATATCTTCTGCAGAAAACTCTGGTCGATGTCGCTCATCCCTTCCAACGTATCGTGAATTGCTAAACGTACCACTAGACTGAGATTCATTATGGTTGGAAAATGCGCCAGCTGGACCTCGTTTCTCTTGCATATTGCCCCGAGGACGCCAGGTGTCTTTGATCGGAATAGTTGGGTTCTTTTCGTGACTATTTATGAAATCTTGCATCTCTGCCGCGCGTCTGCGATCATCTTCTTGAACATTGTCGGCGAAGGATTTCCATGAGCTAGAGAGATCCTGCTCGTGAACATTGGAAGGACGGCCTCGAGGTGGGCCGATAGGGGGGATGCGATTATTAGACATCGCTTCAGGACGTGTAGGTTGCTGAGGATTCGAGCGGGGGGGACCAATCGGCCCCGGACGATGAATGCGATCCGAGATTGGAGCCGGGTGGGAGTCAGGCAAAGTTCCTAAATCAGGATTAAAAGTGCCGTTTCCAAGAGAGCGGTCATTTCCAGGAGCACCCCAGACGTTTCGAGAAGTATTTTGAGAGCTACCAACCCACGACGTAAAACGCTCCGGATGCTGTGAAGTTTCGGGCCATGCTGCCTTCGACTGGACTTTGGGCGCATTGGAAGTCGAATCTGAAGGCTTTCCAGCTTGAGCTGCCGGTTGCTTGGCATCGCCATTAACGTGGTGATCAGAGCTGGGCTTTGCCTTAGTTTCGGGGATGGAAGAATTAGCTGTAGCTTCGGAAGGTGCTCCGGGCTTCTCTGTGGTAGAGGAAATGTTTGTCCGTCCAGCGTAGGCAGGCTGTGTAGAGGATTCGTTAGTCCCTTCCTTTTTAGCACTCTTGCGTTCGGGCGGAGGTCCCATGGCCTTGAGCTTTTCGGCAATTCTAGCTTTACGGGCTTCTTCTTCACGAGCTTCCTGCTCAAGTCTGCGCTTAATGGCTTGCTCGCGACGCTCACGCATGACTCTTCTTTGAATTGCGAATTCATCCTCATTGGGCGGGGCATCTGCGTTAGGTGGGTTATATTGAGGCGTAGCATAGGTTTGGCCGGGAGAAGGACGAGGCTGATAGGGATGGCTGGGTTGAAGCCGTGGTGTGATCTGGCTATTGACTGGAGAAAACGTTGTGGAAATAGGACTCTCAGCTCCAACAACAGAGCCAGCTCTAGATTGAAGTACCTCGGGTGGTGGTGGAATATCGTACGGCTTCCCAAGCCTATGTGCCATTATACCACTAGTGCCACTGACGTTGGAAGAGCCGCGGCGGCGACCAAATGGGCCTTCATGGCCACTAGTTCTACTCGTTTGAAAAGCGGCTGAGGGCTCCGCGGGGCCTTGCTGCTCGTGGTGCTGAGGTCGCTGGAGGACTGCGGGCTGACGTCCATGGATATCGTTTCTGGATCCTCTACGATCCGTCACCGGCTCATATCGACCAGAATGTGAATTGAACAGTTGGCTATGATTGCCTGCATGACCTTCTCGGAAACCAGATCGACTGAAGTCATCCGCTGCGATCTCCTTGGCCGGCGGGGGAGTAGCACTTTTAGCGGCTGTATCCCGCGCTGGAGGGCGCGAAGCTGATGCGAGATTGTCTGGTTGCCCAGGAGGTACTTTTTCTATAGGCGGTAGACGTGCCCATGGGGATTTAGCAGGCGCTGACGGCGCAGGAGGCTTTGCAACGAGAGTAGGCTTTTCGGGAGCGCCTTTTAGCACAAGGCTCTTGCCTGAGGCTGGAACACCGGGCCTAACTGAAGGAGACCCCGTTGCGCTAGAAACCGGTGCGGGAGATTTTGACTTCGGCGGTGCGGGAGCTGGCTCTTTACTAAGCGTGGCAGGGACGGTGTTGGGGCTCGGTGCGATTTCATCGGCCGGTGGTAATGTAATCTTGGTGCCGTCGGTCCAAGTAATAGTTTCGGGTGCCCATTCTTCGTCGTCATCGATATCCGCCCAGTTTGACTGACCCTTGGTATCCTCCGGTCCTAAACGGCCCGCCATATGTATACCGTATTTATGCATGAGCTCCTCATCAGATAGTTTCTTCTGCTCGGGTTGAGGAACCGCTGTGAAAGTTAGCAGGAAGAGATAAAAACCGCCAAGCCAAAATATATTCCCATGACTTACGTCTATTTCGGTTCCAGACAGTATTTGGATCAGGAGCGGCTGCAGGTTTCCCGTTATTACTAAGAGTCTTGGTAGAACCACCTAGGCTGGTGCCTGATTTCGCAACAAGCTTCAGGCGTGAAGCAGAAGCACTAGGAGTCGGCTGGGGTGTAGAAGAAGCAGAGTTGGCGGTAGAATCGGGACGGGAGGTTGAATTCGCAGTGGTCTTGGAAGCCAGAAAAGTGCGATTTACCGAAACCGACTTGAAGCTCTGGGGCTTCTTAAGAGTTGAAGATGTACGCGCATGGCTTTTGTCACCTAGTCGTGCCTTTGATGTTTCCGTATCCGAACCACCGCTCACACTAACTTCAGCTGAGTTCACTAATTCGTCGACAATTTCTGCGATTTGCTTATTCTCGACATCGGAGGAGACACCGTTTAGTGTAGCACTCGAATGGCTGGCATCCTGAGTGTCGTTGCTCGCAGCAGCTGGTTGAGCCTATAGTGGGATACACGTGAGCAGGTGATTTGCGACAACGGCGCAGGCAAATGATTGTATGATACTAGCAGGAAATGGAGGAGGGGGTACCAGGAAGGGGAAGAGGGAGAGGATAAAAAGGTATGAATCGTACGGGAGAGGAAGAGGGAGAGGGAGGGCGACACGAAGGTATATATATATATGACTTACGAGGGTGGGTTCAGTTAGAGATGCATCCGGCTTATTGAGGGTTGGCTCAGTCGCCATCATCCAACTCGAGATGTAGTGGAACGTAAATGGTTTGCGGTTCGCGATCGAAGAGTAACAGTTGCGTTGCGCTTTTCGACCGTGAATACCTAGAATTTTTGGGGGTGTGTGGATTAATGAGGCTGACGGGCGATTGAGGTGGTCAGTTCGAGGGTTTCCTTGTACTTGGCAAATGGCGGGTTTGGAAATGGGAGTAAGTTTAATATGGAAGTCAAGTTACTCACTTTGGTACCGGCTATGTGGGAAAAGAAGAAGGGAAAAAAGGCTATGTCGTAATATGTCGCGTTCGCAGGATACGCGATTAGTAGGGTTATTACAAAACCTCGCTCTCTCTCTATTCGGGGAGAGTTAGAGTGTATTATTTCGCAATACCTCGGGAGCACAGGTGAGAGTTTGTTGCAGGTTTGAAGGATAAGGATGTCCAAAGGACCTTTCAGCGTCGTGTTGTCAAAGTTTACAAGATCCCGAGCTTTTGGGGCTTGCGCAGAAAAGAAGTGGAGACGGTACGAGGGATTGGAACATTAAATTTTAGGTACTGCCTGACTTTGCTAGGTGACCTTCATACAATTTGAATGCGGCTGGGAAAAAAACGAAAACAGGAAAGTACAATACAATACAATACGTAGTCAGGGCCTTGTCAGGGCCTTGTCAGGGCCTGCTAGGGCCTGCCAGGTGAAGTGTGTAACTGTTCACAGTGGTAAAGTGGGGCTGAGTGGCTAGGTTAGTGGCCTGTGGGTTGATCAGCATCACCCAAGGACAAGAAGCAAGCAAACTCAGGTTACATGTAGGTACATGTAACTGAGGATACCTGCCACTTCCAAAACACCTAAACATAGGCATATCGATATGACAGCTGCGAAATAATAATAAAAAAATAATAAAATAAAAAGCAAAAGGTGACATACGTACCTGCGTTGTGAGAGTATAGGACTTTAGGTAACTACCTCACACATTGGAACATCGTGTTCATATATGAATTACGAAAGAGTACCTAGGTTTTAACTATATAAATATATAGTCTATCATATACTTTTTATAGCCCATATTACATGTTAGTAAAACAGAATCACATGAGAGCAAAACTGGGAACCTGTAGATTTCTTTCCGAGAGGTTAAGCTCAGTTCTGTTCTAGTACACGATGGCTATTCATGCTAGACTCCATCCTATCTTATGTACACGTTTGCTTGTTTCTACCCCATTTCGCTCAGTGCCTCAATACCAGACCTGCTTAATGAGCATTGTTCTTGTGGTGACCTATGACAAGTCAGTATATATATCGTATTTGGGGGTGGGAGGAATGTGCTGTAGGAACACTCACGTAGGTGGTAGTAGTAGTTCATAGGGTATCCAATAAGGATAAGTAGAGCAATGGCATGAATGATAGCTACGAGGGAAGCTGTCAGTACGAATATCCCTATATGCTTGGACTATAAGGGTAAATCGGTTATGAGACGTACGCTTGGCGGTAGGGTTCTTGCCAAAGTGCTTGGCCTGGTATCGACCGAGGATACCGGTGGGCTGGATCTCGGGGGCAGGTCCTCGGGGAAGCTTCTCGTAGAAGCTGACGACACGCTTCATGCGGAGGGCATCAGGGGCAGTGCCGATAGCCTAGCAAGATATCCATCAGCGATTTTGAATTTTTGATATTTCTCTCCAATATCATCCAAAAGATACGGAAACTCCAAAACCTAGACCCCCCTCCTCCTCCCTCGACCACATCATACGGGAATTCACGATCGCAACATAACGGGGGGGGGACGGAACAACGCCTTATATAGAATAGTAATACGTACACTCGGAGAGGCAATCTGGAGAGTCTGGGTTAGTATAGGACCTTTTATATATGCGCAGAACCGGACAAACCTTAGGAGGGATGAGGGTCGAAAGAGCCCTACGAGTAACGAAGCTCATTATGGCGGTATTGATCGCGACGAAGGGAAATAGGGGTAGAAATAAACCAAATAGTGTCAGAGCTTGACGCAATTGGTAGTCTGCGATGCGATGCAATGCGATGCGATACTGGCGTAATTCGACGAAGAGAGAGTAAAGGCTTCAAAAGCGAAATGTTCCCCATTCAATTGACGAAACGACGAAAAGACCTCGCCTGGGCAATCGAACCTGGTCCGTGCGCCAGAAAAAAGAGTTGGTAGCGACGAGCGCAAGGCTTTCCCAACTGCCACACTAGCACGGTTAACTTGCCGCGGCGACCCGAATAATACGGATCCGTACTGACCAATCAAATCACTCGCATCTTGATTATCTCAACCTTCGAAACTCTGAAATCGCCTCAATTCAAGAATTCAATTCATACCTAGCAGCTCTCTCGCTCGGCCCCCCCTTTCCTTTTCGTCCGGTAGTCCCACCTACGATTTGCATTCGCAAACTACCGGACTCTGACAAAAAACAACAACAACAACAACCACCACAACAGCAACACCATGGCATCTCTCAGATCCCAAGCGATAGCCGCCACCACCACGATGCTCCGAAGCGCAAGACTCGTTCCGAACAGGCAGGCTTTGGCCATGGCGCAGCGCCGCTTCAAGACCGACGACTCGAGGACTTCCCTCACCGAGACCACCGAACAGACTGCCATTACTAAGGAGAAGCCTCGCAACGCTCCCGATTATGGTGCCCACATCGATCGAGCTACATCGTGCGTCCCGACCGATTGATACCTACCCACCCTACCTATTCATTACAATACCATTACGTTACATCATTATCATTATTACGACCGCGATCATTCATGGGTCAGTTGCTAACTAGGAACGTCTAACAGAACATTTACCCCTGTCCCGAAGCGAGTAATGGATGGCAGCGAAGACCACGGCTTTCTCCCTGCCGCCGTATTGTCAGGCGCGCCGATAGAGCTACAAGCCAGAACCGTCCGGTAAATAAAAAAAAATTTGACGTTTTTAATTTGTTCTATTCTATACCATACCATACCTATATGCCTTGATCTAATATCTCGCGATAGCATCTACCAACCTTCCAAACCCGCCACGCAATCCGGAAACTGGGGTAGCCATCGCTGGAGGATGGAGTGGGACGTCCTCGCCAAGGGACACCGGTGGGAAAACCCTCTGATGGGCTGGCAATCGTCGGCCGATTTCATGCAGGGTACCAGGCTCGAATTCAAGAGCAAGGAGGACGCCATCGCGTTCGCCGAGAAGCAAGGCTACGAGTATTTCGTGCAGGAGCCTAACACCAGAGCTTTCACACCCAAGGCTTATGCTAACAACTTCTTGTATGCGCCCAAGAAGCTGAAGCACATTCGCGCCAAATAGACAAGACAAAACAAGAAGGACAGGTAGTTTGGGAAGGCAACCATGGGTTTGTACATATATTGCTAGAAAGTGGTATCTCGAGTACTTCTGGCCATAATGCCAGGCCATGACCCTAATTCTCATCATGTTTGATCCCTGAACTCCATTGTGAACCATGCCTTGAGCGATAATAACATCCCTTTATGTGTCTAGGTTGAGACCTCCGTTGAGTACTTTCAACTTCATACCTTATACGCCTGACAAGTAATAATGTGCTCAAAACCGATAAACGTCTAACTCCGGATCCTCTCCTTAATTCCATAACGCCGAACAAAACTCAAGAACACCCAAAATAATACGCATTCACTTCGTACACCTCATTCCGTAGTGTCTCAATCGGAACCATAGGGTCAGAATTTATCGAGCACGTCAGCGACTTACTGTGAGATGACCATTGATTCGTGGCCTCCAAACCGATGAGAGTCATCGCCGTCTAAGCCTAACTCGATTTGATAAGGAAGGTCTTTCTTGCCTTCCTGACGAACGACTTCTTCGCTCCAGGCTCTCATCTGTACTAATTGACGAATGGCAGTCTCCCTTCGTTGCTTCTGACGTTCCAAGATTGCCTTGTTGACTTTGTCAGCAACCTCCCGTCGAAGACTTGGCCGAAGCAGCGCCGACAGGGTGGGATCTAGATTATCGTGGTCGAACACGAGAAGAGACATCGTCTTTTCAAGATCCTCCAGGAACTGCGGCGTGCGCGGAGCCTTAGGTCCTAATCGAGTTTGCGCAAATTCCAGGGCCGGGCCGATGTCCCCGCCTGGCCGAGAATTCCGGATTAATTCCACTAGTTGGAGCCGAAGAAGTGCGAAGTGGAGTGGCTCATCTTCGTCTAGTATCTTTTTTCATTGGTTAGTTCATGTAACAAGGAAAACTCAAAATTCAAAATTTTATCAGGGGGGGCTGGACGCTCATAGAAAAAGTGGTTGTTCCTCATCAGTGACCCGAAGGCCATATGAGTGGTGCATGTAAACTCGTGTTTTAATCATAGCAAATCAGACGTTCCAAGATAGCCTAATAACGAAAAATTCTTACCGAAGGATCAAGGTCGTTTAAAGCGCGCAAAGCATTCTCAATCTCCCCTCTATGGATAAATGTTTGAATCTGCTGTCTTGCATAGATACTGGAGGAGGGTTGTTGAGGCGGCAGGTTCGCCTCGGTTGAAAATTTTGCTGCAGCATTAGGATAGCCAGCAACCGTCAAATAGTCGAGTATTAAAGCGTTGATATCACTTTCAACCACGTTAGTAAAGTGGTCTTTTCGCAATAAAGAAAAAAGAAGAAGAAGAAAACATGTAGGGAGCAAATGTCAGAAAAAAAGAAAAAACGATCTCCGCATGATATTCTCAGAGAGATTCCCATTGTGTTATTTGTTACATCATAATAGAGCTCCAGACAGATAAAACGAAGATGGAAGGGGTCATCATACCTTTTGGGCATTTTAAGTTCCTCAACCTGTCGCGTGAAAGGGTGCTTTGTCGACGACCCAGCCGAACTCTAACCACACAAAATTAGCATCGCGGATCTAGGAGTATGGACGCGAGTAAAGTAGCGCACCATTTTTGCGATCTAAAATCTCTCTGAGATACCTTGCGTGATGAAGATAGTTTTCGTGTGGAAATGTGTTTGACAATGGCATGCCCCGTCGCGCCCGCACAGTCAGAGCTTTATTGGATCTTGAAGTGAGAAATTAAAGTAGAATATTATCATTACAATGCTAATATTAAAAGTAGAAGACACCCTGAGAGTTTTTCGGGGGGTTCCACCGAGAGGCTGAGCTTGTTGTTGATCGGTTGGCACATTGGAAGTGAAGAAAAGATTAGAGAATGAAATCTTAAGAAGTTAGGATTTTAGAATGCGGGTAGGCACAGAAAATCCATACAACCCTTGTCTTGGTGTGGCAGATGTGGCTACGGTCCAACGGGTCCAGCGGGGTCTCGGCCAACGGGTCCCGACTTTTGTGGCTTACGCATTAATCCCTGTACAGATCAGACAGATGCAGGTCCAGACAGACGTTCTGAACGGTTTTACACTTATGTACAACTGCAGCTGTGGCTTTCATCCTAGGTACATTTAACATTTATCAGGAACTCCACAACCCACACAAGTTTCTTTTCTTACATTTGATGGTTGGTTACGAAGATCCTCCTTTTTTTTTCTTATTATTTTTGTAGATGCATTTCCAACTTTATTCATTTCTTCTCATCGAAGATTTTTCTTAACTTTATTAATCTTTGGGTAGCATTTCGAAAAAAAGAAGAAAAAATGGCCAGCTACAGTACATGCTAATTTCATCCGGAGAAGTATTCAACCTTCGTCTCGTCTCGCCTCATCTCGTCCTGTCCCGTCTTATTATTATTCATTTATCTCTTCTCTATACCCACCCTATCATCCGCTTAGGACACCTGGCACTAGTGGGCACGCGACAGCATTCGCTTCCCATCTTTTCACTTTTAGACTACATATCACATTCTTAGCTTGTATAAAAAGCTTCGCCCACTTCATGTCTTTTTATATATGACATATCGTCCAAACAAGTAGCCATGAATACCGGTATTGGGTCGGCGGCCATCGTGGTTGAAAATAGCCCCGACACAGTAGCTAAGAGGGCTCACTACAGTCCCCCATGGGCTGATTTGAGTATCATCGGCATTGCGGGCAGCTCCGGGTCCGGAAAGTCGACTTTATCCCACGCTATTGTTAGCAAGTTGAACTTGCCATGGGTTGTCATCTTGTCAATGGTAAGCGGAGTTTAGAGAAAAAGAGGGGGGAAACTTCTTATCTCACGCATCATAGGATTCTTATTATAAACCGTTAAGCCCCGAGGCTTCTAAGAAGGCCTTCCTCAACGAATATGATTTCGATTCACCAGAGGTTAGATTTCACCATCCAGAGTCTAGTTAGCATCATATTAATACCATTTTCGTAGGCGATAGACTTTGATGCGTTATTACAGACTCTGAAGGATCTCAAAGCCGGGTGAGTATGTTGTAGAATTTGCAATGGTGCTTTCGTAAACATATGCACTAATCCCTGCCTCTATTCAGTAAACGTGCCGAGATACCAGTATACTCGTTTGAGAAGCATCAGCGTCTGAAAGAGACAACCGCTATATACTCTCCTCATGTTCTCGTTCTGGAGGGAATCTTTGCCCTTTATGATCAGAGGGTGATGGACCTCATGGACATGAGAGTATGTCTCCAGCGATCAGGTGCAGTTCAGGATATTGCTCTAACTTACTAGTAGGTCTATTGTGAGGCAGATGCGGACACATGTCTCTCGAGGAGAAGTAAGTATATTGTCCTACAACGACTAAATTCAAACAAAGTTGACCTGACTATTATAGTTCTTCGAGATGTGAAAGACCGAGGTCGTACAGTAGAAGGCTGCATTAAGCAGTGGTTTGGCTTCGTAAAGCCGAATTATGAGAAGGTAAGCCCTCTAGGCCTTGAATGAAAGAGACTATATGTATCTAACTTTTCCTTTAGTATGTCTTGCCACAGAGGAACCATGCCGGTAAGTGACCCTGCTGTATAATCTGGGTGCCACCCGTCGTTCGCTATCCAGCCTGTCATTCCGGCTGATTTATCTGCTAGACATAATTGTGCCACGAGGAATAGAAAATCGAGTTGCTATGGGTAAGTCGTAGTCAGTTTTTGTGGGAGACATACGCTCATCAGCGTAGCTATGGTCACGCAATATATCGAAAGGAAACTATTAGAAAAGTCCACGCGCCATCGAGCCGCTCTAAGAAGCCTGGAGGCTGGGTGTGATAGCGAGCCTCTCTCCGACCGTGTCATCATTCTTAAGGAAACCCCCCAACTCAAAGGCATGAATACTATCGTTCGGGACATTGACACTTCGAGCGAGGACTTCATATTTTATTTCGATCGGTTTTCATGCTTACTCATTGAAGAGTACGTTTATCGCCTTACATTTTTGCCGTTGCTATTTACTCACTGTCACAGGGCCCTGAATAACGCCCATTTCAAAGAGTTCGCCGTCGAAACCCCTTCTGGAAGGACATATAACGGACTAGTTCCCAAGGGCGAAGTTAGCGCAGTTATTGTACTTCGTGGAGGTGCCGCTTTTGAGGCTGGGCTAAGGAGAGTAATTCCAGATGGTCGTACAGGACGTCTCCTCATCCAGTCCAACGTCCGCACCGGAGAGCCGGAGCTTCATTACCTGAAACTTCCCAAGGATATCAATACACATGATACAGTGTTACTCCTAGATGCCCAGATGTCTAGCGGAGGCTCTGCACTAATGGCCGTCCAAGTCCTCGTAGACCATGGAGTCCCACAGGATCGTATTGTCTTTGCGACATACTCGGCCGGCTACGTAGGTGTCTACCGTCTGACGAAAGTGTTCCCGGAGGTCACCGTCGTCATCGGTAACATGGTCGCCGATTTTGAAGAAAGGTGGGTAGAGAAGAGATACTTCCGCTGCTAAAACAAGCAGGCGTAAGTATTAATGCGAGAACCTCGACGAACCTCGAGGACAGCTCAACCGTTGTGAGTTCCAAATCATAGGTCTCATTCGTGTTATATCATTCCCCTATAAATGAGCACATATATATCTTTCAAATACCGTCATCTTCTAGAATGATATTTAGGGTTGGCAAGTCAATATGCATCAAGCAGTCATGGTTTTAGATATCCTTGCTGCCACATCCTACGGGGATGCCGCATTGTCAGCCGTCAGCTACAACATATTATACATAACAGCACCATCTTCCCTATTCGGCTGGTGATGCATGCTTAGTCGTGGTTGTAAATGGGAGTTAACTCCTCTAATAGAACCAACAGCAGCAGGTAATATTTATCAAATATTTGTCACTCATCTTGCCATAAGTTGATCTGATAATCGGAGGATCCTGGTGTCCCCATTTCGTCTGAAATTGCCGCCGCTTACGACATCACGCCCCGCAAAGGCTACAGAACTGGGACTATTAGGATGGTGCTTGGTATCCTAAAACTTCGACGTAGGCGTCACTGTTTCATGAATAACAGTTCTCGAGCACCTAGATGTTGGATATGATGGTGAGCTTATAATACGTACCTGCTATAGTAATGTCGCCAGCAACGAAGCTATTGTCAGGCTAGACGTCCTTGTCTCGGGATCCAGTAGTACATTTCACCATCGGGGCACAGGTTGGAGTCTTTAACCAACTAGAACATAAACTATAGAGAAAGTTGTCCGGATATCCAATAGATATCGTGGCCAAGTTATAGCTACACTTCTTTCATGCCAGGCCGCAAAACTATTGATATTCCCGAGGTTAGTGGTTAGTGATCCGACTATATCGCGGAGAGAGGCACCGGCACTTCCTAAAATAGTATCTCCGTCGTACATCTCCGACCTCACTTGAACCCACGGAGAGACCGCTGCGTTTGGAGGTTCCAGTTATACTTGGTTGTCTTTGAATACAAAAAGTTTCAATGTTTCGCGAACTCGCGAGTGTAGTGAGAGGCAGAATAGATATCCCTGTTTAAGCAAAATGTCATTGCTACTTCGCAGCCGAGTCGTCGCTCTTGGCGGGCGTCGTGCTTTCGCATCTCTTACCCAATCTAGACGTCTCCGACACACACCTACAGCAGTGAAGCCTTCGCGTATGGAGACTCAAAAGGGGTTGCTTGAGGCTCGAAATTTGGAGAAAGCGGTTGGTGCCGTGCACAGAGATGGGCTCGTTGTCGTCGAGGACGTGATCCCTCACGAGGCTCTGGGCCATCTGAATAGGAAGATGGTGCAGGATGCACGGATTCTGCAAGATAGGGGCGAAGACGGGCCATTTAATTACAACACGGGAAATCTGCAGCAAGACGCACCTCCGGTAGCCGAGTATTTTAACCCTGGCATCTTTACAAGTAAGTTTAGTTTGAGTGTTCTTTCATACCTACCTCTTTTATATGTATACCTATGTATATGTAGGTGTAGATGTAACCTGCGTTTCACCCCCCCGAAGGATTCCCGTATTCACACCCTGCAGATCCAATCGCAACGCAGATCACAACTGCCGTCCTTGGCCCCCGTCCCAAATGGACTTTCTGCTCCGCCAACTCCGCCATGCCGGGAGGAAAGCCGGCGCGCCAGCCGGTGCACTCTGACGCAGACTTCCAGCACCCAGACCACCCGTTCGCCCTGGTCGTCAACATCCCCCTCGTCGCCATGACGCCGGAGAACGGGTCGACGGAGATCTGGCTCGGGACCCACGACCACGACGCCAACGTGCGCGGCCAGGAGGGCGCGCATGGCGAAAGGGCTAGCGGCCGCATACGAGAGAGCCTGCTGGCCGAGCGCAGGGAGGTGTGCCCGCCCTGCCAGCCCGTCGTTCAGAAGGGGAGTATCGTGATACGAGACCTCCGGCTGTGGCACGCGGGCATGCCGAATCTCGCCCGCGACGTCCGCGTCATGCTCGCGATGATCCATTTCGCGCCCTGGTACAGGAACCCCATGCGGCTGCAGTTCGCGGAGGACGTCAGGCCCGTGCTGGAGAAGCTGGAGGGCGAGGGCCGCTTGGGGCTGGAGGTCCCGGTCGATTGGATAAGCAGGGAAGAGGCGCTCGATACGTACCTGGATAGGGGCTTCGGGAACAGTTACGATTTCAACCAGACGCCTTAGGTTAGGTAGGTAGGTATGTAATACGGTATTCGTTCCCGAATTATCCATAGCCTGTCTAGCTAGCCTTACGTATTTGGAATGCACGTTGGTCGAGACTGTTCACATGGCGAAGGTGTCGAATATCCATTACCACATATTGTGAAGTCTTACATGCCCCGTTAGGTTAGCTCCAGCGTGATCTGACTCTGATGAGGGATTCTCAGCCGCGCAAGCCATGTGCGCTGTGCATACAAAGAGCGCTGGATCCATGGTTCTGGGATCCTTACCCTGGACCAAATCGACCAACCCGACCGTCCGGTGTGTTTAGCTAGTCTTACCAATACAGACACAGAGCAGACGTAAAGGAAAGTAGACAAGGCACTGTGACGAAGACGAGAGAACAAAAGGCAATTAAAAAGCCCCGCTCTCTCCTCCCTCCCTTTGCTCCCCTTCAAAACGACATCTCCCGAGTTGTGTCTTAGGGGTGTTTGTCGCATCTCGCCAAAAAAAAGGTCATTTAATCAAGTTCCTGAAACGGTCGTGTTAACAATGAAACCCTCACGTAGCATTCTCTCGTGGATCCTTGCCTCAGCTTTCGGCGGAGGCGGGACTCTAGTCGGGGCCGAATCGTCTCAAGCACCAACAGTTAATCTTGGGTACGCGACTTATCAGGGAGCCTACAACGGATCGTACGGCCTTAACATTTGGAAGAGGTGAGTAACTTGCCATTGGAACAGTTAGTCATTGCTATAGACCCTTTTTCTAACAACTTGAATCAGTATCCGATATGCCACGCCTCCCGTGGGAAAGCTGCGCTGGCAAGCCCCTCAGCCCCCTGCCTGGGACAACAAGCAAGTGACGCCGGCGGTGGACCAGCCGCCTCTCTGTCCGCAGACAGGACCCTACGGCGTCCCCGCAAGCTATGGCTTCAACAGTGGCCCTGGCGATGAGGACTGCCTCTATCTCAATGTGTACGGGGCTCCTGACGCCTCGAATTTGCCTGTTTTCGTCTGGATACGTAAGCGTTCCTGTTTCCCCTATTTTTCTTTTAATGCATGCAATCCTGACGTTGTGTCTGTTTAGACGGAGGTGGCTACGGCGTTCTCGGGGCTGTTTACGATCCGACTGAGCTGATAAAAGCCAATGACAACGGCTTGATCGTCGTCGAGATCCAATATCGGCTAGGAGCATTCGGATTCCTCTCCTCTGCGGAGGTCAAGGAACATGGCCAGCTCAATGTCGGTCTTTTAGATCAACGCCTCGCTCTGGAATGGGTTCAGAAGCACATCTCTAAGTTTGGTGGCGATCCGAGCCGCGTCACCATTGGTGGAGAGTCGGCGGGTGGCGGTTCGGTTTTGCTTCACGCTTCAGCTTACGGTGGTAAACAGACGAATCTCTTCCAGAATGTCAGTGTGCTTTTTTTTTATGAGGAGTATATCTTCAAGAATACTAATTCCGGTCTAGATCATCGCCGCAAGTCCATACCTTCCATCCACGTATCAGTATAATGATACGGCTCCGACAGCGCACTATGACAAATTTGTCGAGTTTGCCGGATGTAGTGATGCTTCGTCCACTTTTGATTGCTTGGTTGCTGCCGAGAGCTCTGCATTGCAGAACGCGAGCGGCACTGTTTCTACAACGCAGGGATACTACGGCAGCTGGGCGTTTGTGCCGTCCATAGACGGCGATTATATACAGCAACGGCCATCAGTACAGTTATTAGAGGGGAAGGTGACTGGGAAAAGACTTCTTGTTGGCGTACGTATCCTTCCCTCATTAACTGTCTGTAGAATAATATCTAATGAACCCGCCAGAATAACGCCAACGAAGGTGTACTCCTTACAGACCCAGAGGTCAATAGCAGAGAGAAATACGATAGTTTCGTCTCAACAACGTTTCCTTTATTTACTCCGGAAGATGTCACATCCCTCAATACCGCCTATGAGATTGACTCCTTACTTAGTGGCGATGGTATCCGATACGACACGCTCGGTTACACTGGTCCAACTGCGTTGTATCAGTCTGGTTTTGCTACAGGCATACAACAGGCTGTGTTCAACCTCGCCGCCGAAACCAACTTTGTATGCCCAGCTCAGTGGTTCGCCGAAGCATTCAGTAGCGGTTCTCGGCAAGCGTGGAAATATCAATACTCACTTACGCCGTCCTACCACGGCGCAGACTTGAACTCGTATTTCGCTATCGATGCCACCTGGCCCAGCCCGGGATTCAAACACGCCATGCGAAAGATCTACGGGAGCTTCATCATCAACAACACCCCTGTCATCTCGGTTGAGGACGCGACTGCGGGTGAATCGAACGCAACGGTCCCGATCGGCTCGGATGGCAATATTCAGTGGCCGGAATTCGATCTGGAGGGTCGGACACAAATGAATCTCAACACTACCGGCGGAACTGTAACGGGCACCGCGATACCTCCTTACTTGAACTTCTACATCCGAGATGGCTCTGGCATTGTGAACACGCTAAATCTTTCCAATTCCTACACGTGGGAAGGAGGGCGTGGTCGCCGGTGCGATTTCTGGCGCGACGTTTCTGAAAGAGTTCCGCAGTAAATAATAACTACGTGAAATGACAGGGTATTTATAGCATGGTTTGGAATTAATTTATCAACATCTGTAGTTTATCAAAGCACTTATTTCAGTAATTTTTTGTAGTTATTAGATATATCATACTATGGAAGCTTTAGTGGCGATGCTCTCTTAGTGAGGTGTTTCTACCTAGTTCGCAAGACAGGGAATTGGCGAATTACTTTGTTTCCAAAGCACAGCCTTCTATCCTAATAAAAGAAAAAAAAATGATCGAAAGAAGGGATTCTTACAGGTAGTTTAATCTGAGGCCACTGTACAAGCCTTCGTATTGGTTGGCGTATCGCTTTTGATATTCGGAGACAATTTCCATATAACATCTGCAGTCCAACGATATTATAAATGACACTGAAACAAAAGGTTGAATGGAAACTAATAATAAATCAGATGAGTTTATGAGTTAAACCACTCCGTAACGATCTAAACTTATTTGACAAGCTGATGAATATGATTTATCATGTTACCTATAGGACAAATACCACGTGTTGGTACATGGTCATGCCTCAGCCTACCAACCAAGGACTCAGTAACATGACAAAATATCTAGCTCTTTTTTTTCTTAAATTTGCACAGCCTTGACAGTACGTGGACGCCTCGAGTAAAGAGTTATATATAAACCATCTATAGTCTCCTTGAAATACCTCCCAGAAAAGAAAAATCAAAAATACCACTTCTCCTATCGCTTCTACATCCTATTTACAACCGGTCTTGGCAATAACCAATAATTCCCAACCTTGCCTCATCTAATAACGTTGTCGACGACGACGACGACGACGACAACAGCGAAGCTAGTGGCGATGTCTCAAGGCGGAGTAGAAAATTGGTGGTATAAAAACCATATGGACGAGAAGAAATTCCCTAACCTGCCAATCAAGAGGGAATTAATCTATCGCATCTTCCGGGCCGCGTATCCCCATGGCGCAGTAAGTTATTTTATGCTATACCCTTACGTATGGCCACGGCCAACGCCTCAGCCTCGGCCTCGGGCCCTATACGAATCTGTGGCGATTTAAATAGGGGTGGGATCCGATTACTTGATGTTTTTCTTTTCTCCGTTCCCTCCCCTTCCCCCTCTTCCCCCCTTTTTTCCGCGGCTTATATCTATCTATCTATATCTTTATCAAATTAGCTTGGCAAACTAACGGTACGGGCAGTTTGTCGACGACGATCTCAAACTGGTAGAGCTGCGAAGCAAAGAGGATATCTGGCACAAGCTAATGCGCGAGTTCGCCCACGCCCGCAAGGACCTTGATTCCTTCGTCTCGGGCCTGTGCGACGCATACAGCGTGTCCTCCGCCGACCGGGCTACGCTAAAGCACTACTACACCATGCTGTTGGACGAGGCGGAGGGATCGCTGTTCAGGTCGCAGAACGGACGGTACTTCGAGTTCAGATGCATCGAAGAGCTGCTGGTGCGGTATAGGACGACGTCTCCGGACGAGTGGGCGTTGTGCACATTTGATACCGCCTTGCCTCCGATTGCAGGATATATGTACGCGGCTAGAGCTCTGGTCAACAGTAAAGAGTCCGAACTGCATTTCTTCACCGAGAACTATTTGACTAAGGATGGACATGTGCAGTTTATTTTACAATAGGGACCAATACACACCTAGCGAAGCAGTTGGGGACTGGGTATGAATGGGGGCTAGGTATTAAGGGGCGAGACTCGGTATTGATATTTTAATCATTAATGGCTAATAAAAGTTCTATGCATACGACTGCAGTTATTAACATGACTTCATTTGTAACCCTTATGGTGAATAAATCTCTCAAATATATTCCAAGTTGTGATAACTATAGTTGATAATTGGGATGTAGGTAACAACCATGGTAGCTGCTCCGACCAGCTTCAAATACTCCCTCGGGGAATTGTATTACTCCGTAATATAAGTCTATACAACGTCGCACAAATAGCACTTGAGCGTTTTCTTCAGGTGACATATCAGATACCTGTCTCCCACCTATATCTTAATAGGCATTTTGCTACTTCTAAGTAGGTACCGAATGTATGAGAATATGAAGCATTCGGGATTGCCCTCAGCTGTGTTCTATCAGATTGTGGATTCAAAGATCGTATTTTAACATATAAAAATGACCATATGCTAGATAGGTATCTATAGCCAAGATATTTCAGATCACTAATTCATGTCTTATTCTATTGATAGCCGATTACGTTGCGGTGTAAACCGGTGGCCGATTAATGTTACCCATTTAAGGTAAGACTTATAGAGATGGCGTTTCTCAGCTCCCGATGCCGTTCTGTAAGATATACGTCGCCTTACCTTGCCCTTTCGAATATTCCAATACGCCAGCCACACACTTTTCTCATAGCCTATTGGATTTATATCGCATGATTATATAAAAACGAAACATACGTTGCGTTTGATGCTTACTAGGTAATCGGTATCCCCTTTGGAAAAGTGTGTGCGTTATTTTCATGCAGTGTGCCAAAGTTACTCAGCTATATAATAACATTCGCAGACAGAAGAAATATAACATTAGGACCTTACCTCTAAACATCAAACAAGGCTGCGGATTATTTGCTCGCTGCAAGGGATCCACGTGTTTGATGCCGCACGCCGTTGGTGATGGAGGGCAAACAACAACACTACTACCACCCCACCTGAGGAGAAAAGTCAGCTCTGGATAGGAACCACCTAGCTGGCCTAAGTAATGCGTCCATACTTCCCTATTCGTCGTGAAGGCGGCCTTGGAGGGGCTACGGATTTTGTGTCTCATGAGATTGGTGAGACTTGCATGAGATCTACTGTACTATCTTAGCAATCTTCCATAGAGACGCCAGTAAGCGCCTAGTCTTTCTGGCCTTAGCCTTGTAAGCTTCCCAAGTCCTAACGAACGGTAAACTATTATTACATGCAGCCCGCTCTATCGGTGCCCGACTCGTATGCTCGATCTGTGTAACGGCGGGATGCGACCCAAATGTCGTTGCGATAATATTATAACAGCTGCTCATAAGTGGCTACTCGTTCCTCCCTTTCCTCCCCATGATCCGTTAACGTTCGCGTATCTGGATCAGTGTTGGCTGCTCCATGCCTCTGATCGCTATGGTGGAAGCTAGTAACTATACCCCGGAGTATCTTGCCGAGTCTAGAGTGGCATTAGTCAATGCATTCTTTTCAATCCCTATCCCTATCGAGATTTTAAGCACGGCTTTTAGGATATGGGTTAAGGCGAGGCCCTCGTCCCAGCGTCGGTTGGCTTTTGACGACTACTTCATAATCTGGGCTACGGTATGTATGCCTATCAGCTGCATTTATAGACCGCTAATGATGCTTAACTTCTCTTAGATAACCGCAGTGTCTGAGTGCATCGCGGGGCTTGTTTGCGGTTTGCACGACCTTGTAATTCTGTTTTGAACATGCTTCTAATTGCTCATTGTTAAAGGGGCTGCTGGCGGTCTTGGACATCACATAGAAGCCATCTCCGAGGAGAAGGTAGAGACCTTTCTCCTGGTAAGTCCAGATCACCTCCTTGGAGAGTACTAGCAGGTCTGATGGCCGATAGGGCGACTACATATTTAGTCATTTCTACGACTTCGCCATTGCTAGCACGAAGCTTTCGGTCCTCGCGCTGTACTACCGTATCTTCGCCGCAACCAAGTTTCGAGTTATAGTGACCATTACTGCCGTATGCGTAATGATATGGCTCGTACTAATGGAAATCATACTTGGGCTGGGATGTCAACCCGTTCAGGGTTGGTGGAATTCCGCTGCTGCTGCAACGGCCACTTGTGTGGATAAGCTGGCGTTCACTTATTCTACTAACATCATAAACTTGATATTCGATATATGGATATTCACCATGCCAATCCCTATCATACTCAGGCTGCAGGCTAGCAAGGAAAAGAAAATAGGCCTTTGCTTCCTATTTTCGATAGGGCTGGGGACGTGTGCCATCAGCGCTGCTCGTTTATCAGTTGTTGTGTCAGTAAGGTCTAAAGACATCACATGTAAGAGCCTTTTCGCGCTCATCCTATATCAACACTCTGTCTCTCTAATACTAGTTTTCATTAGGGAGTGAAGTCACCTTAGGGATTCTGTCTGCATGGGAACCTTGCGGCAGTATCCTATGCGCAAACCTACCTCTGGTGTATAAGCCATTAGTCCATGGCATCCAGAAAGTTCGATCGTCAATTAAGAGCTCACGGTCCCGAAGCCGTGATATCGGCGCACGGTTACCTCCATCATATCATGATTGGACCCGACTTGATAGTAGCCCCTTTAGCAATTATCCTACGTCAAACGTCACGGCAATTGGAGGCCATTCAACTGAATTGGGCCTGATTGGGCGAACTGGCATCACGGTTGAGCGAGACTTTAAACAGGAGATTCATCGTGAATTACTAGGGTAAAAATATCTTATCTATCTATCTATATAAAAATTATTAACTTTACGAAGCTGGTGGCTGGAAGTCTACTGAAGACATCTATGTATAGGGTCAAGTTTCGTGACAAGAAGTTAAAACGGTGCCTTCCGGGCGGACACCAATTGTTTCCTCCCATAATCTAAAATACCTAGATTCCTCTCCTCTACTCCAACGTCTCGATCCAAGACTTGAGGATCTTGTTGATAGTGGTAGGGTCTTCGATCATAGTCCAATGACCGGTTTTCACATCAGCCCTGGTCAACTTATCGAAATACTTTTCCATGCCTTCGGCTAGGGATGGTACGAGGACGGGATCTTCGGTGGCTTGGACGAAGAGAGCCGGCATCTTGAACTTGATGCCGCCGGCTTTGGCGATTGGCAGCTCATCCTCGAAGTTGACTTTGGTCGTGCGGTACCAGGTCAGAGGGCCGCGAATGCCCTTGACTTGGTACTCGGAAACGTAGTAGTCAAGCTCGGTGCCATTAAGGAGAGGGCCGGCCTGCACATAAGGTAAATCCTCTAGGGGTATGCCCTCGTTGGTGAAGCCCTCCTTGCCGTCGGGTGTAAGCCCGCCGTACGCCGCTATAAGGAGTTGTCGGAGTTCTTCCTCGGTCCTGAATTTCCGGTCGAAAGAAGGATCCCGAAACTGAAGTTGGTACTTGAAGGTCAGACTTTTGCCATCACGGATCTGGTCAGCTAGATCGACGTATTCGGTCACAGGGGGAATGAAAGGATATGTCAACGCGAAGATCCCCTTGAAGAGCTGAGGATAATACATGGCAAACCGCCATACAACTTTTAAAGCCGAGTTAGCGTTTTTTTAATATAAGTCTAAACGAAGCATTACTTACAGTCAGCACCCCAATCATGGCCCCCAAGAATTATTTGCTGATCAGGCAGTATCTGGTCTAGCAATGCCGCCAGATCAGAAGACATGTTCTTAAAGGAGAACGCGTCCAGCTCGCTCGGAGACGATGTGTACCCATACCCCAACAACTCGGGAACGATGACTTGGTACCCGAGGGAGGTTAAAAGCGGAACTTGATATTTCCACCCATATGGAAGGCCCGGCCACCCGTGAAGAAGAAGTACATTCCCCTTGGGTTCGCCGGAGGGCAGAGCTCGCAGATAGTGGTAGGTGTTATCCCCAACAATGACGGAATGGCTCGAGTTAAAAGGGGCTTGGGCGGGCGGCACCTGTGTTGCTATGGTGGCAGGCACCGTTAAGCTTAATAGTAACGCTCGAAATGGATTCATGTTGTGTTCGATATCCTCAAAGCAAGTTTCTCAAAACAAGTCGACTCCTGATGTCCTATGGTGTGGTGATATTCCTCTACCTGATATTAGTCCACCCATGGCTTTTTATAATACCTCGAGCTTTTGATGCTCAGCTATGATTTCTAATTCCCGGATTACAAATATTTACATTGTTAATCATAGAGTGATACTAATACTAACATCGTTCTATCATCCCGGCCACTTTGGTCGAGGAGGGATTAGGGTGGATATTCGGCTTAGGAAATGATGGACCTTTCGCTGTATTAAAAATGTTAGCGCATACATCTATCGTAGTTCAAATATCTACCGCGAATTACTTCCAGTCAAAGATTATTTTCAACGTGACCATACCATGTCTTACCTCAGCTTGAGCACTTTGACGATCATTCGATGATCCTAGAAATTACCCATAAGCGTTGATGTATAATCACGCAGCTTTCGTGATATGAGCTTTATCTTTCGCCATTTCGAAACTCAACTTACCTACATATCCAGTATTTGGCTTGACTATCAAAAGCCTTTACTTTACATCTATAAACGCATATCAATTTTTGTCAACCTGAAGAAGACTGATTCTATGCTAAATAACATCAACAACTTCCAGACCCAGGTCGAATGTTTGTCAAAAAATAACTCCTCGGATCGAATCAAAAGACAACTCATATTAACGGCCTGTCAGACTAACATTTTATAAGTCCGTGGCATATCGGTGAAAGGAACGTTCCAATAAGACTTTCAACCTAGAAAAGGATGGTTGCTTATAACGCTAGCTAAATTTGCAAAAGTCATGGAACAGTCCAGAGCATCAGTGGTTTAGTGGTAAAATCCATCGTTGCCATCGATGGGCCCCGCGTTCGATTCGCGGCTGATGCATGTCTTTTTCTATTTTTCTTGTTCGCATATTCTCTAATACATGCGCATGCGGATCTCTATAACACACACATGTTTTAGGTACCCGGACGCATTTTCGGCAATTGGCAACAAGTAAACATTCTTTTTTTGGCCTTATTTATTCGTTATATCCTGTGTAATAAAATATGTTTTCCTGGTCTTATTTTCCAAGAAAGCAAGTGGATATTTACGGGTGGGTCTATGCTAGATACAATACTTCAACTTTAGTATATCAAAGAGTTTATGAATAGGTCAGATACGTATTCATCACCTTAAGTGACTACTATGAGTTTGCCAAAGAGGCGCTATACTTGCGGCAACCTTAACTTTATAGATCTGGGTGAAGAAAGACCTCAAAATTAGCTTTTGCCAACTTGTAATTGATCAAAACGGGTATATCTCATTTATATTAGCACTAATCCTGGTCCCTTGAGGCTCTATCTTCTAAGGTACATAACTTCGTAAAGGCTATACACATTTTCCCATCCTCACCAAGAAAGCCCCGGTCTATTTTGTCCTTTATAAAGGTTAAGCTAGGTACCTTTTGATATAACTCATCACAAAAAGTGTAACTCCTTAGCCTAACCTGAGGCCATCTTCGTCTTTTCCAGAAGTATTAGTTTAGTTAGAAGCTCACGAGATCTATCAACAAGTTAGTAAATACTGATAGTCCGAAAGTTAGGAGGTTAGAGTGATGGGATTATTCCGTACCTCGTCCGAACAGGCCCCGCTTAGCCCAGTCCATCGCCATTAGCACCCTCGTCCTGACCCCTACGCTCTGTGCGAAATACACACTACGCCAAGCGTACACGGCCCACAAGCCACCGCTGACACCCCAACCGCCGAGGTCGAACACGGCGCTGTTGCCGATGTATGCCAGGCTTCCGAGGTGGCGATATTCGAAAGCCTTATAGCAAGCTGCATCGAGGTCGCCGTCGCGAATATCGTTGGCACGCAAGCCGGGCGCACATTGTGCTAGCTTGTTGAATTTATTAGCTAGATACATGCCTTGTTGATTAGCGCGCTGTGCCGTCGCCGGTAGCGATGTTAGCTTGCTATCAATCTGTTTCAATAATTCGCGTAGCTCTCCAAAGTCTAGGGTTCCCGATTGGTCTTTGTCGAATTGCGCAAATAGCTTGTCCAGTCGTTTTAGATGTGACGACGCCTGCGGGAACCGCCGCTTCACCTCATTTGCCACATCACACCAGTCGCTGAAGTGGAGCTCTACGGTTTCGGGGTCTTTGCCCTGCTTGAAAGCGAGTCCGCGTAGGAAGGTGACGACGTTGTCAGCAACATTATTCTGAACAGTCGAGCAATCCCCAATAGCATAGACGTCGCCTAGAGGAGTACCATTAAGTCTGAGGTGACTATCAGTTTCGAGAGCATGGCGGTTGGTTTGCGCAGGTCCCAGTTTCGTCGCAATGCGCCGACACAGTTCGGCTTGAGTAACGCCGGTTGACCATAGACAAAATCCCGTGGGAAGCTCTTTAGTGATGATTGTGTCATCGTCATTCTTTTGTGTAAATATGATCTTGTCCTTCTGTACCTCTTTAACCCTTGAGTTAACAAGTACGTCAACCTGATCGCGAGCAAATCGATCTTCGGCATATTTAGAAAGCTCTTCGTCGTAAGTGTTAAGAATGTGGCCTCGGCTCTGTATTAAGTGGACTGAGATCTCATTCCGTAGGAGTCGAGGAAATCTCTTAGTTAAATCCTCGTTTAACAAATCATAGAGCTCAGCTGCGAATTCAACGCCCGTGGGTCCGCCACCGCTGATCACAAATGATAATAGTCTCTTGCGTTCGTCGTCAGGTGTTGTTGGGAGGCAGGCAAGCTCCAAGTTCTTCATTACTTGGTTTCTAATCATGCGGGCATCGTTAATATCTTTAAGGAAGAAGCAGTTTTCGAGTCCCTTGACGCCGTGGGTGTTTGTCACGGATCCAACTGCGATAACGAGCTTGTCATATGGTACGTAGAACCTAACCTCCTCTCCCCTCGAGTCTATCTGCGAAACTTCAACTAATTTGTGCGAAAACTCGACATCCTCAGCCGAGGCTCGGAGAAAGTGCCCGCCGACTTTAGTTAACACTCTTCGAATAGGTTCGACTAAACTTCGCGTTTCTAGGGTACCAACAGTTGCAGATGGTAACATAGGGGTGAATAGGAAGTAGTTTTTGGGACTGATAACGGTGACGTGGTAATCTTCGGGGTTGAGTTGCTTTAGTAACGCGACGCTTCCCCAGCCGCTACCTAAAATAACGAGGCGAGGTTTCGCCTTCTTCCTCCTTGCTTCTTCACTATCGTCGTCGTCGAGAAGTGCTTCTACGATTGGAAGGTTTTTAGGTCCTCCCCGACGTGGGGATAGTGCCGCTTCAGATACATGACAATCGCCAGACGTAACCGACTCCTTATAAGTTGTTGCGTCATATACGAAAAATGCAGCGAATAGTACTCCTATAAATCCAATTCCTGTGCCAATTATTGCTGCTGTACGATAAGCAAAGTTAAGGATTGCGGATCGTGTTTGTGGAAGGGGTTTTCCAGAAATTCCGCGCATAATGCGCCGCGACGGGAACAGCCATTGAATAGCTTTGATGGGGCCGTTTCGTTTCGGAGAATTCGGTCGGGATAGAATACTAAATTGACAAGTACGAGTAGGTCTTATTTGTCTTAATAGAGGTGATGATGTGAGTCTGGTTCTATAGCTAGGAGAGCTATGGTAACCAACGCGTAAAGCGAGAGCTCTAGCAGCTCCTAGCTGTGATGGCATCTTTGTAGTAGCTTCTTACCAGCTTGAGTTATAGAAAGAGGAGAGAGACTATATGAAAGGAAATGACATGTCGAGTTGATAGGAGGTACCTTGGTAGGTATGTACGTAGAGTGAAGTTAACAAGTGGAAATTGTTAAGCGCTTGTATAATTTTTTTTTTTAAAAAAAAGCGAGGGTAATTAAAGTTGAAGAAATTTGATTCTTGTTAGAAGAAAGAAATGGCCTTTTCGCTCTTTCGCCTTTTTTCGGTGCTTTCCTGTTATACCTAACTTGTTCCCTCTTGCTTGTATTACATAGGATAATAGATTAGGTACTTAGGTATGTAGTGCGTCATACCCGCTGGAGTGGAACTCCGATCGCCGTCACCAAAAGCTACGAATAGCGTGGAATTTCAAAGCTTGGCTTAGACCCGCATTGCATTAGCCAACATATCAAAAAGCTTCATCCCGGCTCTTCCTCAGTTGCCAAAGTTCATAAAGGTCAACAATGAATAACTACGGGATTTTAGTTAGTTACCTGATATCTGGAACAGTGATATTTGCTATGTATTACAGAGTGTAAGTCTCAGAACTTGTTGTCGAATATTCTACTAGATAGGGGCTCATTCTTAGAAATTTATGCATTGGAACGTCGTAGTATTGGCCGATTCCTAGGAGGTAGGTACAGTACCTAAATTAACCTAACTCGTTCCGATTCTAATGCGTCTTCATAGGACCGAAAACACCGCATTCTCCCGTGCAGAGCACCGAATACCGCCGATAATATTCATCTTTTATTTGTCATTAGTTAGGCCCATCGTGGGCTTTTCGTATACGAAAAAATGCAGCTGACTCTAAATGGTAAAGTCCTTGTAAGCCCATTTTTCTGTGAGCTTGGTCTTGGCCTGTTTTCTGAACGGTATCCTCCTTCGGGCTTCCACCTTTCCTCTCAGCAGTAAGCTCCGGTAACGGTCTTTCAACAAGTTACCTTCGGGTTTGAGACGTCGCAGGGAATCTGCTAATTCATCTGGAAGGACCAACTCAAGATCTTTCTCTGGTAGCTTCATTCGACCCAGTTGACGGCGTCTGAGTTCCTCGTCATTATCATCAGCACTGCTATCGCTATCGTTCTGTTCGCGGTTTGCGAGTGCCAAGTTCTGTTCGCGTTCACGCTCGGCAACCTCCTGTGCAATTCGCTTAATCTCTTCCAGTTGCGCTTTTCGGATCTTGGTCTTCGCTTCGTGCTTAAGTCGGCGCTCCTCCTCCTTTCGCCTTTGAATTCTGTTCCTCTGTGCCTGAGATTTGCGTTTTGGTCGCTTGGCATTGACCTTGAGCTCCTCGCCATCACTTTGAAAGCCTTCCCATTCCGAGTCCTCATCCCACTCGGATAACTCCGCTCGAGCTTCCGCAGCCTCCGCCTCTGCGGCTGATCTAGCGGCGGCTTCTGCCTTGAGACGTGCCGCCTCTTCGGCTTCTAGGCGCTTGCGCTCTGCTTCGACAGCTTTATTTGATTCTTCCACGTAGCGGGCTTCGTATTCAGTAAAGTCCGGGTTGTAGCTGTATCCGCCTGTGGGCTTCGGCACAGCCTTTGGCATCTTCCCACTCGCTAGGAGCGAGATCGGTTTCTGATACAGAGTTTTGGGCGCCTTTTTCTTTTCTATTCTTTTGTCCTCTATATCCGCTGGTAGTTCTGGTTTGGCCTCTACTGCCCACGGATCGTAAGTAGCATCCAGTACCTCTATTGTAGATTCATGAAACCCGTCTGCTACCTTGCGCAATCGAGAGAGTTCCTTCTGTGTAACATATTCCCTTCGTGGTCGCTTAGCCGGGATAATGCCATCGGTAGTCTTGTCTCCTGGGCGTTTGCGCAAGGGAACAGCAGGAATAGCTGACCGTGCGGCAATTATTTCGTCGGCCTTTAGAGACTTTGAAGTATTCTTTGGGAATTTCTTCGCTAATGAGGCATCGCCTACTGTATCGAGAACGAAGAGCTCTTCCGAGGGTCGCTCAGCAATTACACCACTGTGTTACGACAATGTTAGTATAAGGTACCTAGTAAGTAATAAGTGCCTAAGAGAATGTAATTGTGCGAACCCTTTGATGATTTCCTCGTTCAATTCCTCCAGACCCTTCTCAACCTCCGTTACATCGACGTTCTTTCTCCAGGCCTTCTTCCCTTTCCTTGAAGGTTGCTTGTAAGTTGCAGGGGCCTCCGTCGGCCCCTTTAGTGGTTGAATAACAGGCATGTCTGTAGTATAAGCCAAATCGATGATTTTGAAAAATATTACAGACAAAAAATTGTGAGTAGTTGAATTGTTGAATGCTTCAAAAACGGAAATCCTTGACTCCGTTACTTGTTGGTGGGGCTGTTCAAACCAGAAATTTTTACAGATTTCAGGGTCGAGATCCAGTCGATATGATAAGATACCTAGATAAGCAGATAAGGTAGCTACCTGACTTGCTCCACTTAACGTGATTATGTAAAGCCACTTAAGTCTAATTGACTCGTCCAATTGACTCTGAGCTTTTGACTGGGCTGCTGGGGTTGGAAGATCGGCCATTCCTCTTTCAAAAGCGACGGGGCATGCTATCGATTGCCAACGGCTGCCATTAAAAGTAGCCCCGTATTCAGACCCCAGTTCCAAGTTAAATCCACCAATCTGTTAAGGCTGCGAAGCCCAAGCGCATTTTTCATACAAAGTATGGAAAAAGGGACCGCCTCCTATTGTACGCAAGGTGGGAAAGAACAACTCTTTAATAAGTCGATTTTCATCCCGACCGCTTCTTACAGTATAACAATATTATACAGTGAATAATTCTACCGAAATTTAAATTCACTGTTTGTCTTTTTTTCTTTTTTTCTTTTTTCTTGTTTCCGGTTTTAATCAAGCAGAACATTCTTGAGTTCCTACAAATCGACTGCCCGTCTTGTGATTTCATTATCCGTACCATCCTCTGGTTCCACACCTCGAAACCGCCTATTAATAAACCAGGTCGAGTTTTCTTCTTGACGACTATCGATCATTATCGCCCAAAGAACAACACTACTATAACACTACAACACCACAATCAACAATCAGCAATCAGACGCGAACATGGCACAGACCGGAGGAGCAGGCGGGTACAACAACCCATTGAAATTCAAGTACTATTGCCCAACTTTCTGTATAATCCAAGCTTTATCGCTAACATTATCCTAGGTTGGTTTTTCTCGGTGAACAAAGCGGTATGCCGTCTACTCTGTCAACTTCACGATCTACCAAACGGCTTCAATGCAAACCGATTGCGCTTCTGGGCGGTAGCTAATATTTTATCGGCTTAGTCGGGAAAACATCCCTAATAACGCGGTTCATGTACGACTCTTTCGATAACATGTATCAAGCTACGATCGGTATCGACTTCCTGTCCAAGGTAGGCTACACCTCAAGGAATGAATGCTACAGACGTCACAAGGTATCTCGGCTAACAAGCAAGGGTTAGACAATGTACCTTGAAGACCGAACGGTGCGACTACAGTTATGGGATACGGCAGGGCAGGAGCGATTTAGGAGTCTGATTCCCTCGTACATTCGCGATTCGAGCGTTGCGGTAGTTGTCTACGATATTTCCAGTACGAGGCTGACGCTTCCCTGATTTACAAGCTGGGTTATAAGTAGGCTAATACGAATGGGCAGATGCGAAATCATTCCAAAATACGAAGAAATGGATCGACGATGTACGCGCGGAACGAGGTAACGACGTTATCATCGTGCTAGTAGGGAACAAGACAGACTTGAACGAGAAGCGAGAAGTCACTACGGCGCAGGGTGAGGAGGAAGCCAAGAAGAACAACCTGATGTTCGTCGAAACAAGTGCGAAGCTTGGCCACAACGTGAAGAACCTCTTCAGGAGGATAGCGCAGGCTCTTCCCGGTATGGCGGGGACAGATGCCGCGGCACAGGCTTCGTCACAGAGTAAGTTATAACTTGTTGCGTGTGTAAAAACCCTGGGAGGAGTTATCCAGCTGACGAAGTGTAGTGATCGATGTAAAGACAAACGCACCAGCTGCCCAGCAAGAAGGATGTGCTTGTTAGTAATGTGCTCGTGGTAGCAGAGAAAGAAACATGGGCCTTATGAGGAAAATGCGAGGGTCAAGCAGGATATTTCCGTGCATAGCGAGTGAATCAACAAAGAGATGTTGTATAATACGAATGATCCTACGAAGCAAAGTAACGAGAAGAAGATTAGCAGAACCATTACAGGTATGACGTTTATTATAACTATGTAATCACCCTTTTTTTCAAATTTCAATATTTTAAATTTGAGTGCCGTCGACATGAGATCTAAAGTAAAACTCCCATACGTTGCACGCTCGTGCTACTTGTAAACTTTTCAACGGTTTATTATTTTTTAAGAGACCTATATGCCATCTCTGACCACATGTAGTTTTGATGTTCGTATAAGTGATAGCAAGGATATAGACGAGATTTCGTGACATTTCCGGAATATCCGGCCTCGCAATACACAGACATGCCGTCTATCCCAATGTTTCTACCTGGCCATCCGGCGTGCCAAAGTATGCCTTTACGGGCTTTACCCCTTCTACGTCCGTGTCCAGCTGTGCTACCTGGGGGCCGTTCAGCCCGGAGAAAATGCCGACTTCGAGGACGCCGTAGATCTTCTTGAGGCGCGCGAGCAGCGCGTCCGGCGTCCAGAGGCCCTTGGCGGGGTCCAGCTTGTCGGCCTCGCTGTTGAGCAGCAGCGTGGGGAACGGCGCGTCGATGATGTGGTTGTGGTTGTCGGTTATGGTGCGCATGAAGGTGGGGCCGGAGACGCGGATCTTGGGGTCGGTGCTGCCGAGGCGCAGCAGCTCGCGGCGCACGTACTCGCCGGCCATGGGGGAGACCTCGACGGGGACGTAGGACCAGTTGGTGAGGAGGCGGGGCACCTTCTTGCGGCTGTCGGCGACGCAGACGAAGGACTTGGACAGGCGGGAGACAAGCTTCTCCTGGAAGTGGCAGGCGCCGCCGCCCTTGATGCAGTTGAGCTCGGCGTCGACCTCGTCCGCGCCGTCGAAGTAGATGTCGATCGGCTGGTGGTCCGGGGACCCCGGCTCGAAGCCGACCTCCAGCAGCAGGTCCGGCACCTGCAGCACGGAGAGCCCCGCGTTCTGGATCAGCGCCGTCGACCCCGACCCCGTGGGCACGAACTTGATCTTCCCGGTCACGGACGGGCCGAGCTCCGCGATGGCCTCCACCACGTAGGCCACCGTGCTGCCGCTCCCGATGCCGACGTACCTGAACGTCGGGCTGAAGTGGTCCGCTACGGCCTGCCGGCACGCAGCCCGCTTAGCGACCTCAATGAGGCTAGTGGACGTTGCTGCTGCCGCTGCCGCCGCTGCCGCCGCCGCCGCTGTTGTTGTTGACGCCATTGTCCTCGGATTTCCTTTCGTTATTGTTGTCTCTAAAATAGCTCTTAAGAAAGTCGCTGCTGGACGACGACGGCTGAGAGGTAATGATGATGTATGGCAGTTCGCTCTGTGGTGCGTATCCCGACTTAGAGGTGCAAACGCGGAGCTGGATAAAGAAGCGGGATAGCTTCTAAATACCGCACGTGGATTGTCGAGACAATGGGCTGGGGAAGAAAGTGCGCTTGCGACAGCCCGCGGGAACAATGAACTCATGAAACCCCCGAGGCAAGACAAGGGTTTTTTTGTTAATTTTAATAACGAAAAAGGATGAGCTGGGGAAAATTAACCCTGTTTTAAATTTGAACGCCAATTCTTTTTAACTGATTGTTTAGCTGGCAGCTATTTTTCGAGTTTTTTTATTATTATTAATCAGCCCTTCAACTTGAGATGAACGAAATGTTTATTTGAATTAAAGCTTGGAGCCCCACCGTCACGATGTTCTTCCCGTGGTGGTTAATTGTGACGTGAGTGCGGGCAGGGATGACTGGGAATAAGCAAGGGACCTGTCCCCGATCTCCGGATCCGACGAAGGATGACTCAGCTGTGAGGCTCAATACTTTGGGGGACGTGTACGGTGTGGCTTCTCCTTCGAAGTTCAATGTTCAATGTTCTTTAGTGTTGTTTAGTTATATACTTGTATAAATTGAATACTTGTCTAGGTGTTTTATCATATGTCCCTTGGACATACTTATCCAGCATTCTAACCTTGTTAATGACTTTTATTACAAGGTACGTACCTGTTCTAGACTTAGTAAACTGTAACTCCCTCAACATGTATATCATGTTGTTTACTATGGTCCCAATTGCGCTATACCCTACGGCACGGAATGCCGATTTTTATCCTGGCCGAGATGCTTTCGGGTTTTGGCCCCTGCGGTATTCGGCCTATATTCTTGTATCATGGTAGATGATATTCGGAAATCAAACCTTGACCTAAAGACTAAAGTTCCCAGAGCTCTTATAGTTGAGTATCGTGATTTCAGCTTGGCGACTCATCCGCTTACTGTTGCTACTTTTATTACTAAAAAAGCAATGGCATGAAATTAAATAAAGTAGGCATGGTTTTATAAGACGAGTCTTAACATTGATATAAGGTATGTACAGTTTACTCTTTATCCAACTCGTGTTCAAATTGTGCATACTCTACATAGTATGTGTCGAGTATAAGTGTTCCGGCTATCGGCAAAGGACTATACTACCTACCTGGTATACGTAAGACGGCAAGCAACGTACAAGGCTATGACTAATGCCGGAAAGGTCACCGGAAGATACAAACTTGAACCATTGAAAAAGGAAATAAAAAAGTTTAATGAATGATTGTTCGGGTGATACTCGAATGTTTTTTTAATAGCACTTTCGACATGTTGAAAGATGTGGGCGGCTATCGGTCCTTCGATATGTACGGCTAAAAAGTAAAAGCTGATTGGCTACCAAAATATGGGGTTGCCCGATTACCGGTTCGAGATGATGCGAGCTATAACCCGGGAATGTGGTTGGCCAACGATGGCGTTTTCTGACAAAGTGTCAATGGCTATTGGCAGAAGTTTAGGAAAAGACTCGAGGCTAAAGCGATTGCGTGATTGCAGTGAATGACGAACTAATTGTGCATTTTGCGGGGCCATTGAAAAGTTCCACATTCGGGGTCTGAACTACCCTTGAGAAGCTTTAGCAATCCTTTAACGGTCCCTACCTACCTAGGAACAATACCTAAGGTAAGATACCTATCCTTTATTAGTTACGCTGTCGCCATTGTCTACATAGTAGAATTCCCGCTTTTCCTTTTTTTTCAATGCCGGGGAAAATTTATCTCTAGCGCAGGGTCTTATTTTATATGTAGAGAGGTTTGGCCATCATGTCGTTTCTCTTTGGAAAAGCAGACTCTTCTGCTTCCAAATCAGAGTCCGACATGGCGACGCAGAATATCCAGATTCGCACGCCTGAAGAGGCAGGTAAGTAAACTTATTATCATTACTACCGTTATACGGGTTTCTAATTAGGGACTTGCTATTGCGTATTCTCTCTATTATTATATTACACTTCCATATTGTTGTGTACCTGATCTCGATTGCTTCAACTTTTTATTTTTTTCACATGTGCCCCGCCATCTAATATTGTTCTACTATTATAGTGGCGCGAATCGCATACCTTGCCAGCGATGTCATTGTCTCCGTACAACCGTCACGCGGTCAAGACTCGGCATTCTCTTCTCACCTTAAGAGATACGCCGAGCGAAAGGACCCCAATCTAGTCACTAAGACAGAAGGTTCCGTGCCAGAGGTATAGTATAACCTTTGTTTCCCCAAGATGTAGTCAATAAGACTTATAAGTTAACGCAATAACCCTAGGTCCAATCTATTCGACACAATAACGATCCCCTTCTCTCCGTCTTCGCTCCAATTCGCTCTGGTCGTCTGACCTCTGTCACTACCACTTCAGCTATTCTCCTCCCTTCCATTGCGCACTTATACAAGCTAGCGAATTATCCAGTCGTCATCCATGTTTCTCTACACCCAGCTAACTTCCCCGATTATTCTTCCATCACTGCTATCAGGAATTCGGGATGGACATTCTTGCAGTCTGAGTCGCTTCAGGAAGCACAGGATATGGCCACCACGGCCCATGCTTTGGCCGTGCGTTCTGGAAAAGGCGTCATCCACTTCTTCGATCCAAGTGCTTCTTCCCACGACAAGCCGATCGCTACAGAGGATTCCGCATTAGTTCGTGACCTTTTAAACTTGGACAACGTCCGCCGATACCAAGCTAGCTCTGCCGCAGAGTCCGGCATATACGCCGACGACGGGAGAGTCGTTTATGCCTCGGATCAACCCGAACGACGACCCAGCTCTACATCTAACGCTCTGGCCGACTCGACTATTCTAAGCGCTGCTTCGAAAGCAGCATCTTCAGAAGGCTCGGACAAGTCTAGCCAGCAAAGCAACTCCAGCGCCCCTCCGAGCGTATCTTCAGCCACAACAATCGATGCTGCACCACCCCTCCTTACATCTGAGGATATTTACAAATACGTTACCTCGATATGGGCTCAGCTGAAGGCCGCTACTGGGCGTGCTTACAATCCCTTCGAGTGGTCTGGCCCGGCAACCGCAGAGAATGCGATTTTTGTGTTTGGCTCTGACGCGGGTCTATTCGGCGAGGCGCTTGATGCGGCTAAGCCCGACGACATCTACGCTAAGGCTGGATTAATCACTGTTAGATTATACCGCCCGTGGTTAGGATCAAAGCTTATTGAGGCTATTCCGAAATCCGTGAAACGCATTGCCGTGTTGGAACAGATTTCGCGAAAAACCACAAAATGGGGGCCTTTACTAATCGATGTTCTAACGTCAGTAAAAAGCGGCTTTGGTGGCGTCGAGACTGTTGTTGGCCATCAATTAGGATATATCACTCCCGATACTATCCATCAGGCCCTTAGAGGTATCTTCCAGAATCTTACTTCTGAGAAGCCGCTACAAAACTTGGAAGTAGGGAAGACAAATGGCCCAGAAGAGCCTAAGGACCACGGCCTAGAACAACCCAAATTAGAAACCGCTTACACGAAAATCCTCGATCAACTGTTTGGCAACCGAGTCTACGTAGCGAACGCCCTCAATTCGAACAATGCTGGCGTTTCGGCCACGATAGCAGCCAGCCCTGAATTTGGATTCGGATCTCTCTTGGCCCGAAAGGAGCATCGCCAAAGGTTCGTCAAGGAGGTCAAGCAAGCCGCTAGCACCGGGTCTTTCGTTACTGAAGCCCCAGTCGATTGGTTGGCAAAGTGGGCCGCAAATGCTGAAGATGCTAAACAAGCTGGAGAGCTTGCAGACGATGTTATTGCACGACTTGAGACGGATGGATCGTCAGTTGCGCGTGATCTGCTGTCAAGCAAGGGCCTATTCCGGAAAGAGTCTTTGTGGCTTGTTGGGTCTGATGCTTGGGCATATGATCTTGGAAATTCTGGTGTACACCATGTCCTAGCATCTGGAGAAAATGTGAACATGCTTATCATCGACTCGACTCCTTACTCGGAACGGGCCGCAGCGGATGCCGAGAGGCGAAAGAAGGATATCGGCCTATACGCGATGAACTTCGGCAACGCTTATGTCGCCTCCACTGCCGTCTACAGTTCATACACCCAAGTTCTCCAAGCTATGCTCGAAGCCGACAAGTTCAACGGTCCTTCAGTCGTTCTTGCATACCTTCCATACTTCGGCGAACACGACTCCCCGTTGACCGTTTTGCAAGAGACCAAGAAGGCAGTAGATCTCGGCTACTGGCCGCTGTACAGATGGAACCCTGAGAACGAAGAGAAGGGAGAGCCTAACTTCTCTCTCGATTCCGAACGGGTTAAGAATGAACTGAAAGAGTTCCTAGCAAGAGATAACAAACTAACCCAACTGATGCGACGCGAGCCGGTATTTGCTGCCAGTCTGTCTCAGGATTTTGGCACGGAGGTTCGCGCACAACAGAAGCGAAAGGCCCGAGACGCGTACAACCAGTTATTGGAAGGTCTCTTCGGTGCGCCGCTGACAATTCTATTTGCTTCTGATAATGGAAATGCGCAGTCGTTGGCTAAGCGGCTTGGAACCAGAGGTCGCGCCAGAGGTTTGAAGACTGTCGTGATGGCGATGGAGGATTATCCCGTTGAAGATCTCCCCAAGGAAGAGAATATTGTACTGATCACTTCGACGGCCGGTCAGGGAGAATTCCCCCAAAACGGAAAGCCTTTCTGGGACGCCATCAAGGATAATACCGATTTGGACCTTGCATCAGTGAACTACTCGGTTTTCGGTCTTGGAGATAAGCATTATTGGCCGCGGAAAGAAGACAGGGTTTACTACAACAAGCCTGCTAAAGACCTTGATAGATTATTCGCGAACTTTGGTGCCAAGCAACTTGCTGAAATCGGACTTGGTGACGACCAAGATCCTGATGGATACCAGACTGGATATGCACTCTGGGAACCCAAGATATGGCAAGCACTTGGTGTGGCAGACATCGAAGGCTTACCCGAGGAACCAGCACCGCTGACAAATGAGGATATCAAGTTAGCCTCAAACTATCTTCGAGGCACTATCGCGGAGGGTTTGAGAGATACCACCACTGGCGCTATCTCTGCCTCTGACCAACAGCTTACCAAGTTCCATGGTACCTATATGCAAGACGATCGAGATGTTCGTGATGAACGGAAAGCCCAGGGATTAGAACCTGCCTATTCGTTCATGATTCGTTGTAGGTTACCTGGTGGTGTGGCTACACCAAAGCAATGGATCCAGATGGACGACATTAGCACGAGCCTTGGAAACGAGACTATGAAGCTCACTACGAGGCAAACATTCCAATTCCACGGCGTAGTCAAGGGAAAGCTTAAGCCAGCAATGCAAGCTATAAACAGGTCTTTAATGACCACGATTGCTGCCTGCGGTGATGTTAACCGAAACGTCATGTGCAGTTCTCTTCCCACTCAATCTCAGTACCACAAACAAGTCTGGGCATGCTCGAAGAAGATTAGCAACCACCTTCTACCGTCTACTACCGCATACCACGAGATCTGGCTCACAGATGACAACAACGAGAAGACTCAAGTTGCCGGTAATGCAGTTCAAGACTTTGAGCCCCTCTACGGTCCGACTTATCTTCCTCGAAAGTTCAAGGTTACAATCGCCATTCCGCCGCACAATGATACGGATGTCTACGCTCACGATATCGGCCTTATTGCCATTAAAGGCGACGACGGCCAATTAGAGGGTTTTAACGTCCTTGCTGGAGGAGGAATGGGTGCAACCCACAATAACAAGAAAACCTATCCCCAGACCGGTCGTATGATGGGCTTCGTCAAGACTGATGACGTCCATATTGCTTGTGAGAAAATTATGCTCGTGCAGAGAGACCACGGCGACCGCAAGAACCGAAAGCACGCTCGACTAAAGTATACCATTGACGATATGGGTGTTGATGTTTTCCGTTCTAAGGTCGAGGCCTTATGGGGCAAGACCTTCGAACCAGAACGTCCGTTCCACTTTAAGAGCAACGTTGACACCTTCGGCTGGCAGAAGGATGAAACTGGAATGAACCACTTCACTTTCTTTATCGAGAACGGCCGAATCGAAAACACGGCCGATTTCCAGATGAAGACCGGTCTGCGCGAGATTGCCAAGGTTCACAAGGGCGAGTTCAGATTAACGGGCAATCAACATCTAATTCTTAGCAATGTTGCAGATGAAGATCTTCCGCAGATGAAGGAGCTTCTGAAGAAGTATAAGCTAGACAACGTCCAGTTCTCTGGATTACGTCTCAGCTCCTCGGCCTGTGTCGCCTTCCCCACCTGCGGTCTCGCTATGGCCGAAAGTGAACGTTATCTGCCCCAACTCATCACCAAGCTTGAGGACTGCCTTGAGGAGAACGGTCTAGGAAAGGAGTCCATTGTTATGCGTATGACAGGATGTCCTAACGGATGCGCGCGACCTTGGCTGGCTGAAGTTGCCTTCGTTGGTAAAGCATACGGTGCTTATAACATGTACCTCGGCGGTGGATACCACGGACAGCGGCTGAACAAGCTATACCGGTCAAGTATCAAGGAAGACGAGATATTAGCCATTATGAAGCCATTGCTCAAGCGATATGCCTTAGAGCGCGAAGAAGGCGAACATTTTGGTGACTTCTGTATCCGAGCTGGTATCATCGTAGCCACCAAGGGAGGACAAGATTTCCACGACAACGTAAGTGAAGATCTCCTGAAACTCAGATAGACATTGCCGTTGCTAACATGCACATTCCAGGTCGCCGAGGAAGACTTCGAGGATGAATGATCTTTTCTATCATCTAAATAAATACCAGAGCATGAATTGTTAAAGCATTGCATCAAGGAGTGGCGTTAGAGGAGCCATGTATATATTTGGATTGGGATGTATAGCCACACTTAAAACAGGTGTCACGCTAAGGAACTCGATGTCTTTCATAGAACGACAGGGTTTCTGAATTGTCAATAAAAGAAACATATTTGAAGTTTAAGTTATTGCTTCTATTGAACTATTTCAGTGTACTAGTGCTGTCTACCTCACAAGTTAGACATAACCCCTTAGGGGTGCGGTCGTCGAGTTTACGGGGACAACACTAGTAGTTCCCATCACAACCTCTCTAACAGTTCGCATAGTTGATAAAAAAAGCGTAACCGTAACTAATCTACTACACGGATTTATATTTTGGGAAGAGTTGTTACTGTTAGGCAAGACTTCCTTTCCCAATGCCTAAGTCAAGATATTGCTGGCACTTAGATATAACGGCTACTTGAACACGACCAGCAGTCTAATCCCAAGGCAATACCAGGGAAATCATATTCCATAAATGTACTTGTACCTGTTCATTTTAATTGCCGGGATGGCAATTTGGTAGAGCCATCTATCGCCGCGTCAATAAGGGGCAAACCGGATAATAACCCTTCAGCCATACAAGGAGTGGGGTATAGCCAGAGAACCTCCCGGTGCCTATTGGTCCAAATGATAAGGTAGTTTATTGGTTTCCTGATATAAGAGTATATTATAATGCTGAGCGGAAGTCCACAGGTGAGTTGTCGGCGTGCTTTCACCCGTGTAAGAGGGTGGTGGACGTGGACCTCCCGTCGTCTTCCAGCAACTTTCGTTTCGACGTCCATAAGCAATTCACCGAGGCTACGCACAAATATACCTACCTCCTTAGGTAGTAGGTACTAAGGTAATTCGAAATGGGAAATAAGTTGCGATTCATTTCAACCGTCCTATTCGGCACCGAGACAGGGTTATTCGTGAGTGCCGTCCCACCAGCAGGCCACGATACGCCGCTGTGCTCCGCGACCTCGGAAGCCCCCAACACCTTCAGCGTGCGGAACATCAAGTACGCGCTGCGAAACCCGCCTCTGATCGGCCGCCTCCAGCTCGACGTGACGAACCGAGCAACGAACGTGACGACGCACTGCGATATCGCGGGTCCCCAGTTGGCTCCTGGTCCGTTTAGACCAGGCAATCCGGACGAGCTTTGGACCTCTTGCGATGAGCCTCCCGAGGGCTCGGAGAGATATTATACCGTCGACACGGATGTGCTCTTCGACAGGAAGGCGGCGCGCTTGGTGATTAACCAGACGTGGTATTGTGACGATGTTACTCCGGAGTACCCGTGAGTGCTTGACAAATTGTTTACCGAGTTCTGGAAAAAGTACAGCTGATACAGACTCATGTGTTATTATGTTAGCATTGCTTTCAAGGGGACTTCGGAAACCCAACTCGCTAATATGACTTGCGACGCCAATTGTACGTGTTTCTGTAGAACTTAGTTGGGATGGCCGAGTTCGTACTGATCGTTTTAGCTTCGGATCAATTTCTGGAAGAGTGTACTGCGCCGAACACTATTCTGTCGATATATCAGTATTGGCGCGACGACTTACCGCCAGATGCCCTGATTAATCCTATTCCGTCTGGAGTACCGAAGCCCTCATATATGTATCTATAAGTAAAAATACGGTATGACAATTATAGGAGAGCTAGGTATTAGTGGTTTGAGCCTTGCGTAGGAGATAGTTTAGAGTTGTGAAGAATTCGTTAAGCCATACCAACAATTCATCCATCCTCTTCGAGTTATGCCATGTGACTTATGAGAAATGAGAATTCTGTTTAGCTCTTTGTTATTTTTACGTGCTTCATCATAAAAGCCATACATATCATCTTCGTTACGGTGTAAAGCGAGGTACTTAACATAAGAATACTTCGAGTTGTTAAACTCCGAGAATCTCTTTAAGAAGCCATTTAAATTAGAAGGTATTGTACCTATATTATTACATGAAGCTTTAATACATAGTTACTAACAATTAACTTTTAGGTATTAACAAATAAAAGCCACCCTTTTATAAAACCCAAACCGCCTTTTTATTACCATCAGAATAGTGAACTTATCAAATTTGAAATCCGGCTCGCCAGTGACGAGTTAGACTCCCCTGTGCCATCACTGCGCCCAGACTCGCTAGAAGGCCTCCGATCTCTTATTTCGGTCACGAACTTCGGCCACGTGTTTGTCAAGACGAGGTACTTGATGTGCTTCTGGGCGCTGTCAAACACGGTAACGTCGAAGGCGTCGGATATTTCGCCCGCATATTGTATTCGGCCCGCCATCTCTGACAGCTCGATCCACTCATCGCCACTACGTCCTTGCCGCTTTTCGGCATCCTCAGCTGCGAACGGCGTGGCGGGATCGACACGCGCCTCGCCGCACTATCACAATAATGGTTAGTTGGTTCAGGCTTCGAGCGTTGGCTTAGAGGGTCTGAGACAACGATTTAAAGGGGGCGGGTCTATGACACTCGAATGAGAGGCAGAAAAAAAAAAGAAATAAGAAAAGAAAAAATAAAAATAAAATCAAATGTCACTTACTAGTATTCTCGCCGGCCTTTCGAAAATTGATTCAAGACGCTTGAGGTCCTGCGAGGAGAGATTCAACGGGAATTCGGCATCTCGTAGGCTGATGAAGCTCGTGTAAATGATCAGCGCACGAGTGAACGCGTCGCGAATCTGGTCTTCACTAGCGGCCTCCGGCCACGATGCTTTCCAAGCCGCTACTCGTGTCAAGAATGCGATGTTCTCCCCCGAAAAGTCCCTCAATGCCGAAAACTCCTGCAGCGGGCCCGGGTTCTCGTTTAATACGTGGTCGAGGGCGTTCATGGTGAATAGGCGATCACCCATTTCAAGATCGAGAAGATCTATTGTTGTCAGGCCCTTTTCAAGCTGTGAGGCGGATTTCCACTCCCCAGTTGTGGAGGCTCGCAGGGTGGTCTGTGATGTCGTGTTCCACTTTGCGTTCGACTCGGCTGCCCTCTTGCGTAGGCTGTGGTGCTTCACGACTAACCAACAAGGAACAAAAACCGTAAATATTTCAAACATCGTAACTGATAGATGGATCCTACGTTCATTAGTAAATCCAATATTGCTACTCAGATAAATAAATAAAAAAATCGATTTCGAGCAACCGACCTACCATTCACTTGACGAGAAGTATTTGTTGACCGGCGCAAACGCAGGTACATACATCGATATGAGCCACAGTGGTGTAGCATGTAGACTTTGGAACTGTGTTAGCGAACGAGATACCTCAATGAACGCGAAGACGACCAACTTTGAGAGACAGCATCCTATCGTCTGAAAGCGCCAGCCCAGCGTATCCCGAATGCCCCAAGCCTTCCATATCATGATAGGTGCTATCTAGGTTGGATAGTCAAGTTAATATCGGAGTAACAACACCCGGGACGTAGACGACGCGAGAAACTTACTATCCACGTCCATATAACTTGCCATAGAGCGGTTGGCCACCATTCCCATCCTCGGCCTAGTTCGAGAATCTGTGCGTCTAGAGGGCCGTCGGGAAGCCCCGTACGAGCGATCCCGAATGAAGGATGGTATTTGCTACACGCGAGATACATGCCGACTGTAAGGAGGACCTAACAAAATCTCAGCATCAAGTTATTCCATATTCTACGGGACGTGAGTTGTAAATCATACCTGAACTATCGAAGCCAAACCGATGTAAATCAGTATCCTCGTCGGGTAATCCATGTTTCCCAGCCGGCAGAACCACGAGGTGTCCGCTCCGTTGCATCCCGGCTTCTTCTGGCAGCCGGAAGACCCCATGTAGCGCTTCTGCATCTTCGCAACGTACAGGAAGCGGGTGTTGGAGGCGTGAAACGTGGCGACGCCCAAGGGGAACCAGATACCCATGAAGAAGTACTGCACGCTATAGGCGGCTATGATGGGCATGGTCAACCCGATGGGATACGTGATCTGGGCGAGGATCCAGTATACGTGCAGAAAGCCGATCGCGGTAAGGGTCAGGCCTATGCCGCGGACCTTGAGGATCGGGTTATGACGGTTCGCTACTAGGAATGCCATGCCGAGGAAAAGGAGGAACGTCCATGTTGCGCAGAATGCAACGTAGAATGTGCCCACCCTGTCGAAGTTGGGTGGGCTAACTGGAAGCGAATATATGTCGGGCTGAAGCTGGTCTGCCATGATGTAGTAATTCGGCACACTTTGACCTGTTTTGAACGGGAAATTCGGGAAATTCGAGAAACCAGACCGCTGGACATGGCGAGGCAGTCCATGGCTCTTGAAGATATTTACCTGTTAAGAGCCCCTATAGCCCTTAGAAAGTACGCCATCAAGTCAAGAATGATAAGGGATCCGAGCTCGATCCTCGCCTTCACGTCTGCCAAGTGAACATCAATCTCGAGTCCAAGCCCTTGTCGGCTTAGAGATCCGCCGATCGATCAACTATTGTCAATATCATGCCTGGCCGGGTCTGGGTGATAAGAGGGAAAAAGAAAGTCCCGAGACAAGTGCTGACAGGTCCCTGCGTTAGAAATCAACGTCATGCTTCTCCCGCAACTCCCAGTCTAGACCACAAACAGCCATCCAAAAAAGCAAAAAAAAAAAAAAAAAAAAAACGGGGGAGACATCATACATTGGGCCTCCCTCTTCACATGTGTTCCCTTACGTAACGACTCGATCTACCATGCGGTTTCTTGGACCACGGATTCACTAGTTCCGATCAGAGTTCATATTTAATAGTATACTACACTATTGAGCATCGGGTGCGCGACATCGGCCAGGAGGTATAGATACCTACCTGATAGGATAGTAGGTAGATTTGCAGCATACCCACCCTTCACGACTCTCTACCTACCTACCTACCTCTAGTGACTTGGCCCGCTAAATCCCTTCCGGCTGTTAGATACCTATGCTAGCTATACCTATCTACCTAACCTAGCCTATCATATGCTTGAAATGTATACATCGTGACTACTATGTATATGCTCGTAAAGAAGCAGGATCCGTTGTGCATACGATAGCGGCAGATCTCATCGAGCTTCCCCTGGGAAGACGCTGCAAGCAGTCAGAACCTAAAACTTGAGCCCCGGGGGTTTTCCAAAAAAAGCTGGGGTTTTTTCTCTTTCATATAAATTTTAGAGACATGGGGTACAGAAAAGAAAAGAAAAGAAAAGAAAAGACGCCACGAAATGTTGATGCCATCGACCAGAGAAAAACACAAATACGTCTCTCCAACCCCCGAAGCCGTTGCGAATAAGACCGACCCCCAGCCGAGACAACTTGGCTATATGTAACGGTATGTATTCACAGACTCCGACCCTGTCTGGCTTTTAGATATACGCATACGTAAGACAACCATCGCAGAGGAATGCGGGACGACTCATCGGCAAAATTAGTAAAGGGTTTTGCGTGTCGGTGTTGTATAAGTCGACATAGAAACATGTACGTATGTGTGTAGGTGTGTAGGTGTGTATAAAATCCGGCGTTTTCTTAACGCCGATCCCCCAAGTTTTCTCTATCTCGGTGGCGAAGACAACCAACAATGCTGGCTTTTTTTTAAAAAAAAAAAAACCAAAAAAAAACCCGTGCCGTGTCTCAAATCCGATCGCGCATCAGTCCAATTACCCTTCATATATATTGAATTGGGTATCGTAACGGGATGCAACTAGACGCGATCTTGTAACCGTGGGCAGATGTTAGATGGGGGGAAAGATGAAAAAAAGGGGGGGATCCCTGTGCTACCTGAGGTTGGTTGCGAGGGAGTATGTAAAGAGACACATAACTAGAAGATATTCCCCATAAAATAGTTCTACAAGGATATAAAATAGGTATCTTCCTACCTAAGGTACCCAATCAGAACATCATAGATATTAGCATTCATTCATTCATTCTCATACGACACTCCCTAGGTACGTTTTCGACCAATATAATCTTTTTTTTTTTACTTGTATTATTAAGCGGGTTTACTATCTCCCTCTCCCTCTCCCTCTCCCTCTCTTCCTCCCCCTTTTCCTCCCTTGGAATCTCCGGTTGGTATGGTACCATCGAGCCTGCGCTATACATACTACCACGTAGCCCGCCCCCAACTTTTCTATACCTACCTACCTACCTATCATATCATAACCCGGTAGGTATGTACATCCACTAACTGCCTCAGGAGGTAGGTAGGTAGGAAGCCATATAACGCGCTCATTAAGTGTTGAAAAGGGTTTCCTTTCCCTTTCCCTTCCCCTAGTACGCGAACTCTTGGCCAACCAGCTCCTCGCTCATCCGCCACAGCAGCTCGGCTTCGACAGGGCTCGTCGCCCACGCCCTGATGCCGTCCTTCCACGGGTCTGCTAGGCGGCACCCTAGCAGGTGTGCGCCGTTGTGGGCTGTATGCGCGTGTGCGTAAGTAAGTAAGTGCATATGCCGGTAAGTTCTTGGCAACAGGGATTTGTCATATACATAGGTACTGTAGATAGTTTGGTACTCGAGGTAGTTACCTATATATATGGGTATACAGGCAGGTAGGTAGGTGTGCGTGTATGCGTGTATGTATATGCGTGTGTATACAGGGGCCGACAACCACTTACCTGTGATCTCCGGGTCGAACGCAGCATACACGTACGTCGCCGTGCCCTCATCTACCGTCTGGAAATCGCGGTCCTGCTTCCAGCCCCCGGCGAGGCCCAGGATCCGGGACGTCTTGGCTATAGAATATCCCCTCGGCGTTAGATTTAAGCTGCCTATCAGACACTACTACCTAACGTAACCTAGAGAGAGAACAAAAGAGAGAGAGGAGAGAGATGCGTACCTAGATCCGCAAAAGACCGTTTCCAGTCGAGGAACGCGGCGAGGTTGGTCTGGACGGTCCCTGGGTTCACGCTAAACGCGTGCAGGTTATACCGACCGAGCTTCTCGGCCAGCGAGATGGCCATTAGCATGTTGGCCGTTTTAGACTGGCCGTAGGCTATCCATGTGTGGTAGACAGATTCATCCTGCATTGTGACATAACTATGTTTAGCTCTCAACCATGGATATAATAGAATATGATCTCGATTTAATAATAGTTGGGGGGTAAAAGGGGGTCAGAAGGGGAAGGGGGGGGGACTTACGCGGAAATTTGGGTCCTCGAAACGGATCGGGCTGAGGTTATGACCGTCACTGCCAACGTTAACGACCCGAGGGGCCCCGGACGCCAGCAGCTTAGGCATGACCAGGTTTGTAAACAGGAACGGGCCTAGATGATTAACCGCGAACTGCTTCTCGAAGCCGTCCTCGGTGATATCCCGGGGAATAGCGCAGACGCCGGCGTTGTTGACCAGGACATCGATGTGAGGCACGTCGGACCACTCCATGATGGTGGCCGCCGCGTAGCGCACCGCAGCCTGGGATTCCAGGTCCAGCTTGACCATGCGTACCTTTACGTCGGGTGATGCCGCGGAGACCTGGTTGGCCGTTTCTTGCATCTTGCTAGGGCTGCGGCCGGCGAGGATTAGCGTGGCGGGACGCATCGGCGCGATGAAGTCGATGAAGGCGGCCCCTAGCCCCATGGGAGAAACGCCCGTAATCAGGATGACTTTACCCTTGATGAGATCGGCATATTGTCTAACTAGTTCGGTGGCCGTCTTCCGGGCTACGCGGCGCCCGTTGTACTCCTTTTCGATTATTGGTCCAGGCATTTTCACGTCCGAATGGTTCGTATAAGAGACTATTTACAAGGCTGAAGATGTTGAAGTATAGAATGGCAGAGAGCGAAGAAGTCAGGACGCTTTATAATGCTCTCGAGGGACAAAGTTAATTTATCATCATGCTATTAGGCAAGTTCTCGGATGCCACGGCACTTCTTTAAGTGACGCTCTCGACGTTCGTTGTCCACCACCATATTCTACCGGCCCATTAGAAAACCTCAGTTCAAGACTTGGCTACAGATCGAGATAAGTGCGTTACGCCATCGAGATAAAAATTTTGAAGTCATCAATACGACTCGGGAAGAAACTAAGGCCGAAAGCTCTTACATCATTTCTAATATAGCCCGGTAACCCACCCTCCCTATTGTGTGGTGATTGCAACATGTCCAAACAACAAGGACAGAAACAAGGTATCATTTCCCACTTTTACCCTTCCCTACACAGCCTGTCCAACGAGTCGGAGGCCTGGCATCAAAAGTATGCCCAGACCAAAGCCGACGGGGTAATTAAAACTAGAGTACATGCGAAGCCCATCTCATACCTCGTAGCGAACACCCAACCTACCTATCCTTTGCCATCGATCCACAACTCCTGGATGAGCATCACATGAGCTCCAAGTTCTCGTTCAATCGTTCATCCATTGAAATGCCGGTGTTGAAAAAAAATAAAAATGAAACCGTCATGAATCGAAAACTCGCCGTTCCCTTGGCACCAACCCCCTTTCCCTCCGCCCCCAAATCCGAAACCAGAAATAACCGCATAACGCCAGGCGTCACGTTCGCACACTGCTAGTGATGCTGCTCATCGTATCGCTAATCTTGCTTCTAATCCCACCCATCCACTCGGGGACCCATTCCGGCACCTTGAGACTCAGACGGACGCGACCCTCGACGACCATGTTGATCGCGTTCAGGATGGCGAAGGTCGTGCTGCCCAAGGCTCGGAATAGAGCCAGCGCCGCGACGGCCCACAGGATGAACGACAGGTAGAAGTTACCACCGACGTCCTTGTATCCGTAGGCCTCGCTGACGGCCATGGCGAGGATGGAATTAGCCATCATCCAGCTAACAACCATGTACGTTCTCACGCTCCGGTAGTAGTCCTCTTGCATCTGAGACTCCGAGATCGGTGGTACCGGCACTTCCACGCGATCCCTGAGGTTGCGGAGTGCCTCGTCATAGCCCGAGTCGATATCTAACTGTTCGCTCGGCATCTCCAACTCGACAAAGCTCCCCTTCCCTACGGCCCCGCCCAGATCCGTTTTCATGACGTTATCTCCCTTGGTACCCCATGTAACATCGTGTGTGTTGCAGAAAGCGTACACTTGCAACATGCATATATAGCTGGGCAATAGTGCGAAATACTGGGCCGAACTAGTGAGCATATGCCATGGGTCCAAGTAGAGAAAGCTCATGAGGAAGTACAATCCAACTGTCGATGCCGTTGAAACGATGAGGTTCGTAAACGTGTTGTTGCCCAGCGATATCTGGTTTCCCTTGACCGTGTGGATAACAATAAAGATAGTCGCGAACGTGGTATAAGCCATGATGATACCGTATATTACCATACTCGCTAGATAGATCTTCTTCGCACCCTGCGGACGATTACCCAGCGAAATGATGAATTGCATGCTGATTAGGAGCACACATGTGTACCGTAGCACCGTGAATATGTATAGGGCAATGTTGTGCCCAAAGGGGTCCATGGCGGGATCCGTAAGCCCACCACCGATGAAGTAAAAAGCCAGGTAAAAGTTCGCAAGGGAGAAGAAAGTGAAAAGAAGTTGTATGAATTGATAAACAAACTCGATATGAAGGAGCACTTTACGCGTGACTGTGTGGTCCGTCGTCCAAATTTGCTTGAAGTGTACCAGCGAGTACACAGCGGCGAAAAATGCACCATTAAGCCAACGACGTCTCTGAGAAATAAACTCGGGGACGGAATCTGGCAAAAAAGTTAGCTATATCTCGGTTTAAGTTTGGAGAGATGAAGTTAGCCACTTACCAGGCACATCTGTCTCACCTGTGCAGCCTTTGACGTATTTCAACACCCATCTCTCGCTTCGCTTCGCAACCAACTCCCAACACAAAATACGGTCCTCAGCCAAATACATGTTCGCCGTGAATACGTCAGCGTGCTGACCGTGTAACGTCTCTCCCTTGAAGTATTGGCTGAGCGGACCATGGCCCGTCTCATCGTTTTGTAACGCATGGTACCGGTATGCGCTTAGTGCGCCGGGTAATACGGTAATATAGCCAAACACAGACTCGAGCGGCTTGTCCAAGATATTGGACATCTTGTACTCAAAGTTCTGAGAAGCGACCAGAGGATTCAGGAGATTGCTCCCAAGCCTTCCCTTCATAGCTTTGATTTCACCACAAGCGCCCGCAACGTTGGAGTCGGTGTCGAACGCTTTCCAGAGATGGTACAGAGAGTTCGGGCCAGGCTTTGTCCCAACATCGAGCAAGATGCAGATGTTAGGGTTCAGGGCTTTCCCGAAAGCGTTGAAGAACCAACGGTGCGAGTTCAGCTTTCTCTGGTTTCTTTCCTTGAGACAGAAAATCATTTGGCAAGGCACGATACCCTTTTCAGCACCTTTAAACTTGAGGTCTGCGTCTAACGAGACTTGTGTTGTATATTCGTACACGTGAGCTTGCACGGCCTTGTGGTTGACAAAGTTCTTGGCGATACCGTGTTGGTAGACGCCCATCGCCGCCAGCGCATCCAACGTTCTCGGGTGGACTTTTTCTCGTCCATCCGATACGATGCAGACAACGATTTTATGCCATCCATTCTCACCCCAAGTACGTGATTTGTTGCGCCCGCAAAAGTGGCTTACATTCTTCATGATGGCGTGCATGGTGCGGGTAAAGTCGAACTCGTTCTCATTATACATAGTGACGCAAATGAAAAGCTCCGTTTCTCGAGTTGTCCGGCCGATATTTTGCCTCAACTTGTAACCCTTCTCCACGAAGTCGTCTGGATCGCAAGTCACAGCCGTATATCTCATGTGCGTAAACTCGACTTCATCACGACGAGGCAAAAAGCTGTACAAGATGGTGGGAATCTTACACTCAAGAATCAATTCACCGTTAATCAGCTGCACCTCTTTTTTGGAGGTAAGAGGGGCGCGGACACCACGGCGCTCTTGTCGGCCTTCTGGCGCAGAACCGTAGTGCTCGACTTTCTCATCTAGGGGCGCTTGCGAGTCTTCATCACTAAGGGTGACCTGCGATTGCCCAGCATACGAGTCGTGGTACGGATACGCGCCACTTATGTCTGACTCTTCGGGTCCGAATACGTCGTCATTGGCACCATCAAGAGGGATATTCACTGTGGCATCCTCGGGGGTATAGTAAGAGCCTCGCGCTGATGAGCCGTACATAGGAGCACGAGGTAGTGGCCTTCGAGGGCTTCCTCCATATCTTGAAGATGGAGTGCCCGGCCTAGGACTACCGTTAATGTCGGCTGGTTCGTATTGCATACTTGAAGGTGGTGGTCCCGTATAATCACTAAACCCAGACATCCTAGAGGAAGGGGTCCAAGGCCGAGGAGGACTAGTATCTCGCGACCGATACTGTTCGTATATGGAGTCCGCTGGCGCAAGATGAGGTGGGTCCAGAATCGACGATCTACGAGAAGGTGATGATCTAATCGACGATTGGTACGTTCGGCGAGGAGTTGGTCGAAAACTGTCAAGTTTCTCTGGTGAGCCATTGCAATCGGGATTGATGGGGCTACTTGGAGGGGTGTTCTCTCTGTTGGGTGACTTCTTATTGAGAAGAGAACTTCTTCTCGGGGATGGTCCTTCCGGAATCGTTGGTAGATCTTGTTTGAACGCGCCGAGGGGTTCATGAGATGGTTTTTTCTTTTTCTGTAACTTTACAGTGCTGGCGCGCTTCTGGGCTGGTTTGCGCTTGAGCGACGCGTCACCTGCTGGTGAAGGCGACTAATCTCCACCAAGAGGGGCAGTCGGCGCAAGGGCTTCCTCTTGCTTCCTGAGTTCATCCAGGTGCTCCGGGGTTGATATTCTGACCCTTTTCTTTACTTTCTCCTTCTTAGGAGCTAATGGGAGAGGGACAAGTTCTGGGGACATTGGTGGATCTGAGACGGTTGGAGGGACATACGGTCGAGGCTCTGATATTGGTTCTTCCACAGACGTCAGTAATCTGACTGCTGCTGGGTTTCCTTCTGACCCGTGCGTAATATGATCATGGTCGTCGTCGTAGTTGGGGAGAGCATAAGACGGTCGAGGGGGAGTGCCGTCCATGGCGAAATATTATCGGCCAGAATGCCGAGTGGGTTGCTTGTGAGACAACTTGTTGGTAATGCCGTTAATTGGAATGCCAGTTGTAACACTTAGTATCTCCTCCTTATAAAATTAATTGATTTTGCACAGGTAGCAAATTCGTTGGATCAGATTGTCGTAGAGGCGGGGTATCACAAGTTGAAACCAGGAATGTCAACAAAGCGCATGCTATGCTATGGTAGAAATCTCAAATCTCGAAAAGTCGCAAATTGAGCTTAAGGGTATCACGAGGTGTAAGTTTAAGTTGATCCACGGTGGGGGAGCTATGTAGGTAGCTCGTAAAGCGTTGGAAGGGTAGCCTTAACAAGACCTTTGTTTTTTGGGGATGCTCCAGCATTTGTGCGTTGCCCAGCAACGAATCAGCCTGCGCCCCAATTCCCCACGTCAAACGGTAACCCAAATCTTTGATAGCGCAGCGCTTATTCCTTAACCCACCGCGTACCTTGCATGTTTATTTTAACCGACCTTTCCGTATTCTCTTCAAATGCGGATTTCGGCGAATTAATTCCTCGCACAAGGGCGCACAACCAGGTACCTAACTTACATCGGCGGACGTAATAATCCATCCAGGGGCCAAAGCGGGCGGACTTACGAATACCAACCATCGTTAGGTTAGTTAGATCCTATCATGATTCCTATAAAAAATGGCCATGAATAAAATCAAACATGATAGCCTATAACGTTCCGGTGAAGTAAATAGGTATCTGTAGTATAATTGTAAATTGTTTTCCTCACATGCCCCATATCTGTCTCCAGCTGTTTTCGTCGCGTCCGAGAGGTGCCTTGGAGATACCGAATCTGGCAGGTTGTCCTGAATTAGCTTCAGGCAGACATATCCACTCCCTGATGCAGTCTGGTATTTCCTCTCTGACATGACTAATGCATATTAGAGCCTGGTTGTTGTTGAGACCCCGGACTTTGACAGTATCTGACTTCGATGCTTCGCTCGGGACTACAATTTCCGAGCCATCTTCGAGTTTCGAATACGTCTTTTCCTCGCCGTGCTCGAGGAAGAGTAGGCAGCGATTCCGGACGCCGTCGTCCATACCGCTACACGCCTCATCTAAGACGACGATGTCTGGGTTCTTAATAATGGCTCGTAGGAAGAGCGCGACTCGCTGTGCCGAGAAGGATAATTCTCCAAACATGTAGCGGTCGGCCCACTGCAAATTGGTAGCCTTCTGCGCATCATTCGAGGTCGACTCCGGATGCCTTACAAAAGCAGGGTTCAACTCAGCTTCAAACCATCGTAAGCAAGCTTCGACCTTTTCGTTGGATTGGCTGTCGAGTTTAGCTTTCGAGCGAAACGTGTCCGCCCACGCATTTTCTATTACCTGTCTAACCGTGAGGTTTCGGGGTATGTGTTGGTGAATTTCAGGGCTCGAATGTCCAATTCGGGATTGAATATCCCAGAAAGTTAAGGGCAATTCGCCAGATCCGGGCTCTGGTAATCTGCTTCTACCAAAGAGCTTTATAGGAAGTGAATAAGTCTGAGGATGGTCAGAACATATAAGGGAAACAATTGTTGTTTTGCCTGAACCGTTGGGCCCAAATACACCCCACCGCTCTCCCCTTCGGACAGTCCATAGAAGCCCTTCTCGCTCTTCACCGTCTATTTGTTGCTTCCAGTTTCCAAGGGCGACTTTACCGCGGTATTGGACCTTACAGCCATTCATCTCCACAACGGGCTCTCCAATATTCCTTGGTACGTCCGTATCTCCAGCAATTGTTGACTTCTCACCTTTCGAAGCATCTTCGCCCATCAAGGGTTCTCCTTGTATCCCCTTGGCAGTTAGTATTCTACCCGTTTGCACGAGACTATGTACCGGCAGATTTTCGTCTTCTTTCGAGGATCCGTTCCATACGCGTCGAACATAACCCCTCAATTCTTCTAACACCGTTTCCTTCTCACCTATCGCTCCTACCTGGCAATCGCCCCTCAAGTAGACCAGGTGGGTGATCCAATCGGGAATGGGATCTTGCGGTCTAGCACTTAATACTAACCTCGGGCTAGCCTTGCTTGCCAACTGGTGCAAAAGCGGACTTAGCCCGGCCACTGTAGGCGGGTCCAGACCCATAAACGGCTCGTCGAGTAACAAGACTTCTGGTGCGGTGAGAAGAGCCCTGGCGATTCGAGCTCTCCGTCCTTGGCCATTGCTCAGAAATGCGACGGGTAGATCTAGCAGCTGAGATAGCTTCAGATCTCTTACTACCCGATCTAGTAAAGCAGGGTCTAGCTCATCTTCCGACGATGCTTTCAACGGGTTAAGCTCGGTGTTACCCAGCAAGAAATCTCGAAGTGAGAAATCGGTAATCTCACGCTTAGATTCGTATCGGGCGGATAAATATGCTGAGGTGGTGACGCTGGAGTTGAAGCCATCGTTATTGAATCCTACATATCGAATAGCTTTGTGCGGTACTCTCAACCTGTGAGGTACTGCGTCCGTAGATAAATAAGGATAGCTCCGTGCAGTTGGGGGAAAGCAGAGGTGGCTTCCTTTAAGGAGTTCTAGAAAAGTTGTTTTCCCACTGAGGGACGGACCAACTACATACCAATGCGTCGGTGGCTCCGTAGCAGATGGGAGTGTGAAATTCAAGTTTCTAAATAGGGCGGGATTCGGGTTTATGGAGCTCGCCCCTGGATGATGGCGATAAAAAGTGCCATTGGTAATATTAATTACCGGTGGACGACTTGAAGGGAAGCGCATTATATGGATTATCGCTTTTGAAAGGGGAAATGAGTCAACTTCGTCACTCATATAAAAAATGTCTACCGTAAAAAGGCTTCGAATGCAGTTTTCGAATTTGAATACATCCGATATTTCGGAGTTAACGAGGTATGAGGTTAGGTACAATAGAGGTACTATGTACTAGGTACCTGTTAACCTTACGTAACTTTTTTAAGCTTGGCGCAAGGACCGCTCTTAGTTTTAGCTGGCCACTTGCTTGGCTTTCACCTCCGGGCTTGGCAAGGCTCCAAACACGAAAGCTTCTGGCAGCCTGCTTGCCTTTAAGCTTTAAGCTTCCTTTACATATCGAAACCCACTATCAACGAACGCAGCATCATCATCACCACCACTATCTGTCGAGCTGCTACTAAACCACCGCTTTTCACCCGATATCTCATCCCAACAAGTTTAACGAAATTCCAGAATTACGATAGCACAAAAAAAAAAAAAAAAAAACCCAAAACATATTAATACTCTCCCCCACCGCCAAAATGGTAAGCCCCAAACCTCACTACCTACCTCCTCCCGTCCACATCCACAACTCGCCAAGCTACTAACAACCTCTTCCCTCGTCACAGTCCATGCGCATAGTCCCCCCCGCCTCCTACACCAGCACCTTCAAAGCGACGAACACATCGGCGCCCTCGGCGCCGGGCATCCACGACACACTCCGGCACGGCGTCGGGCCGTCCCCTGCTGGTGGTGATTCCTCGTCCCCCGCGCCCCCCGTCTCGCGCCACCCGCTCGAGGCGCGCCTCAAGGCGTGGGAGTCGACGCAAGAGGCCCTGCGCATGGAGACCCTGCGGCGCACCTTCGGCATGGCCGAGCCCATCCGCCGCGGCATGGAGCTCAAGATCGTCCGCGACGGCCAGTGGCGGCCCCAGGCCCTGGGCGGCGGGCCCGGCGCCCGCAGCGTTCACGAGGATATCCTCCGCGGCCGGGACGCCACTCTCGACTGGGAGGACGTCTTTACCGGCGAGGAGCAGCGCGCCGCCGTCTCCGTTCACGACGAGATGGAGCGGAAGCTGAAGATCCAGGATATGTAGTAAATACAGAGGCGTGGTGTGGTGGTGGTGGTGGTTCGATATAGCTAGCACCTTGGCACTTACTAGCATATATCAGTGTTTGGTGACGGGTGACGATCGGTACCAAAAATACACTTCAACACCAGGTTGGTAGCAACTTGGGTTGACAGGCATGAATCAGAGCGCACCCTATGCTGCATACGGTACTAGCATAAATCATGAATTAGGTTGTCTATGGGCCTCCGTCTCTAGAAAAAAAAAACTTCACAAGAGTACTTCACAATTGTCATGACCGACGTAATAATATAACAGCTATATGATTACAATAGATCCATATTAACGTATAAGACAGTGGTATGTCAACCCACATTAATCGTTTATATGGTCGGTTAGACCGGTAAAGTGCAAGTACTATAAACACAACAAACTGCGCCGGATATAGGCCTGCTTTTCTAGTGCTCTATAAAATGAACAGAGCACATAAAGAGAGCATGTTAAGGTCTTCTCAACCCTGGTTCTGTCCCCCCCCCCTCTCTCGAGCCATCAATATGTTGTGTACTCCAGGCTAAATTCCGAGGGAAATCTAATATCCCCATGACATAGGAAACGCATCATGCAGATGGATCACGCTTCAATCTCAACCGCTGAAATCAAACCCTATCGCGCCGTTCCGATGCCCAAAAAAAATTCCGCAATCATTTCCGCAGCATATGCCCAATTGCCCGACTCGCCTATGTTACTCCCGAAACAGTTCGGGGCAGTTCTAGAACAGGTTAAGATATCACCGCATCAAGAGGATGCTCGCTAGCTGAAAATCAATTGTCAACTTGGAAAAGGCTTATATCATAAGATGACACAGCATCCGCTCCGGCCGCTGTGACTCCCGGAGTCTTTGACCTTTTTAGCAGCCTCCTCTTCGTCTATCAGGTCTTGCGGCTTGATAGTCATGTGAATAACGTTCCTAGAAGTCCTGAAGTGGTAATCTGCAAAAATTCAGCATCCCGTTGGCCAAATATGTATTGAACAGAACAGTATGGGAAAAAGAAAAGAACATTACACGTACGGCTAAGTTGATTTCTATCCTCGAGCAATTTGCCGAAGTGAATAAGTCTTATAGCGCTAGGCTCTCTAGGCGGTTGATCCCATTCTTTTCTCCAGTCTCTCAGTATAAGCTCTTTAAGAGTATAAACTGTGATGCTGAACGGATCCATCTTCCCATCCTCTGTCTTGCCCGTCACTGTGACATTCCGCTTAGCCAAATACTTCTCGTCGATGCGAAAAGGATGTCGAGCGCCAGATGTTAAAAGTAGCATTATATCGACCACCAAATCACTACTTAGAGATTCTGCACCGGGTTCCACGGGATCTATCGTCAGATCGTGATCGTGGTCGTGATCATGATCATCGCTACTGGTCGGAGTATTGCCGCTAGCTTTCAATGATGCCGACTCGTCGTTCGGAGGATCCTTATCCGGTACGGGTATCGGGGCCGGAACAGACCCAGACTCGTGTTTTCGAGACTCTGAAACATTTACATCGGCATCTGGGTTCGCTGGTTTGGGTTGAGTTTGAGATAAATCTTCCATCTCGACGTCGCCCACGGGTAGATTAATCGCCAACCTCTCTTCCCTAAGTCCTTGGTCTCCACTAGCAGAAGGCGTCGTTGCATCCGCCATGATTTAATTGCCAGCGAATAGAGTGTGATTAAGAGCCGGAGGATGAAATGTTGTCGTGCAGATGCTGGCGGCTGCGCGCAATTAGGGAGTTGAAACAACCGGGAAAAGGATGGACCTTAGCAGCATTCGAGGGTTGCCTTTCGTCGGTGTAAAAGAAGGTGCGACTCGTTTCAAAGGAAGAATTGTCGGGATTGCCAATTTGCCAATTGTCAAATTATCGAAGACCTGGTATGCGGTACAATTGAGTACAACTTGATTATGATTTGTCGCTCTCGCCTATTCCTGTCCCTGCCATGGAAAAATAAACACGCAGATAAAACGAATGCAATGGTTTGGGGAGAGATTGCCGAATTGATACTGCAAGGGGAAACAGTGACAAGTGATTATAGGAGATTGCAAGACGATGGGCGGGAGAAGATGCAACCAGTAACTGCAAAGTAAGAAGGGGGGGGGGGGGACAAGAAGAAGATGGTGATGATGTTACTGCACGGGTCTAACGGACCGGATTGGTAGGTTGACCCTTGTGCAGGACAAGGGGGAAGAAAAAAATTTAAAAAGGACGGATGAGATTAAGTCGGATTTCAATATTAAGGAGAACTAAAGAAGAAAAGAAAAAAAATTTCCAAGGACGAACAAGAAGTTGTGCCGATCTCTTCATAAGAAAGTGACATTGACAAGACAACATTAGCATTGGACGACAACCCAGACAACATAACAGGTAGCGAAGCCTTAGGTCAGGTACTTACCTACTTCGACAGGCCCGATTATTTTGCTTTCCCGAAACCGCGAATAGAAAAAACGGGTCGATCAACCTCTAACAAAATTCTAGCGCTGACTTACACTAGGTAATTAACTGGCCTAACTGGCTGGGGTAATACATTATACAGGTGCAGTGGGTTTTAGGTGGTTTTGAATGCCCCTTATTTTAGGTTGTTATTAAGAGGTATCCGTTAGGTACTTGAGGTAAGTAAGCTTAACATTGAACTCCTAGTGGCTGATGTTGAGCTGAACCCCCTTAAGTTAAGCCTTTTTTAAAGGTTAAGTTAAAATAGACAGGTACATATCCTGTACAAGGTACCTAGTAAAGATTATTAAGATACGTCCGAAGTTGGTCGTATCTTGTTTAAGTAGGTATTAGGTACATCCGAGGTATTAATTATCCGTGCGTATTAAAAGTTGCATAACCGCAATTGAAATTTCAGTTGAAGCGCAGGTTACTATTGAAATGTCCCCAACCTTACTAATTATGAAGACGCAGGCGAAATTAATAAAGAAATAAATGGATAACATAGCCAAGTCTTATTAGGTACCCCAGCTGTCCAGGTGCATCATATACATGTAAGGTACCTATATTATTACCTGTACGTAGGGACGGTAATAATATGGAGATAACCAAACTTCGGGTCCTACTACCAGTCAAGGTTACTACCATTCAAGGAGAGAAAAAGAATCCGCGTGTACAAGGTATGGCTCTCTTTCAGTCTTCAAAAAGTCGAGTTCAAATAAAGGTTAGGTAGTATCTAACTGAGATATATTTGGGTCCAGAAACGCGCATGGAGACTCGCTAAACTCAAATAGCTGGTCAAATGACAACCTCGTGAACGCCATCACCATCCAACATGTTACATCGAGTATTTGAATTTCGCAAATGACCCAAGCACCACACAGCTGGGGAATGGATTGGATCCCGTCTCTCTTTTCTCAGCGCGGTAAACTCCCCCGCCTTGGCAATCCTGGTACCACATAGCGTTCTCTCCCCCACACTCCGCATTTTGCCCTCCATCGCGACAACATGCAGAACACCTTGAAAACACAGCCTCGTTGTTATCGTAGATGATCCATCAAGCCTTTACATAGTATGTATTAGGGCCATAATAATATATACGAGATCCTTCTTTAAGTCTATTCAGACTTGTTAGTTATACCTTAGTTTATGAAGAGATACATAAAGCAATCGTAGGTTATACACTTTTTCAAGAATATGCAAAATTCTAATATAAACGTCACTTATTAAACTCAATATTATATCAGTCGTTCCATGTATATATAAATGCGTTATTACCTACTAGTAACTTCTTCATTCCACTTATCGTTTATTAATAAAGGTGCCCATCTACCTTTATCACACACCGCTTCCTGACCGCTACCGATATCATATCTCCCCTAACCCAGATGGATATTAAATTTAAGCAATAAAGGGATTGCTTGCATATCCGCGATGTCTTTGGAATACAGATCTCTCAATACAGCCCATCCAGAATGACAAAATAGGCGTTTGCTTCGACCCCTCATCATCACATGTCGCGGCATAGCTACGGGTGTGTATATGAGAGGCTTATTATATAAGGCCATACCCATAAATATGCATGGCCTAAGCTTTTTCGTAGCATTACCGAAACCACCTTAGATAGTCACTTAACTAGCTTCATCTGGAGTGGGCTCAGATACAAGATTAGGTACATAAGGCTTCTCGAACGCGTCGTGCTAAAACGCGGAATCAGACTATTTTTTATTTTTTTTGTCGTTCTTTTGCAGCAGCGAGGGCATAATCCCCGCATGGCCGTCGGCTAGGGCCTGCCGAGACCGGCTCCGTCATCCACTTTGTTTCTCCCGCCCGACCGGCTATCCGAAAGTTTCTCCGTAGACCTCGGCCTTTGCAAACTTTCTCTTTATGAGGAATGCTAACTAATACGGAACGTGCGGGAATTTTTTTTGAAAAATATTCCAAATTTTGAAGTATATTCTAATTTGCAAGCTTTCTTACGTGTTTTATTATAAGCTTTACGTAACTTAACATAGTCAACTAGGTTAGTCATTGGCGTTACAAACTCAATCGCAAAGCTTTAACCACAGTCACATATTTGAATTAGGCAGTATGAGTCACCTCAAAGGTAGCTCATACGATTATAGCAAGATAAGACGAGCACATTCTATTACGCTGGTGGTTTAAGATGTTTTTCTTCTAGGTATACCTAATATAGCTGGACGGGCAATAGCCAAGCAACAGATCTAAGTGGCCAACTTCCTACCTCCCTACCTAAGGTACATTCTTATATTCGATATTTCGATTATTTATAGCATTCCGTTATATATACGTTCGTAGTGTATACCTGGTTTAGCTCGTATGTAGTCTATATGCCAACGTTTAGTCCTCCATGTTCTATTATAAGTAATAATGTGATGTTTTTATCAGTACCTAGGTAGAGTACACTTGGCAAAGATTGCCTCATTGTAACTTGAGATATCATCTGTATGCATGAGCTGAGATTATATAGGATTGGGGTAAGTAAATTCAAGGATTAATAGCACATTCTAGCATTGAAGAAGAACTAATATCCAGGAGGTGCAGGATAGATAAGACTCCTCGTTTGATAGATGGCTCACATTAAATCTAACAGAGTATTTATATGCACCTCCTAAAGAGATTGCCTGAAAGAAACATGTGATCTAGAGTAGAGCGTACACGCCGGGCAAATTGAGATACTCGCTGTAGGATGTAAAATAATCTTCATCTTGAGAGCATCTAATATATCAAAGGTGAGGATGCATTGAAGGAAGCAGGTCCTCCTTTGTGCTGGGCTCATAATCCCAACCAGCACCTAGCAACGTATATTGACAAGTAATTTTTTAACTGTGTTTCAAGTATTATACCATATTACCTACCGTGAAGGCAAAAAAAAATTACGAAGAAGGAAGTTGCCATATGTTGGTAGCTGCGTTTCCATGCACTTGTTGCCAATACTTCAGGGCTCATTAATCCCAGGTAAGTATAAATTGTAATCCTCTCATGCATTTAGGTATCTGCTCATTAGGATAGTGCGGATAGCTATTAGGCAACGGCGAGTTTTAAAATTTTAATTACTTAGGTACCTACCTTCCTCTGTGGTTGCCTCAGCAGACGACCTTGCTGCGTCTACCAGTTGTGACTGCCTAGGTGCTCACAGTTTCCAGAGAGCACAACGGCAGCGCCTTCCCAACATCCCAATAATAAAGGAAACCACAGCAGCCTATTCTCGATACGGAAGGCAGACTTTGATACTTGGACGACACGTCATACGTTTTTTGAAACTTTACAATCTTCACGTTTCAATCCCACCTTTCGTCTTTGCCTACTTTTTATCCCATATCCATTTGCCATCATCTCACCTTATTCCCAGGTGGTTTTCTTTTCTTTTCTTTTCTTTTCTTTTTTTGTTACTGTGAATAAATCAAGTTCCCTTCTTTTATTCATACCACTGTATAAAAAGAGGCATCATCATGGCAGCTTGGGCATGCGTACTCTTTGTCGGCCTTCTGGCGTTCTGCCATGGAGTTTCCCAATGTACAGCTGCCGCAGGCAACCAAGAGCTTGCTCTGGAATCGTCTCACCAGATCATGTCTATTCCTGTTACTACGGTTGGTACCGCTGTAGAGACCAACATTGTCGTATCCGAGCTCTTTCATAATCTGTCCGCATTCGCAACGATCCACAAGCGATCCTCTGATCAAATTCAAACTACACAGAATGTCGACCTCTCCATCGTGACCCAGTCTGGATCATCTTCCACCTACCCGACTCTCAGTGTCGAAGACGTTAGTGGACCTGACCCTTCTTTCAGCACTTCATTCACCTACCGTCCTATTGCAACTCAGGTAGCTGAAGGAGTTCTCCAGGGTTATGGAGATACCTTTGGCCAAAAAAGTGGACCCCAAAAGGAGTGCCCTTTGGATGGACCGAGCTCCGAATGTTTGCAGTTGCGGTCACAGGAAGGGGGGTTATCTCGGCGAGATGACGATAACGACGGTTATGGCTTCGGATACGGCTCTAGTACGACCCCTGTTGAAAACGGCGGGTATGGCAACCCTCCTCAGCCTACGATCTTGCCTCCAGGAGCATATGGAAACCAGCAGACCCCTGAAATTAACAAATTAACTGTTGTGGAGGTACCGGACCCCGATCCTCAAACTGCAACCGTGTCTCTCGAATACCGTACCTCGTCTGTCGTCCAAAGCTCGTCCACTACTCCTGGTCCTGTTATTGTCGTTATCGTAACTGGCACAGGTGAATCGGTTTCACAGACGCCAGAACATAATGTCACACAAACTGTCACGACGTCTGACCCGATGATGGACCCTTCTCCGGAAGTAACGCTCCTGGTTCCGTCAACTAGCACCCGAGATTCCATCATTCCATCAGGATCAAAGAGTGTCACTATCAGCACCGAAAGCTATGTATACACGACCGTAACTCAGTCATCATCAACTTCATTGTCGCATGCCGGCTCTAGCACCAACACAATATACACGGTAACGGGACGTCCTACCCCAAGACCAGTTGATACCAATGGCGCTATTTCCAGTCCAAAGCCGCATCGATACTACCTAGTCATTGCAGCTATTGTTGTCATATGTCCGTATGTAGTATCTCTGTTTGGCGGGATCTCTTCGCGATTAGGACTAAGCAAAGACAACACTCGCCACTGTGCCTCTGAAGAAACTAAAGGAGATGCCTCTGAGGATGACAGCAACGGAAACAAAACTACGGCCCGCGAGGAATCTAATACTCCGGGTAAATGTTGCGACGTGGAGCCATCTCAGTCCGGATGCTGTCCCCGTTGTCTCTGTTAACTCAGCAATCTTTAGGCTGGGTTTGAGTAAAACTTCTCGACGCGAAGATTGTTCTTACTTCTCTGGGCGGAAAAGACATTGGCATGAGGTAATTATCGAGGCTCAATTGAGGAAGGTATATTAGGAGACGGAGATTGATAAGGAAAGACATAAAAAATGAGTCAGGATTTCTTGGGAGCTGAACCACAGATTGCTGGGCATATTTGCCTACTGCATATTAATGTTTGTCGCTGCTACTTCTGCTTGTTATGGCTCTAATGCTCTAGTTAGATTACGAAGAACCCTCGGGGTTAAGTATGTACTTGTACGCACTCTAATTGAATTCGGTGTCGATCTGATATGAAGGCATTCCTAAACAGCTATTGTAGCTATCATGAAGGTTAGGCACATGAAGCAAATGAAGCAAATGAAGCAAATGAAGCAAATGAAGCAAATGAAGCAAATGAAGCAAATGAAGCAAATGAAGCAAATGAAGCAAATGAAGCGAATGAAGCAAATGAAGCACATGAATCGCAGAAGGACTATAAGCAGTAGCATCCGAAAGGTTTCTAAAATGAATTATGTCGTGAATGATGTACAAGCTCCTCCCAAAAATCAATAATACCCTATGCTTGCTTGCTTGCTTTCTCTAGTCTTCACAATGGCAGTATTTACATATACTTGACAATTTGCACATTCCTCTCCCTATTGTAGGGTAGGTTCTAACGTTTTTTTTCCCCCTCGTCTACGGTTCTTCACAACCGAGCACTTTACATATCTCTGTTGTTTCTGCTGCTTTAGGTAGATATTCTTATACTCACCCTCGCTCCTACTGTCCATAGTTCCTATTCTCGGAATCCAATATGGATAAGATGAGATAGGTTGGAAGGTAGGTAAGGCCGTGGAGATAAGTACCTAGGTAGGATTACCTACCTACAAAATCAGCAAGTCACCATTACTCCCGACGCCCTGCGCGGGCTGGAAGACCTGCTGCGGGGCGTACTGGTTGACAACGTAGGAGGCCTCGTTACCGCCGCCGCCGAAGGACGAGTCGCCGGCCTCGTGGATGCCCATGGCGGCCATCTGCTGGCTGCCGATGCCGGCGAAGTACGCGTCCGCGTCGCTGACCGCGTTGGCCATGTTGTCGGCGTTGCCGCTGTTGCTGCTGCTAGCGTCCGTGGCGTGGGCGCGCGCTACCCCGTCGTTGCTGTCCGGTCGCAGGACCGCCGGCTGTCCGCCCATGCCGAACATGCTCAGGCTCTTCTGGGCCTCGAAAGTGGGCAGGTTGGCGGAGGAGGGGAGGGCGTGTTTTTGGAGAGCAGGGGAGTCGGGTAGACGGCGGGGTCGCGCGCTGCGGAAGACGGTTTGGACGGGCTTGAGGTAGATCGTCGCTAGGGTGCCGACGTTGAGGCACATCTCCTCGAGGGTCTGGGGATCGAGCTTCTCGGACTCGGCCGTGATGGGAGGCTTTTCACCCATGACCATCTGTTTAGCGACGTTCATGTCGGTACTGAGAAGGCGCCAGTACATGTAAGCGCGGTCTCGGAGATCCGGGTTATCGGTCTCTTCCGTAGCCCACTTTAGGACTTTCGGCACGAGGTCCTGACCCTTGGTGGGTCGTTGAATGAAGAGCTTCACTGTGGCCGTGAGTAGCGCTAGTTGGACTTCCACGGGTTCGTCCGAGAACGAATACAGGAAATCTTCAAGTAAGACCTCGCTATTCTCGATGCGGTCTGCGTATTGTCCAATAACCCAGACCATAGCAGCTTTTGCCTCAGGCTCATCGAGAGAATCAAGGTGTTCGCAAAGAGTGCCGATAATAGACTCATACTGGTTGGGGTATTTCCGGAAAATATTGCGAATAACCACGGTGGCTTCTTGGACGATATACGGGACCTTCGTTGCGACGAGTTCGAGTAAGAGGTTTATGCATCGCCTGGCAGCCGGTTCAATCTTAATGGCCAGCTTTCCGATGGCTCGCACAGCCTTACGAACGAAATGCACGTCGACTTCCGTAGCGTATTCTCTTAATTCTGTTAGTACTTCGTCGATATTCTTCTCGTTGGCAAGCATAAATATCAGCTCGAGCTTCGTGACTTTAACGTAGATTGGATCGTTGTATTTGCAGAAGAAAACGCGAATATCGTTGCGCAGAACGTCCGGCCTTCTCTGAAGTATGAGCAGCGCATTTCGTAGAGCAAGATATTGCACCTCTGGACCCTTTGCCAATAACGTTACCAGCGGAGGAGATAATTTACGACACAACGCCGAGATCTGTTTCTCTTCTGCGATGTAGTTCATCAAATACAAAATTACGCGGATACAGGTTAGTACTACGGCAGAATTCGAGTGTGATAACCGCGGCGCTATACGCTCAGCCAGCAAGGTCGCTTCCCCTGACTCCTGAGGCACATAAGACATTAAAGCTTCGAGGATGTAAGTCTGACCCCACCTAATTTCATGTTAGCAGAGGTAGATAATTATTAACCGGGCCAAAAAGACGAACTCAGAACAATCTGGTAATATTGCTACCATCTTGGAAGCGTTGCTGTAATCGATAGTAAGCTTGATGGAGTCACTGCGCTCCCAGATGTCCATCAAACCAGCCAATGCGCTCGCTACGACAGTAGGGTTGTCATCTCTCAGGAGCTGATTGAGCCTATCTATCAGGTCGGACTGTTCAACCATGTACTTATCGTGATCGTATAACTTCGCGACACAGAAAGCAGCTGTTTTTCGTACGTAGGGATCGGAGTCCCTGAGCAAGCGCTTAACAAGAGGGACTGTAGCTTCGACGAATTCTTTGACGTGTACATATGACATGGTTCGAAGAGCCAGGGCTCTGACTAGCGGGTTACTATCTTCCATGTCCTATGCGAACGGTTAGTCGAATTGCTGAGCACAATGCCATATTGATCGCGACACTTACATGCTGCAGGAACGGTATCGCCTTCACTGCAATCTCGGGGCGCATTCTCGAATAGTTGACTAAGAACAAGAAACACCTGGGCCCCCCCTCCCCGTTAGTGTCCGGCCCTATCGGTGTGGCCTTGGGAATGAGATACGGACGTACATCTTCTTAATTTCTAGGCTCTGGATTTGCATGCAGCCTATTATGTCGGGGAAGAGGGAGACCATCTCATTGTTGCTCATAGTCATGTTCGCGACAATCTTCTTGAGGGCGATCTTCTTCTGTGTGTAGTTCTTGTCCTTCTTTCCGCCCGAGTTCAGCTCAACTCGAAGCTCGGCGACTTTGCCCTGGATAGTCATGGGTCGTAAGCCAAAGTCCGGGGGCATATATGCTAGAAACATGGCCATTGCACGCGACGGGCAAGGTGGGTAGAATCATAATGTGTCTGGATGGTCCCGAAGGGACGTTGGGATCGCAGGGCGACTCGAAACGTGTGCCTTTCTAAGATAGACGTCAAGTCAAAGACGCATCGGCAGACCGTGATAAATGGGCAGGTAATATCAATCTCCAAATTATGGAATTTGGAGAAGAGTGTGTCACGGGAAGGGAACAAGTCGCAAACGAATTGGGAGGTACAGGTAATAAAATAACGGGTATAATAACAAGATTCGGGATGTCGCGAAGAAGGAAATATCAATGGGCTTACTCGAGCGAACAGCTTCGAGTCCCCTCCGACTTGGGTGCTCGACATGGTTAACGTTGGCGTTTATTCTTTGTCGGAATTGCCTCTTTTGGTCTTTTTCTCAAGGTATCGGCCGGTTGGCTAGTTTGGCTGGGAAGAAGCTCGAGGTCAGTTGATATAACGCGGAGACAGAAACACAGCAGGGAATAAAAGCAAGGAAGTAAACCAGCTTGCGGTTCTTGTGGTTCTTGCGGTTACCCCTCATGCTGGAACGCTAGGCAAGGGACATTGGGATATGGGATAGGAACATTGGTTGACTAAAGAAGTATACCTTTTCTTCAAGGAGCCTATTATGCAACCATCCAATCGCAAGAGCTTGATGGTAGCTTGGAGAAAACAGTCGGTATTGGAGGGGAGAATGAATGTAATGACGCGCCGTATCTTGGCCCGCAGATTGTTGTGCAGAGGATGGTCGAATTAGGTCGAACGTAATGACATTCTACATAAAGAAAAGGGGAAGATAAATTAAGTTGGACTGAACTCATGAATTGACATTATTGGGATTAAGAATCATTGCATTTGGCGTTCGGAGGAAGATGTTCAGGAACCTAGGCCCCTCCAAAAAATGAAAGGCAAGAAAGTTCAGAGGAAAACCCCTGAAGAGTGGAAAGTTAGAAGCTTGGGCTTAGGCTTGCAGGGGGTAGATTTCGGGTGAAGTGGATCCCAAACTTCCAAACTTACACCTTAGGTACCTCCTAGTTAGGTATCTTTAGGTACATGGTACCTAGCATCTTTTCCTTAACCATGCGACCAGGCTGGCGGCCTCGAGTTTTAAATGAGCAGCCCTACCAAAACCAATAACCTACTTCAGTTACTTGTAATTCTATAGCCAAACCAACAGTAAATAATACACAAATTATATCAAAATAATTGTAAAAGTATATATTATTTATGTGATTTTCCTTATTTCTTGTTTACCTTTCTACGAATTTCTATAATCTTTTGAATTCAACATGGTCAGTCTTGTATGTGCTGTTGTTTTTGTGGGTCAACTGCTCATTTAATTTTCGCGCCTGCCAGCCAGCAGCATGCAGCAAGTCAGCAAGTCCAGCCAGTTAGCCCACGCTTTGTCATCCGGTCCCGCTATGACGGCTACTGTGGACCAGTAACCTTGTACTTCTGTGCCTGAATTGCAACTGCAACTAAAGTCAATTAACAGCTTCGCAACTAAACAGCAGTCTTGGATATCACCACATATACCACATACCACTTCATATCTCACAGCAATAATTAAATATACTCAAGAAATAAAAAACAAAAGCAAAAATACACTGTAATAATGTCATCCACCGCCTCTTCTATCCCTAAATGGGTTGCCGATCTACAACATCCTCCACCACCCAAGTCGAAGAATAGTAGCATTCCCGATCCTCCCGGTTACCCATCGCAATCAACCGCATTATCAAAGGTATCGACATACAATAATCAGTTCATATGCAATTGAAACTAACACCCCGCGATAGAAAAAAGCGTCGAAGGAAGCCAAAATACAACCCCGAAAGCAACACACCCCTGAAGAGATGGATACGCTCAAGCTGAAGAAGGCCTGGGAGGTGGCGCTCGCACCCGTGAAGAGCTTGCCTATGACGGCTATCATGATGTACATGTCAGGCAACTCTCTACAGATCTTTAGCATAATGATGGTGTACATGGCCTTCAAGAACCCCATCTTGGGCATCCTAAGCACAAACCAGGCGTTTGAGAGGTTCGAGAGCGAAACCAACAAGAGCAAGATGATACAGGCCAAGCTGGCATATGTCGCGATGCAGCTTGTAGCTCTGGCTGTTGGGATCTGGAAAGTCAACGCTATGGGTTTATTACCGTAAGTCTGGCCTATTAAATAGGTACCCATTATAACTAACTAGGAGAAATGTTCTAACAGCATACAGAACCACGAGATCAGACTGGCTGGCTTGGGAAGCCCAACGAGAACCACTAGAGCTTGCTGTTCCTGCTTTATAGACTCTGGAAGATACCAAATACAATCTCGAATACATTCTACCTTATATTTTCTTCTAGCACTGATCCCTTTTCTCCATTCCACGTTGCTGGTTTCTGTTTACTTCGATCCTGAGGTAGCGGCTGCTTCACTGGTGGGCTTTGCAGGCTTTGACGGCTCAATGTTGGAAGTTTTAGATTCGCCGGTTTTCGTAGGGACGATGATCGAATACATGTTATGGTATGGGTCATCCACCATTGGTTGGCTCTTCCAGCGTTCCATGACATCTCTATCGTGGCCTTGGATTTCTCGCGGGAAGTCCTCTTTCAAACTATTTCTCAACGTATGCTCACGATCCATCCATGGACGGTTCAAAGTCGAAAATATCGTGTCTCCTGAAATTGGGTGCTCATTCAGAGTAGGATGATCAGCGGTCTTAGGGTTGGTTGCAATTCTCTCACGCTTCTCCGAAACGTGTATCTCAACCTATCAACATTATAAGCTACTGATTTCTCGTTAGCGTGTGTGTCGAGTTACCTTTGGTTCCATGACGGGGCAACTGATTTAGGTACTGAATAGCTCGAAATCTTTGCGAGGTCTCACGATAACACGAGGTGTTTAAGTCCGGGAACTTCTAGTCAACACTCTGGTTGGGTTGATCGGAAAATATGTGTACATGGTTGTTCAAGTCAACTGCAACGGTGCAAATCATTTAGTATCCATATCCACGTTAGGACGGGGGCATCCAAAGGTATTAAATATTGTCCTCGTCTTCCAATATAAACTGCATACCTTACCTATAACTCGCAAGCAAAGGTGGCAGGCCCCGCTTCGAGAGTCACGTACAACAGCTTGTCGATCATCCCATGCTATCCCATATGGCATGCTGCATTTCGGGGTCAATTTCAGCGCCTTCAAAACAGAACGCTTTAAACCCCCCACGAAGATTCTACTGGTAAACATGGTGTTCCGACGGATTGGACAGCACCCTGAAACGCCATTGTTTACGTTACGTGCAGAACGTCAAATAGAAATCGTTATGTTGTTCTCGCTGTACAAGATTAGGTAGAAGAACTAAACTGAATGCTCGAACTGTTGGATGCTAGTATCCTGCTTGCTTTACCCCTAACAAGCACTGAAATGAAGACACCTCCATGCTAGCTACCGACCTATCAGAATCTAGGAGCCGCCCGGTCGGTATCTATTGTATAATTAGTTGGCAGGGTTGTAAATGATGTGCACTGCGGGCCAAACGCCGAAATCTCTTCATCTGGGGAACCCCCAATCGTGGCTGCCGCATATGCAGTGCATTATGAGGTGCAGACTCGCACTGGGTCAAGAGAGTAGCGGTCTGTCATTGACAAATAACGCTCACGTGGAGAAGCGGAAGATTCGGCAATGGAAGTTCGACAGGATCTAATTCCGCCTTCTCCGCCACGACGTATGTGATATGCAATGAATCTCTACGATGCCCCTAGGCGGGGTTGCATTCTAGGACTCTATCAACCACCTGACGGGGCTTTGGGGTAGTGTCAGAAGCTTAATCACTCAGCCTCTTTTAGGAATTGTTTATGCATACAGACCGTCTATTTACTTTTTGACCGATTTTCTATTCCAATACAACACCATGATATATATCTTTATCAGCCCATTTTCATGCCTACGTTCTCCGTGACTACCTACTCATACTCGGTAACTAAGGTATGTTGGGTATGATCGGTGGCCTGCGAAGGTATCATTATGAGTTGGCTTCTTGCATCATATCCCCCCCATAAAGCCAGCCTACTTAGAATTCATAAATGAGTCCCTGCTCCTGGCTAAAAGGTTCGTAACACCGCAACTACTTGATGATATCTATTCACCGCTTTAACGAGCTGCAACCACTTAGAAAGTCTGGAACGTTATGCCATTGCCCGCATGGCTGTACTGTCCCGGGCATTTTTCTTGGCGCATAAGTCTATAGGTTGCGAGTGACTCTAAAGCTATGCGGTTCCTGAGGAGGGTTGGATGTTTTTCCCTTTCAGTCCACTCGAGCACTTTATAGTAGCAAGTTGTTTCGCATTAGGTATCCTCAACGGTAGCCTGATCTAGCCGGACGAGACCAGTTCGGTGTGTCAAGCTTGTATGTAGGAACTTCATGTTGCGGACACGGCATCCAAACTCGCAAACTATTGCTTGGGTACCTAAGTTTATATTTCATACCTGTTACATTCTATTGTTAGATATCGATAGTGTACTTGATAATTGATATGAGATGACGACTGCCTTAACATACCGTCTTATAGGTTACTTGAATGTATATCGGTTACAAACTGTAGATGATATACCTAATCCATAGGTGAATGCATACAGCGATAGGGAGTATTTGTAGAGTTGGAGACCCGTTGCTTGCTGTTGGTAAGTTCATGGTTTTTTACCTGGTTACGTTAGTTATAAGATAATAATAAATATGGCTAAGGAAATGTTACATGATTCAATCCTAGGCATTAGGGGAAATCTACGATTCAAGTACAAAGGCGTAACTTCATCTCGCTATAATACTTTTAGACAACATTACTTTAACTGAATTTTTTTTATAAAAAAAAACAAAAGCAAAGAAAAAAAAAGGTAAAAGCGCACTGCTTATGATATGAGCACGTATTTCTTTCACATGTCTGAGTTATGGACAAAGAATAATAAGTTGTATAAATAAAGCAATGACGTAATATCAGAACAAGGGAATTTAAAGTTAAACTGCCCCACTTCCAATGCACATGGCTCCGTATCGATAAGCACAGGTTTAGTTATACGCCTCTGGCTCTCCGTTGATCCTCATTCGAAGCGAAGCCGTTACATATACAAGCTAGGTAAGTAATAGTTTGTTATAGTTCCAGATTTAAAGTTTCCGGTGTTTCCTAACCAAAACTAGCCCTTCGCAGGCGACAACGGTTTCAGTAAATCTCTCATCAATTCTATTACCCCACCTATAGCTGTTGGAAATCAAAACCCCCCATCGTATACCTTGGGGAGTATGCTTCAATCGAGAGTGTTGTGTGGGTTCCGATGGCCGACGCGAGTGATCAGGATGGTACAACGGCCAGCAACGGCCAGACTTCTCAGCCACTTAATAGTAGCCAAGCTTCTCACGACGGCTGGGACGGTAACCACCGAGTCATTGATGACGAAACCCATGATACCGAACGGGAACGCTTAGAACCTACCTATCCCCTATTGCAGAATAATGCTAGTAGCGAAACTTTGCTACAAAACGTCCAAACACAGAAGCGAACTACCGTCGAGGACGATAACGATGAGGAGCCCGTCGCTAGACCCTTTGTCCGAACAAACAGCCCAAACCTATCCTCCAGGGTTGCTACTCCACCCGAAGAAGAACGTGCTCCGACCCGGTCGGCCTACAAGATGCACAAGTTCACCTTGTACGAAACCGCGAGCCGCTATTACATTGTCGGAGGAGATATTACCGAGAAGCGCTATCGCATCTTGAAGATCGCTCGCAATACCCACGAGTCCGAGTTGAGCATAACGGATGATAAAATCATTTATAGCCAGAAGGAGATGAACTCGCTGCTAAATACTATCGACGATGGGAACAAGAGCACCGGTGGCATCAGACAGAGGTGTACGACCTGGGGGATTCTAGGCTTTATTAAATTCACAGGGCCGTACTACATGCTCCTGATCACGAAGAAAAGTACGGTAGCGATGATTGGCGGCCACTATGTCTACCAGATCGACGGAACCGAACTTATCCCTTTAACTCCGCCCAAGTACAAGACGGATTCTCGTCACGTCGAGGAGCAGCGCTTCTTGAATATTCTTAAAAATCTAGATCTCACAAGATCCTTCTACTACAGTTACTCGTACGACATCACGAGGACCCTGCAACACAACATTACCCGGGAGAGAACTGCTTTGCTGAATGGAATGCCAGGTACGACGTACGACGATTACAATCCCATGTTTATCTGGAATAGCCATCTTCTGCGCCCTGTCCAGGATGCTATCCATGACCCATTCGATTGGTGTCGGCCGATAATATATGGGTATATCGATCAAGCTGCCATAGCTATATACGGTCGGACGGCACACATCACTATAATCGCCCGACGATCGAGATATTTCGCAGGAGCCAGATTCTTGAAGCGCGGCGCAAATGATCTAGGCTACGTAGCCAACGATGTCGAGACGGAGCAAATCGTCTCCGAAGCGTTGACAACTTCATTCCATTCTCCTGGCCCCAAGCTCTTTGCAAACCCCCAGTTTACTTCATATGTCCAGCACAGGGGAAGTATCCCTCTCCACTGGACGCAGGATAATATCGGTGTTGCCCCCAAACCCCCGATCGAGTTGAATCTCATCGACCCCTTTTACACAGCGGCGGCACTGCATTTCGACAACTTGTTCGAACGCTACGGCTCCCCGGTATACGTGCTTAATCTCATCAAGGCCAGAGAAAGGACGCCGCGGGAATCCAAGTTGCTACACGAGTACACAAACGCCATCAACTACCTAAACCAGTTCTTGCCCGAGGGACACAAGATCATCTACAAAGCTTGGGATATGAGTAGGGCCGCGAAAAGCAAAGACCAGGATGTCATCGGTACGCTTGAGAACATCGCCGAGACCGTCGTCACCACAACTGGCATTTTCCATAATGGCGACGGCGATATCACTCCAACTAGTGTCCAGAACGGTGTCGCGAGGACGAATTGTATCGACTGCTTAGACCGTACCAATGCTGCTCAATTTGTCATTGGAAAGCGGGCGCTTGGACACCAGCTTCACGCCCTGGGTATGCTCGAAAATAATACCATCGACTACGACACGGACGCGGTCAATCTCTTCACGCATATGTATCACGACCACGGCGATACCATCGCGGTCCAGTACGGTGGTTCCCAGTTGGTGAATACGATGGAGACGTACCGCAAGATCAACCAGTGGACGAGCCATTCTCGCGACATGATCGAGAGTTTCAAGCGCTATTACAATAACTCGTTCCTGGACAGCCAAAGGCAGGAGGCGTATAACCTCTTCCTCGGGAACTACATCTTCTCTCAGGGGCAACCTATGCTGTGGGATTTCTCTACGGATTACTACCTTCACCACGCTAACCCGCGGACGTGGTCGCAGAAGGAAAAGCACGATTATATCCATTGGTACACGCCGGCGTACCTCGAGAAGCGGACTATACCCCCTTACGTGCCGCCGAAGGGCGACATGGCCACAAAGCCCGTCTCGTTCTTCGACGACTACTGGCTCGAGTATTACCGCCCGTCGACATTGTCTTCGTTCCCCAAGATGTTCCCGTACAAGATGAATTCTACCCTCAAGTACATACCGTTGAAATCCACCCAAGAAGGCAAATACGACCTGAGCCCCTTCCGCGTCCGCACCGAGGGCGACACGGAAACGCCCGAGAAGAAGAAATCGACCGCGAAGAAAGAGGTGATCATCGTCGACCCCCAAGAGTCGAGAATGTCCTCGCTGGATGACGACTCCGAGTCCGCGATGACGGAGAAGACTAGCTCCCGGGGCATATCGATCCAGCGATGGCTGCAGCCCTTGCAGCCGGACCGGGGCCCCACGATCCCCCAGAGCATAATGAAGGACTCGGCCGAGAACCGCGACGGCTACAGGCTGAAGCAGACGGCGCAGGAGAAGACGAAGACGGCGCAGTGGACGTTCGCCAACATCGTCCATGAATCGCTCAACCCGACCGTGAGCGCGCAGGAAGGGGACGACTACGCGCGGTACATCAGCCACCCGCAGAGCCTGCCGCTGGTGATATCCAACGAGGCGCCGCCGGACGTCGACTCGTCCGAGTACCAGGACTACCTGAACGGGAGCTGGCAGACGGACGGGCTGATGCTGATGGCTTCGGCGGGGATGGCGACGGGGATAGGCGGTACGACGGCGGGAATGAGCACCACCGAAGAAGGAGAATACGACGACGTCGTCGACGCGTACAACGACCTGCTGCGGATCGGCGAGAACCCGCTGACCGTCACGGACGAGGACCTGCCCAAGAAGCGCTACAAGGCCTACCGCAAGTGGCTCCGGGGAAAGTCCCTCTTCAAGCAGCAGCCGGTTGATTAGGGCTCGGCGGCCGCGCGGAGGTCCGCGAGCAACGAGTTTTCCGAGTTCTCGGTGTCTTCCTGAATTACGATGCATGCATGCGCGCCTTTTGTTTTTGTGCTAGGTATTATTGATTAGGTACCTAAATTAACCTCGCCCAGATAAACAAAAAAGCTCGCTTAGTCGAGGGTCTTTCTCGACGAGAGGGTCCACGCGTTCTCCGAAATTTACGTTGGCGGCGTTCATTATAGCGGACAGCATGGTAGCGGTTTGGATCAGTCCGGTCTTGAGCTCGTTCGCGATCGGACTGCTGTCGGATGTAAAGGACGACGACTCTGCTTCGTCGCTGATGTTGAGCCAGCTGAGCATGAGCATCTTGACGATCTCGTTGCAGTAGTGCGGGATTCGCGGCCAGCAGGTGAGCAGGACTGCCTGCAGGAGCTTGATGCTCGAGATGAGCGCGGGCGGGTACTTGGTGCCGAAGGGGTCGGTCATGATCTCGGAGAGCATGGGGAGGAAATCCTGTTGTTTGTTTGTTAATATATGTAACTAGAATTCATACCTGTTATACATCGCAGCGGAAACGGCTTTCTTTTTTTTTTTTTTTTTTTTTGTATTTGTTACAGGAATTCATGGAGTGTGTTTTGGGTTGGTTTGTTTTTAGAATGGGTCAAGCGGGAAATATTAGAGGCGAATAACAAGGAACGGTTTGGTTTTTACCTTGAGGTGTTTCACGGCTAGTATACCCATCCCGTTTATAATACAGACGAGCGTTTCGCAGAACAGGCCCACGAGCCGCACGTGATCTTTCGCGTGGTGATACCCGACCATGATGCCTTCTCTGATGATCTTGTCCAGCAGTCTGCGCTGCGCTTCCGTGATCTGACTATGCGCTGGTTTCTGCGTCTCCGCCGTGCTTGCGCTGCCGACTGTGGCCGTATGCTGGTCGATAGTCAGGCCGGCCATCTCGATTAGCACCGGGTACGCGGCGCCGAGGATCTGCAGAGCTTCGTCCTCGGGCGTCAGGCTCGGCAGGTACAAGACGGCGGGGAACACGGCCTGCTCGAAGACCTCGGCTAGTCCCGTGTCCCGCATCAGGGTCTGAGGGCATCGCGCCCAGAAGGCGCGCAGGATGCCGAGCGCGCGGATCTTGAGGGGGGCGGGGCCCGGCTCGTCGATCAAGGTGAGGAGGACGGGGGTGAAGAGCGGCCAGTGGGCTTGGAGGAGGGGGGACTGCGCGGGGGAGAGGTAGGTTAGTTAGTTTAGGTAGTTCGTTAGTAGATAATGTTGAACTCAACGCATAGATATGAACTTTGGGACGAATATATCTTAAATCACGGAGTTTGCTTTTCAGTTGAACAAAAAAAAAAAACCGACTTACATCCGCATGCCGCACAGCCCACTCGAACACCGTAACCGCGTACCGATGGGCATACTTCCACGGCTTCGTCTCGGAGGACTCGCGAGCGGCGCCGTCGTACCGCGACGCCTCCTCGACGTACTCTGCCTTGCGCCCGGAAGCCGTGATCGCCGCGGGGCGGGACTTGGAGAACAGCGGGCGAAGGAACCCTGCTAGGACGTCATCGACGATGAACGGCCGCGCTTGCGAGCCGTCGAGGTGCGCCGACAGCAGGGTTTGGGAGAGCGCGGAGGATTCCGCCGTTGTCCAGGGGTCCGTGGGATTGGTGAAAGCCGCGATGCGGAGAAGGACCGGGCGAGGAAGCTGGAAGGGAATGGCTTTGGAGGGGATTTTGGTAAGCGCATCTAAGGCTTTGAGGCCCAGGTTGCCTTTGCGCTGAAGAGTGGCGTAGTCGGTCTCGTCTACCTCTCATACACCGTTAGTGATTGCTCCTCTCGCTGTGTGTCCGTCATGTGAATAAAGACTTCGTACCTTGGTCTAGCGAATCGCCGGAACAGAGGGGTACGATGAGGGAGCTGATATGGTCGGCGATTTCATTGACCGCGCCATCAAAGTTGTCCTCGTTGATGATGCCTTGTACTTCGGCGTTCTTGCTGAACTTGAGGATGATAGCATATGCGGCTATGAGCAGAGCGACGTGATCCTGCATACGCTCACTCAGTACTGATATATCAAATGAAAAACGATATTAAATGCGTACCGATTCATCTTTGCTATGCGATAGGAAGCTTTCCAGGTCATGAATGGTGATATTATCAGGGACCACTAGAGTGACCGTTTGTTAGTTTGCTGTCTGGAGTTAAGATGTGATGGGACTGGGACAAGATAAAATGAGATGAGATGCGAAGGGAAGCCTACGTCGTAAAAGATCCTCGTCAATTTCCTGGGACGGATTCTGAGACCCCTCAACACTCTTGCAGGCTTTGAGAAGTTCCTCAAACATAATTCTTTCGATAAGTATTTTTTTTTTTTTTTTTTTCGTGATTTGTTTGTTACTTTAAAGTATAACTCATTCAAGAAAGTCGAGATGATGGGGGTGGTGCTAAGTACCTCGCAAGGTATTAAGTTCAATATTCTACAGATTTAACTTTTGAAAGCTTGACGGGCCGCTGTCAGGTGTTTAACAGCTGGCCCCCCATTATTACCCAACATACTATTTAAGGGGTTGCACAAGCATCAAGAGTTGAGTATTAAATGAGTAATGAATCAACTGTGCTTTTGAGATACATTCTTTTTATAACTGTATTATAGGAATTTATTTTTATTGGTTTCTTTCTTGATATCATTTTATCTTATAATCTTGTAAGGAGCGAAATTCTATGTGCGAGACATAAAATACATGTGTATGAGTTCGCATCCAGAATAAATAAGGCCACCCCCTTTTCATTGCTTTGCAATAACACTGCCTAATCCAATCCATCCTCTCTAGAATAATTCACTTACCTCTTATATAAACTTACTCTCTAAACCCCACTCTCCTCTCTGACCTTTTCACTGTTGATAAACTCACATCTCTCGAATATTTTCTCCCATTTCACCGCTTGTTCAGCCGCAGTTCCCACGGCCTCACTCCCATCTTTCTCCAGGGAAACAGCCGCGTCCCCATACGGGCCTCCAAACAGTTTCAACGCAAGCCGGCTTGGGGACTCTTTCCCCAATTCTTCCTTCGTTGCTCCGTCGAAAGCCGCGGGCCATCCGTCAGATCCGCCAGCAGGCTTCCCAGATGTTACGAACTTGACTATGCTCCGGCTCATGGCCTTCGCAAGTCCTAGTTGGTGTGCTGAGTTGTCCGCGCCTCCAGCCAGTTGCTGGACGTTTAGCACATACGGGATATCGCTGAGGTGGGCTACGCGCCACATCGGCACCCCTATCATCTCGTAAACCGGCGTGAATCGCGTTGCGTTGTGCTCGTATATCCGAACCTGTGATACGTCTACGCCGGCGTTCTTTACGTATTGCCACGCGAAATCGAGCACGGGGCAGGTAAACCACAAGTCCTTGTTGAGCTGCGCTGCGCGGTAGTACTGCGGCGTGATGGGTCCGTCGTAATCTGGCCGCACCATACCCTCGAAGTCTTCAATTGGGTATAACTCTAGTAGTTTCGATTTCGTGGATTCGGAGTGGCCTGTTAGCCATCGTCCGAAGCTAGCCAGCACGTCCTCGTCGGTTGACGCCGTGGGAGGGGCGTACCAAGCACCCTCGTTCGATACCCAAGACGCAATGATTGGTATCCCCTTGGCAAACTTTCCAGCACGGAGTAGTTGGGACGGTCTATCGGTTAAGAAATCATTATCATAGGTAGGGTAGAAAAATGCTTCCCCGAACGGTGGCCGCGCGGCACGGGCAGCTGTAACGGAAAGATTGGCTAGAAGCTCAAAGGGAGCTTCCCGTAGACATTGCACGGTCTCTACTGATTGACTGTCGCCGTTCTTAATACATCCTACCCCCTGAGCGACGGCTTCGGTATTCTTCGCCACCAAGTCGGACTTGGTATTGAAGTTCAGTCCTGATGCACCAGACATCATTCTAAGATACTGTTTAGTATGAAAGCCCAAGACTGATCCAATGGCAGGAGACTACTTACACAGCCTGTTGAAATGGGACATGGTGATTTCCTCCGAATGCAAGCAACTGCAAACCGATATCGCTAGCCCCGACGCTTTGACCGATGGCAGTTACTTATAGGCATTAGAATTAGTATAGTAATCGTGAGTTGAACTTTGATTTACATACCACGTTGTGAATCGCCACCAAAGCTCTCGATATTATCACGAACCCCTATTTTCAGGACCTGTCAGCGTGATTCAAATGCATAAACGTCCTGCTTACATTCAAGAGCGGCGCGCTGGTCGCGTATGCCGGCGTTGGTATGCTTGGCGTCAACCAACGCTTTGCTAGTTGCGAAGCCGAAAACTTTGACTCGTTAGAAAAGCCATCCCGCTTTATTAGAAGACCTTATGATTGACATACAACCCAAGCGGTAGTTGATTCCAACGAAGATTACCGGTTGTCCATCTGCTGCAGCTTGCTTCACTAGACCAGTGGGTTCATATAGGACATCTGAGGCTGATCCTAGAGCATGACCACCTGTATTCAGTAGTGTTAGTCAACCAGCCTCATATGATCCTTAACATGTTATAATAAGATGCGCGAACCTCCATGTAGCCAGACTATTACCGGCAATCTGGCGCCCGGGGCTGTTCCGTGTGGGCGAGCAATCCGTAGACTCAAGCAGTTTTCACTGATGTTGACAATTTTACTTGTAAACGGAAAGATATCGCCTGTCCCTTGCGGACACCATGCACCAGGCTGCGTGGCATCGATAGACGACCCTTTATCATGCTTGATAGGGACAGGTGGTGCAAAACGGTTATTGCCTGAAGTATCTTGTGCATAGAAGACGTTCTGGAAATGGTCAACGCCATCAAGATGTCTGCCAGTATATGTAATCTCTCGAATGTGGTCAATTACGAGGACTGGGGAAGCCTGGTTTAAAAAGGGCAATTCCACATTGAAGTGATCCGCATTCCGGAGTAGAAATGCCCGGAACGGCTCGAGGTACACGGCCAGCAACCCACATGCTAGGGCACCCAAGCCGAGAAACAATGGAATGGCGCGGCCGGCCATTTTCAGCCTGATAGGAGTCGACTTTTACACCTTTCGAGTTGAAATATATTCCGATATATATATGAAATGGCTCAGGATAGCGGTAATTGTGAAGTTTAGTTATAGGATAAATACTCAAAAGGACCTCAGCGGAGTTAGCAGTAGTTGCTTTATTAGTTTGGGGGAGACCTACATGGAAGCTGAGCCATTTCCGACAATTCACGTTGGGAATAAAGGGAGAAATCGAGACCCCACCCCGAGCCTGAGGATACCAATAATATTGATACGTATCTTAAAATATATCTCAAGTCTCCACCCACTACCTACCTATAGGAGGTGTCGTACTTAATGTCGTTGGAATAACCCGTCCGGCGTGTTGGAATTTGAAATACATTCCTGTGTTACCAACGCTTCACAGGTTTAAAGTTGCTCTAGTCAACAAGTTCCATAAACTAAAAAGGGGATTAGTTAGCAGGGGGTTTTGGCTGTCTTTCGATATAATATTGCGTTTGGAGATATCCAATAACCGTTGCTATTTGCCTACTGCCTTACATCAAAGGTTTCCGAGACAGCCGACCTCGCTAATTCAATAAATGGACGTACAGTGTTTCTCATTTCGAACATATTATTCTATCTCAGTACGTGTGGTAATTTCGTGGTTATAGTAGTCTTAACAGCCACACAGGGGTTGGGGGAGGAAGCACATAAGTGTACCTCAGATACCTAAGGTAGCAATCGCAACACACGAGAATTTCTCTGTCCGTCGATATTTAGCAACACTATTTCCAAGGCGGATTTTCCAATTATACGGTAAAGTCCCTATATTAATATCAATAGTGGGAAATTGCTTCTAGGAGTGGATTAGCAAGTATTTTCTTTTAGTCTTTCTAAGTGATTATATTGCTAAGTGAGGTTATCGTGAAAGGGTTGAAACGTTACCTATTCGACCAATCAAACATCATAACGACGAATAGCTGCCCTTAAACGTAGTGTAAACCAGGTTTGTATGGTCTCATGGTCTGTCCTCGCCCCATATTTCCAACCATTTATCTCAATTGGGATAGGTAACCGTCGGAAGATCTCAGCCCTGCCAACCCGCCAAGTCAAAATCCACGTGGATCCGGAGGAGAAACGACCCTGCGGATCCAGCCGATGGTAGATGCTGTTTGCTAGATACGATCGAGATCTGTTTTTATATATACTCCTCGTAGACAAAATGCTCAAAACCGCATGCAGCCAAACGTCAACGGGTCGAATCTTCTTTGCAATATATATATTACGAATAAATAAAGAAATCGTGCAATACAATGCTAACTATAGGCATCATTTCTAACCAAAACGCCATATATGCTAGAAATTCTTTCACTGCTCCCTGCTCCTCCAAGCACTCATATCTGCTAAACATATGCAACTGAGCTTAAATTCCTTCCGCAGTACATAGAGTGAAAAGAACAATGCCTTTTCAGTGCGCCAATATGCGCATATAAATCGATCGCATCTTATATAAAAATCCTTTTAGAGGTAGGTAAGAAGTAGATAGCTTAAATTTTTTTCATTTCCATATCTGCCACTGTCTTGACAAGCTTACTCAATGATCGTAGCCAGCACCACGTTGCCAGGGGCTGGATTCCAATCGTAAGTTAACGGGAATATAGTGGTAGTTGTGACAGAGCTTCTTACCTTGGACTAGCGGACGGCTTGATACCAGCCGGGCTGGAACTATGCTGCGAACGCGATACTGAAGAGACCGAACCGTTATACGGGCTAGAAGTTCGGTTGATCGGATCGATGGGCGAGTGAGGCGCGGCGAAATGGGAAGGAGCATGATGGGAGTTATTAGCAGTCGAGTTAGCTCTTGAGCTTTGTCCTTGAAACGATGAATTGCGAGGGTTCGAATCTTCATCGTCGTCCAAGTCAAGGCCAGACGAATATCCCGGCTTTTCACCTCGAGCTGTCACTCCTAGGGCATCGAGTTCAGTTGAAGTGGCAAGCTGACTTTGAGATTTCATAAAAGACGTGCGATCATCAGACATGAACTTGTAGCGGCCATCCGGATTGCTTTGGAAGATGACGATGCCGGTAGTGATGATAAGCATTAGCAGGAGAACCAGCGTGCATACCGCATTCAGGATCCAGAGGACAACACCGACGACACCAGTCACAAGCCCGGGCTGGTCGAATACCTTAGTGAATATAAGGAGGAAGATGGCGTTCAAGAAGTTGACAACAGCAATGGCAATGTTGAAGGAATTGGTCTTTTTATCCATCCAAGGCCGCAGCACCGCGGACGAAATGAGAGCGGCGGCCTCGATAATAAGAAATGCAATGGCCTGAACGATGCCAGAGTTCTGGGCAAACGCAATAAAGAAAGCTTTCACCACGGTGTAACTGAGGACGGGTATAATAAAGTAATAAGCGGAGGCGCGGAATTGAATATAAAGGAAGCCTCATCATAATAAGTTAGCAACGAAGGTAGGGTGTTTATATCCACCAACACCCGCACATCAGGACTAAAAAAATAAGAGTTACTCACCCCATTTATTAAGAGTCTGAGGGTCTGAAAACAAGATGTAAGCCGGGTTCCTGTGAAGCGCGACTGAACGATGCGCGATCCGAACGACTTTATAGGCCGCCCAGGCAAGTACCCCATTGACGGCAACGAGGAAGAAGACGGCGACGACCATCAATGCGGAAGAGTCATTTTGAGTGAACTCCCAGAGGCAAAGAATCGTTACCGGGGGGTGCCCAATCAGGGCCATTCGAAACAAGATGCCTTTGAGAACGGTACCTAAGAGCATGTAGGCATTAATATCGGTACATTGTTCACATAAGAAGCTATACCGGAATGTAAGGTAGGGAATACTCACGCCAACCATTGCGAAAGTCTAGGAAAGTATCTCCTTTTATCCACTTCTGCTTCGCAGCCAGTTCGCATATTCCTTTAAAAGCAACCACACACAACGTAGTTACCACCATGATAAGGTAAAAAAAGGTGATTGCAGTCAAGAAAAGATTCGTAGTCTCGATATCTGCTCGAAATGCAACACGTTGAATGCCGTACACGACGTAGCTCCCATACGAGGTCATGACATTTGCTCGCTTCATGAGTTTTGAACCATGCTCCACCACGCTATTAGGGAGCATCGCGGCCCCGCGCTTGAAGAGGTCAACTGCACGTTTTTGCACCTCCACAGACACGATCGAATGGTCGGACTGGTCGATAATGTTACTCGCGGTGCCGCCTGTTGATCGTTGATACCAGGTAAAGATGCGTTGCACTAAGAAAATATGTTAACAGGTACTCCCAGGATAATTAGACCTGCAATACACAGGAGCACAATTGCCTTCAGGCATATTAGATAGGGGATGATGAGTCGACATACTAAAAGGGACTTCAATGATACCCATGCTCCACTGGAAATCTTGAGTCCACGCCTGAACGACGGGAGGTAGAGGAATTCCCATAAGACCAACCATAGCCTGCGCCTGAAAGTAACCTACCAACGACAAAGCGTTTGCGGCTACATGAGAAGCGGCGTTCGTATGACCCAGGCCGGAGAGGAACGCGGACGAAGCAAGAGCCAAACCAGCCACTACAGCCGAGGCCCATTTAACCCCGATTAAGTCGACTGTCTGTCCATTCGAAACCAAAGCCTCGACGCAAGCGACAGTTTGGCCAGCTTGAGGGCCATCAGTTGCGTTAATTCGAATTCTAACCTTAGCATCGATATCCGGAAAGTCGTAGGCGATAGACGGGATCTGAGATGCAGCATCTGGGACGTCAATATCAAAGGGGTTACCCAATTTTCCAGATACCATGGGACAAAATCCAGCCAGGCCTAGATCGCAAGGCTTAACTACAATGTGCTCAAACCTATAACCATAGGCGCTAATGTCAACGTCAAATTCAACCTTGGCTTCGATGGTAGAAAGGGCTGTGATGTTCACAGAAGCCTTGTTGGTGTCCGGATTAAATACAACGCTAAACAAACTGGCCGTAAAACCCGAGTTTTCCTGGCAGATGTTAAGAGAGGTAGATTGGAGAATTCGCTTTGATTCCACGGGAAGAATGGCAGATGCGAAATAGAGAGCCGCCAAGAGCGGAGACCGGTTGGAGAACCACATCGTCGTCGCTATTAGATAATCGAATTCATGAGTCCAAGTAAGCGTTCATTAGGTTTTCCGGTCCAAAGACTTAAGTCGATTAGATTTAGATGATGCGACTACGTAAATGGCAATTTAAATCGTATAATCGATGCCTTTTTTCGACGCGGCTTTGTTCAATCGGATCCCAGGTAAATATGTCGTCGTATTCGCACGCGCAAACAACTAGACGACTAAATCGATTATCCTATACCTATCGCAAGTGAGGGTTGGTTTGGCGCAAAAGCGAGTGAAATGCACCTCCCAAAAATATTAGACGGCGAAGGCGAAAGGGGCGGTTGAGAACCGAAAAAAAAAGTAGATAGCAGAAGTAATAAACGAAAGAATAAATCACCTGAAGCGAATGAATGGTGATGAAAACGTGGTGTGGAAGTTGCCTGTCAGCCAGCAACTAGCCGGGGGGGTTTCCCTCAATAAGGCCTAGGCAGGTAATGCAATGTGTGATTTCTCTTTTCTCGCCAGCCTAACAAAGTAGCTTGTAACGGCAGCTACGGTTCCCAGAAATCCATGTCCCTTGAAGAGGCAGTGCAAGTCGCAACTGGTCTGCAAAGGAAGGTGGGCCGCACAGCCCCACGTCACCTTGTGACTTGTGCCTTATGAGGTACAAATGAGAACTATCAATTTGAATACGAGACCTACATATTCGTTCCGGCTTGTTAAAGCATATCGGGAGCATAAGATATGGGTGGTGAAGATTGATAAATCCCGATACCTAAGTTGGTTTGATTTGACAAATAAGACTAACCACATAGGAGGTAGACAAGTATCCAATTTGGCATAGGTACATGAAGATGCTATTCCAAAATATAAAATAAACATTTTTCAACGGTTTCAATGCCGTGCAACACATTTCCTGCGATTTCCGTGTGCGAACTACCTAGACCAATGCAAGGTATCTAGCGTGATATCCCGAGCTAGTAAGCAGTACGTACTTGGAGTACTAATTTCAACCGCGATCCTTCTACGAAATCAGCAATGATTTGAGAAGAAGGAGCAGGGAGTCTTTAACTTATAATATTGCAAATTTAATGTATCACGAATAGTTGAGTAGACGATTCTATATATACTATAAAATTACTAACTTACTTAAACCCTACCTAAACACATGGCTGTCTCAACCAATAAGTAGCCCGTACCCGACCTATAATAGAACCTCGGATATCGGCTCCGAGAGAGATTTCCCAAAAGATATGGGAACAGAAGTTAAATTTATGGGTTAGGTTAGGTAAGTTTTTGATGTGGGGTCTTAATCCCCAGTTTCCACCATTGACGGACTGGTAGATTGACTTGACAAGAAAACGGCGGAGATCATCTGTAGCGCCTATGATACTTGATAGTCGAAACACTATCTCAACCTCCTTTAACTTCCCGTCTAACAGCAGAAACACCACTAATAAAACTTGCCAGGGGTCTCACTTGAGACTCCTTGGGAACAAAGGAGTTGTTTTGTATATAGCTTTGACTGTGACGTGACAAATACATTACAACAAATCTCATTGCTATGGAGCAGAACAACGCGTATCGGGAATATTAAACCAGCTCAGCAGTATCAAGAATTTATCGGCCTTCTCCAGGGAGTCGAGCGAACCCTTCAAAACAATCAACAAACTCTCCAGAACATTCAACAAGCCCAACAAGCCTTTAGCCGCCATTTGATTGCTATAGAGAACACTGCAATCCCAGTTCAAAACAAACCGAACCAGCAGTCTGATCCTAATAGTGTTCTTTTCCCACTTCGAGATCTCGCTACTGGAGATACTATACCACATTGTCCTAATACATCTGCCGATATACACAGATAATCTGCACTTGAGGCAACTCGTATCCTTCGTGCTTCCCAGGTGCCTGTACCTGCTGGCCGTATGATGGCCAAAAGGACGGCGGTTCTACGGTAATTTCTCTGACCAATCAACGATTGGCATCCTCAACCTCGACACGCAAATTTCTTCCACAATATGAGACTCTATTCTACGTTTACAGGAGCAGCAACAAGTGAACGGGCTACGGTGGTTGTTGACAAACACAATTTACCACAAATGTCAGGAGTATAGGGCACTAGGACGGGTTGGGACATGAGGCCCACTAGGATAGGTGTATATAAGGAGCACGCTACTCCCTCGAAAGTGCTTCGAGGGGCAAGCGCTAATAGATCACTACTCTACACTACATACTTGATACTCTACGTGCTACCGCTTCTGGTATTCACTCTATGTACGACATACCTCACGGTATCCCTCTGACAATATCCCAGGAGACCAAATCAGCATATCGCCTAACGACCCGCAAATATTGGGAACAGAGAGAGAAAAAGCAGCAACGGATAGGTTGTCACAGAACATGTCTATCATTCATGTGATATTAATGATTAATATTAATCAATACCCATGCAAGCGTAATCAAAAGCCCTACTGGATCAGTTCATGCGGAGGTATCCCCATTAACAACTCGCCAACCCCTGAGACGCTAGGACATATTAACTAGAAGGTATGGCGCAGCAATACTATGTATGTATTACTCAATGGGCTTCTTTACTCCCCACGCCGCCTCTCCTTTTTCTTCTCTTTTCCTTGCTCTCTGCGAGTTCGCCTCGGGTCCTCGTAAATAACCATTCGATCCGCTTGTTCTGTTTGCCTCGGCCTCCGAGATGAAGCATCGGCGTGGATTACAATCCGCGAGCTCTCACGGGCGTTTGAGGTATGCGAAGAGTTACGCGTAGGGCTTGCTGCTCGGCTCGGATATCGGCTTCCGGTGTACTGGCTCCCTGCTTCACTCGGTACCAAAGTGTTCGTGTCCGTATTCCAGCCAGTCGCGGTGCTGGACCTTGAGACGGACCCCGGGGTGGCAGCCCACGAAGACGCCGTCCGCTGCAGCTGCAGCTGCTGTTGCTGCATGTTAGGCTGTCTATAAAAGTTACTCGTTAGAATGAATACTCTGCAAATATTGGAGGGGGGAGGGGGTTATATACCTTTGCGTTTGCACCCATCGGTCGATTCGATCTTCATGGTCGCGCCTTTCAGGTGGTGTCTCCGTCGGTGGGCTCCGCCACAAGCTCGCGTTGTATGCTTCCTGGCTGCCGCCGTTCGCCGTTCGAATATCTCGAGGGTCATAGCCATGCTGCTCCACTTGCCTAACCACTACTCGCCCACGGACATCTGATATGTGAACATTTGCATGGGGTTGGCCTCTGCGGTCGCCACTCATCGTGATGCGAAACGAGGAGCTGGTCTAGGTAATAAGTGGTAGGTTCGATCATCCTGTAGTACTAGCTGATGGTAGGTATAACAAGAGATTTTGGTTGAAGGGATGGAATCCAAGAGAAGAGGATTGGCGGTCGCTTGGACATGTTTAAATAAACCGTAGGGCCCGAATGGTGAAGAGTAGGTACTTGAAGACTATCAAAGACTGCACGACACATGCTTAGTCCCGTCAGTGATGTTCCAAACCCATTGACTCACTGCCAAAGGCTGCACAACTGTGCACTTTTACAACGAAACAATCGCTTTATTTGAATTGCTAAAAGTATATGTATCGATTATTATACTCAAGTCGTTGTTCATGGCAAGGGAGTATATGCCTATGCCGTCGATCGATATCAACATACTCTATCCTGCGTCCATTTCGAACAGTAAATAGTGTACAAGACTCCCAATGGTAACTTATAATGGAATTCACCAGAAATACGGTTGTCAATGAATTTATTACATATCAAGTCTTTTGTTCCAAATACTACTTTCCTACCTCTACCTTGCTACCCTACTAGATGTAAATGTGTCTGCGTATACCTGCACAGTAGAAGGTGTTGAATGGGGAAAATATGATATTCACAAGAACGGATTATCTGTAGTCAAAATTGCCATTAGACATTTAAGTCGTGGTTTTGTTGTAATACATTGGAAACTAATGACCGATACCATGTTATCCCGATCCTAGCATTTCTCAAATAGACTTCCTTTCCTGTAAGTGGTTTGCTACTTTTGTATCCTGCCCTGAAATCCGTGTACCTAGGTGCCTGTGCCCCTTTAGGAGTCTCACTTGAGACTCATTAAGAACAAAAGAAATGTTTATACAAGGTAGCTTTGGCTTCAAAGTTATCCCAGTTAGTGTTCCTCGCGGAACAACGAAGTTGTTTTCCTTACATGATGCTCTACATCTACGACGACGTGACATGCCCGTTCCAATTATCTCCTCAATATCGTGAATTTAAACCAAGTTAGAGCTGCATATAGATATACGTTATGAAAAACGAGAGTTACCCATGGTAGGTAATGGTGAAACGCTAGAGAAATTCAAGTTCATGGGAAGGCTATCCCCTAAGAAGACATACAAATTCCGATCAACTGATGTATCGATACTCTCTTGGCTTTTTCAAGTATTTAAATGTTATAGCACCTTAGGTAGGTATTCGTCATTATTTTGCCTGTTAATTCCTACAAGCCGTAGATTTGATCACACGAGACCGGCGCTATTTAACAAACCTTCATTCAGCCTCACCAATCGACTGCCTTGCCTTATACAGAATTACTAGATAGCCAGTAAGATGCGCGGCTTTTACCATGAACGCTGACCGGTGCATTTAGCTTCTGGTTAGATGTTCCTTTAAGATTGCTATCAGCAATATCGGCGTCAGCGGAAGATAAATGACTGGTTGAGCGGGATGAGAGACTATGCTGCTGTTGAATTGCTGACGTGAGAAACCAGGGGAGAGCCATTAAGAGATTTAGTAGCGCGCTCAAGACCACCAGCCCAAATGCGCATATGGGAGCTAGAACGGCGAAAATCGTAAACACATATGACGCGTATTGAAAGCCCTCGTTACTCTGAAGTCGGTCCGTGGCAAGACCAACTTGCATTGCTGTTAATATTAAAACGATAAATATAGTACCAGTGGCTATCCAGGAAAGGTGTGTGCGTAAGAAGCTACGATAAGTATGCCAGCCCGCTACGTATGGGTTGAAGGGGGGGAGACGAAAGAGGCGGGAGATGCGCAACTCGGCGTAATGGAAGCGTTGGTGGATCCTCTTTGGATCGTAGTCTCTTATAAATTCTCTCGAGAACTCTTTCCATTTTGCCCATCGGATCGTTGTCCCATCGTCTTCTCGAGGCAGTAGATACTTCTCGCTGGCGATTCTAAAGTCAAGTTCTGAGGATATCAGGCATATATACGTATAGAGAAAGCCGAGTGCCACTCCACGTATACTATTGCAACTCCTTGCGGTGTTCTGGGTTTTACATGTGCAATCTAGTGGACACTGTAGAGCTGTTTCCCAGAAACCGGAAGATAGGATATATCTAGGGATTGGTTTTAGATTTATCTTGCCATCAGTCCAAAGAAGGTGATAGTCCATTCGCTCGGATACAGCAATATCTCGACCCATAGCAATCTGTAAATGTAATTGTGCAGTGGGGCGCTTATTCCCCGCAAGCCATAAATGGTTCAGCATAGGATATAAACCACCGAGAGATAAGTCTTGTCTTATAAACTCTCTAGTGTCATCGGTGGGATCAATGACAGTACGGTTCTTCGTCTTCTCGCTATCTTTATAGGAGTGGTATAAGGCTGGCAAGTTATCTATTATACCATCTCCAACTCCAAAGACATCGATGATTGTCTAGGTATTATGTAAAATTAGAAATTAGGGATAACCAGCAGGTGGTTTAGGTAGGTTCCTGCTTACCGCCTTCGGTGGTAGCTGTTTACTCATAACGTCTACCTAAGGTACCTAGGTTAGTGTCTTCAGGTGAGACACAGGATAGAAATCTTTGGATGATATCCACGTGATGTTGGCTATGGTCAAAGCGTTTATCAGATCTACGATTCTCTAAAGATCTCTGCCTCACCTTGATGACAAATTATGCGGAAAGTTTTGATGAATGAGAGGGCTGAGAGGGCTGATAAAAGACTTATCAAAATGCCGCGTGACTTGCATACATTAAGCAATGTATTTGCTGCAACCTGCTTCTTGCATGAGAGTAGACAGCACTAGTATCTTTGGTCGTTTGAGTCTTTTTTGTTTATTAATGATACTGCTTTTTTTTTTTGCCAAAACTGTTTCCAGTTGCAAAGCAACAAAATTCTCTAACTTGCATTCATTTTAAGAAACGCAAAAAAGTGCGGGGAAGAAAGAACAAGAATAACAGAGCTAGGTCTGTCTTATTGGTGACCTTATCTTAATGGACCACAGTTAGACGGACCTATTGCTGTCGCTCGGGCCCCCCACAGGTCAAGGAGTCGCGAAGGTCGGGGAGTCGGGGGAAGCCCAGCTCAGGTGCGGTGGTGTTGCGGTGCAGAATGCAGTAAGTGGTAAAGATAAGCTGCCCTATCACCCCAAGGCCACCCGGGTGTTTCTCTCCCACCCCCTAAGTTCTCACTTGTCGAACTATTGATGTGTCTACTGATGGAATCAAAATATCGTACCACCCAAGATCCATAATGACTAAATCTAACTCTTCGCAGTCCTCTTCTCCTACAGCACGAACCCCACGAACCCGAACAGGATGTTGGGCTTGTCGAGATCGAAGCGTTAAGTGCGATGGTACGTCCCCTAAAATACCCTAAATTAACCCACTCGGGAGACTATTCCTGTTCCTTGCAAGGGCTAAGTTATAGCCGGATATAGAGACTAGACCACGTTGTCGGAGATGTCAGAAGACAAATCTAGCGTGCCACTATGGTATTCGCCTCCAGTGGCTTGAAGATTCCGTCGCTCGTGGCATCCGTCACGGTCGCCAGGGAGTATGGCGCCCAAAACACAAAGATGCTACCCGAGACATATACACGCCCACCGCACTTTTAGAAGGACGTTTCCAAGAATCTCCAGGCTCGGCAAAGTATCGCGCTAAATCCAATGGTGTCGTGTATTTTTTGAACACCTCTTCAAGGGATATCCAGCTGTATTGGAATTCCCAAGACTTTAGAGATGAAATTACTAATTTCGTGTTACTCGAACATGACCACCATACTGAAGAGGACGATAGAATTGAGGACTTCTTAGTTACTCGGGTAGGCGCCGAAGATTATCATGAGCCTCATTTGGCTAGATATCGCGCCGAGTCTCGTGCACTCCCGTGGAAGCTGCCAATATCCGTCAGGAAAAACATTACTTTCGCGCATCAACTGGCTAGAACCGACGAATTCATACCTGGATATTATGTCAGCGTCGTTTGCAATAGCGCTTCATTGGTTGACGGTCGACATAGTAACCCATTCCGTTATCAAATCGTTCCACTAGCTCAACATTCCAGTACCGTATTTTCTGCTATGCTGGCAGTGAGTGCCGTGAAGCTGGCGGAAAAGGATCCTAAATTTCATCGTAGAGCATTATTGCATCGTCACCGGGTACTAACGGACGTTAAAGATCTTCTAGCGAATGTGCACACAGATGCTGGTAAATGCCTCGAGGCTCTCGTAGCGGTAGTCATGCTATGTTGGTACGATGTGAGTCGCCTTACCATCTCAACTTTGTGGCCGTAGCTCACAAGTGATAATTGTCAGATAAGCGACAATTGCAAATCAACATGGATCAGCCATCTTGTGGGCATATTCGGACTCTTAGATGTTTGCCTCAAACAAGATGTTCGTGACGCCAATTACGAAGCGATACTGCAATTCGGCCAACAATACTTAATGTACCATCTAGTGATGGCCAAAAGCACCCTCCATGTCGACGATGTGATACCACAGCATAAACTTATCTTGTCGAAGCTCCTAGGAAGTTCGGAAATTATATCTAAGGAGCAGAACGAAGCAGAATGTATAAACGAAGGACATCGTGACGTAGCGTCGCACGGTGCATTAGTCGGTTATGAAAATAGGGATCCCACAACACAGCTAGGATTTCGTCTCGTAGGCCCTAGCTTTAACGACGAGCTGGATAAGATCGATACCCACCAAGGATTTAGCAATCGCCTCCTCCTTATTATCAACGATATATGCGACCTGCGCGATGCTTCAAAATCTGATGAGTTAGATCGTCAGCATACCGATCCGCAAGCATTGGAACAAAGGGTAATCGGGATTCAATCTAAGCTCGAAACCCTCGTACAAGTGCCGCCGATGCATCACCACCCATCTTGGGTGACTGATATGGATCATGATGCTCTGAAAGAATCCAAAGAACTCGAAAGTAAACTGGAGATGATCGAGTTGACAGCGGAATCGAATAGGCTGGCAGCACTTCTTTTCCTAGACGAAACCTGCGCCACGCATCTACCTCATATTATTCCACAATGTAGAAAGGCCCGCCCCTCCATTATCCAGGATATCTTTACCACAGCCCAAAAAATCTGCGAGACAGGACCTATCACTGCAGCTCTTCCTATTTGGCCGGTATTTGTGGCCGGATGCATGGCCTCTACTGACGACGACCGCCTGCAAGTGATGCAGATATTTGACAAATTTCAGAGTGGGAAGAAATTCGGAGTAAGTTGACACTGCCTAATCGTGGCTGGATATCGGCTTTGAATGCTAATGGGGTCCGCTATTAGAGTATACCACCAGCACTCGAGGTCATCAAAATGGTCTGGCGCCAACGTGACCTTGGTTGTGATGAGAACCCACGAAAGGTACTCATTACATCATCTTGTGCTCCAATCGCGGGTTTCGATGGTAAGAACCGCAGTCCTGTATCGCCTAGAAGTCGTGGGCAGCGAACACGATACCCCTGGGAGCGTGCGATCTCCATGTTGGGGGGCTCGTCATTGCTAAGCCTTACTTAAATGTAAGACACCTGGGTTCATACAGGCAAGCAACGAGTCAGGGAGTTAATATCGCCCTCAAAATGATGGAATGACTTGGATAACCGCTGGAGGACATGAGGCATAGGGTAAGTTCCTAGTATGTTCCTTTGACACAGCGACCTTGAGCCTGCCAGTCAGGTAGGTATCCCATTGGCTTTTACGGATGTCGCCTGAATATTTTCGGTTAGCTAACTCGTGACGTGTGCAAGATTAGGTTTGTTGGTTAGTAGGACAGCATCGGTGTCTTGGAATTAAGGATGATTTACTTAGCTCAATGAAGCCTCCTGAGTATCACGTTTATATCTTGGAGAATTCCCAATTCTCACATGACTGTTCGTGGGTGTATCAAGTGTATCAAGTGTATCTCAAGTTCGAGTTTTCGTTATCGTATCCAAATTGAATACAACTAGGTAGTCTCGATCCCCCCTTACCCCGTACTAAAGATGTGAATCTTTCATATATAGGTTAGGTACCTACTTAGGTACCTGGTATTGTGGCGGCAATTAGTGCCACGTCTTATCCAAACAGTCTGGTCAATCCCCTGCTCGTCCTTCCTAGTCACGGCCATATGTAGACGTCTGGTGAAGCAGTTGTTCGCGAAGGTAGGCATCAAAAGCCACCCCTCGGTTCAAAGGAGTTGAAGTCTTCTTGGAAAATTGATGACTTGGTCAACACTTACCCGATTAAACAAACGATGGACTTGTTTGTCAATTTGACGGGCCGGCTTTTACAAGGCTTTCTCAGACGCAGTCGAATTAATAGATTCTATTAAAGCTGAGACGAACCATATACCTCGGTAACGATGGCTCTAGGATTAGAGAAGGTGTAGTGTAGAGGAAAGGCATAATGTAAATATTAGTGAGAACATAAAAATGGGATTTATACGGTGATCACTTAAGATCCACCGGATATGGGGGTGGTTTAGGGGTTGAATGCCACATCATCTCATGATAAATATCGGAGAGGTCCAATAGCGCCGATACTAAAATAACCTTGCTCCGGACCTAGGTAAGGAACTAGAGGTCGAACCGATAAATCATATTATCTATCATGAGAGCAGACCTGTTTCTCAAAAGCTCCATCATGTTGCGGGATCCACATCGCCACAAGTGGAAGTTGCTGCATTCGAAGGTCGAGGCGAGCTTTGTAGCGCGTCGACTACCCTTGCATTAGCGCTTCCCATTAGTGCCCTAGGTGCCTCATACTACTATAGTATTGTACCTAAAATGACAGTGAAACCCCACTACTTTAGTCCCTGAGGATTGTTGGGTTAAGTTAAAGGCTTCTTAGACTTCTAAGAAGGCAGGAAGGCCAACGTTATCACTAACACCTAAAAACCAAATATTAGAAGGCAATCACCAACCACCTGCAGGTTAAATGATATAAGGCTTGGCTTCGCAGTTTATTGCCCTTCTTTTTATAGCGACGAGGCGGAATAAAATGAGACAAACCGTACAACGCCGTTTGCAAATTATCTTATCAGATCCACCGCCAAGAAGTCTTGTCTTGCTGAAGAAATCACATGCAATACCAACATAGAGTCTCCATTTTCGTTTTCGTAGCTTCCGAAGAATCGGCAGCACTGCCGATAAAACATTAGGTTAGGAGGTAGGTATGGTAGGTAGGTACCTATCAGGTACCCACTCGTCAACATTCTTGATTTCCTGTTTCATGATACGAAAGATCCATCCGGACCCTTCCCGTGAGAATTCCGGAAACGCATATACGGCACTGGTGTGTGGCTTCTAGACTGTCCACGAATCACTCACCCTTCCTGGACATCCCCTCACCCCTCACTCTATTATATAGCACGCGGATTAAAGGCACATTACGTTATAGTTATTTGATTTCCCTCCGTGTGTCGTCGTATAACTCTGACAGAATTTAGTCATGACAGTTTTGGCCGGGGCCGTAGGAAGGGATATTTTACTACCTAGGTACCTATATACTATTAATTAAAATCCTATCAGTACGTATACCTAAAGTTGGGCTTCTCCCTGTCTGTCATATCGGAGAAGGCCTCTCGCGTCTTCTCCTCCGTCTGGGGTACCGGGGCTCCTCCCTGCAGTCTGTCACGTTTGGCGTTGTCCCAGTAGCAGGTCAACCCATACCCCGCTATGGACACGGCGCCCACGATGAGCGATATCAGGAGCCCGATGTACCCCTTGTGATATTCCGGCGCGTCGTCCGCGCGGAATACCTGCGGGCCCAGGATGTTTCCGACACAGTACCCTAGGAAGAACATGGCGTTCAGGGTGACCTTCTTGGTGTGGCCTGACGTGTTGGCCATGGGCAGAGACGTGCACATGGTGTACGGCGCCCAGTACGAATAGAAGGCGTAGTAGGCACCCAGGAGGCTGAGCTTGTTGTCCGAGGGCAGCTTCCACATCAGTATCGCCGTGGCCATGGGAAAGAAAATCGCCACTACGATGAGGACGCACCGCCAGCCGGGGAATCGGCTCGCGACAAAGTTCAGGATTATAGACCAGGCCGTGGCGATGACACCGGTCGGCATTCCTAGGAGCGTGGTGTCCAGGGGGCTAAACCCCATGCCATTGACGATTATGGCTGCAAATGTGACCAGGCCGCCTGCAGTAGAAAAGGAAATCCATGTTAGTGTGGTCCATCCAATGGATTAGGGGGGTGGATTCATCGTTTTTTCTTTTTTCCTTTTTTTTTTTCCTTACCGTTGGGGATATTGATGGCACACGCAAATATGGAGATCAGCCAAGCTCTAGGTTCCATCAGGCACTCCTTGACCTGATACCACTTGATCTTCTTGTCCTCGATGCCGGTGTTGCTTTTGCGGACCCGCTCGAGGCAGACGTACTTCTGTCGATCGGTCAGCCACCAAGCCTCGACGGGGGAGCTGGGCAGGAACGCGTAGAGGACTGCGGCCCAGACCGTGGTGACGCCGCCGAGGATGTAGAAGAGCAGGCGCCACGGGGCGACGCTCGAGTGCGTGTGGCCGACGCCGTACGAGAACAAGCCTGTGACGACGGAGGATAGGGTGTTGTACCAGATGGCGATCCTGATTGGTTGTTCCTCGATGGTCCACCACATGGCCGAAACTAAGGTACAGACGGGAAAGACCACAGCCTCGAAGATGCCCACTAATATAACATACCATTATTAGCTTGTTCTGGATACCTTTTTTCCCTTGTTCTCCACGGAATTCGACAAGGAAAAAATAAAGAAATATGGAAACAAAAGACTGACTTAGAAACCGAACGGCTGCCAGACTCGCAAAGTCGTTCGTCCCACCCGTAGCAAACGTCAGACCCGCCCAGAAGAGGACCGTGACGGCGTAGAACGTGCGGAGTGGGAGCCGCTGGATGAGGACGTTGCCAGGCCACTCGGCGACGAGGAAGCCGAAGTAGAAGATGGAGCCGACCCAGGAGAACTGGTCGCCCACGAGGCGGGTGTCGTCGCGCATGCCGTAAATCGCCGCGTTCGAGATGATCACCTTGTCGACTGCCGAGATGATTACCGACAGCGCCAGCAGCGGCAGGATGATCAGATCGATCTTCCAGAGTATGCGCCGGGCCTCCTCCTTCGTGATCGGCTCGTTGGCGATGGTCGGGTCCAGCGACGCTAGGAATCGCGCCGCGACGTCCGCGTCGCGTCCTAGACCCGCCAAGTCCCCTGCAGCAGCAGTGTCTGCTGCTGCTACATCATCGCGGCTCACCGTCTCGGTTTCCGCAAGCACGCCTCCCTTCTGGTCCGCGTTGCTCCCATCTGAGTGGTGCATGATTGCGTGTTTTTAGTTGCAAAACAGCGGGTTTTCTACTTGTTAGCAGGTTTAGTTTTGGGTTGGTTTGGTTTTAGTAGTAATAATAGAACGCGTCGAGACAAGTCCGCTATAGATCCTAGAAGATCTTACGATGGCGAGACTGTCGGACGTGTCGTTTTAGTAATAATACGATTAGGAGGAATTGATGATAGTGATAGTAGTCGTAATAGTAGCAGCAGGCGCAGCAACAGCAGCCGTAGTCGTAGTCGTAATTATTTACCTTTCTTTATCCCATGGCAATTCCCCTTCTCAGCTCTCGATACCCCGAGACGCCAATACCAAGCCAATCTTCAACACACGCGCCAGAATGATCACGAACGTTTTTCAGCTTTCTCAGCTAAGTAAACGAGTATTACACATCTAGAAAAGTATCTCATGGTCCGAGCTCCTCTCGCCCCCCCGGGGAAGGCGTCAGCCGAGATAGCTACCTAGCACGGTTGGTTCTGAGAGAAGCTCGAGGCGACGAATTGGGTGTGACAGCCAGTCGTCTAGATTCGGGCCATAAAACTACATGATATGTCGCGTCTGATAACGGGAAACCCGGTTCTTTGGGGCCCGTGCAATGCCTCGCTCTCATTTGCCTGAGCCAGGGGGAGGGGCAGGAGGGGGGGTTACGTTTAAGTTGAACAGCATTGGCTGAGGGGGGCACGTTTTACGGTGGTGGAGACGAGATGCCCATCCGAAAGGAGTTGGAACGTTGTTAGCGGGGAGCTCCAGGGACTAAACTCCGGTAATATTCTTCTTTCCTCGGGGTTCGAGATGCAAGATTCCGGCCAATGAAATTAGGCGGATAGCATTGTTAATAGTAGTAGGTATGGAAGAACGAAGCCGCAGCGAATGCTAGGATCTGATGTAAGTAATAGGTAGGTACCTCTTAGCATGTCCGCAGATCTAAGTCGTGGGTGTATGTTTTCGAGCACGGGATCACCTCGATGAACCCCAGTCTGTCATGTTTTTTTTCCTTTCTCTCTTTAATTGCCGTGGCCGTTACCGACTCTCTGGGTCGTCCTACTGTTGCGGCTAGCCGGCCTCGTCAGCGCCTATTGGCTGGAGGCTTTTGCCATGATGCGGTCAGCATCAATGCTAGTGGTGTGCCATCTCGCTCTGAATAGCACGATGGTAACTATCGTCACTTATCTGGTATTCGGGGATTTTTGGTTGTGCTACCAACGAAAAGACTAGAATACTACGCTCATCTCATGAGATCGTCCTCTGTGAGAAATCGTAACATGAACATCACGACATGATCTGCAAAATCAACATCACAATATGTCAATAAAGAGTATTTATTCAGGCTACTCATTGCGACATTATCAGTAAGAACGAGAAAACAAATATGCGAATTACCTCTTACACAAATAACTATAAACCCATCCAAGGCTAGGCCACTATTACAAATACAATAGCAAGCCCTTATTTCCAAGCGTTTCACTGGCTAAGCATTTTTTGGATTCATGTAAATATGGTCGAGTTTGGATGGGTTCGGACAGCTTCGGAAATATCGGCATCTGATCGGGGCCTTTCAAGTATTTATCATCAGCCCAACTGTATGGAGGAATGTATATTGTGCTAACTAGCAACTCTTAAGCTTTGGTATTTAATTGGGAAAGGGGGTCTAAATAGTCTTCTAGACCTTCCCATCATTCATATGTTGCGCTAGGTAGGTTAAGAGGTACATATAGTAACTACCTTGCACGTTCTAATTTTGACAATTCTTGCGTGGCGGTATCACCACGCCATGTCCCAGTCGACTTGAGTTTAGTATCATCCTTCCACTGCCACTTTGCCTCTTTTTGCGATCCTTGCTCTAGAACTTCCTTGACAAACCCTCCAAAGATTGGCAGCATCTTGAACCCGTGACCCGAGTCTCCAGAGAGCACAATGAGGGAGGAATTGGTATCAGGGACGTAATCAATGATGTAGTCGGAGTCTACCGTATCTGCAAACCAGCACAGGTGTTTGTCGATGAGTGGGCGATCTGCAAATTGGGGAAAGACCTCCTGTAGCAGTTTACGAATGTAGGTCTCGTCCTCCAATGGGACGAATTGGGAATCCTCTAGTTTCCCGTAGGGAAGTGATAGACCATTTGGAGACAGGGCAAAGTTAGTAAAGCCACCCCCCATATGACAGAATTTAAGCTTGTTAGTGGCTTCGTCAGGCTCGAAGAAAAACGCAAGGTCCCGAACGTTGGTGACGGGTATGCCCCTGAGTGGCAAGGCCTCCTCGGGCGTCAGTTGGATGTGCACGACGCCCCAGCAACGGCCAGTAACCTGTGGCCCTAACTGAGGAATCAAGCCCGGCACGTTAGCACCTAGCGCCAACATGACCTTGTCTGCATGGTATATCTTGTTTCCGCGCGTCTTAACCCCGATGCACACCCTTCTAGATGATTTGGTGCCATAAACTAGTTCAGATACTTCCCCGTTGCGAACGAACTCGACGCCCAAATTAACACAGGCGTCGTGGACGGCCCTTGATGCGTCCGCGGAATGAGCGTAGCCAGCCAATTTATTAAAGTAGCCCGACCATCCTGCCGTCGAGCCAGTGAACGCGGGTGCAACCCTCCTTATGCCTTCTGCGCCATGGACTTCTTCCACCTGTCCCTCGAAAGCCGGATGCCCCCTGATCGAAGTTAGGTAATTCGTAACCACATTCTTAGTTGCCTGCGGGGCGTTTTCTGAAGTCACATTCAAGAAACCAGTCTGGTGAAAATGGGGTCTGTACAACGGGTCACTCTGCCATTTGCGGATGGCGCTCTACGACGGGTAGGTAGTGCGTTAGTTAGTGGGAACCCTCCCAGGAAGAAAAAAAGGGAGGAGCTAGTTTTGAAGTTTTGCCAACTTACTATACTGAGATCCGTGTAGAAATTATCAGCGTACTCGGCGCGGATGATTTTGTTGAGATCGTTCCCAGCAGAGAACCGACTGGGTATCACATCGTCTTTCTCTAGAACCGTGATTTTGTCATAACCGGACGAGGCTAAGGTGTACGCGGTTGCTAGGCCAAAACATCCCGCCCCAACTATCAACACAGACGGCTTTGGGGGATCTTGAGGAGTCATTTTGACACAGAGTACCTAATGTGAGAGAGTAGTGATGCGGCTCGCCAAGAGGAAACTGTGATGTTCGAAAAATCTTTACAACTACGAAAGCTTCCTAGTAAGACTACTGTGTTGAAGGGAAGTCGGCCTTATTTTTATAGGAAAAAAAAAAAGTAGCCTTCGTCGTGATCGAGTGGAAACGGGGCGTGCCGATCCACATGAAATCAAGTCGCACGATAGATAAAACTCTGCCGCTATTTGACGTGACACGGAGATCTCATTAACTTGGACTTCTATGGCAGGTGGATAATGCAGAGGACAGGAATTATGTTCACCCTCTCTAAGCTGCTCTTAGAATCTACGTTTAGGCGTGTTTGGGGATGGGTATGGCTAGCAGGTGTAGGCGAATGCTATGTTAGGGATCTAAAGAGGCAGAGAGACTAGGCGACACAAAAGTACACGATGGAGGGTCACGATGACAAGTTGGGCGAGATGGGATATGTGGCTAGGGAGTGTTTGGGATCTCGGACATACGTTGATGTATACGCCTTGGGTTAGTTTGGGTACCTCTTTGCTATGAGGCAGTTATTCTCTATACACCTCTACCTACTAGGGCATCGGAAATAATGCACATATTTCCTACTTAGGTACGCATACCAGGTAGGTATCACTTATACCGGGTATCTAACCTGATGTACACTATTCAAAGTACCTGTTACTATATTAGGTAGGTAGGTACCTTACATATAGTTGTCCTATAACAGGTAACTCTATCACATACATTAATTTGAGGAAGTTATAAGTGGTGGTATAAGTGGTAGTAAAATATGATATATGTACATAACTTGACCTAGTTCCTAATTTAGCATCGTACATGTAGCACATACCATATGGAAATATGTACAACCCAAGTTCCTAATGAAGTATATACCAGGTACCTAGGTGCCTAGGTACCTAGGTATGTCTACTTACATAAAGTATCTTAGGTTAGATTATCTAACCTGTGTTAGCATGAGTCCATCACGGAATCTAGAAAGCGGGTCCTGATTGGGTCCCGCCCGGATGTTTTTAGCGCCGTCGGCTTGACCTGCCTGCCTCCTGCTCTCTCATATATCTTCTGTCCGTGATCCCCACATCCCGTATCGGAGAGAGGCGGGGTCGAATAAAATTAATAGGTTGACCCACCTTCCAAGGTAACGGCGGGTACTATTACTACTACTACTAAATCTATAGCGTCTCTCTACAGCGTCACTTTACATTAGTTAGACTCGTTTTCCCTTTACAAAACCTCTAACAAAAGTAAAACCACTCCCGGCGAACCCTCCGAGCCCCCGGAGCTCTTGTATCACCTACGGCAATAGTAAACAACTCGACGACGTAACACAACAAAAATAAACACCCAGACCACACCTTAGTAAATTACTAAATTACTGAATTCAACTAGACTTGTGTTACCCAGGTCCGATTCCTTGTCGTTCCGACCTTCTCTAGCATTCACTCAGTCGACTCCTAATATCCGGATGAAGAATAATGCAGCATCCACACTTCGTATGATTTATACGCACTACGGTTGACCGGGAACGCCTCCGCCGCGGAAACCGTCTTTTTCTCGTGACATCAACTTTTTAAAGCCAAGATCGCGGATTTCGTCTCGAAATTCTACCATGGCTCCCGAAGATAGCCAGGGACCCTTGGGATTAAATCCCAAATTAAAAATTAAGATCGCTATTGGTACGCCACCTTGGCCAGTGGCGCCCGAACGTAATGCTTAATCAAGCACAGATAGAGGCGGCACTTTCACTGATTGTCTGGGCATAATCGACGGGCGGGAAGATGATATTGTAGTCAAGATTCTGTCCCAGGACCCCTCTAATTACGACGATGCCCCTATCGAAGGTATTAGGCGTATTCTCGAAAACGCCACCGGAAAGACTTTTCCTCGTAATGAGCCAATCGACACTTCTCAATTCGAGGAGCTCAGCATTCGTATGGGAACTACCGTAGCGACAAATGCACTGTTAGAGCGCAAGGGCGAGAAAGTTGCTCTTCTCATCACTGAAGGTTTTTCGGATAGTTTGAAAATTGGTCTTCAATCACGTCCAAAGTTATTTGATTTGAACATTGTCCGCCCGGATGTGCTGTATGAAAAGGTTGTCGAAGTCGCTGAAAGAGTCACAGTTGAAGGCTATCAACAGAACCCGTTCTACGAAGAAGAAATCGTAGCCATTCGCAAAGCAGCAGAGAGCGATCCAAACCTAGTTCAGGGCCTCAACGGCCAATATATCCGAATACTCAAGCCTTTAGACAAAGACCGCGTCAGAAAAGACTTACAAGGTCTTTACGATGAGGGGTTTCGCAGCATATGCGTTTGTCTTGCTCATTCATATACCTTCCAAGGTACTAAACTACCTAAAACTGAACCCTCTCGGTTTATGGGTTGTTAACTTTTCCATTAGATCATGAACGGGCTGTCAAGGACATAGCATCTGAGATTGGGTTTCCTCAGGTGACGCTATCATGCCTCACCTTGCCCATGATCAAGATGATTTCCAGAGGTATGTCAGCTACAGCGGACGCTTATCTTACACCAGTCATACAGCAGTATATTTCGGGATTTCAGTCAGGTTTCACAGACCGATTACAATCGTCCAATACTCGTTGTGCTTTCATGCAAAGTGATGGGGGTCTGGTAGATGTGAGGAAGTGAGCTTGTATTGCTTCAATCTCTTATAACGTACCGGGCGCTGATGCTGCTAAAGGTTCAGTGGTCTCCGGGCCGTTCTTTCGGGTCCTGCAGGAGGCGTCGTTGGCCACGCCGGCACTAGTTACGACCCGGAGGATAAGATACCAATCATCGGATTCGACATGGGTGGCACGAGCACTGACGTTTCCCGATTTGATGGCATATTCGAACATACCTTCGAAAACATCACGGCAGGGATAAGCATAATGGCTCCACAGCTCGACATAAACACAGTTGCCGCTGGCGGAGGGAGTATCCTGCATTGGAGACACGGCCTCTTTGCCGTAGGACCTGACTCGGCAGCCGCACATCCGGGTCCGGCGTGTTATCGCAAAGGCGGCCCCCTAGCTATCAGCGATGCAAACGCCTTAACAGGCCGTCTTTTACCTGATTATTTCCCCAAGATCTTCGGAAAGAGCGAGAACGAACCGTTAGATGTTGAAATTACTCGAAAGAAGTTCGCCGAGCTCGCCGCGCAGATCAACACGGAGACGGGCCAAAACAAGACCCCCGAAGAGGTCGCTATGGGGTTTATCGAAGTCGCGAACGAAACGATGGCAAAACCGATACGTGCTTTAACCGAAGCCCGCGGGTACGATACGTCCACTCACCATCTCGCCTGCTTTGGCGGTGCTGGAGGCCAACATGCCTGTGCTATCGCAACGTCGTTATCAATTACTAGAGTCATCATTCATCGCTACTCATCCATCCTCTCTGCATATGGCATGGCACTCGCCGAACTTGTGCATGAGGCCCAGAAGCCTAGCTCTGGCGTTTTTACCGCGGCTGAGTCCGTCTCACCAACTGTTAATGAGTTGAAAGAGGAGGTGACAAAGGAACTCGAACTTGATGGAATCCCCAGAGGCCGTATCAAGCATGAAGTTTACCTCAATCTAAAATACCAGGGAACTGACAACAGCCTTATGATCCTCGAGCCAGCCGATGGCGACTATCTTGCAGAATTCACCCGCCAACACCAGCGAGAGTATTCGTTTACCTTCCCAGATAAGAACGTCCTTCTTGAAGATATCCGCGTTCGCGGTATTGGACAGTCCATGGACAGTCCCAATGAGTCACCGAATCGCGAGCTTTCCTCTGTTGCGAAATTTGACGCCGCGAAGTCAGATGAAGATGGAAAATCTTCTGTATACTTTTCCGGATATGGTTGGACAGACTCGCCTATCTACCTACTGGAAAAATTGAAACCCGGATGTGTTATTCAAGGACCGGCTACGATCATCGATAACACTCAGACTATAATTGTTGAGCCTCTTGTGAAGGCGACAGTTCTAAGCCGCCATGTCATACTAGATCTTCCTTCCAAGAGGACACAGACGTTGAGTCCGACGGTGATAGATCCTATTCGATTGTCGATATTTGGACACAGATTCATGTCAATTGCCGAACAGATGGGGAGAACTTTTCAAAAGACATCGGTCTCTACTAATATCAAAGAGCGCTTGGACTTTTCATGTGCGCTTTTCTCTCCCGATGGTCGCCTCGTCGCCAATGCGCCCCATGTTCCGGTCCATTTGGGCTCGATGGAGTACGCCGTCAGGTTCCAGAATGAGAGATATCGAGATACCCTTAAGCCAGGCGACATTCTCTGCAGCAATCATCCCGTAGCTGGAGGTGTACACCTTCCTGACATTACAATCATGACACCGATATGGGATGCGGAAGAGAAAGACATTATCTTCTGGGTCGCTTCTCGGGGTCACCATCCCGACGTGGGTGGGATTAGTCCTGGCTCTATGCCTTCTAACAGTAAGTTTCTATACGAGGAGGGCGCTGCCACGATAAGCTATAAGATCGTCAGCGGTGGTATTTTCAATGAAAAAGAGACGCGCCGGTTCCTGTACGACGAACCCTCCAAATATGCCGGATGCAGCGGATCTCGTAACTACAAAGACAACCTTTCCGACATGCGCGCCGCGATTGCAGCTAACAGAAAGGGCGCTAATCTGATCGACGCGCTCGTCAGGGAGTTTACCTTACCCGTCGTGCACAGATACATGAACGCGATCGCAGAAAATGCCGAAGTGGCGGTTAGGAACTACCTGCGCTCGGTAGCGAAGAAGCTCGACGGCAAGCCGATCTCGTTCGAAGACTACATGGACGACGGGTCGGCGATCGTCCTGAAGATCCAGATCGACGGCGAGACGGGGAACGCGGTGTTCGATTTCACCGGCACCTCGGAAGAGACGCTCAACTGCCTCAACGCCCCGAAGGCCATCACCTATTCGGCGGTTATATACTCGCTGAGATGTCTTATCAATCAGGACATACCGCTGAACCAGGGGTGCATAGCCCCCATCGACATCGTCCTCCCCGAAGGCACGATCCTGAACCCGTCCTCGTGGGCGGCCGTCTGCGCGGGCAACAGCATCACCTCGCAGCGGGTCACCGACGTGATCCTGGGCGCCTTCCACGCGGCGGCCGCGTCGCAGGGGTGCGTCAACGTGTTCGGCTTCGGCATGGGCGGCACGGACGGCGCCGGCAACGAGGTGCCGGGGTTCGGGTACATCGAGACGATCGCGGGGGGGTCGGGGGCCGGGCCGGGCTGGCACGGCGCGTCGGGCGTGCACACGCACATGTCCAACACGCGGTGCGCCGACCCGGAGGTCTACGAGCTGCGGTACCCGGTCGTCCTGCGGCGGTGGACGCTCCGGGCTGGGTCCGGCGGCGCCGGGAGGTTCCGCGGCGGCGACGGGTGCGTGCGCGACGTCGAGTTCCGCGTCCCGCTGCAGGTGTCGGTGCTCAGCGAGAGGCGCGTCACGCGGCCGTACGGTCTGGAGGGCGGGCGTCCGGGGGCTGCGGGGAAGAACCTATACGTCAAGAAGGAGGGGGGGAAGGAGAGGATTATTAATATCGGGGGGAAGATGGAGTTGCATGTGGTTCCGGGGGAGAGGGTTATTATTAATACGTAAGTTTATCCCCCCCCCCCCTTTCCATATAACTACGGTACCTAAGGTATCCCTTTCTAAGTGCTCCTTTTTCCCTTTTTTCCCTTTTTTCGATGAAGGAAAGCTAATCGCTTGTCTGCGTAGTCCTGGCGGAGGTGGATGGGGCACGCCGGAGGAAGACGACGGACCGGAGCTGGGAAAGGGGGGTTCTACGAATGGTGCCACGGCGACGAAACAGTTCGAACCACGAGGGAGTGTTCATAATTGGACTTTGGCTGCAGAGGGGATCTGAAATTTGGTTACCTACGGTGGGTTACGTTGGTGAGATGATACTTGCTTTTGCTTTCTGGATAGGTGGGAATTATCTACTTGTTTGTTCCGGGCTTAGGGATCTGATGATGTTGAACACATATGGTCTTTCATTTTGGGAAGCTGGTTAAGATTGTAAGACCACTATGCTGGCGATAGTTGGTTGGGTTTGGTCTATTATGGCATGGATTTCGTTGTTATGCTATTATTATATGCAGGCTGATCTCGAAATATTACCTCTCTTGCCACTATTCCCGCCTCTCCTCTTCTCTCCTCTCCTCAACTTGAACACATGATCATTCAGAGAACCATGCTGATATTTAGGATACGATCTCTTGAACTTATCGTCGCACTCGTCATCACTGCGGCTTATTATCCCGAGATCGATCGTCGCAGATGGACCTCAAATCATGCCATTTTGGTCTTATTTAAGGGGTTATCCCTTGCCTGACCTTATTTATACTATACCGTTCGCCGCGGCAGATCACCCCTATCATTTATGACAGGTAGGTCGAGTCAGCAGACCGGGCCTATAAAACTTGTTCGATGTTGCAAGTTCGTCACGCCACGCGCAGACACCGCCTTCATTAAACACCGAAAGGTATAAAAAGTATTGCGTAATACCGACCTATATTGTCAACCGCATATTAATAATATATTTATGTATGTATGAGGTACCTAACCTAACCTAACCTATGTACGTTTAATCCCTTGTCAGCCTTGGCTTAGAAACTTACCCACCTATGCCACTGGCATGTGCTTGCCGTAGACTAAGGTACCTCTTAGGATAGATCTGATTCTCAACATAGAGATTGATTGATAGAGGATTGAGAGGGAGAGAGTCTTGGGCTCGTTACGATGTCACAATGCATGTGTGCCGTCGCCGATATGAACAGTGCCACATAACCAATCAGCAAGCCACGAGGCGACGAGAATATACTACCTACCCAAGGGAGACAACAGGTAGGTAAGGTAGGCAAGTTAGTCCAACAATGCTCCTTATGCCAGTCCGGATCCTAGGCGTGATGATGTATTATCCTAAGGGAGTTATAGGGTCCCGCGATGCCACCTACCTAACGGCAAAATTCATGAGCTTCATGGTCCGGCTTGAACAGTCTCGCGTATTTATACTGGCGGGCATTTCCTTTCGCCATGGTCTGCCTGCTGGTATCAACAAGGACTTCCCGTGTTAAAGCATACAGGGCGCATAGCACCAGTGCCTTGAAACAAAAACATACCTTACATACCTCATATATTCTACACGCTTTCTGCTAGCACTAAACCCCCCTAGGCCTTTTAAGAGAAAAGAGAAATATATATATATATATATCTCTCCTAGACACCTACCTGACCTACCATGTCGGACTCGGACGCGGACTACAAGAAGCAAGTCGAAGAAGCGAACCAGACGCTCATCGACGGGCTGTCGGCGCACGTGAAAGTAGCGGGCCGCGGCGAGGACGTGGAAGAGCACTCGTGGGAACCGTTCCTGAAGCAGCTGAAAGGGCTGGTGGCGGACGGGGAGCTCCTGGACGGCGCGCGCTCCGAGCTCGAGGAGTTCCGGGACAGTCTGCTGGACAACACCAGCAACCTGTTCCGGTACAGGGGCCGGGAGCTCGAGGACGCGCTGAATACGCCTGTTAGGGATGACTGAAAACACGCGAGGCTGGGGAAAGGGGGGTCTTTGGCTATCGTTGGGAGGTGGTTGGGGGTGTTTGGGAGGGCGAGGGGACAGGAGTGGCTGGTTGACGACGTTACCTACCTACCTAACGATAGGAGTTCTTTCTCTTTGGTGGGTGGTCCTGATATCTCGGTTTGGGCTTGTGCCTTTTGTTCACTCCTTGAAGTTGGTTAAATAGAAGTTAGGTTAGGCTAGGTACCTAAGGAGGTATTAATTCGCTAATCACTTTCGATCATATTGAACAAACACGTTCGGTGGACCCGGAGAGATGGGTTCTCAAGTCTAAGCGGTGAATTTCTTACTTCGTTGGCTGGATCGTATGCATGGCGAGTTATCGATTCATTGGGCCGCTCACTTGCAGCATGGAAATAGAGTGATCTTGACTTACGATTTTATTTGCTATGCATCTATCTTTACGTCGATTACACTATGACGACCCCTATTGCAGAGGCGTTAAATATCACGGCAAGGGGTTTTCATACTTGCATCAATTCTTTCCTTATTGACAGCAGGTAGGCTGGCTACCTCTTTCAACGGGTCTTCGTAAGCCCGCGGGTATCACTAATCCTTATTCACTTGCCTGTACCTTTCGGAATTCCTAGTTCGGCTCTTCTGCTCTGGACTTCCTCAACCGCACCCGCGGGATCAGTAGCTTCCGGATGACGGAGCTGCCAGGCGACGCAAACATCTAGAGCTTGGTTCATCCACCGGCCGGGTTTGACGCCTAGGGCCTTGGAGAGCTGAGTGCCGTCGATTAGCCGTTTCAGCGAGGGGGCTTCCATAACGTCTATCTCATGCAGATGGTCTAGGAACGCTTGCCATTTACGTAGGAACTCGTCTTTCGTGACTGTCTGGTTATTAGTGTGGGCATCCAATAAACTGCCACGTACGTTCTCATACCTTGTCCGTTCGACTCTCCGCCCAGGGTGTCTATAGCTTCATGAAGAAGGGCGTATAATACTTGCAACCTCCAATCGCAATTCTTGTTGTTCCATTGCCGGATTGCCATTCCGAATCTATCCCTTTCCGTGATGAAAGGCGCCTTATCCGAAACGGCTGTCACAAGAGACATGATTTCGGCCCTGTTGTTATGGGCGGCAGTTGTGAGTTCACAGAGCTTGCTGGGTGCTTTGATACCTTCTCTCACCACTTGAGTTACTAAGGGAGGTGGCGGCTTTCCCTTGCCTGAATGTTTGGGGTCTTCGACATTTTCCCAGGGGCAGACGGCGGCGAGGATCCAGGCATGATAGGCAGCCTCATCTGATCGCACAAGAACGTCGTAGATGGAACCGGGGGTCTTGTTTAGGCGAAGTGAGTCAAGGCAATCATATGCTATCTTCCAAGTCGAAATATTTGGAGTTGGCATGTGCTCGTTGGATGGATCCGTGAAGATTGTATGGTAAAGTCCGAGATGGTTGATGTATTCTAAACATTTGCGAGGATGTTTACCTGTATCGTCTTATTAACAGCTGGATGGCATGACGTTATTGTTGCTTTACTTGCCCTTAAGCATCTTTTCAAGCTCAACGCCGACCCTCTCGCGGCTAATCTTTAAACGTAAGGCATCGAGAACTCGGGGGTCGCCCATCACCTTCTCGGCAGCGGGATCGATGGTGAATTCTAAGCGGCTAGCAAACCTGACCAATCTGAGCACGCGGAGGGGGTCATCCATGAAAGTCTGAAATGGCTCTAAAGGCGTTCTTATCAGGCGCGACTTCATGTCCGCTAACCCAGTGGTGAAGTCCTCCACCTTACCAGTGTTAAGGTTATAGAAAAGAGCGTTAACGGTAGCATCTCTCCGCAGGGCATCTTCCTCGGCGGTTCCAAATTCCATCTGGGGATTTCGGCTATCTTGGGCGTATGTCTCCTTACGAAGATTCACGAAATCAACATCGTATCCCAAGAGCCTGATAGTTGCGGTCTCGAGATGTTTCGACTTTTCTGGATTTGCCGCGATCTTGTGAAGACCTCCGATATCTGACTCTGCGATAGCATGTTTCTTGATAGTATCAGGCTGCTCGCATAGCTCACGTAGTTTCAGTACGAAAGCCTCTCCGGTCATAGTATTAATAGCCGTATCGATATCGTGAGACTCAATTCCTAAAAGCTTATCACGAACCCATCCCCCGGCCCATCGTAAAACAACCGGATCCCGAGTCTCCCCTGACTCATCTATAAACTTGGCGGCGTCTAAAAGCAAGTCTTTGAGCTGAGTCTCCTTTGGGGTGAGTTCAATAGTAGTTGTCACTGGTTGCGTTGCCATCTTCCTGAACTGAGAAGGTGGTTGAACGATAGAGTCTTCGCCTAAAACTTCCAACTTCCTTTTTAACATGAGGAATTGTGATATTATTCGTTGAGGGCGGGACTTATATCCATAGGAATTCCAGATGAAATATGCCGATGGGCGTAAAAGAGGGCGCATCGACTTCCGGGATGACTCAATATGCGAGTAACGATCAAGACAATGTCCACGTTAGATCGATAATTACATAAATTAATAATTATTGGACGAAACCTCGAATTTGTTTATTCATTTAGGTTAGGTACCTAGATTTGTACTTGTTTGCGATTTGCGATTATTGTTTTTAAGCTTCACGGCCACTAAAAGAAGTCGATAGGTGGGTCGGTGACAGGCTGCCAGCTGCCAGCTTTGTCAGAAACGAGCATTGAATCCGATTGGCTTGTCAGTTTGTTGCACTGACCACATTTCTCAAACAAACCTTGTACTTCGTACCCCCTTACCCCTTTTAGGTATTCTTTTTTACCGCACCATTACAACTGAGCAGCACCTCTCTTAACAGCAGCCCAACTTTGACACCCATATAAAATCATCACACGCCTTATAATTCAATCGCTTCAGAAGCATCATAGGAACACAATAAATAAACACTCTTTAACTGTGATGATACCCGTGCAAGTACTCGAATAGCCCAGAAAATATTACCCAAAAGCCATATCAGCATTCCTTTCTAAATAGGCAACAATAGCGAATGATACTCTATGTCAATCTAGCACGAATTTCTCCAACTAGGTTAGGTGGGTTTTGAAACATCTTCCCGTGGCGGGCCATGATATATTCCTCAGTTGCGATTGGCTCCCCACCGAAAGTGTCAAATATTACGTCCGGCTCATGATGTTCCCGTAGAAGCCGAGGGCTCACAGCCACGATGGACAGCCCAATACGCCCGCATCGATACTACATCCGCTATAGAATTGTTCTTGTGATAAGTCTCCCGAATGAGACTTAGGCTTCAAAATAGCCAGATTGGGAGTATGCAATACCACAACTTCATATCGAGCGTTTGGAAGTCGTGGGGAAAAGGGGCCCCTAGCGGCAGCAATCTTGAATCAATACCATAGTGCTTAGTCCCTAAGACTAGAAGAGAAATAGATGCGAGCAGAGGTAAGAGATCGAAAGTCTTCATTGACCGAAATTTCTATAAAACGGTCGGTCCGCGCTGAGGAATGATAGACTTTCAACATCGCACATCAATCAGTTCAACGCCAGCCTCAAGACTTCTTCCATTCTTCCTTGACAATTTCTCCCTGCCGGTCAGGTATCTTAATTCATATATACCTTACCTCTCTCTCTCTCTCTCTCTCTCTCTCTCTCTCTATTTCTTTCTAATTACTTGACAATGCCTTCCTTCAAAGCCCTAGCTACTCTCTGCATCATGGCTGCAGCCCAGCTTGCTGCAGGCCATGCCGCCATTACCGAAGCTACCGGCGACGCTGGTGGAACCGGCAGTAAATAGCCCACCACCATACTTTTGAGCACAAAACGGTGAACTAACTTGGACAATAGTGGCTCTCGGTATTGATACTTCAACTCCCCGAGACGGAACTAGGCGCAGACCGTTCCAGCAGGACAGCACTCGCTTCCGAGGGGACCAAGCCGACACCGTCGGCGAGACCGTCGGCGCCGGCAATAACAACATTGAGCAGGGAACGAAGGCCATCATGGAGGAGACCGGGGACCAGCTCCCGCAGATCACGGCCGGCGGGCAGCTCAAGATGACGCTGCACCAGGTGAACGGCGACGGGGCCGGTCCTTACCAGTGCATGATCAACGACGACGGCACGGGAGAGGACTGGGAGGATGTCGAAGTTACGCAGTCCCCTCCCGGGGAGAACTCGCGGGATCGCGCCGGCAGCAAGACGGATTTCCCGCTCGTCGCAGCTATCCCCGACGACCAGAAGTGCACCGGCACCGTTGCCGACCAGGAGAACGTTTGCTTGGTCAGATGCCAGAACGGTGCTAGAGCCGGGCCTTTCGGTGGGGTCGTTCCGGTCCAGAGTAAGATGCTTGAACTCCCCCCCTTTTGGATGACTTTATCTAGTGTTAGCAACTAGTAGACTAACGCTATATGCAGTGTCTAATTCGGGTTCGACTTCGACTTCGAATTCTACTTCAACTGATAATATACGCCGAAGTATCTCTCGGGTTATGAGGAAGAGCGTTGACTTTACTGCTTAGATGGGGGAGTGGATGCTGCTTTGCTTCCAAGGGATCATTTCGGGTCTGGGTATAGCCTAGAGAGTCAGCAATATGATGCGAGGTATAAAGACGGGCTGGGTCCTGTATATTCATGCCTATGGCTGGTCTAGATGTTCTAGCGCTTGATGTGGACATATGTATTAATAAATTAATTTGAAGGGGCGACTATTTGTTTTCATCTTCTGATTGGATGGTAATTACGAAATTGTCTTATATCCTTTGGAAATGATCTGAAGTAGCGTGGTATTGAATAGTACAGGATCCGATGCTTGATGACGTGCAGCTAGAGGCTTTGCTCGTAAAACTGATCTCCTCTCTTATATCACAATAACTACCTAACCTAACCTAAGGTACCTATGTACTTGTATTATCATCCATTGGATAGAAGATATCTAGAGTTATCTATGGGTTGTCAATCGCAATGATATTCATGCTCTATTACACCATGCAGCCACCGTGATATCCATTAGAAACTTACCTCATGTTTTTTCTTCATGTCTCAGACAAAACAGGGCTGCAGGTTTCATGCGTGCAGTTTAATCCTCAGAGCACAAGCATCCACCATAGCGAGGCCGATAGAGGTCTAGACCTCGCCAAAGCAAGATCCATACCTAGGATTTTCAGCTAACTACCTCATAGTATTCAGTACCTAATACTTCCTATTAGGTGCAAGTGACCAGTCGTAGATACTTATCGCCAACATCACCTTTAGCTGATACTATCCCATCTCTTCGATCAGCACTAATAATACACGCGTAGGAATAACCAGTCCCGTCGTTGCTGCTAAGACGCTAATGTCGCAATGTATAACTTGTTAACCTAGCACCTAATGTAGTGTATCTACAAGCGCATCGCTGATTGGTGCCCATGATTTCACCAGAAACGGTTGGAGTAATACCGCGTTAGTATTGTACAATACAAGTCACATCAACATTCGCTCTCCATTCGCTAGGGTTAGCTCCGGGTGTTATGATTGACGTCATGGATTAGACGACCTTTAGACGTCTGGAGCTAAAAGACCTAGAGGTAGTGTAAACAGATACAGATGGCTAACTACATATCATCACATCAACCTACGAGAAGAGGGCCATTTGTGGTTTCCGATTTTGCGTCACACCAACCTGCAAGTGACGGGTCTCGACTTACACAGCCACCGTAATAGACTATGGGATATCTACCTACCTAAGGTAAGGCTAGTGAGAATATACATACGTAGTCTGGTGACAAGTAATCGGGCTGTTCCTTTGTCAGTCACATACCACCTGGTCAGGTATCTAGTTCCCCCTATCTTACATTACGATGAGAGCTGCTGCGGGCTGCCGTGGATACGAGCAAGTCGTTGACTTGTGACCGGAAAGCTACTGTGATATTCCTGAGACGACCCGAGAAATGGGGAATAGGGGTCTTACAATAACCCTTGCATTATCAGAAATGCGGGGGAGAACGGCGAAATGTCTACTAGGCAGCTAGGTCGTAAGGTACCCTAGTATATCAACGTTAAAGGATATACGGATATAGGTAGGTATGACGATAAACTACAAAGCCAAGCCTATAATGTTGAGGGCTTTACAATGCAACGAATAGCTATTGGTCAGTTTCAAGGGTCTAAAGAAATCGGCTGCACGAGGAAGGCTGGCTGGAATGGCTAGCGGGCATCGATCGCCGTTCTCACTTTCCTTTAGAATGCTTGGCTTGGAGCTTAGTTGCCCTTTGCCTACCGAGTTGTGATGTTTTCCGAAGCCGTGATCGCTAAAGGATAGCTGCAGCGTGACCAATGAGAGATCCGGAGTGTCACAGCATTATATACCCGGATTGATGGGAGGCAAACACAATTACCACTTCCGGGAGATACGCCCTTTGTGTTGCTCATAGGGGAGAGAGAAAGGGTCCTGAGATAGACGAAAGATGATGATGCTACGCCACAATATCTTTCATAATTGGTTCCCCAGCAGATTTTGGGAAAGATCAGAGGAGCTACGTACTTGAAACCCAAGGCAGGTGAAGATTGGCAAAACTCTACATCGTTCGATAGCATCATCAGCCCGGTCCTTCCAGTTTGTATAAGAACTCCCCCCAAACCCCGGATATAGATAGGAGTGATTCTCATCTACTAGTGTCGGAAGACATCTGGAGATACATAATACGATCTCGATTCTTTTAACTCACATTATACCCTATTTATTCGAAACATATATCAACCTACCAATACCTGCACGTTCCTCATCTAAGGTACCTCTTATACACATTTTACTTGAACACCTTCAACACTACAAGATAGTTTCGATCATCGAACTCTTTTTACATGGGACCGTATTATAAACCGATTCACACCACATAGACGAACCTGGACAAAACACAATCCATCATGGCAGCAGCAAACTACCAGACGGACACGCCCCAATTCACCAACACCTTCTCCAGCAGCGAGCAACCCGCAATCAGGGAACGCGCAGGATCGCGAGACTACACACTCACCGACGAATGGGGTACGTATTATATTCCTCCTCTTCTCCTCCTTCCACTCCTTCCACTCCAACTTCCCAACTCACATGCACACACACACACACACACAACAAGCTAACTCCCACTAGACGCAGCCAAGACGCCCCCCTCGCGGTTCCAGAAGCGCAAGGGCAGCATCTACGCGACGCCCTCGTCGCGCGACGGGCACGTGGAGCGCAACCGCGACGCCGTCGAGGAGTTCCATCGGGCCCACTCGAAGCGCTGGTCCGTAAGCAGTTCGGGCTCGAGCCGGCGCGCCAGCTTGCCCGGCAACAGCAGCAACAGTAACAGCAACAGCAACGGTAACAGTAATAACCATACTACTGCTACTACTGGTACTTCGAATAATGGTTCCGACCAGCGGCGCAAGGCTAGCCAATAGGTCTAGGCGACGCCGGTTTTTCCGTGGGGCCGGGACGGGCTGGCTGTGCGGGCACCGCCGCTGCTACCGCTGCTACCGCCGCCGCCGCTGGCATAGCGAGTGAAGGTAAAGATACAAGGAATGGGAAGGGGATAGGCGCGTGGTTCGCGGGCCTATGCGTAGGGGAGAAACTGGAAGAAATAGAAGGCGAAGACAATGGAAAGCAGGATGGGGGAAAGGAGGAAGAGGAGGAGGAGGAGGGAAGGTTCATGAGCCCCGGGATGTTGTTCTTACGGGGCGTGGTGGCTTCGCTGGCTTGTATGACTTACATAGGGTATACCTAACCTTGGTCGTTTCCATTCCTGTTTTACTATTACCTTTACGACGTTTACCTTACTTTACGTTGCCTTAACACCCTTACGAATAGCTTTATGAAATGCGCACGAAGACATGAAGTCAAATTTAAATAACGCTTTTTTTTTGTCGGGTTAACAATATGAATAGTTAGTTGGCTTGGTTCGACAGTAGTGAGGGTAAGTTGTCTCTTAAATGCGGAAACATGCGGAAACATTTACGTAGGTAGGTAGCAAAGCCATGGATGAAGACTTCAACTCTGTCTCTTTAGGGCGCTTGGATTAAACGTATTAATAATTATATGACTTTTATTACAACCTTCTATTTTACCCTTTCAAACCTCCCTTCTAACCAGGCAGCCTAGTCCCCCCAAAAGCACCAACCACAGCCACGAACTAGTTACCCCAAATATAAGAGGTAGGTATAACTCAGGTAAGCGGTGGAAACCTACGAGTCGTAGTACATACAAGGTTAGGTACCTACCTACATACCTCCTAACATAGTAGCTCGTTACCTTGGACACTAGAGCTACAATAGGTGACCATGACGTTCTGGCCCGTAACAAAAAAAAGCTGAGAGCCATCGATCTCCAAGTTACCATCAGGTAGGTACCTGGTAGGCTAGCTAACAATTTCCAAGTGTTCCTCACCCAAAGATCGAAAAAGGACGGAGGGACCAACGATAACGTCATCTATGACACGGTAACAACTCATCTACCGAACCCTCCCCTCCCCCCAACGCTACATCGCCTTCGATTTAGGGGGCATCAAAGCAAGCCAATAGAGGTACACAACCTCTTCCCTGACCCCAAACCAAAGAAAAAAACCCCCTCCTTCTACTTAAGCACCTTAGGCACCTGCACATACCTAACATCACGATCACCCTTATCCTGCCACCTACATGTCAGTCTAGCAGTAACTCACGTGTAGGTACGTAGCAAGTATACTCGAAAACCGATTTTGGGTGTTAGGTAAGTGGATTTTCATAAAGTACCTAGACTAGCCTGACCTAACCTAGGAAACTAGATAGACGGGTGTAGGTAAGTAGGCTGGTAAGGTAAGGTAAGGTAAGGTACGTTATGTATGTATGTTTACCTAGTAGGTATCTTGTCTTGCTTCTTCTTTCCGACTCTCGCACCGCACTGGGGAAACAACAAAAGAGAGAAGTAGGACCACCCAAATAAAAAAAAACCCCGAAAAAATAAATAAGACGCGTCACAAAACGGAATACAACGCAAATATCTGCATTGCTAGCCGCCCTATCCTTTCACCTATGCCAAATGTCAAAATGCCAAGTTAACTAAACAGCAAACGGGGGGGAAACCCCATCCTAGAGGCTGGTTTTTATGCTAGTCATCGTCCATGCCGTCGATGTCGATGGCGTCTGGATTGCTGGGCGCTGCGACCGGTTCCTTCGTTATTGTCCCCGCTAGTCCCGTGCTCGACGCCACGAATCCTGCTGGCGCTCGGGCCTGCCGTTCTAGCTGTTCCATCGCATCTGCAACTTCAGGGTCTCCTCCGTTCGCCGCTTCTGACCCCGCCCGTGCTTGATTCGCACGTGCGATAGCTTGTGACGCGATGAAATTGACATCCGTATTGTATTGTGCTTGCACACTGCGCTTGATACGCAGCATCTCCTTGTACGTATCTTCGTTGCCGTGCTGCACCTCGAACTGTTCCCACTTACTCCAGAATGCCGGATTGGTGCGGGGGTCGCAGAATTGTGATGCATGTCCGTAGATAGCGCGGGCCCGATCGATTTCGCCAAGGCGTTTCTCCATGTCGGCAAACTTCAGACACATATCTCGTGCTTCTTCGTCCGGTAGAGCTGCAATAGCCCTTTCGTAGATCGGTCTTGTGGATGGCAACCCGAAATTAGACGCCGACTTGGTAATATAGAAGTTGAACATATCTGCACGGTCTTCGTCGGCGACTGCGCGGGTGGCTCTTTCGTAGATGCGCATAGCGTGCCTCGCTAAGCCCCTTTCCTCCTCTAGATTACCGTACATAAGATACAACACTTTAGCAAATTTGGGCGGGCAATCTTCTACTGCCTGCTCAAAGAGATCTCGAAGTCTCTCAATCCCAATCTTCCTATCCACCGCTTTGGTCAAGTAGAGATTCCATAGTTCGAAAGCCACCGGGTAGCTAAATAGGTCCAGTCCTCTCTCGTATATCTTAAAGGACTCTTCGTAGTATTTGTGCTCCTCCATGAGATTGGCATAGTTGACGACGGTTTGCGGAGTGGCAATTCGAAGTTCAAATATTCGCTCGTAAACCTTCTTCGTCTCCTCCAGGGAGCCGACACTCTCAACGAGATCAACGTAGAAACTCCAAAGCTTCCAACTTTTATGTACTCTTTGTTGCGGCGATAAAGTCTCATCGAAATAATCCACAGTAGATCTCTTCGGAGCTTGCGTGGCCTTTGCCATAATCTTAACGGCTTCATCAAAGTTCTCGTTGCGGAGTTCCATCTCGGCCCACTCAATCCACATATCAGCCAATTCGGCGACAGATTTGAATGGAACCTTGACAGCTTTCTCCATAATGATGCGTGCATTTCGGATATCGCCGCCCTTTTCGTAGAATTTGGCATAATTCGCCCATAATTCGTGAAACGGTCCAACGGCTTTCTTCGGATTGATCGCGGCAATGGCATCTGTATATGTCTGAACGACCTCAGCCTTGTTATCCCCCCAAAGTATTACTCGTTTCTCCCATTCCGAAACGCTATTAGGATTCTGTCGTAGTAAGACGTCGTTCAGAAGGAATGGTCGTCGATCCATTAGCTGTTCGAATCGCATCATGCGAAGGTCGAGATCAGCATCGGCATCACTGTCAACTTTGCCTTCATCCGCTCGTTTTGATGCTAATTCCATCAGCGCACCAATGATTGACTCTTCAAATTCGGCATAGCTGTCAAAGATCATAGTAAAATCTCGAACGGTCATGACGGTTGTAATTCCTTCTTCGTAGATATCTCGCGCGCGTTCGAAGCTCCCTCTCCTGACCCAATACGTAGCTAAACCGTACCATAGCTTGCCTCTTTGGTCGTCAAACCTGTCGATTCCACTCCTGATGATACGTTCGACATCGATGCCGGTCTCGTGGCCTGTTTCTACTTCGTTGGCATGATCGATAAGTAGGTCAACCATCTCGCTCCAGAGCTCGTAGTGGCCTTTGCTATGCTTGCTATTAAAGCGCGGGTTGTTGAGGATGTCAATGTACTTCTTCGCAGCCTCGGTGTAAAGGCCGACCTGTATTAGGAGCTCGATGAAATCCTCAGCATCTTCGGGATGAACCTGCATATACCTTCGCCATATCTTTACCGCGGTTTCGCCCGAGGCCGAGTTTGCAAATGGTCTATACAAGGCCCATATCCTATTGTGCTGTGTTATGGGAAGGGCCCGGAGGGCTCGGTCGAACGTGCGCCGAGTAAGAGTAACGAGAGGCTGCTTTAGTAAAAATTTCAAGTACATTTCCCATATCTTTGGCATCTTATTGAGCAGGACTAGGGCTCGCTCGAATAGGGCGTTGACTTTCTTGTACTCGGAGGCGAAAACAGCGGCATTCAGCTTTGTGACATGCTTTGTTCGAAATTGTAAGTACTATCGAATATTGGTTAGCATTTAGACGTGTTGCGACGTGAAAAAATGAGCTATTATTTGCTTACGATCTTCCAGAGCTTGTACGATCGGGGTAATTGCAGACAAGCCCTCTCGAGAACGAATGCCTGCTCCTGAATGGTGCCATGTTGGAATTTGAACTGAATATAAGCTAGCCAAGGTTTCGTACTGCCTAGATCTCTCAGAATATCTTGTTCGTAAACGGCATCTTCATCTGACTGGAGGGAATAAGTTAGCCAACAATTTCTAAAGGCGGTCGCTGCGACGACGCGATAGGGTAACGTACTACGAGGTGAAGGTCTGGTTGTCGGGCAGTTCGGAGACCATTGATCAGGCCATTGGGCGACATTTTGACCGTTTTATAACCCGTCGATTGTCGTGGTAAGCGATCGCTCGCAGATAATCTCTGCTAATCGACGGTGTAGTTGAGAAAGTCAGGGCATCGTCGTGGAAGATATTTTTGGGGGGCGACAAATTTCGACCTCTGGGGGGTGTCGAGAAAAAGGCGACCGTGAACGCGGCAGCTTTTTAAACGATTTATATTTCAATAAGGACGAGACGTGATTTTAGTACCAGTTTTTTTTTCACTGGATTCCAGCACCATGGAACATGGAATAGGTGTGGAATATGGAATAATGCAAAGACAAGGAAAATGAAGGGACCCCAGTTATCTAACAAAACGGTGTATGAGCCCGGTTAGAAGTTTAAGGTGAAGGGAAATTAATGTCTTGGCATTTATTAAAGCGTAAATTGAGAGCTCAAACCTTTAAATGTTCTAGTTTGTCTGCCCAGCCTGCCAGCCAGCCTCCAGGGTTAGGTACCTGGTACTTGTATTGTATTGTAACTGCTGTCTGTGCTTCCATCCCTCTAACGTAGTAAGGTAGTACCTAAGGTACATGTACCTCTGATGTAACTAATAATAAAGCGGGACTCAACTCCCGATAAGTCATCACCAGCTCAAGATCCAAGTCCAAAGCAACAACCTTTAACTCTTTCTCAATTAGCTCTTTTCCCTGTTCATTTCGAATTGTAGCTCTAGTAGCTCACAGTACCACCGTGCGATAACTACCTCTACCTTAGGTAGCTTCATTAGAAAAACTTAACATCTCGTAACCCAAATATCGAACTCGAACCGTAGCTAAGAGAATACAATACCTACAACCATGTCTGGATCTGCGGTACGTCAACAATCAACCAGCCGGATTAGCTTCAGAGCTATGTCCCAGCCATTCGTACCTACCTACTTAACACAGCTTCATAGGATCGAGAGACCGTCTTCCCGACGCGCCAGTCGCTAGGTATCATGAAGGCGAAGCTCAAAGGTGCCGAGACGGGTCACAGTTTACTGAAGCGGAAGAGCGAGGCCCTTACCAAGTACATGAAGCTCACCCATCCATCCGCCCTGGATATCTTTATCAATGGAATTATATATGCTAACTTGTGTCTGTTCTCTTCTCTAGACGTTTCCGAGGTACACACACACACACATATATATATATATATATATATAATACTCCCCAGCACGAAAAAAGAGTCTCTCCCAACCTACTACCCTACTTACAGGAATTGACCGAACCTCGCAGAAATCACCAAGCGAATCGACGAGGCGAAGCGCAAGATGGGCCGGGTCATGCAGATCGCGGCCTTCTCCCTGGCGGAGGTCACGTACGCCGTCGGAGGCGACATCGGGTACCAAGTGCAAGAATCCGCTCGGTCGGCCCGCTTCCGGCTGCGCACCAAGCAGGACAACGTCTCGGGCGTCCTACTACCCGCTTTCGAAAGCTATCTGACCGAGGGCAACGACGACTTCGGCCTGACGGGCCTGGGCAAAGGCGGACAGCAGGTCCAGAGGTGCAGGGAGACGTACGCGCGCGCCGTCGAGACGCTCGTCGAGCTGGCTAGTCTGCAGACTGCTTTCGTCATCTTGGACGAGGTCATCAAGGTCGTGAACCGAAGAGGTGAGTCGATAAGCGAGCCGCAGGTACTGAGTAACTAAGAGCTGGAGACTGACTTTACATGATTATAGTGAACGCCATGTAAAACCAACCCAACCCATCCGATCCGAGCCTACACGCTTGAGAAGAATACGAACTAACCCGTTGGCAGAGAGCACGTCATCATCCCCAGGACAGAAAACACCATCAAATGTAAGCAAGCGTGTAGTTGCATCCTCCTTTTTTCTAGCCAGAGCAAAAGAAAATAAAACAAAAAAATAAAATAAAAAACTAACTCTTAGCCCCCCACCCAAAAAAAGACATCAACTCGGAACTCGACGAGCTGGACAGGGAGGAATTCTATAGGCTGAAGAAGGTGGCCGGCAAGAAGCAGCGCGATACCGCCGCCGCGGACGCCGAGATGAAGGCCAAGAAAGAAGCGCAGGCGAAACCAGACGACCACGCGGCGAAGGCCCAGTCGGACGACTCGCCGTCGGATCTACTTGCTACCGGCGAAGACGACGATGTTATCTTTTAGGGGTAGTCTGGAGGACAGTAGGGGGATGGGGATGGGATTCGATACGATACGATGTGGTTTTAAAGTAAGGGCGAATGGAAAGCTTTGTTTTGGACCTGATGAATTGCATTGTTCGCCGGGTTGTTGTTGCTATTGTCGTTGTCGTTGATGTCGTTATGTATTGATTATTCCTCATGATACCAATAGGTTAAAAAATGACCTTGGAGTCTTTCGTCTTGCATCATAAACATCTAAGTGAGGTAGTATGGGGATCGCGTAATTCTCTACGTGCAAGACGTTGCTAAGACGTTGCTAAATTAAGTACCTGGTTTACTATCTCGGCTTTTTTACGTATTACCTGCATCCACGTCGAATGCACAAAGGGTGTGAAATATCCGCTTATCATACAAACCTTCCCTTTCCTCCAGTACCACCACCACAACAACAATTGCCGCCAACTCCAACTCCAACTCAGACCCAGACTCAGACTTACTGTCTCTGGTACGTGACCTTGATAAACTTGTCGCCGAGCGCCATGCCGGCGGTATTCTCCTTGGCGGTGATAGCGCCGGCCTCGGCCTCGTACTCGATGAAGGCGATCCCTTTGCGGCCGGGGACGAGGCGGACCTCGCGGAACCCTTCGAAGCGCCCGAACACGCCCGTGAGCGCCTCGATGTCGTGGTAGTCGTCCGGCAGGTTCTGCACGAACAGGATCTTGTTCGGCGGCAGGTACTCGTCCGGCACGACCGCGTTGGGGCCCGCCGCCGGGCCCGTCGGCTTGAGCCCGCGCTGCGTCTTGGCCGGGCGCGCCGCGTCGCCGCCGGGGGGCACGCCGCCGGGACGCTTGAGGCGTTTCTGCTCTTCGGCTGCTTCGGCGGCTTTTTTCTTATCTGCGAGGATGGTGGTGACAACGTTTAGTCTTCTTCTTTCTGTTTCTAAATTCTCTTTCTTTTTTCTCTTCCCTAAAATCCAACCGAGGGAAACAAAAGAAAGAAAAAAATGAGAGTGAAAGGGAACTGACCTTTCTCAGCCAACCTCCTCCGCTGATGGAGCTCGAACTCCTCCTTGTTCCCGGACTTCTTGACGGTGGCGTCGCTGCGGGTGCGCGCGAGCGCGACCTGCATGGGCTTCTCGAAGAGCTCGAAGCCCTGGATCTCCTCGACGGCCTGGAGGGCGGACTCGGGGCGGTCGAAGACGACGAAGGCCTGCCCTTTCGCCTTGAGGTTCCGCTTGGCGACGATGTCGACGATGTCGCCGTACTCGGAAAACACGGCCATCAGCGCCTCTTTCAGCGCCTCCGGCTTCACGCGCTCCTCGAGGTTCCGCACGTACACGCTGTTGGCATTGAAGAAGTTGGTTAGTCAAATCTAGTCTACTAGGGGTAGGTAGGTAGTCTTAGGTAGGTAGCCAAGTCAAGTCAAGTCAATTTGGGGGAAAACGAAGCGCGGATATGCGCGCGCGCAACGCATAACACGACCGGGACGACCAAGACGAGACCGGTATGTGTCGGAGTGCAATGACACATACGTGGAAATAGGCGGGCTTGAAGCCATCTTGTATGATGTATCAATTTTTCTTCGGATGGTATCAAATAGTGATGGTTATTCACTTTGATAGAAGATACTTGTTTCTATGATTTTGTAGTTGTCTTCGGACAAAGCAAATCCATCCAGTGACCTGCAATTGATGTTAGGTACCTACCTTAGGTATCTAGGTACCTGTTATGGGCTAAAGCTTATCGATAAAAGCCTAGCGCTTGGACGAAATCTAGGTGGCTCGGGTACTTGGCTCCATCCTGACAGCTGGCAACCATTTAACCATTCAATCACTCTATCCCAGTGCTAATGCTAGCCTCGAGTTTACTCCTATTTAACAGAAGCTCTCCTAAAGTACAGTGGTAAGTCAATATAGACAACTCACATTTCCTACGAACTCAACAAATTCCAAATATATTTCTTTCATTCATAAATCATGGCAGACTTCTGAAAAATAAATCCATTAATTTCATTGACCTCACAGAGAGGCAAGGTTCTGATTATGTACCATATAAGCATAGATGTAGGTACCTTTTTCCACGTCGGGGATTTGCGTACCCTTTCAAGTCGTTCTATTATACAATCCATAACAACGACGTGCTCCGTTTTAGCAATGCGCTAGGCACGAATTCTATGATCTTTAGCTCCCGTGTTCTCAACTGTGGATATCTCTCGCCCAGTACCTAGTACCTAAGCTGCCACAACTTCTTCCTGGCCATTACTTTTCTCTTCCGTGTGCTGCTCTTGAGCTGGCTCTTCTGCAGGGGCTTGCTTCTCCTCTGGTATAGGCTCCGGCTCTTCTAACGCCAATTCTTGACGCAAATCTGGCAGGAAACGATCTATTCGTTTCCACGTTTCCACCCATAAATTCTCCTGTGATGGATCCTTGCTTGGAGGAACAAGGTATCCGCTACTTGACATGAACAATAGCACATTTTTCAAATTTTCAGGCACAGCCTCCTCCTAAACCTTACGTTAGTATAACACAGATGGAACAAATGTATCCTCGCAGGTACTTACCAAACTATCACCTTGGCCGCTATTCATAAGTCTGTCCATGATGTCGATGATTTTTAACCACAGATCCAACATGCCATCCCACTTGGAGAGAAGCACGAGGTACTGTAGGAAAGTCTTGCAAAGAAGAGACGCGACTTGAACTCTTGTTTCACTCATGCCATCTCGGTCGGATGAATAAACTTCAGGCTTCAAAAGTCTCAAAATAAGAGGGAACAAAACCTCCCCGAAAATAGCAGTCCATTCTTCATGGTCGCTACATGTCAACTCGGGCGATAGGAGTGACCTTTGTAGGGACGAAAATGCTAGAGACCGCACTTCGCGGCACGGGTTAGTGCATTGTGTCGTTAAAGTTTTGAAAATGGGCAGCCAATATGCCGACCATGCTGTAGTGTAATTAGTACAAAAAAAAAGCTACGGCTACGTATCAGGAAAACATACCCTCGCTATTCTCGAGATGCGACTGTTTCATCAAGTGAGGAATACGGGCCGTCATACTGGAGATGAGATTGACAGCCTTTACACCTCGTGAAACAACAGCATTATCACTGAAACTTGTTAGATCATGAATAAAAACGTGGCAGCGAGGAGTTTACCTTGAGACCTCTTTCTTTGGTGGTCGAGCATTCCTCTGCCTTCTGTCGCTTTTCTGCTCCACGAGCGCGCCGACTTTAGCGGCGGTAGCATACTCATTTAACAAGGTAATTGCGGCTTCGTAATTATCTGCAATAATTGCTGATGGCGAACCTGAGACTCCACCCTCTAGGATCTCAAAGACAGTAGCGGACGCGTTGGGGTTATTGGCAAGAGTACGTAATATAAGCCAAAAATCGGGCGAAGTCATGATCTCGCTTCGTAGAGGTCCTGGTTGGTTGATGCAGAGCTTCAGCCCTTGCAGAACTAGTTGCGACGTCTTTACAAGTGTCTCTTTAGGGAAACTAGATATAGCGTGCAGTAGCACAGGTGCTCGTACCAAGTCATGATCCTAGACTGTCAGCATAGGTATATCCCAGTCCTCTAGGGTATTACTTACATAGCTAGCCTTTAATACGCTAAATTGATAGAAAGCTGCCCGTGAAACAAGGATGGGATGGTGTTGAGGTGAGTCACGCAGTATCATCTGCAAGGCTTCTGCAACAGATTTGCCGAGCAGTGCGACAGTCTCCTCGTCTCTCAACGCGAGTACAGTACATAATTCCAGGATATATACTATTGCAGGATCATACTTAGGCTTCTTGGAGGGGATTTTGGGTCCGCTGGTAGGTGAGGAAGGGAGACTCTCTGGGTTTACGGTGATGACGGGTACAGCCGAGCTTTCATCATCAGGTAGTTCGTTCAAGAGAGCTTCAAGAAGCGGCGCTAAAGAATCCGCCGGAAGAGCACTATAGTGGGTTAGTAACACGCCAAGTTATGGAGTTCTTGACAACTTACGAGATATTCGTGAAGACACCTTCGAGATCGCAGGCTTTGATACAGTCAACAGTGCTTAGCGAGCTTTCGACCTCTTCAGCAGAAGGTTCCGGCGGGTCATCGGCTGCATAGCTGGAGATGTATGAAGTTAAGACTGACATCAGGCCCGTTTCGGCAGTTTTTGCTGCTCGATCTATAACCTGAGAAGGGGTATGAAGCGGGATATTTGGAAGATTTAGCTTCTCGAAGTCGCCGTTGAAAAAAGACGAGGGAATAAGAGAGTTGACGAAGAGTTTCAACCATATGCGAATGATCTAGACCGGTTAGCCCGAATTGAGACAGGTTTTGCAATGAACTTACATGTTTCCAGCCCTTGCGGATCACCTTTTCGCTCCCCTTTACAACACGGAATAAGACAAGTGTAGCAAGCTGCGCTTTGAAATCCCTGCCGAGCTTAACGGCGAGTTCGCTAACCATAACGCTGTCGCCATCATCTGATACCTTAACTTCCGTGTTCAGAGCCGTATTTGATAAACTATTCGTATCTAATGTAGTCATATAGCTGAGATTTTGGATAATACGATCCAATGCTTCTGTGATACCATATCTCGACGCAATCTGCGCGCACTGATCGAACCCCGTAACAATTCGAGAAAATACGGCGTCATCAGTTGCCGACATGAATACATAGGATAATGTTGAGACAATCGGTTTCCAGGTCGTGGCAAACATATCAGCATCGTAGATATTAGTATCGCAGATTACCAAGGGGCCGGCGGATTCACTTTTGAGTAATAGCTCTCGCCATGCATAGTCGAAGGCGTGCTGGTTATCGTGTTCATCTGGGAGAATAATCTCGTCAGACTTGATAGCCTCGAAGGTTGATTCAAGGTATTCGGGAGGGAAATCTTTGGAGCCGTTAACGCCGCGCAGATTGCGTGCGAAATCTACAAGCTCCATGCGCTTCGAACCCTTGAGCTTTGGGCTGTGCTGATCGACATTTAACATGATGATGGCGTATGTAAGCACAAATACAGCATCCTCGCTCGCGACAATATCGGAGCCTGAAGTTGCAAAGTACTTCTTCGCGAAGGCAGTCACTATACGCTCGATAAGCGGTGACTCGCCAGGGAGTCGGAAACTCTCGAGAAGAAGTCGCACAGCTTCGTCGACACGCTTGCCCGAAAAATTGAAAAGGTCCAAAAAGGCATTGAGATACTCATCATTGCCCCTTTTCGATATGAATTCACCAATAACCGCCTTGGATACTCGAGACGTTGTTCGGAGAAATAGGGCTACTGATGCTGGATCATCGGTAATGATCTTTTGTTCTCTAAGGTATCCTAGACCTTCCTTTGGCTTTTCATTGAACTTGGTTGCGCCCTTAATGATAGCTTTCTTCCTTCGCCTCTCTTCTCGGAGGGCGGCTTGATCTGGCAAACCATCGGAGACTGGCTCATCGTCAAGGCGATCGGCAATAGATTGGACGAAGCCAAGGAGTGCATCTAGACAAAGAGGGGGTACGCTAGTTGTGCTCCATGTTGCAGAGTCAGGTAGGGCACTCCTCGAAAGCAGTCCGACCATATCTTCGCACAGGTTCCCACGATTCGCATCAGAGTCATAGTTAACAAACAGTTCAACTAGGAATGTTGGCATCCTCGTGAGAGCTCCAATGCTTTCGACCATGGCTTGACGAGCATCCGGCTTCCGCGCACCGCCTTCCATGCCTAATTTCTGCCTGTCCTTAACCGGCACTGGTGTCGACCTACCACTACCTGCCTGTGATGGAGGTGGCTTTACCCCGCTTGGCCTTTGCGGGATTCCATCGTAGAGCATAGGATCAATATTCTCCTCACGAGGTATTTCGACCGGTGGGTGTAAACACGCGATGAGGTAGGACAAGAAGAGCTCCTGCTGTAGTTTCAAGACACCACGGCAAGTCTCAAGTAGCGTCCCGGCTACAATGAGGGATTCTTGAAGGATGGCCATGTTGTCAGATCGAACAAGTTGAAACAGATGTCGGCATAATCGATCTTCCGCGACAACGGCTAAAGCCGGGTGTCTTGCTATGGATGGACCAGCGACTTCTAAGGCTACGTGAATAATACGTAGCGCCATGACTCTCATTGTATCTCCTTGTTGCTTGTCATGGGGATCTAATAAGTCTACAAGAACTCTAAACAGCTCCTTCATAGACGGCAACGAGTACGGCTTAATGTCGAGAGAATCGTCAGGTTCCGAGGCTATTATCTTAGGTTTTTCCTCTACACCTCGAGGAGTATTCTCCGACCCAGACGAGTCTCGCGGCTCGCCACCAGGGGCATCAGAAGATGCAATAACGCTGTCTCCATTAGTAGAGGGAACCATTTTTACGCCTTCCATGTCCCCGTTCGCCTGGTGATCTAAGGCTTCCAAGTCGTCGCCAGCTTCGACCTCTAGGTATTTAAGATGCTCGAAAATGATCTGGCACATGCGGACCATAGCCGCTTCGGCCGTCCTTCGGAGGAGCTCGGATAATCGTGACTGGCAACACATAGTTAAGCCCGTTTCCATCATTTCACAAACGCTCTCGTCGCTTAATAACTCGCCGCCCGGGCCAGACAACATATCTTCCATTAGGTGTAAAATCATTAATAGCACAACCTCGTCTTGAGCCGAATCGCTGGCTTCAAAACGGCAATGAGTAATTGCCGTCGACAGGGATTGCATGGCAAGTGGGAATCGTGGAGAACTGGGATTTATAAAGCCATAAGAAAGAAATTTCCGAATCGCCTTCAAGGCTAGGATGGTAATGGGAGCAGAGGTTGAAGAAGCTTGTATTACTTGAAGGAAGGGGTTGAGCAACGCCGGAGCGTCAAACTGGTGAATATCTACAGTATGTGTTAACGAGTCTCTCGCTATAAAGTGGCGTAGATATTTCATATCATTACCTTTGCAGTTTGATAGCTCATGGCGAAGACGACCAAATCCAGCCATTAGGGGATTGTCCTGCATGCTCTTGCCCTTCTTTCCCCTCAAACCCCACCGGTTCGCGATACCGAAGTCCTGCGCGCCATCTATCCCAGAGCTCACCATAGAGCTTTTACTCCCTGGCCGCAATAGAGGGCTAGGCGGGCCGAGCTGAACGGGGTTGGGGTTGCCACCCAGTATAGAGGATACCGACGAGCCCGCCCACCGAGCATGCTTTCGCATAGCAGAAGTGACCGATATACATTCTGATATGACTAAGGAGGCTGGATCGACAGCTACTGTTACCGGTCGACTTCGAAAGTGCGCGTTGGGTACTTGAATATCGGTATTCGTAGCCTTGTTCCCCGTAGCCTTATTCCCTGTTGCGCTTTGGGGAAGCGTAAGGCCCGGGCTACTCGACTCGGGCGCAAGCTCTCGTTCCATGTTGTTCTTGCTCAGTTGTTCATCTCGACTCATTCTCGCCAAAGACAGGCGATATTCGGATTCAGAAGTAGTGGTGTACCTAGTATAGTGGGTAATAGGTTAAGGGCGGCCCCGTGGATATCGTCGCCGTCGCGCAATAGGAGATTAGAAGTTGGCGGCGGTGGTAGTATAAATCAACTTGACACCTGGAGAATATGCGAGTGAAATTCGAAAGATCTGTCTATAAGTTGCTAAACACCAAAGAGATCTTGACTCCTTCTCATTGTCCAATGACATTTAACACGTAAAAGTAAAGCATGGACAAGCTGTTGTGAATTGTACCTAATCTGCTAATATGTTAATGTAAAGTCTAGGTAGGTCAGGTACCTAGTAGGTAATTATCGGTTTATCAATTGTATTAATCGGACATTAGGTAAAACTTATCGCAAGGGCTGAAGGCCCAAGGGTCCCTTATAAATCTTGCACGTGCCAGGGAACTTCTGTCAGCTGCAAGCAATTGGTAGACCTTTATTCGATTGTGACAGCGTGGCGGCAACGTCAAAAGTTTACTTAATGAACTTAACCTTCGGCTTAGGCTGCCGAGCCGCTAAGGTTTAGGGGGGTGGGTACCTCCAACAGTGATTGTACTAGGTTAGTATCAAATTATAAGAGGAGGGCCTTATAAGTCAGTTTAATGTAGTAAACTCTACACACACACACAGACACACACTCCCTCTTTCTCCATTTCCCTCAAGTTGTTCATGAGAATATAGTATTATGAATGTCGTCAGAGTTCATTTCGTGACTATATTATTTTGAATAAGGCATCATTCAGCGCACAAGATGACAACGCCGGCTCAGCTCCAACTCGAAAAAGAATATCTACTAGGTAATAAAGTAATATAGCCCCAAGGGCCAATCTATACAATCAAACAACGCGGTTCCATTGCCGCGTTTAGAGATATCCCATGCTTCGTAATCATGCATCGGACACAACCAAAAAAAACGCCAGTGCCAGGATCCTCGCCATGGTCCTTGGTATTGTACAAGCGACCGGGTGATCACATGTGTGCGCCCCTATCCTTCCCCTTTGCCCCCGAATGATTTTTTTATCTCCCACATACCGAATGCATAGTGAGTTTGGAAGCGCGACGAGAAGCTTCACTATAATCCCCTGGCCGTCAGTCGTTATATCCTACCTGATATCATTACTTAGGCCTCTACCCTAAATTGGTTGTTATTGTTATTGTTGGACTTCTCCCCTGCCTTCTCCCCTGCTGGTGCTGGTGCTGGTGCTGCTGCTGCTGCTGCTGCTTTCGAGTCCTGGTTTGACCCTTGTTGACTCTCGGATTCCCTCTCTTGTTGGGCTTCCTTAGCCAAGTTTTGTATTTGGGATTTATCTTGCTCCCATTGAGCATTAGTATCACTAAACTGCTCTTTGACCTTCTTCTCCCGTTCTTGCCTTTCTTTTTCTTCGGCTTCCTTAGCCTGGCGCTCTGCTTCCATTTCCTAATATTTGATTAGTATCTGCTTAAACTGTAAGAATTAGCTGTTCGACTTACCTCCATGTGCCGGATATCGTCAACACTAGGCTCATACAAATGCCAGATTGTGTAGTGAGGAAGCCCAACCACGGAGAATTGCATACGCTTGGCCATCTAAATCCCTTGTCAGTATCGATCTGCAGAACCAAGAAAAATGAGTATTCACCTTGCCGAATCCTTCAGTTTCTGCATGCTTTTCGAAACTAAAGGCGGGAAAGTGGACACCCGATCTGAAAACCCTCGCCTTGGCTAAAATACTAACACCTCCTACACCATCGATTTCCATTTCCATATCCGGATCACCGTAAGGATCACGGAGATAAGCAAGATGAGGTCGCCAAGTAGCATATTCGGCATATCCCTCCACGATCACGGCGTCTTCATCAAGTGTATCAGCAAGTGCCAATGCCGTTTCCGATTCTTGCCAAGAATTCAAATCGTAGGGCTGCTCGCCACCAAGCCAATCAGGCAGTGGCCGCCAAACGTCTACATCATTGTTAGTACCGAGTAACGAAAGAGAAAACAGACCTCGAGAGAGCTTACTAGGCACGATAACATCCTTATTATGACGCATCAAGTCCTCCAGGATGGTAAACGGTGCAGTCTCGACGTCAACATCCCTCCAGTAAACCCACGAATGATACGGACGGAGAGTTGCGCTCAGAAGCCAGTTACGTGCCTGCGCCATCAACTTTCGGCGACTTGCCTGCGCAGCAAACCCGTGACGACTCTCGACATCTTGATTGACCTTCTGACCAAAATCCTTTTCGATGATAGATATTTCTCCGTAAGGCAGTTTTGGGTCCTCGCTGGCTTGCAACGCTTCCAGCTTCTCCACAAGCACTTCTAATGTCCTGTCTTTCGAGTCGGAAACGAGGAAAGCGAGGTCGATAAGATGATGAGGGTATGTAAAGTTTCGGAGGTGAGAAAACATCATGTTGAGATGGGGTTCGGCATCTCGAAGTGGAACGCATAGTAGGATACGTTCTTCTCTTTCCCAACCACGAGCGGTACCCTGGACGTTTGAAAGATCGTAGTAGCGCACGGTGTCCATCAAAACATCTCCACTTGAACTTAGAAGACCCAGAGAGAATAGAGAAGTAAATGTTCCACTCCCTGGTCGGATAAAAAACCAAATTAACACAATAACAACAATGCTTATACCCAATCGCGTCAGTAGATTCCTTCGTCGACGAGCGGCAGGTGTTGAGGCGCGAGGTTGAAACCTAACAAACGATATTTCGGTTAGAAAATGGGTTTGATTGCACACTACTCAGAGAACCCAGAGCCAATAACGCGTTGAAGTCAAGAGAAGTTCACCAACCTATGGGGAGAGATATCGAAGGTATTGGTATTGCGTGGGTAACCATTGGAAAATCCAGAGGAATGATGCCTGGGCATCATCTTGGAACTGGTCGAGGATGCATATGAGGGTAACATTCGAAATACTAGAGCGACCTAGTCGACAAGAACGAGAGGCGCGCAAAGGGTTGCTCAAGATTGAGGTGGACGGCACAACCCTTATTTCGAGATGGGCGCCGTTAGGGGCTTAAAGTCGTAGGGGGGGCGCGAAGAACTTCTATAGATTCATGAGTGAGGACAACGGCGGCGAAAAGGTTTTCAAGTTGAAAGGTTGAAAATTCGAATTGGCAGAATAGAGAGGTGAGGTACTTGGGACAAATTCACCTCGTTGTCAAATACACGCATACATGCCAACGAAAAATGCAACGACAAATATATCAAATACGAGAGAGGTACAAGGACGAAATGATCAAAAAGGTGTCGAGTTCAGAATCATGCTAATTGCGCTAACGTCTATCACCTAAATTAGAACTTTGATAAGCACATAACGAGAACAGACGAACAGACGAAGCTTTGCCAAGCCAGGCTAGTCAGTTATTGAAGCCGTTTCAGATTTTGGTCTGCTTTGGCCTGTTTGGTCTGTACGTATTTTCGTCTGATCTATGGATGATGTGCACGGACCATTAAGGCAGGTAACCGTTAAATCACATGTATCTGTTCAACTCGTACATGTACCTAAAGCCTTACGCTTTGGTTTATTAAGCATCACCATTCACTTCCTATATCATGCTTCTTCTCACATAAATCAGAGATTTAACAACCCACAGCAAATTGGAAAGCCATATCTTATAAGAAAACGGCCCAAAGTCCTGTGTAATTATTTTTAGAAGACATCTCGACCTCCGTAGTAGGTTTGGTGGGAGGTACCTAAGTTATATACCTGTTATATGACTTATGACTTATAACCTGACCTCTCAATATTAATCCCTAACATACCCAGAATCAGCCAGAGCTTGGGTCGAATGGTCTTTTCTTCTCCCAAATATCTCCCTCACTTGTTCTGCCTTGCGTTCCGCTACTGTCAATCTATTTTTGCTAAACATGCCAAAAGTGAAGAGTATAGCAACAGCTCCGATAATTGCGCATACTCGCATGTCTTCGTTGAACGCGTCGGCATACGCTTGCACAGTAGCCTCTATCTCGCCCTCCAGCAGACTCGAGCTATCGCCGTCAAGCATAGGAGCCTCGCCTGGTTGAATACGTCCACTCAGCGCTTGAAGCTTAACACCTAAAGTCGCTGAAGAGGCTGCAATACCTATACTACCTCCTAAAACTCGGGCCTGGGCCATCAGACCCTGTGCAGGGGCTAACAAGTGGTTAAAACAGGTTTCGAGAAGCTTTTGATAGCGGAAAACTCACCATGATCTCTGATTGATGAATGAAAGGTCGCCACCATGGTTGCTGTCGACACAACCATCCCGAATCCAAGGCCAACAAAAACAAGAAATCCCAAAGCTTTTTGCTCAAGCTCAGGCGAGCTTGAAAGAGTTGATAGAAGTCCGCAGCCCAAAACTACCAGACAGGTAGCAACGAACATTGTCTCAAATATTCTGTCTTTCTTTCCGTTGATTGCGCCAGCGAGAAGAGATCCCACGGCGCTTAATCCCAACATCGGAAGCAGCATAACGCCTGCAATAAGGGAACTCTTGCCGTTCACTACCTGTAACCTCAGCGGAAATGCATATATAACAAGCATATAAGGAAACCCCAAGAATAAAGTATTGAGCACCGCTGCCGCGTACACACGGTCACGCAGCAAGCGCATCGGGAGTGCTGCGTCTATGACATTGCCCAACCGCCGTTCAACAAAGATAGACCATGAAAACAATCCAAGCCACGAGATTATTCCGAAGATAAGCGGAACAATGAATACCGGCTTAGACCACTGATCTTCCAGTACAGCAGCATTCTGAAATGGGAAAACGACCAACACGGAAGCTGCGATGAGAAGTATCGAGCCAGTATAATCTAGCTCTCTCCAAGACCTTTTCCCAAAATGAGGTAAATACTGGGGTGGCGGCCAGGTGAAGTAGAACAGGAGCGTCGATACTGCGCCAATAGGTCCACTAAATGTTCTATCAGCATATTAGAACAAACCGCGCGGCTGGAGAAACACACTTGATCCAAAACACCCATCGCCAGGTTGTATATTCAGTCAATACGCCGCCGAGGACCGGTCCCAATACGCTTGACATAGTAATGACAATGCCTACTAGACCTCCAATGAACCGTTTTATCCTCTCTGGTGCAACTTCCGGGAGTATTATCATCGTGATAGAATACAACCCTCCCTTGAGTCAGTCATTTTTTACTAATTGTATTAATTATTACTCACCTGAACCTCCAAGTCCCTGCAATGCTCGACATGCTATTAGCTGGACAAGACTCTGGGCGAAACCACACGCGATAGAAAATGCGATGAATATGAGATAGGATGCAATAAAGGCATTTCGGCGACCGATTATGTCAGAAACTCGAGCGAATAAAGAGGCACATCCAAGATACACCAAAGCATAAGCCAGCGCGACCCAGTTTATGGATGCCAAATCGTCAAATTCGGCGGCTATCGAAAAAATGCTCGTAGCTACGATCGAAGTATCGAGGAACGATAGCAGCAAGCCCACGAGAAGCCTAGTTCCTTGTTAGATGAACGACTAGGCGCTAACAAAATGCCCTGACTCACCCAATGCTAAATAACCAGAAGCGTAATAAAGGTAATTCCGGACGAGTAACCTCAAGTTCAAAACTGGAGACACTCGAAACGGGAGCAAGAGTTTCGGTGTCTTCGCTTCTGTTCGTATGTTCCGCGCGTAGGTCCATGGCAAATCGCTCGACAGGCTTTCGATATGTCTTCCGCCTGTTGTGGGAAGGCTTCGCCTTTATCAAGGAGTTTGAACAAAGAATCACTTTACTTGAAGTGTATGGTGCTACAATCCCCACTTACACTCAGATACACTTGTATCACTCTTATAGGATGTCACCAAGTTACAGCTACGTCGAAGGAGAGACATCTCGAGTAAGGCAAACCAAGTGCCTAATCGCCCTAAGCGGACGCCAATTATAGGAGGGTACCGATAGTCCTTCCTACGTTTATCTTTGCTTTCCTTGTTGATCACACTCACACGCTTACCGAGACAACATTTCTATCGAACCTCGGCAGTGTCGCTCACGTTTGGTTGTGGCAGTGTACAACTCCAGCCCCACCTGATGCCATTTCGAGATATTCTGGGGTAACTAGTTCCAGTCTGCTGGTAACACTGTACGCCGTGAGCGTCCCTTGCGACCCTTCCAATCCCATTATGGTATCGTTTACTTTAGGTATACTAGTGGTTTCAGCTAGACTCATATCAAACAATACTTGTCTAGACATTATACGGTTATGATGGGAAAAGTAGGTTGCTTTCTTGATTAAAAGCGATTCTCGAACGGCAGTTTCCAAGCGCTGGCGTTAGAAACCCGTCTACGTCGGAGGTGATTCCATATCTACCTAATATTAGGTTAGGTACCTCATAACACCAGCCAGCACGAAAATAGTAATTCTCAGGTAAATGAAAATGATCCACAGGGTATCCGTCTCCTTCGATTATCTATCATTCGGGATTTGCATTAAGCTAGCACAGCATCTCGGTACCGTTGCAATTAGTCACATACCAGCGACAAGTACAACTAGGCCGAGCGTTTCCAATGGACCGACAAGTTTATATTTACTTCACTCAGTTCCACCGGTTTCACTCCACGTCCGGGTTCTGGTCTTGCCGAACACATTTCTCTACCTCGTACGCGAACCTGAATCATATCAACAGAACTTAGACTACAAGACAATTAGAATTTGAGGAACGGTGTTTAAGCTTGCTCTACGTACCTATGTGTTCTGTGCTCTGGGAAGGTATTACTCGTATTAGCAATCTTGCAGCCAGAAGCCGACGGTCTTTTGAACATCGCCACATTAAGTACCCAACTAACCTAACCTTACTATAAGTTACAAGAACCAAATTAAGAAGTATTTCATTTTATACTTGCTTCGTCATAACAACACGAGTCTTCTGGACCGGCTGAAATACTACACACGTATAACCATCTTAGAAGCTAATTACCTGTAGGTAGCTCTAGTTTAACAGCCTGGTATACCTTGTGCTAATAATATATTTTCCATTCCTCTATTTTCGTCAAAGATATTCTCACTATCGGTAACCTAAAGGCCGTACACTTGCTTAACCCAGGCAGCCATTATAGCTGTGAATTTTAGAAATTCATACAAAGGGATGGAGTGCGAAGAATTTCTATTCTATTCTAGCTACCCCTTTTCCAATTTTGACCTATCAGCTTTTCTTCCAGTAGGCTCAGCCTTAAGCATAGGTACCTCTAGATAGGTATTGCTTTTCAGCCTCTCTTCGCCTCCCTTGCATAAGCCATTATAGAGATATGCTTATTGTAGTGCTTAGATCCGCGGCTTGGCTCATCTGGCTATGCGTTTCGGCCACTAGAATCTGCCATGTGCCTGGCGCCATAGACTAATTATCGCTGGCTTTGTCATTGTCTTTAATACCTATCATGCACGTGTCAGTTTGTAATACCTGACAGATAAAATTATCTTCATACCTGAGGGCTATTTACATATTTAGGTACTTAGGTATGAAATATGCCATCTCCTTAGTATACCGCGAACTGTGTCCCGCAAGTCGTGACAGAGGAAACTCAGCTTGACGAGTAGGTATGTTTCTCGACATTCATGCTGTTCGGAAGACTTAAAATATACTTTCTATGTAGGTTACTAGCTAATCTTGAATTTTCTTATGGAAACACTCTTCAATAATACCTAGGTACCTAGGTACCAATTAATTATAATAACGCAGCGACACATTGTTATGATCACATGTTTTAAATAGGGGTGCCCCTGAAGTACGTACTATTACTTACAGGTAGGTACCTTCTGTAAAGAGGTACTGCCGTTTTAATTGGATGAGTCAGCATTCTGGCACGGCTGTCTTTATGTAACCAAGTAGGTACTTAGATACCTGTCAACATTACGCTATTACGGCTGAACCCCACTAGCCACCGTCTCTCGCGGGGGCTGTGCCACCCTGCGAACACCGAAACCTTCCAGCATTCGCCAAGTCATACATGTAGTACATGTTGTTTGTTATTTTATTATTTTATTTGGTCTAAGGAATTTTCGGAAGGTGGAATACATGATACCTACTAGGGAACCTTTATTGTCACCATATCCCGTTAAATAAGAATACCGAGCCTAGGTAACTTTTAATCTCAGCAAGCCTCGAGACCTCGGTACAAACATGACGGAGATCGTGATGAGCCAAACACCACCTATTCTCCACGGGCCGACCGAGAAAGAGAAGAAGTATGATAGACAGCTCAGGCTATGGGCTGCTAATGGTCAAGCCGCTCTCGAATCAGCTAATATTCTCCTCGTGAACTCTGGCGCCGGCACCGTTGGCATAGAAACACTGAAGAACCTTGTCTTACCAGGTACTTACATCTTATAATCATTTAACCTTCTTAGCTCATATGAAAATGTAGGCATTGGAAAATTCACGATAGCAGATGACGCCTTGGTGAACGAGGCTGATTTAGGCGTCAACTTCTTTCTCGATGAGGGCTGCCTGGGAAAGCTCAGGTCAGAATGCTGTACGAAACTGCTCCAAGAACTGAACCCAGAGGTCCAGGGGGAATGGTTTCCAAAGAAAGAGGTGCGCAAAACGCACTTGGGTAGACCTGTATAGCGATGCTAATGCGATTTCACAGGGCATTTTAGATCTACAAAGTATTCTCGAGTCTTCGTCTACCTTCACACTCATCATGTACACGCATCCTATCAAAGAGGAACTCCTTTCGATTATGAAGTCTTACGCTCGTGAACATAAGACGCCCCTGGTAGCGATTCATTCTGCCGGGTTTTATTCTTATTTCCGCATTAGTCTTCCGGGAACATTTCCAATAGTCGACACCCACCCCGAGGTAGAGAAGACTACTGACCTTCGACTCTTAAATCCCTGGCCTGAACTCGTCGAGTTTTCTCGAGATATGACGAAGGACATTGATGTCTTGGATGATCATGAGCATGGGCATTTGCCATATGTTGTCTTATTGCTCCACTACCTCGAAGAATGGAGACAATCACACAACGGCCAGAACCCCATCAGCTATAATGATAAGACGGCATTCAGCAAGTTTGTCCTGAGCAAGGCGAGAACCAATAACCCGGAGGGTGGGGAGGAAAACTTCCAAGAAGCCGCCACTGCGATCAACAAGAATATCAAGGCCCCTGAATTAGAACCTGGTGTGCAAGAAATTTTTAATCACCAAGTCTCGGATGAGGTATGGGTCATATGATGTGCATAAGAAATATTCCAGACTAATGTCGATTAGATTGAGAGCCGGTCATCTTTTTGGGTTATCGCAAAGGCGATTGAAGCATTCTACAACAAGCATGGTTGTCTCCCCCTGCCAGGGGCGTTGCCCGATATGAAGGCCCAGTCTACTGTCTATGTCAAACTACAGAACATATACAAGGAAAAAGCTCGGCGAGACGCCCTGGAGGTGCTAGAAACCGCCAGGGCCCTACCTGGTGGCAAAGAGGTTGATCCCGCTGAGGTAGACCTCTTCTGTAAGAATGCTCGATTTGTGAAGCTCATCAATGCAACGCCAACGAGTGAAGATCTCGATGCAATCTTTGGTTAGTGGCAATCAATTCCCTTGACTTTCTCAAAAGTGGGCTGACCTCCTCTCGATAGACGCTGAGACGACAAACGACGAGGCAGCCGAAGCCATGAAGGTCGAGACCGACGGGGCATTTACTCTCCCCATGTCTAATCTCTTCATTTATCTGGCTCTTGTGGCGACTAGCCACAATGTAGCGTCTACCGCCGATGAAATCATAAGCTCCATAACAGGTTTAATACCAAAGGCAGCCGGGAACCAGAGAGTACTGGAAGCTGCCCAGGAAGTAGCACGAGCTGCTGGCGGCGAACTTCACAACATATCCGCGCTCACTGGAGGAATGGTCGCGCAGGAAATCATCAAAATTATCACGAAGCAGTATATTCCAATCGAAAATACCTGCATATTCGACGGCATCAGTAGCCGGTGCCAGGTACTTCGGCTATAGTAGGTGGGCCCCCGGGAAGGTTGACGGCTAGCTAGCAGAAGAGATTCCCATAGGCATATCATCCGCAGATCCGGGTTATTCATGGGGGAATTGGAGAATTTGTGGAGAATGTCGAAAAGCCTGGAAGCTTGGCATACTACATATTCACACCATCTCTCCTTTCTGGCTGGAGAAGGCGGGGGATGTTGTTGTCGGACCGCAGACCCTCTGCGGTAATGCCAGAAATGATGTACGACAGCTACTAAATGTAGCCTAATCGTACCCTCGGTCAACGATAAATAATTTTACCTTCACTAACTATTACGAAAGAAACCTACCTACCTAAGGTACCTACACAACTAGATGAAGTCACAACCAGTTACACTAAACATGGAGTGCATGCTGGTGCTTTATGTTATTCTCCATGAATGGTTGAAGTGACGCTGTGGCTGCCACATGCTTGATATTGGCCTTGAAAATTCTGGGTTACGTGTGTCCACTCCCCAATACAACTGTACAATCGAAATTGCTCTGGATCAGATCTAAGAGGGTGTAACTTTCAGGTACGGGAGCATTATGAAACGCCAGCTATCTTTCTTTCTACCGGAGTTGGTACATAATATCCCTATTATCCTCCACTGAGTACGACTCTACATCTAATAGTAGAACAAGTTGGTAAGCGTTTGGCTGTTATATGTAGCGTTGTTTCGTAGCTTTAATGCTTTATGCATGATACAGGTAAAATACCTTTGATTTTTGGAGGTAAACTCATGCGTGTCTCCCTAACTTACCCATGTAGTCCGTAAATAAGATACGTAAGTCGAGGCCTAGTTACAGGTGCCTAGCTAAAAGTCAGTAGGGTTGAATACGAAGGTGTGTGTAAGTAGAGTTTTCAGAGTTCTACGTCGCTCTATAACACCTACTTGGTCTCTACCTACCTGTTACTGGACTTTTGATAGGCCCATTAGTTGTCTTTTCTTTGATTGGAGAATATTATTATCGGACAAGCAGACCGTCGAGGCATGGAGAGTTATCATGCAACATATTAAAAGAGTCCAGTCGGGTGGTGGCTACTAATGAAGTGCACAAGGAGCGTACGAATGGCTTCAATATATATAATGTCATGTTACTCAGCTCTAAAGAGGTCGGTAATATTCCGGAATGGGCGCTAAGACTGTGTAAGTGTCCCTAGGCAGACGAAAGGGGAATAATAGGCAGATTAAGGCGCGACACCTACCCCAGATGTTCGCGGTGGCACTCCTAGAAATATAAACGGGCGGAGAATTTAATTTATAGGCCAATGAGGTCGAGCATTCTTGCCATTCTGATTGGTCCCTAGGGTATTTCTGCGTTGTCAGCGAATTTCTCGGTCAGCCATCTTATTTAAGTTGTCGACCACACCAAACCATGGCCTTACGTGAACGAACCATAAGCTTGATTAGGCCAAACACGCATTATCTTTCCTGCAAGGTAGAGCGTAGAAGCTCGATCTGGACAACGAGGCACGTGGACCTGTCCGCATTCTGCTCTCCTCACTTAATATCTGTATATCCGAAGAGTGTCCGTTATGGCTCACACTTAGCCACTCACGAGCGTGGTTTACTTTACGACTCCAATACCTGTTAAACCTCATCATGAGAATTGAAACTTCATTGAGGAGTTCACACCAAAGCACGGGGCACATTCATAGATATCATAATTCAGAGCCGAGTCTAACCTCTGCAGTCATTATTAACAACCTTGCGACTTGTTATTCATTCATTTAAGCTACAAGTACGTATCTCATTTCACTCGTATGTCATACTAACACTGATGCCCTTGTAAGCCCAAGAGAATTTTGACTTAAATGATATGAGATTATAATAGCGATCGCTGTCCCAACTGGGTGACACTGTGTCGACAACCAACACTTATCTTGGATTTTCACGTCGGTTTAGGCGCCAACTAATCCTCTTAAAGGTATGTTACATCTCCAAAAAGAACTTCAGTACGGGCAGGTGGAGTCTACAATAGACAAGATTAATATGCCGTAGCCTCTAGGATGGCAGAGTTGTGTCATGACATTCTGCGCCAAGAGGGTTGACCAACGGAAAGTTTCTCGCTTTCACTCGGTTTTGCCTCACTACCTAGAGGTAGAAATCTACGACCATCTCCGAACGTCGACTATGTGCATAAGCGAGTGGCATTTCAATATAACCATCAATGTCAGCTGCCTTGCCTTTTGAAGTTCACTGCACTCCACACTCCTGCCGTACGACGATGAGGAGTTGCAGGTATCCAATCGACGGGAGTGTGGGGTAAAATCGACGAGCTTGGCGGCAACACCATGCCAGGAACTGAACCTGAATAGGACGCGAAGGGAAAAAAAAAGAAGAAAAAGTTTGCAGCGCAGCATTGTGATGGGCGATCCGGAGACAATTTTTTTTTTTTTTTTTACCCGGGACTTGAACAAACTCTTGCCTTGGCGGGACACTCTGAGAGACATCTTGAAGATGCCAGGGCAGCTTGTCATCGACAACATTACATCACACGCAATTTCCACATCTGAGTCGGGCTGACCCGGATTTGGAGCAGAGATTTTGATAAAATACGTAGATGATAATTCGTGAATAGAATGTTATGCTGAGCCCTTCCAACCCTGCTATGCCATGATTGTAAGGAATAAAGCCAACTGAGGGGATCGTGAACAATGGGTCAAGTTCACGATGTGAGCGCGAACGTGATGGGTTCTAAGATGTTGCCAAGATGTGAAGAATCAAACAGCGTACCGCTCTCCCGAGACTAACTATCTTACGTTAGCAAAGCGTGCGGTTGAGGTAGCCAAGGTAGCCAGCCAATCCCGAAGCTGGCTTGCTGGTTCTTCAAGTTCTCCGCCCCGGCATCGCGGAAACTTTCTGCATCGGCTTTTCCGCCCCTGATCTCATCTCGCTGCGGTGCGTCGAGCGACGACGATCTAAATGTGTAAGTTATTGTTAACAAAAGAAAAGACTTAGTAGTTTAGGTATTCAGCGATAATGCTAGCATGACAGAGATACAAAAAGATCTCCCGGGTTGACAAGTCGCTTACTTATCTTTCCAAGACCTGGGGATACATAGTCGAGGGCGGTTAGCACTTAGCGATTGTACGTGTAGTATCTAACAGCTTCATACGCATTATTGCTATTCATGGTACGAATTATGGGGGGTTTTTGATGAAGTGCACGCACATACGGATCCGTACGTGCCTGGCGTTGAGACACTAAGTCGGCGCTTGCTACGTTCTGTATATTAAGTCGAGGTCATGAGTGGTCTGCAGCGGCTTCTCCCTGATCATAGCCCCGGGCCGTGTATGTAAGTCTCTCACGACTCACACCCATCGTTCGAGTAGGCAAAAACTGAGTCAGTACCTAAGGTACCTATAACCCATGTTTCGTTTGCACGGCTCGTTTGCCGGTCAAGCCTTTTTCAATGTAGCTAAAAAGGCCGACGACCCCTGCCGCGCATCTCCCCTGCCCTAAAGGCTTGGAGGATGCTTAAGTGCCTGGTAAGATAGTATGGTATTGTATTGACCTCGCGGTTATGAGGAGATATTAGCAGATCTTATAGGCCTGCTCACAATTTCCCATTGTAACCTGTTACGGGTACCTACAAATTCTGGCCGTTAATCCTACTCGAAATCCTTTAAGAAACATAGTACCTAGTGATCGCGGGGCCGCCCCTCGAGCGATGGCTCCCCGTGGCTAAGTGGGCAGGGATCCAGGGGTGTAATGTTCATGGGGAATCCTCTTCCGCCAGTGAGAATCGAACCTGGCCTTCCCTAAATCTACACCAATAACTCCATGCAAATCCAAACAAGACGCCAAAAAGACATGTCAAAAAATGGTAACTTTTCTAAGTAACGCTATTAAAACCCCCTTGAAAAAATCTTGTTTGAAGTTTCCCATTGAATACCTTATGCCTAATGCATGAACTTATTACCCCAGTTCTACTCCTTGGAGCGGGAGGCTATTTCACGCGACCCCCTGACGTCTGTCTGATGTCCTGCACGTCAGTCACTGCTCACATGGCTTTCGGATTATACCTCAAGTTGCCGAACGGCAATCTATAGCCTAGCCCCGGCATGGTCGACCAGCTGTCCAAGGGCTGAAACACTGGCACTGCTATCTCATCTTATAGGTGCCTAGTATTATATTCGTTCAAGTGCTCATCGCCTTGAAGTCGCTAGGTACCGCTGGCTAACAAAGGGCATGAAGACCTTTGATGAGCGTTACAATGCTAGGTACTCACTTGGCTAACTCAGATGAACAATGCTACCTACCTAGGACCTAGGTACATAGTACCTTACCTATATACTAGACTTGACATGGCAAAATATCATATGTCTACCCCTTGTCTATCCTAGATCTGGTATAGATACACCAGAGCATATGCCAATCAGCTGTTGAGAGCTGTTGACTCTTGTGGCAAACGTGTTAATCATTGCTCGACAGAGCGGCATCGATATCTAGATGCGCGCTTCCCTACCTATCCAAATCTCAAGGTTCTCTGGTACGAAAAGCACATCCCATGCCCGCCATGCCTACCTAAGGTACCTTAACTCTTAGTACGTAAATCTAGCCTGCTCGACCTGTCACATCTTATAGGACGTATGTAGGGAGGTGTGGAGGCATGCCTGGATGTGCTATAGCCTCTCGGTTCCTGGGCAAACTAGCAACTTAGAGTCCTTTACAAGGTTGCGTTACTCCACACAATCTATTTACTTGCCTTTCATCTACAGATTCTCCACGCCTCCCCGTCAAAATGGGTTACAAGGCAATACCTTATATAAATCTTCATCGTCTCCCGTGTTGTCGGTCCTGGGCCCAAGACGGCTCTCCACATCGCCCCAGGATTACTTATAGTGCTTTTGAATCATCGTACATCACTTCAGTCAAGCTTAGTTGCACCTCATAACCTTATTATATCTTACCCTCAACTTGCTTGCATAGACTCCGGCAGGGGTACTTGAGCCAACATGGCACCGAGTATACCAATTCCTACTCAAGGTGGAATGTTTCATACCTGTAAGTCTTCTTTCACTTTACTGTCTCATCTCTACAATCCTTGCAATTCTCTGACTTGATAGTAGTTCAAGGAGTTACTCCTCGGAAACAGTCTACAGACTCTACCGAGAGTGCCAAGACGAACGGCAACGGCACAGCTAAACGTATAACTACACCACATGCGTGCGCCGAGTGCAAGCGTAGGAAAATGTATGCCTCGTATATAATATGACAGTGTAAACAAAACATTACTAACATTGGATCTAGTCGATGTGATGGCCAACAACCGTGTGGTCAGTGCCTCTCGAGCCGAGCTCCCAAACGGTGTTTTTATGACAAGCACCGCCAAAGGGTGATCCCGTCGAGGAAGACGCTTGAGGCACTATCGCAATCCCTAGAGGAATGCCGATCAATACTCAAGCGGCTCTTTCCAAATCATGAAGTCCAGTCGCTTTTACCATTACCTCGCCAGGAACTACTTAACCTCCTTGACCGACCACAAGTAGACGCGGCTGCGGCACTTCCCTCACCACCATTACACACATCGCCTATGCCTGGCGATATTGGCTCGCCTACTCTTTCCGGATCGGATCAAAGCCTTTCGAGCTTGGAACAAATACCATCCCGAGACATCGAATGGGACGAGGAACGCCGAGGGCGAGACCCTATACCCGTCGAAGCAGACGATGTTAATGCGCTTTCTTTATCGGTCGACCGCCAAGCATCATATCTAGGTGCCTCGTCCATCAAAGCCGCGCTGATGGTAATGATAAAAGTCCAGCCGGGTCTCCGAAGCTCTCTCACACCACCACTCAACAGCGTAGAGATGGCCCACAATCTCCCAGTAATGAGACAAAAAGCTACGAATCCGAAAGAACCCCAACGAGTACCATGGTCATGGAAGGGCCAAACACTAATCGACGCCTACTTCAAGAGAATCCACGTATTTGTTCCTATGCTAGATGAAGCTTCTTTCCGTGCGGATTACCTCGAAGGACAGCGATACGACACCCCCTGGCTCGCACTTCTCAACATGGTTTTTGCTATGGGATGCATTGCCGCTCTCAAATCAGACGACTACAACCACCTGAACTACTACAGCAGAGCCATGGAATACCTCCCTATGGACTCTTTCGGCAGCAGCCACATCGAAACCGTTCAAGCCTTGGCACTGATAGGAGGATATTACCTGCATTACATTAACCGACCTAACATGGCAAACGCGGTCATTGGTGCTGCTATCCGAATGGCCAGCGCCCTCGGACTCCACCGGGAAAGCTTAGCTCAAGGTCCCGCGGGCACTAGCAACGAAATTGCAGCCGCGGAGACTAGGAGACGCACATGGTGGAGCTTGTTCTGCCTCGACACCTGGGCCACTACCACCATGGGTCGACCGTCGTTCGGTCGGTGGGGCCCTGCCATCAACATCCGCCCACCCGAGACGGGCATGAGCTCCGCTCGAGACTCGGCCCAGCACGCTGGCATCCTGCCCCTGATCGAGAACATCAAGTTCTGCAAGATCGCTACCGCCATCCAGGACATGCTCGCCATCTCCCCCCTGCTGCGCGCCGAGGACCGCTGCAACCTCGACGGCCAGCTCGTCAGCTGGTTCAGCAGCCTGCCCTGGCTGCTGCGCACCACCGACCCCTGCGCCGAACCCCTGTACATCGCGCGCTGCATCATGAAGTGGCGCTACCAGAACCTGCGCATGCTGCTGCACCGCCCCGTGCTGCTGAACCTCGCCAGCAGCGGCGCGTCGCACGCCGCCGAGCACGACATCGCGGCCATCGAGGCGTGCCGAGACCTGGCCAAGCAGACCATCGAGGACATCTCGCGCGAGTGGTCCCGCAACCAGATGTCCGGCTGGAACGCCGTCTGGTTCCTCTACCAGGCCGCCATGATCCCGCTCGTCTCCATCTTCTGGCAGTGGGACAGCCCCCGCGTGCCCGACTGGCAGAAGCAGATTGAGACCATCCTCGAGCTGCTCGAGGCCATGGAGGACTGGTCGCTGGCCGCCCGCCGCTCGCGCGAGGTCGTCTGGCGCATGTACGAGGCGTCGCGCCAGCTGGAGCCCACGCTCCTGAGGCAGCAGCAGCAGCAGCAGAGCTCCATGCAGAGGCTGCAAGTGGCGACCGACCACGCAGGCATTATGAGCGCGATTAGCGACGGCTCGGAGATCCACATGTCCCCCATCGGGCTCGAGCCGGAGGGCTTCGGCGGCATGATGGGCATGCTAGACCAGCACGGCCTGTGGGACCTGGACGGCATGCTCTGGGGCGCGCCGGACGAGATGGAGTGGGCCCAGCAGCACTTCGGCGGCAGCGGCATGCACGACGTGACACCCGCTGGCAGCTGCGGGTTGATGGGTCAGCTGGGGGCCTACGGCATGGATAATTCGGCATTTTCATTCGTACACTGATTACCCCCTTTCGGTGATTGGTTAATTACCTCCTATGTTACGAGACAGAGGGACAAGAGACACATGGCTACGCGGCTACTACCTACTGCTACTACTACTGCTACTACTATTACGATAATCGGCTAGGGTAGGCTTTCTGCGCTTCTGGTTGGTTGTTTACGGGATGGAAGAGTACAAAAAATAACTTCTTTTCTCTCTACTCAGTCTTTTTTTCTTTCTTCTATGCTAGGTATTGCCAATTCTTTTAGGGGTCCATGATCGTCATTCATATCATGCATGTAGGTATGTTTCAGCGATGACACCTCTTGACGTTGGACGCGTTCATGGTTGGGTTACAACGAATTCAAAAGGTTAAAAAAAGGGGGGGTGGGAAGGAAATGGAAGGCCACCGGGCCGGCGGCCAACGTGGTTCTTTCTGACGGGGAGTCTGGGGATACATGGTACTACTACTGTTACGGCCACTGCTACGTAATGTAGAAGTTTTACGGGGAGAAAAAAAAAGAAAGAAAACAAGGAAAATTTTTTCTTAAGATGAGGGATGACCTGTCATGATATGGATGAAACTTGTACGAGAGAGACAGACTTACATACAATACCTCCTTACCTACCTCGTAACCTATTACACATGTATTAGGTACCTACCTCCTATATGCATACTACTATTGTTCGAAAAATATCAAACCACTACATACCAACCTATACATAACTCGAAGTGACTGGAAAATCGCAAAGTGCTTCACATTAGCGTCTTCTGGGGAAATAGAAGATCCTAAATCGGGATTACCATGCATCATCACGCACATAGGTACCTAACCTACGTAGGTAGTGAGTGGCACTTGGCATCTCGACGAAGGCCTCCAAGGAACTGAGATCCGAAAGTAGTAGATCCCGCTGACGGAAAGCCGGTAGGTAAAGAAAAAATTATTTAAAAATCTGGGGTAAATGTTGTGAATGCTTACCACCAAGGTATGTACTTAAACTTTATCTGTGTGTGCTTGTAGATTGCACACATACCTCATATAGGTACTTTACATGGTTACTCGGCTTCTTGGTACATCATACTACTTAAAGTGGTAGTAAGTAACATGAGGTAGAAGCAAGAGGAGCTAGCCTAACCCCTGAATAGTCTACGCAAACTATCAGGTTTCTAGATGCAAGGTAGCGATATGAATAGATACCTACTTGACTACCCCCTAAGGTTAGGTGATTTAGGTAGTCATTTCGATATTAATAATGCTATAAGATATCGAATTAATAGTGAACGCCTTGTACGAGGTAAAAGCGCATAATCTACAGAACCCAAGCTGACGCTGAGTAACGACAACATGATGGGTAAGGGTGACTTCTCGTCAGTGTTTGCGGCATATGTAGGTACCTACCATTCCTTGGCATTTTCCTATTCTTGCTAATGACAGCACTAGCAGTGGTAGAATCAGGATATGAATGCTTCCCAGAATAGCTTGTTGTTGGCCCCCAACCGATTCTCCACCCCAAAAGGTCATGACTTGTGAGACAAACAGTCCGAATGTCTTGCATGCATGAGGGTAAAAACTTGGAAGAAATATTAATAAGCAGTTTAAGATACACTATTGGTCGGTCGGCTCGTTGGCCGTCAAGGTAACGGGACTGGGGAAGATCATGCCGTCGTGATTGGGCGCCGTCTGGGCAAAGGGCTGCAAACCCTGGCACAATATGGACTTTCGGGCCGCCGTAGATGGGCTGGTTAATGAGCTTTCGTTACAAGGGCTACCAGAAACCGGTGCCTTGACAGAGTCCCAAGACTTCTTCTGCCCGGTAACGCTTCCCGAAATGCTGCGCGTTACGATGTTACCCAAGTACCACTACTGCGCTTCTTCAGGGGTGACCCTCCCCTGGTCCATCCCCCTACCATTCCCCATCTGGGGTTTTAAAGTGTTGAGTTGCAGTACGGAAGTTTCCGTGCGGGGGAGAGGAGAAGGAAAAAAAAAAAGGTTGTGGAATTCTGGGGTCAACGTTATTGAAGAGAGTTCAATTTGAGAAAAGAAATGACCGATAGACTGCGGAGATGAACGTCGTCTCGCTAGAGCTATCTTCTTACCCCTCCTGGTCAGAAGACCGCTCGCTTTATGAATCAAGAGCAACTTGGTAGCAATGCCGACGTAAGTTAGATGAGTAGATCTACGACAGCCCCTCTCCAAAGACAAGTCCTGTTTCGTTGGGGAATATCTTGATAGGGTATGGAAGCCTAGCAAAGGAGAAGATCACCAGAATATGAGAGATGCGGGGTAAGGGTCTAGTAGATCGTCGACGAGGATGTCAATCTATGACCCTATCACTTCTCTTATGTTCTTCTTTTCCCTCTCTTCCAACCTCCTCAGTTTTCCTCTATCAATCTAGTTCTAGTCGAAGACGCTATCATGCGTCCAAGGCGCGTCCAAGGCAGTTGGGTCTACACTATCCCATACCTCCACCAAGCCGCCTCGTTACACAATTCCTGTCATCAAAGTATCTACCGACTGCTGTGTCGCGCGAGATTGCAGCGGCAGTCGAGATGATGCCACGTTTTAGAGACCGATGGGCAGGGTGGAGCGGCCGCAGGTGTCCGTTTCGATGAGGGCTTCTCGACAAGGTGCTAAGGTGCTACAAGGCTTTCCAACAGTCCGTCACCGCGGTAGGGGCGACCTGCGCTAAGCCAAGAGTAGAGCTCGTCTACCCAAAGCAAGTCAGTCTGTCTGTCACTTCTCAACTTACACGCTTGCTTGCGATCGATTCGCCACCTGCCCCGCCACACACGTGCATCATGTTTATGTATTGTACGCACGTCTGCATTCTACAACGTGACCTGTCTTCAAAATTTATGACGACCGTCGGTCTCGACGAGTCTTGGCATATACCCGGAGCTTACAAAGCACTTAGAGAACACTATAAGACGCCCTCATACCCACATCGGAGTGGCACAAATGAGAGGACACTTTGAAACCTCACGTCGTTGTCGGCAGGGATTATGTCAAGGTGATATCGTTGACGGCCAATCGCTAAAGGATAGGAGAGCCGTGTCTGGTGTGATTTCATGGCAAGTCGATGGTTGTAGTGATATCTGGGAGCAACTCGTTATCATGTTTTGATATAGCCACCTTCTAGTCATTACCTTTTGGGGGCTATCGCGGAGAAGCGATATGTATGGTAGGTTCCTCGGCTTGAGTTTCCCTTTCTATCTACTTGGTCTCTGTACTTGGTCTCTGTCAAACTAGAAAGACACATGGAAGTGGCATAGACAATTGTTAGAGGCTTACCGTGCTTTAACCTGACTACCGCAACTGTGCCTCGCGCTTGCAGCGCGGCTACTGGGACCTAGATAGTCTTGTGATGCTCTTAAGTACCTATATAGGCCCTGTTAATGTTTTAGTTAGCTCGACAAGCTCTGGACCTCATACTAGTGCTGTCTTAGGTAGGTACACAAGTTCGACGAGCACCCTAAGGGATACCGCGCTTAAATTACAGAAACGGGCAAGATTAAGGATGGTGCATTAGACTTTAGATAGCAATAAGAGGAAAAGAAGTGATAATATTTTATAAATACTTCATAAATGTTGGAAAATACTTTAAAGCGTGTAGTGATTATACCTATTTGGAAGTATTTTGGATCTGTCTCCAATTATTAGTTGTTTTCTTGTCGAATTTGTGTAGACATCTAGGCCTGCTACAATCCTCACCAGCTTAGCCGTTGATGGTTAAGCATGCTGCGCGACCTTACCGGGGATTCGTCGAGTCGGTGAAGTGGACCTGCGCTAGGAGCAATAGGATGGTTTTTACTATGTAGGGTCTCGAAGTTGGGACGCCAAGAACTGAGCCAGGTATCATCGCGCCATTCGAGCCGTGTTTTACTGCAACGTTGAGTTGCAGTGTCAAGGGTAAAAGCGGGAACCCCTTGTTTTCTCATACTTCCACAAGCTTTCTTATCTTAACATCTTGAGACGTCTTTAGTGCTATGCTTGTAGGCTATCACACATGCCACAGCTAAACAACTTCTTGGGATACTATTTCTCCCCTCGTCATAGCCGCATTCTATCTCGGTTCGATGTGCGAATACGATGTGCAAACACGTTGTCCCCAGCCATTTTTGTTTCAGCGAAACTAAAGAAACTTTCAGTCAAGTGATGATGGACATGGGTAAAAGTCTATCGCGGCGTTAGCGTGAATGATATCCAAGAACATGTTGTGTTGGTGTTAGGAATTCTTCAACGTTAAACTTCTGATCCTGCGGCCTACCTGGACCTTCGGAAAATCATCCCCTTCGCTGGGACCACGATCCACGATGGGACTCATCCACCTATTTCATAACGCTGTACCTCTCAACCTATGAAATGACATGGCGATAACGCAAGGGTTAAGATCATGCCATTGGAAGACTCTGAGTATGCATAAGGACTTCCCGTGACGTTGGTAATTTCGGCGAAGGGTAACTCTTTTGTAAATTCTCCCGATGTACAATGGAACAGTCTCACATGTAGGATGCGTTCCGGCAGCGTTATCTTCTACCTACCGCAAGCCCCAAGTACCTAATGGCCATGTCGAAGCCCACCGTATGTACGCATCAGACCATATTGAATAATTCTTGGGTCGCGTAGCACATGATATCTTCAATTGTCGCTCTTCTGGTGTTACAACGGCTTTGCGCCTGCAGGTATCGACTTGTAGGGCTTTGGCAAGTGGTCTCAATATCTTGGCGGCGTGCTTATATGGTATCGGCATCCATGCCGGCGGCTGGTAGGCTGGACTGCCGCATCGCCTAATGCAAGTCCCGCGTACCTGCGTCGCCGATCCCGGACCGCCTGACCTTAACGATTCCACTTATAGAGGGGGAGGATCGGAATACTTGAGGAAGCATTGCTGCCGTCCTCGTATCGGCCGAGTATTAGGCCACTTAGAACGAATAGGACACGAGCTTTGCATAGGTGTAGGTACCTAAGCTAGCCCGTTAGTGTAATTTCCTCCCTCCTGTCTTTTCTTTCCCATTCACTCCTCCACCTCTCTCCAGTGGGAACGGACGCGTTGCCCGCTTTGGGAAACATCCCCCGGGTGGGATCTCGGGATCGTAATGATTCGGACTCGCGCTTGCTAGGGCCCGCCGGCTTTCTAAAATTAACAAGACTAACGTCGCCGGCTTGTGAAACCCGGGATTCGGTCCTAACCTGAGCCATTGAATGGTTCTTCAGGGGAATTCATTCTGCAGAGTTCCACTTGTTTTGTGCGGATCAGGTGAATTAGTATCAAATATAATACATGATTAGCGACCAACCAATCTAAGTGCACGTGGGTTTTATTTTAGTGGTGACAGTGTTGGGTTAAGGAGAAACATGTTACCAGGAAACTGGAGCTGCCACTTCAGAGTATTGTGTATTCTTGTAGCATGCTGGTAGTGAATGCATGTGCATTAGGAAATGATGGTAGAGTCAGCAAATAGCGTGTCAAGGTTTCCGGACAGTTCTATACGTTTATACCTGTCTTAAGAAGACTCACTGTTTTGGAGGGTTATTATCACGAAACCAAAAGGTGGCTACTAACGACAATAATATTCTAAAGAACCAGAACATCCAAGGCCTTGCAACACAGGCTGCAGGGCTGTCTTATATTACCTATATGAATAAATTCCTGATTCCTGACCGTGACAGTTATTCACCTTGCTAACGTGAGAGTCATGGCGAAATCATACATGGTGAATGTTATTGGCAAGATTCCATCTAGACTCAACTATCAATAATACTAGTTCGCCATTTAGCCATGAAGTCTAAATAGCTGTGATGTTGTAAAATACCTCTTGCGATACCAGGTACCTTAGGTAGGTAGGTACTTTACCCCTATCTCACATTCGTTTTCTATTACAAGGTGGAAAACTGAGAGGTAGGGAAAGAACTTCGCTATTCAGCGAAAACTCCAAAATCGCTATGAGAGCGGGTGAATTCTCAGACTGAAAGTATTTATTTATCTTAGATATCTCGTCTTGAACTCTTTCACAATAGGACTCGAGTCAGTGCTATAGGTTAGCTACACAGACACCAATCATATCGCATCCATGAAACTAGCATCTTTCCAACATACATTGTTCACTTTCTATTCTCTAGGTAGGCACTTTCTATCCGGGCTCTGGAATTCGTGCAACGGTTTCCTATCCCAGGTACTTCGTAGGCATGTATATAAATTCTGCGAAGGGCTCTAGAAAATACGATAAACCTCTCGCTTTCATCCCCTCAACCTTGCCTTAGCTCTCCACCAAAACACAACAAACCTTCAAAATATCGCAAAAGCCAAGCAAAACTAGGAATCCCGCCCCTAGGCAGCAATGGAATTCTTCGACTGGGAGCCGCTCCCGCCCCCAGGCCGAGAACCATATAGGCACAAATCAAATACGGTCGCAAACCTCCGCTGGACAGGCTATCGTCTCGTGGTAAAAACAATTGCCGATGCCGCGTTCGGCAAGGTACGATATGGACCGGTATGGAAGATCAAGTACGAGGAGATTGGAGATGATCCTTTTCTCCTTATCATTTTCAGGCATTGGGATTTTACACGGAATTACATTAGCTTAACTGCTATGAAAGCGGCGATGGAAAAGTTCTGGGATCTTCGTTACTTCACAATCACTATAGGATCGCGTTGGCATCCTGGCTTACGGAAGGTCATTCTACCCCGACATAATGATTATAAAGGCAAACCGCCGTTTATCCCTACATTAGACGGCGCAGAGCTGCTGGAAGAGGGAATAGCGGCAGATGAAAAGCCAAACGAAAGCGACGCTGAATATCAGTGGGATAAGGAAAAGCTGGAATGGGATGAGTGGGAAGATTAGTGGAAGGATGTTATTATTTCATTTCTGCGACTGCTTACTGCTGACTGTCCGTACGATACTTTAGCAGACATTATAGCAGACTGGGATAGCATTAGGCTAGTATGAATATAAATTAATTAGCCACTTCTTGAGATACGTGAAAATAGAGGTTCACTGGTTAGGTAAATCTCTATATAAAGGGTAGCTGGCTCCTACGTATGAGATCCATCAAGGGCATAACCCTCTACTTGATAGTAAACAGTGAGGTAATCTGTTTAAATCCTCGAAGTTTGAAATCTAACGGAGTATCTTAACTAGTCAGTGTCTAGTTTAGTCGCCGCGCCTACTAGATAACAAAAAACAAATTTTTGAGCCTACGGACAAATGAATCATGTGGCTTCAAGGGAGGCTTCAAGGAAAGCTATTTCTATGACACAAGTCTATCACGGCGTGACGACAGGTAGTTCGTACGTATATAACTTCATTATTCCAATATATACCTAGGTACCTGGTAGGTACCTGGTATCTACCTCTATTCACAATCTTTTCTTAATTACCCCAGTTTCATGTTCCATATACCCCTTTTATTTAGTCTCTGGCCTGCAGGATTGCAGAAGACATAGGTATAAATTTTGTCAAAAAACGCCATAAAATACGAAAGGTTCCCCAATCTTAATCAACCTGGCTGCATCATAGCTCGTCGTCAATACGGAACAAAACTTCAAATCGTCATAACAGCTAACCTAACCTGGGTCTCACATCCCGCATCTATGGAATCAACAAACTTTACGCAACATCAGGCCAAAAATCTCCTCTACAAGGGTTACCGGTACAAGATCAAAAAGATTGCTAAAGATGCATTCTGCATTCTCTACTATAACCCAGGTTAGGTATGAAGAGGATGGGGATGGTACTCCTTGTCTTCTTGTCATCTTCAAAGCTGCGGTTTACATGATGGAATCCTCGGATCTGTCGCATATGAAGTCTCAGATAAGAAACCACAAGCATCTTGATTACTTCCGCATTGATATACAATCGCGTGAAAACTCAAACGGTCGGAGGACCCTTTTGGAGCGTGATACCAAGTATCAAGGCAAGCCGCCGGCGACCTCGGAAGATTGCGCAGATTCGGAAGAGACGGAAGAAAAGTAAAACCTGGGAGATGCCAGAGTATTTGGGGATAATCGAAGATTGTATTGCGTAGTTCGATAGCATTTTCTCCTGTCAAAGATTGCTTGCGTTCACCATTCGATACCATGCTCTAGCGAAGGTGCACTTTATTAAGAGGTGCCTGTTACCTCTCCCCAACCCATACAGTTCGTATAATCAATCAATATACAAATGCACATTATATACCGTATCATTCAATAACGCCTGGGCCACCCAGTTCGAATATATCGGCGTCAGTCAAACAGTAAAAGTTTACCGGTCTTAATATTGCCCTTTACTAGACTAATGGATAATTGGGTGTCTATTCTCAACCTAGCTTTCTCACATTTTGCTCCTATCCCTTAGCTTTTTCCCTGTCGTATAAGAGAAATTCTGAATGTGCTTTAGCGAGGGTTGATGTGGTCGTAGTAATATCCTGGACTGTTTCTAGGTGCTCTTGTCATAAGGGTTCTAGTATGGCTGATTCGCGTCCGATTGTGTAAATAAACTTTTTTTTAAGAAAAAGAAAAAAAAAACACTGGGTCCGTTTCCTAACGAGGCCAGCTTCTGTGAAGAGATTGACAGTGGTTAAACATAAAAAATCTAGGACAAAGGGGATGTATGCATTTCTCTAGTTCCCAGAGCTATCTTAGTTAGAGGTCCTTGAGAAACAACGAAATATTTATGCCCTTTCTCAAGTTAAAAGAACTTGTTACTCATTTGATGGTATGTAATGGTTTTCCTCCCTCGTCATGGACAATTTTTGGAAAACAGGAGACTATTTATTTCTAAATATGAGTTATACAGGGACCCAACTCCCTATGCTTCATTATACATTGGTTTCCAAATTAATGATTAATGCATAACCCTCAATTCTACTATACCACGCCAAGCCAACAACAGTCTCCCCGGCCATAATGCCCTTTTCACTCAAAAATATTCTTTACACGCCTCAGAGGCTCAAAGTGGAAAAACACGTTAGAAATAGCTTCGGCGCCAACTCGAGGATGATAAAAGAAGTCGTGTACGACGAAGACGAAGACGACGGGACTCCTTGTATCCTTATAGTTTTCTGGTCGTCCCGGGCACTCTCTTTCGCCGGAGACCTAGAGGAGACTAGACATAACATCCAGAGAGACTTATCGCTTGGACTTCAGCGTTTCCGGATCGATAGTAAGTGATACTCCCAACTCCTATTTTCTCTTTCTAAAACAATCTCCTCTAATGCCTTGCAATTGATTATTTACCTAGCTGAATGTCTAACCTTTATGGAAGAGTGACCACTAACCTCGAACACTATAGTTATAGCGAATTGCCATGCAGGTACGCGAACGTGCCTAGTAAGACGTAGTGGCAAATATCGGAAGCCTCACCAGAAGCCTTGACGAGTGTGATGAAAATGCCAAGAAAGAAAGGGGGCGGAAGAAGGGGAGAGTGGGGGGCATTGAGGGAATGCACTACTAGGTAGTTGTATCGTGTCCCGTTCCCCTTTTATGAGGATTTTTGGACCTTTTACCCTAAAAACGTTTAGGACTTAGTACTAGGTACATGAATATTTGGGTTTATAATCTTACATAATTTTCCGAAAGTCAATATAAATGTACCTCTTCCAATCGCTTCCCTATAAACAGCACCTATAACTTTGCTAAAGGTCCAAGCATGTGTCCAAGCATGTGACGTAGTTTCTATCGCTCATCGTTATACAAGTTGGAAAGGGCGGACATGCCCAATACATATGAAGAAAGAGCAAGGAGCCCTGTAATAAACTTTCAATACATTTCAATTCGAAAAGCTGTCATTCTTTCCTTTCTGGTTTCTAGTTTCTTCTCATTTGTCCCTTAACCACAAAAACATTTCGGTAAAACTATGGTATTAAAACGACAAAGAACGACGAATTCCCACACAATGGAACATATGCTGCGTTGTAATAACCTCAAATGTCGAAAGGAACTTGGCGACCGGGCGTTAGTGACTACGTGCAGTCATATCTTCTGTACCGATTGTGCTGCTCGCCTAGGTCTGACATCACAGAGGCACGAGCATCGCAACTCGTGTCCTGCATGTAATACCCCCTTAACTAATCCTGATGACGCTGTCATCTCGAACCTTAACCCTAGCGAGGATTATAAGACGAGCGTTCTCAGCGGCCTTAGTCCATATGTTATTATCGAATGCGCGAGTCGAGCCCTAAGCTTTTGGGCCTACCAGGCTACCCAGGAAGTGTGAGCACCATCCTTCCCCTTGATATTCCAAATGAGCTTGACGTTCTAATCCCAACACGAAGCTTTTACCATGAGAAGCTTGGAGCGACACTTACTGAGAAATACTCGAATCTCAATGTCCATCTCGACAAAGTTATTAACGATGCCAACTTGGAAATCTCCCGTTTAGAAGGCAAACTTTCAGGTATGGCAATGGAGCACGAAAGTTTGCGTAGAAAGAATGACGAGTTAGCACAAGGGTACAAGGAAAAGAATCGAAAACTCCTACAAATACAGGAGTTGTACGATAAGCTTAAGCAAAGAGCTATGCTCGGACAGATGCAAGATGCTGCCGAAGATGCAGTCGACTCGGCGCTTCACGGGCCGTCATTGGACAGAAGCCAAGTCGAGGATAGTAGCCGAAACCTTCCCGATTTTCAAGAGCACGGGATGTCTTATGCGCATCAGCGACCAGCGCTTCATGAGCAAGAAAGAATATCCGCTCCATATCATCACCAGGGATTGCGGCAAAACTACAACAGTTCTTGGCCAGGGACTGTGGGAGTTCAACGTAAGTCTGTTCTTAAAGGAGTGCCCCTAAAATAGCGAATATTATATCTCATACTACACAGAAAATATCCCCGTTACTCCTTCAACTCATCGTCAACGCCTTGGCGAAACCCCCGGTATTGGTCTGGCCACTATTCCCGGTCTTGTATCAGGGACTCCTCAAGCGCACCAAGCCAACGTGAGCATACGAGCACAACAGCATGCCATACCCTCAAGCAACCTCCAAAGTGGTATTAGGTTCCCTGCAGTTGGATTGAGCTCCGGATTAAAGGTTAGCCACGATGGGAGTAATAGCTCTGGCGGGCTTTCTGCATCGTTGGCAAGACCACGAGGTAAGTACCTGTCTTAATATGAAATCTATATCCTAAAATATAGCTTGACTAACTTAGCATCAGCGGTGGCCCAAAGACCTACGCCATTGTCTTCAACGTTCCATCGCGGGCAAGCAAGCGACCAACCACAAGCTACCTTTTCTGGATTACGAAGTAGTTTTGCAAACCTCTAATTAATCCGATCTGAAAAGGCAAACAATGTAAAATATCTTAAAGAGATACCTAGAAGAAGGATGACATGTCAACTCAAAAGGAAGTCTCTAAGAGTAAACCTAGGATGGGATGCTGAGATTTGGAACAATACATTGTCCACAAAGTAACACAAAGATATTTCTTTGTCTCTTTTTTTGCGAAGCTGTTACCTTTCCAGCCACTTAACGTCACGGAACAAGGATATAGTTATAGCGCAATGCCTTGTATCTCTTCATATATAGCTATTAAGGGCCAACCCAGTATCCCATCTCTCCTACTTACTTCCTCGTTCCGCCCCCTAAGAGCTTCAAAGGATCTGGATTTACTCAAAACCTATCGGTATTTATTCCCACGAAATCTCATTTCTCATCAAGTCGTAAATCGCATAGCAACCCGACCTACCCGACCTAATCTTCCTCATATCTGAAACCATGGCGTCAAGATACTCTCAACCCCAATACCGTGATGAACTAAGTAGGTTTCCTTCGGAGGCTACTAGATCTCATCCTAATCTTCTAAGTTCCACTGAGCCTACGCAGGCGTACGACTCACGTGGCGAACGAAGGGGTAGGGGTATCAAAACGTCTCATTCGATGCAAAACCCACAGATGGATCGAACTTCACTACGTGACCCTTCAGTCGAGAACAAAGACGTTAAGGTGACGAAGGCATTCAGTCGTTGGCTTGGAAAGCACAAAGCTAAAAATGCGGCAAACCCTGAGAGGCTCCGTATTAGTGAGCCTCAACCTGCATCATTACCTCAAGCCCCGTTGCGCCATAAGCACTCGTTTAACGAACAAGCTCCTCTTCCTCCAAATATCTCTCGGATATTACCTGAGTTGGGAATACCGAAGCCGCCTCTAAAGAATCCAAGCATCCAAAAGAAGAATCTTGGTAAATCTCACGACGCGCTAGGTTCCTACCCAGTTGGTACTTGGCTTGACAATTCGGAGAAGACGTATCCTCCCAAGCAAATACTGTTCAATTCCAAGGCCGGAGATAACGAGAATGAGATGACAGGCGTTGCTAAGTCTAGACGACAGTCTCGTGCTTCCCCAAAATCGGTTACCTACGAGTCTGAGCTGGCCGACGACATTCAATCGGGGTTGGCGGCAGACATCAGAGCCGAGCGACGGAAAGGGAGAATATTTTCTAATGAGGACCCTTTGAAAAACCTCTACGAGTTCCCTGATCCGGATGCCTGGTATGGAGAAGAAGATGATGAGAGCGATGAAGACGACCAATTCTGGGATGATGCTGGTTTTGATGATTCAGACTTTGGTGGTTCAGACCTTGACGATGCCGGCTTCGAGGAAGCCGTGTTTACAGCTAGGCGTGAGCGATATTCCGCAAATATTTCTGTCCCAGATATCGTAATATCAACCCCGACTGATGAAGGTGAGCCATCGAAGAGACGTGCAAGCTCCGAGGACCTGCTAAAGCCTGACGACGTTTACAAGGTCCTGTGGAAGAAGCAGGCTAAAGAAATTCGCTTTTTGAACGAAACGCAACGTTACCTTTTGCCTCTAGCTTGGTTGGTAGCCGAGGCAGAAGGAATAGACGTGAATGATTTACCTGCATTAGAGAAGGCTTTGAAGGTTATCATTTCAGATCGTCGGAAGCTCTTTGACCTCTTCCCCCTGGCGAAGGTATTGGCCAAAGACCAAAAGGTTGACGTTAACGACTTCAAATCATTCCCCAGGATATTGAAAAACGTTCTGTCGGACCGAGACAATGCTAAAAGGTTAGCTGACTACCATCGGACTGCGAAACTAAAGCTCGAATCAAAAGTCGCGCAGTTGGAAGCAGAGAATATTGGTGAAAGTCCCGACGATGAGGATTATATTCGATTTTGAGGATATACTTAAAGTTATCAAAGTGCACTACTTCTCAAATACTTCTCAAATAATTCCCTTAGAGCAGTGTGTAGTGGCATTTGCGACTAGAAAAAGGTGAAATCCGGAGCACCCCTCTAGCCGCAAGTACTCATTAACGGAAGCCTTCCCCTTGATCGTCCCTATATTTGACCGCCCGCCAATAATCTACACCTACCTCCTATCGCATCTCCTATATTCACATAATCCCAGTATGTATCTAGCTCCCTCCTACCACTAAGACAGTGGGAGTATTTAACGGTCATCTAAGTACAGGACGCTGTGCGTCAACCACTATGCCGCAGGCAGGTAGCTTCTTTCTAATACGAGGCTACTCGGCACTATATTTTACTAATATCTAATAACGGACATACCATTTAACAACCTACCTACCTACCTACCAAGCTACTTTTCTGGTAAAAGCGAGGGATACGAAACTCATCATCTTGCCATTACTTCAGCAACCAACACCCCTTTCTCATCTCAGCCATAATTCTCCTGCGCAGGAGGCATGAGACAGAAGTCCATTCATTTCAACACATACTCTCTCATTACGAAACATTATAAGAAGTACCTACCTAGGTACCTACCTAGCCAAAGGAAGCCCATCCTCCCGGTCTGGCCAGACGGGTGGATAGGTGGACATCACGGTCATCACCTCCTCTATGTACACGGCCCACCGACACTCATTCACCAAAATGTTTACCGTTGATATTGTTTAATACGCCCTCTTAGTTAATATAGTTAATGCAATAAATTTTTTTTCTGCATGTATACCTCCTTTATTGAACTATTCTTGACGTGACTATAATTGATTAATGCGCTTTTATACCTGTATCAGGTAAATCAATCTTCGGACTTGGTGCTATAAAAGATATTTCGACGTATGTAAAGATAGGTACCTGACAGTTGGATTTAGTCTAGCAGAGACAACTGTAGATGTAGCCGAGGAAGCCATTTGCAGACCGCTCGCTGAGGTCAGAGAAATGCCATAGTTGTAAGCACTTTGAGGGGATAACGGGGGGGAGGGGCGTGGACTGTGTGGACTAAGAATACTTGACAATCTGAACTAGGCATTGCCATTAGATGAGTGTGAATAAGTTTTCAGGTAGTGCTCTATGTAAGAAATAATCAAAACAGAATCTATGATACCTAATTCAAAATTTAAATATCTCTAATACAGCTATGCAAAGCCTTAGAATGTATCTTCCGGCTCAGCTCCATGGATAAAACTCATTCGGCGAGAAAACGACCGACTTCTTCTCACCCCCTCGCCATCTCAGGCACGGTATATGCTCCTTCTCCCGCTTTTGATTCGTCACTTTGATCCCCAGTTCCGAGCTGAGGAGTCTCATCGCGCCGTGCAGCTCCGGGCCGGGATTCCAGATATCCACTTCCGACATGCCCCACCGGGCGGCCTCCTCGACGGCGTCGAGCAGGAGACGCGCGAGCGCGCGCGTTGAGGCGGCTTCGTCTCGGCCGCGCGGCAGCTTCGCGCGCTGTATCGTGAGCTTCCCGTGGCGCAGATCCGGGAACCAGAATAGCCAGGCGTCGGCGCTCTCGCAGACGCTGCCTTTTGCGTCGGGGGTTGTCCCGTCGGATTGCCGGTTCATGTACGCTATCCGAGCTTGCAGCCAAGTGATCATGTCCGTGGTGGGGAGGATAGTCGCGAGCACGGCGTCCTCCTTCGGAAGGCCGTATTTCTGGAAGTCTTCTTTTAGGCTTTCCACGTCGCGCTCGCAGAGGCGGGGGATATCAGCTGCGGTTATGGGATGGGTTTCTGGGAAAGGTGGTTGTTCCGTGGAGGGGAGGGATGCGGGAACGGTTAAAGTAGATTCGAAGGAATCTAGCATATCCCAGCCTTTGCTAACGTAAAACTAGAAAGGGAAATCTCATAAGCATATTCGACTGAGTATTTGGTGGGGTGGATAGATATCACTTACATCTCCCACATCCGAGTACAGTATACTAGCAGTCGCATTGCCCGGTCCATCGAGCCACTCAGCCACGGCTTTCAGCATGACGGAGGCAAGACCACGTCCACGGTGCGACGAGGCGGTAACAACGCTGCAGATGCAGTAGCCCTGTTCCTGACGGACAACAACTTCTTCTCCCCCCGCAGCGGGGCCGTCCCGGACAAGCAGGTCCCTGTGCATCGTCTTACACATGGCCACCACCTGCTCGGGGTCATCCGCCAAGGCGAGATACCACCATCGCCAGCCGCCGCCTCGCGCGAGCGGTTGCTCCGCGAGATACGCCTCTCGGTCTAGGTAGCCTTCCGGCGAAAGCGACTTCCCGAAGGCCGTGGCCGCCAGTTGGGCGCATCGGATGCGGTCCTGATGCGCCGTTGCTTCCGAGAAGACGGCGTTAAGCGCGCCACGGGCATCTTCGATGGTGATTGGCTGTGTCATCTCGGCTATCGCTTTGAATCCTTTTATCTTTGTTAAAGTTATACAAGAGTTTAGGTACCTAGGTACCTGTTAGTCGGGGTTCTCTCTATCCTCGTGAATTGGCCGGATGCCGCTGTATGTCGGTGATAATGGTCGGCATTAGTAGGCACCTAGGTGTTAGTTCTCTCCGCATTCAGGTCCGAAATTCGTTTATAGATCGAGCCATCGGATACTCTTGGGTCGGGTGGAGGTTTGATGTTTTCAATACGGCCAATACGGTTGACATGACCATACCGAATAGACCTTTCGTATTTCGTGTTTTTTTACTCGGCCCTGGGCGAATCATCTCAAGGAATCCCCCACATTTCGTGAGGGGTCGTATTGTTGTGTGCCGTTACATCTACGGTACCTACAGAGCAGATCTTGGTTTTTAAGCGGCTTACCCCTGAATTTAGTTTTGACTGGATTTCAACGGATTGAAGACTTCGGACTCTAGCTTCGTATTCGTATCTTACCCTTACTTTCCAATATAGACGTAGGTAACATCGCCAAGACTTGAAATTTTCGATAAATACCACCACATAAAGACCTCTGCTTTCTTCAAGGGGGTATTTTCACCTCCTCAGTTAAATTCAGTTGTCAAAATCGCGAGAGGAAAGGTCGACAAAATGGATGCGACGGGGTGGCAAACACTGCTTACCGCGATTGCGACGCTTCTCGCGATTGGCGTCGCTTGGGTCTGGAAACTCAACAGCGCGCTCAAACAGACACCACCAGAGGTGTTAGCAGTAAGTCCCCACCGCTGGACAGAACAAGAGATGAAGGAAACCTACAAACGCATCGAGGCCAGACCGATCGACTGGGTTAAGCACCTCCCACCACGGCTGAACCGTCGTTACATCGTCACAGGCGGTTGCGGCGGGGTGGGAGGCCAGATCGTCCTGCACCTACTTGCCCGCGGTCAGTCGCCAGAGAGTATTCGAATCGTCGATTTCCAAAAACCGGCTCGACCTGATATGAAAACGGGCCCTGCTGCTCTGGTCGGTTTCGCACAAGCTGACATCACGTCACCCACAGCGACGTCCGCTGCATTTAACAAGCCCTGGCCCAACAGTGTGGCTCATCTCCCGCTCACTGTCTTCCATACAGCTGCTGTCATACAGGCGTCGGAGCGCTCCCTCAAGACCTATGATAACGTAAAGCGCGTGAACGTTGACGGCGTGAAAAATGTTCTAGAAGCGTCAAAACAAGCCGGCGCAGACGTCTTTATATCCACATCGTCCGCCTCCATCTCGTACATACCCGTCAAGTATTGGGGAAACCCATTTCGACGCTGGCCTGAACACTACTGGCAATTTCTCGACGACTCTGACTTTGACCGGCCATTACGACCGCATGCCGAATTTTTCAGCAACTACGCGTATGCCAAGGCCACAGCTGAACGACTTATCTCCGCGGCCAATAGCTCTAGTTTCCGCACGGGGCTTGTACGCCCTGCTAACGGCATCTACGGCACGAGCCACGGCGACCAGATTGTCGGGCTGGTTCTTCGGCTTGGCACGCTCCCTAGCTGGACGAGGAATATCGTCCAGAACTTCGTGCACACGGGAAACGTGTCGTTGGCACATCTGCTCTTCGAAGCGGCGCTTTTGAGGGACGGCGGGAAGACCATGCCCAAATGCGCCGGTCGCGCTTTCGCTGTCACCGACGCTGGGCCACCGCCTACGTTTGACGATGTGTACACATTGCTACGAGTCACAGCCACGCCAAACACGGCGCCTATCAAGATTGTGTACCTACAACCTGCCATCATTTTGGTTCTCGCATACATCATCGAGTGGTTTGATCTGGCCAGCCGGAGGCCGGTACTCGGATGGATAGTGCCGCGGCCTAAGGGCGAACTAGCAAAGTTGCAGCCGGCAATCTTCTCAGCCTCTACGCATCTGATAGCGTCGAATAAGGGGGCGGAACGAAGCGTCGATGAAGGCGGTATCGGCTATCGACCCGTTACTAACACGATCGATGGTATTTGCCAGCAAGTCTTAGAATGGAATATCGAGCATGAGAATTCATCGAAGCCAGCTCCCCAGAGTGGCGCAGAAACCCTCGTGAAGGAGATTAAAAATGTAGGTGCTATGCCTACTGTTGCGGGTGCTTGAACACAAGTCTATATTAGTCTACTACATATAACACGGTACCCTGTATTTGGCTATATATCTTCTACGGTATACCCAGGTTACTTCGTTTCACGAATTTCATTCAGGATAGCCCATTTCTATGTACCTGTTGATGCTACATTTTATAGTAACTACCTCCTACCTAGGTACCTAAGGTACCTTGGGGACTTATACTCCTAGCGATAGTATACCGTTCTATCGAAGCTACACTAAAGCAGTTATAGAATGGCATGTCCAGATTGTGACTAAATGTATAAATTAGTACCAGATGAGAGTTGTAGAATGATGATCTTGTTCAATTCCATTTCAACTACTATAAAGCGAGATATCCGTCAATATATGGCTTGACGGAAAGTCGCGATAGCATCGTTCTCGCAATTCATTAACACACTCTTACAAAGCAGAAACACGACAACTCACATTTCCAATTACCAGGGAGATCAAGACACAATGTCAGCAAAAATCCCTAGCTCCTCGGAACTAAGGCCTTCACGCCTTACCTTCGGCGTCGAAATGGAATTTGTGGTGCCTTGGCTGTACAAGAGCAAGGATGGCCCGCTGGCAACATCAAAGGTTTGCCTCCCGTCTTTAGGATGGACGAGCCATCGCAACCCAATCTTCATTTTCCCGAGGACATAATTTATGATAGGATCAAGGACCTCTTCGAAAGACACAACCTCCCGACCAAAGTCAAGACCTATAAGTACAAATCCAATTTCGACAAGAGACTGCTCAGCAGATATGACCACTGGGGAGTTGAAAACGACATAACTGTCTTTGAACCCAGTGACGAGCCAGCCTTCGAGTGGGTTGATGACTTTGAATGGGTCGGTGTCGAGATTCAGAGTCCTGTCGAGCCCGACGTTCCCGTTGCTTTCGATGTTCTTGACTACGGCCGACAACTTCTCGCGAGTACGTATAGGTGCCGCGTTAACCATTCCTGTGGGCTTCATGTTCACGTCGGAAACGGTAGCGAGCGCTTCCCGCTCGAATCTATGCGGCGTATCGCCTCCTTGGTTTTCGCTACGGAGCATCTACTCATCACGCTCAACCACCCCTGGCGGACGGCAAACCTGAACGCTCGGACGCTGCGGGACAGAAGCAACTTGGCGCATAAGTTAGCTGGCAACGAAATGAGCTCCGGTCCAAATCATAAGTGTAAACATGCGCATACGGACTGCGTCCGGTATTATGCTACAGACGTCCGGCATGGAGAGCAGCCTATCTCCTGGAGGGAGCAGCATAGAGACCCGAAGTTCGTGGATGCCTTCGAGCAGGTTAGAAAAAGTGGCTTCGAGCCCTTTCAGCCGGTTGTGGATGAAACCACTCCCAGCTCTCCTGTTAGCAAGGCAAGCAGTGTCAGTGGGACACAATCTAGCGAGTCGACACCGGGGAGTGAGGAAGACGCAAAATCGGAGGAAGGTACACAGTCCAGTGAGTCAAGCCCGGGAAATAAGGAAGAAGAGAAAGAAGAGAAGTCCGAGGAAGAGACACAGTCCAGTACGTCGAGTCTGTCGAGCAAGTCGAGCAAGGGAGAAGGATCCGGGGAAGAGAGTCCTAAGGAGGGATCTCAGAGCAAGAAAACCCTCAACGGAAGTCAGAAACAGAAACAAGTTGATGATCCGTTCAAGCACTCCAACAAGCCTTTCCCCACACGAAGTATCCCACGGATCAAACTGCCGCGCTACACCACCGAGCAGCTCATCGAGTTCCACGACAAGCTCGAGGAGTTCGGCGCCGACGGCCTCTTGTTCGAGGGCGAAAACGCGCACCGGTCGCCGGACCCGGGGGTGTTCGCGGCGGTGGAGGAGATCTACCAGGCGCCGAGCTCGTGCGCGATCGCGCACCTGATGTTCCCGTGGGGCGCGTCGCGGGTGAACTTCCAGCACTACGCGTGCGACTCGTTCGACCGGGCGGACCTCGGGCGGACGATCGAGTTCCGCGGGGCGGAGGGCAGCCTGGGCCCGTGGGTGGTGACGTGGGCGAAGATCTGCGTGGGGCTCGTCCGGTTCGCCGTCCGCTCCCCGCCGTCCGAGTTTGTCCGCGTCCTCGAGAACTGCCAGCGCGCGGAGGAGCGCGACGGCGCGTACGACTGCATCGACTTGCTTAATGATCTGGGGCTGTTCGCCGAGGCGGTGGTCGCCGCCCGCAGGATCGCGGAGAATAAGGACGATTGGGGCCTTGAGTACGTGGAAGAGGAACCGAAGCCGAAGTCGGAGCCGGAGCCGGAAGAGAAGGCGGAAGCGTAGAAATAGATCATAGTAGGCGCGGATTAGCTTGGATTAAGTATCCGGAGTAATTACGGCGTGCTATCTTTGTCTTCCCCTTTTTTCTTTGTTGCTCGTTAAGGAGAGAAGCTTAGTTACAATGAAATAATCAAATCCTCTCCATTTACATGTCAATATTTTCTTTTAGGTTTTCTTTTTTAATTGTCCATTGAAAATTTGTTTTTGGTTAAAGGCATCAGTGCCTACCTACTTCTTAACTCAACCTCCGTACCTAATGTAAACAGTAATGATCTCACAAACACTCGTGTATATACTTAAGTGCGAGCTAGCTACAGTGAATCATATTCAAATTCAATGAGCTGGATAGTCTGGACTGTTCTTAAAGTGTTCTGATTTGAGGCTTTTTCAAGGCTTTGCGAGACTTTGATTTGTCGATATAAGTGGGAAGGGTAGGTCGCACTTAATATGCAAGATTCGTAAAGATGCCTGATATAAAGGGGCTAAGTCTCGGTGAGTATGCGGATTTATTGATCAAAATATGGGGAAAAGTTAAGGGACAACTAGCGCAGCTCCACTTAGAGGTACTTATACACCTTAAACAAATGTAAGTCCTCTCGATCATATTATTCTTCAAAGACGTTTCACGATTCAAAGTTGACTTGGATTTTTCTTTTAAACTCTGTTCAGGTATTCGTTTACGTTCGGGAGACTTTGAAAACCACGTCGAAAAATAAAACAAGTTGGAAGAGATGAGGTGATATTATGGTGATCGACGTCTGGTTGGTTTGTTACATCAATGTGGCCAGGCCTGAATGTGGCTACTAATACACTATTATTGTAGTGTATACCAGGTAGGTGGTCCAACGGCTTTTGGCCAATGACGATCGTGACGTAGCCTTAGGTACCTAGGTACCTACCTATCTAGCGCAAATGGAATCCTTAGCTGATAGAGAGGCGTTGAAAAAGCTGGCGCTAGCTGAACGCCAAAGCCCCGTTCTAAATAAAAATGTCCCGTGCAGGCCTTGGAATACCCTTGCAAATTCAGCCTTAAAAGCCGAGAGACTAGACTGTCATGCTTGTCATTGCATAAAGCTATGCATAAGATGGACTTAATCGGTCCATTTATTTTCTATATTAAATTAACAGGGGGCGATTTAAGATGGCGAAGATACCCCGTACTAAACCTAAACTGGTCCTTGGAAGGATTCCGTGCGTTTACATCGTAGGCAACAAACGTCAATCTCTCCATAATCAGCGGCACAGCAAAAGAACATGACATATGAGAATTTAGGGCTTGAGAACATTTGGGATTAGGTACATAGTAAATCCATATTTATGCTTTACGTGAGATCCCATCGTGTTTTTTTAAGTATATATAATATGTCTAGACTTCTCAGGATCAAGGAAGCTTTTGCTTTTCTGATTGCCTTCCATATTCGACCTGCGTAACTCCTTGAAAACGATTAAAAAAACCCTTCGTTAACACGTCGAAATACAAACTCTTTCAAGATGGTTTCTCAAGCTACACTCGCTTTTCTCGGTCTCGCTTCTACCGCTGTTGCGACACTTAGCCCATTGCAGCTGAGGAACCTCAACGACTTGCGTTATGAGCGCGTTGTTGTCGAAGTCCGACAAGTCAGCTCGTCCTTCTCTGAGCTCCCCACGGCGACGCAAAACCCCGAGTGCGAATCGGCTTTGCAACCATTGGGTTCTGACGTCCCTACCGTGGCTCCCGAGCTTCTGGCCTACCTGGAGTCCTTCGTCGCCACGGCCGACACTAACAACCCGACCATCTTGTGCGAGGCCACCAAGGTGCCGCAGTCGCTCTCGTCCCAGTACAGCTCGTACGACCAGGCTGCCAGTTCCTGGCTCAGCAAGCACAGCAGCGACCTCGAGGTTATCGCCACTAAGTGCAAGAACGACGAGGACGCCTCGGTTACGGAGGCCATCGAGTCCATTAAGGGATTCCTCGCAGACAATTGCGGTGCTACCTCCGGTGCTGCCTCTGGTGCTGCCGTTTCCAGTACCGTGTCCCCGGCTCTGGCTGCTCGACCCACCGGCATGGTTGCAGGTGCCGTAGCGGCTGCTGGCGCTCTTGGCGTTGCGGTTCTTCTATGATTGGATCCCCAAGGTATTGGATTAATACCCCGTGTAGTCAAGCCAAGCATAGGCGAAGGAATAGCATGCATTCATGTTGGTAATTTGGAAATTGGATCCTTGGAATAGATCAAATATAGAATACCTACCTACCTTAGGTACCTGTTATACCCCAAGTTGTATTTTCTTCTCCTGCATCGGACAGGAATCATTATGTTGTGTTTTTATCATCTATCCGTTAACTATAACATATACACTGGCATTATCCTATTGTAAGGTTATCACATGATGTTTAATATTTATCTGTTCTTATAAGAGGTATTTTCGTCATGTGTCAGGTAGTTGCTATGAAATATAAGATGCCTCAAGTCTTGACAAGAATGAAACATCTTAGATAATATACCCCTTTGCCAGTGCGTTCGGAATAGCCTTCGTCATCGAAATTAATATATGTAACTACCTACCTTAGGTACTTCGGTATAGACTTAGCCATACGAGGTACCTAAGGTTAGGTTAGGTAGGTACTCAAGAGTCTAATTCGAAATGGGAGAATGGGCGAACTATGGCTGCATGGGCATTTTCGGTGTCGCCAGTCAAGAATTAAAACCGCCAACGCACTGGCAAACACCTGGCGCATTAAGTTGCGTACCTAAGGCACCTAAGGCAACGACGTAACCTAGAGCTAGCTTTTGTCACGTCGCCATTTTCTACCAGGTAGGTTAGGTATCTTATATTTTCTATACGCCAACTCCCCACAACCTGCCCGCACGACCTAACATACGTACCCTACCTCATACGTACATTAGGTACCTAGGTACACACGCGCGCGTTGCCCGCGGGGTTCCGCAAGCTCTGATCGTCCAAGATCCATCACGATGGCCAACCTAATACGGTTACCCGAGGAACTTCTACTAGAAATCACCACTTGTGACGTTTTGGGACCTATTGATCTTGCGTCTCTTGCTCTTGTCAATAAGCGACTGTTTCGCGTCGCCAACGAATCACTTTACAAGACATTTGGACAAAGGGAAGCAATCATATCTGCCGTGATGAATGGCAACATTAACACCCTTGAAGTTGCGCTTTATTACGGACTCGATATACACTATGATAAGTATCGTGCAGTATGCATGGCTTCACGTCATAGACAAATTGAAGTTATGAAATGGTTACTAAACCATGGCGCCCCTGTCGATCATGATCTCATCGGCACTTTTGCTTCCATATCGAATTCTCCATTGTTCTTTGCACTCCACCGTCGGGATGAAGAGGCTGTCTTGTTCTTACTTGGACTTGGAGCTATACCTAGATTCATTAACCTTGATCTCCATAACAACATCAATGGAAACAGCGATGACGACGATAGCATCCCCACAGTTGCCGATGAGACGGCCCTTCACATTGCGTCTGGGTTGAATATGCTACAAGTAATGGAGGTTCTTGTTCGCGAAAACATTATCCCAATCGATGAGGCAACTTCTACAAATCCACCGGCTTTACACATGTTAAACAGGCATTACTACGACATTGATTTCATCCCAGCATTCCATAAATTGATTGAGCTTGGGGCTGATATCAATAGTACCCCTTCAAGCAATCTAATTCCACTCACGCTCGCTATCACATTGCGCCAATTCGCATATGCAGAAGCGTTACTTGATGCAGGTGCAGATGTCACCCCGAAGCACAAGTTGCCCAGAATATATCATCCCATCCATGCCTGCTTTTGGAACCCCCGCATCAAGGGCATTCTTGATACGGAGCCACTGGAAATTCACGACCCCCCAATGTACGCCTTACTCACGAGGCTCCTAAAGCTTGGAGCAGACTTGCACGAAAGCTACCCAGGTGGACATACTCCCTTAGGATGTGCTGTGTACTACAAAACTCCCCCTTACGTATCATACCTTTTGTCGATAGGTTCCCGTGTTAACGAAATAGATGCAGCCGCGTATACTCCGCTAGACCTTTTCGTGAGGCGGGCGGACACCAACCCGATAGTCTTTCTACGCATGTTGCAAACGCTCTTGCGCGGTGGTGCTAGAATGGATACTCCTTTGAGGTCCGGACTCACGTTACTAGAGTGGATAATCGAACAGAATGACCGTAGCATTTCGACCGCATACCCAGACCTCCTTAGGGAAGTATTGAAGATGGCTACTCCAGCCATGTTAGACCAAGAGTACCTAGACAAGCTTCTCGCTAAATACTTCGATACAGACCACTACGAGATGTGCTTGGTCCTCATGAAGTATGGCGCTACTTTGAGAGACTACGACGAAGCTTTTACCAGCGCTAGACGTTTCATATTGTGTCACTCAGAACAGGCACCACGCGATTCGGAAGTTCACTCCAGATACATGCAGATGATTACCCGCGCGAACCTTCCGGAAAAGTCGATAGCCGACTTAATTGCTTATGCTCGACTAGCGGGAGATGAGGAGAGCATTAGAATCCTGCAATCCGATGAAGAAGTTTGGCCTAGCTCTGGCTTGAGCATGAACATGGCCCTGGCATTGTTGAGCGTTGAAGAAAATGGGATGAGTTATACGGATAGGTTGAGAGAGGCTTTATAGGAGCTGAAGGGTGAAGGGCGAAGATGCTTAGGACTCTATCGCAAGAGTAGCATCTTGGAAACTAACGGGGCTGTTAAGGTACGACGCAGAGGACGAATGAGGAGCGAGAGAAAGGAACGAAAAGGAAAGTCACGATAATGGGCCTGCTGCAACCGGATTCCAATTTATGTATGGATTAAAGAATGAAAAAGTCCCTGCAAAGGAGGAAATGGACTATACTGGTAGACGAGCTTAGTGCTAATTAATGCTACCTAATTGACAGTCTAGCCGTAGTTATTATCCTACTGCTAAAATAATGTGAAGTAAAAAATTCCATTGCTAATAAGGTAGGTTGTAGCATATAATCACGAAGAGGAGTGATTCGACCTGATAGATTCCTCTAATACCCCCCTATTTTGACTTTGATATGCGACTAGAGTAAACATTCAAGGATAGAGTATTGTGTAAATCGGGGCTTCGTAGGTATGGTGGATTCATAAGTGGCTGTGCTATGGAGACTGAATCAGGCTTGTCGAGTCAATCTGATTGATGTGGGATTTGGGAGGCGATACAATGTACCTCATATTTTGGAGGTGACGCCACATTTCAGGAACATTCATCATCAACTCGAAATACGAGGGCCTTTCGCTAAAAGAGTAACGCGTCTGCTTTTGCGATTTTTTTTTATCTCTTTGTTACCTGAGCCGGAGTGAGGCGTGTATATACGGGAGCTAAAATAAAATAATATCCAAAGTATTTCATTATAGCGTCGCCGCGAGTTAGCAGAGCTATTTAGACTGACACATGGCCTCTCTCTTTGATTAAGTTAATGATAAATACGCGGCAATGGGTATGTGAGCTAAATCTTCTCAACCTTCTCACGGACGAGACGGTGATCATCTCTAACTTGATACTATAGCGTCCCCAAGACCATCGCGCGACTCCCTTTCTTCCGTATCTACGACCAGTCTCGTATTCGAACGACTTAGCGAACGAGAGAAGCTTAACGAAAGTTTTACCGATTTGGATAATGAAGATCCGTTACATGATAATGCCTCCGAGGACGAAGCCGGAGGCTTCTTACCTCCACTTCCGGAAAGGAAGGTCGTCGGGGTAGATAAGTCTCTAAAGAGGTTCGTCCTCGTTATGGCTGGCGTATTCCTTGCTGCCTGGCTCGTTGGTCTATTCACTTATTTATCAACCAAATCCTATCAGCACTCCTCTCAGAAAGAGCACGACGCGGCTGCTACCGAGTCCCGAGGGTCTGGGAAGAAAATTACGTTGGACCAGATATTAGACGGGTACTGGCGACCTCAGAGTCATGGGATAAGTTGGATCGCGGGCGCGAATGGAGAAGATGGATTACTGTTGGAAAAAGGTGCGATCGGAAAGGATTTTCTCGTCGTTGAAGATGTCCGGAGCAAGAATGAAGACGACACCGCAGGCGGTGGCAAGATCAAGTCTGCACAGACGCTCATGCAGCAGTCTTGGTTCAAGGCTGGCGATCAACAACTAACGCCAGATCAAGTCTGGCCAAGCCCCGATCTAAAGAAAGTACTTATTGCTACTGAAACCAAGAACGTATGGAGATATTCTTTCACGGCAGTTTACTGGATATTCGATGTCGCGTCTCAAACTGCTGAGCCCTTAAACCCTCAGGATCCCCACCTTCGAGTCCAGCTTGCTCAGTGGAGCCCGAAGAGCGATGCCATTATCTATACGAGTGCGAATAACCTCTATGTGCGACGGCTAGGAAGCAAGGACGTGGTGCAGATCACGAAAGATGGCGGACCGGAATATTTCTACGGCATTCCTGACTGGGTTTATGAAGAAGAGGTCTTCGGCGATAATAGCGCAACCTGGTGGTCCGAGAAAGGGGACTTTGTGGCTTTCTTGAGGACGAACGAGACCTTGGTGCCCGAATACCCGATCCAATTTTTTATTGATAGGCCAAGTGGCGAGGAACCTCCCGCCGGAGAAGAGAACTACCCGGAAGTACAGCAGTTGAAATATCCCAAGGCCGGCTCGCCCAACCCGTTTGTGGACCTCCTCTTCTACGATATGGTCAAAGGCGATGTTTTCTCGGTCGAAATTGAAGGAGGTTTTGCTGCGGATGACTTGTTGATCACCGACATCACGTGGGCCGGAAATAAGGTCATCGTGAAGGAGACGAACCGTGTTAGCGACATTATGCGGGTTGTTCTGATCGATGTCGCCTCCCGGACGGGGAAGACGGTCAGGACGGTTGATGTGGGCAAACTAGACGGCGGCTGGTTAGAAATCTCACATGATACCACATATATCCCTGCTGACCCTTCAAACGGTAGGCCTAAGGATGGCTACATTGACACTGTCATCAAGGATGATAGGGATCACTTGGCATACTTTAGCCCTCTGGACTCCGATGAACCGGTCATGCTAACATCGGGGAACTGGGAGGTTGTTTCAGCACCTTCTGCGGTTGACCTGAAGAATAACCTTGCATATTTTGTCGCTACGAAGGAATCTTCTATTCAGCGACACATATACAGTGTTAAGTTTGACGGATCTCACTTAAAAGAGATGATAGATGTCAGTAAGGAAGGTTATTATGATGTTTCGTTTTCCGCTAAGGCTGGCTACGCCTTAGTCACGTACAAGGGACCAAATATCCCTATGCAAAAGGTCATGAGCACCCCCGGCAATCCAGAGGTATACGAGCACATCATTGAAGAGAACAAGGAGTTGGCGGACAAGGCGAAGAAGCACGAGCTGCCATTGCTAGACTACGGTACAATTACCGTAGATGATGTCGAGCTTAACTACGTCGAGCGCCGGCCACCCCACTTCGACCCGAAGAAGCGTTACCCTGTGCTTTTCCAACAGTACTCTGGTCCGGGTTCACAGTCGGTAGATAAGCGGTTCGTTGTAGATTTCCAGTCATACGTCGCCGCCAACTTGGGTTATATCGTCGTAACCGTCGACGGGCACGGGACGGGATTCATAGGGCGAAAAGCGCGCGTGGTTGTACGAAAGCACCTCGGAGAAATTGAGGCGCATGATCAGATTGCAGCGGCCAAGATCTGGGCTGAAAAATCATACATCGACGAATCGCGGGTCGCAATCTGGGGATGGTCGTACGGTGGCTTCCAGACGCTTAAGACACTTGAGCAAGATGCGGGTGCTACGTTCAAGTATGGCATGGCGGTGGCGCCGGTGACGGACTGGCGCTTCTATGACAGTATCTACACAGAGCGGTACATGCTCACGCCGCAGCAGAACGCGCAGGGCTACGACAAAACTGCCGTTAGCAATGTTACGGCGTTGGCGCAGAATGTGCGCTTCCTTATTATGCACGGCGTCGCTGATGATAACGTGCACATGCAGAACACGCTCACGCTGTTAGATAAACTGGACCTGGCTGGTGTGGAGAATTATGATCTGCACATGTTCCCCGACAGCAACCATGGTATCTACTTCCATAATGCGAATCGCATCGTTTACGATAGTAAGTTAACTTTCCCCTCTCCCGTATCTACGCTATTCGCAGCCGATAGGGTCGTATTCTAACAATCGGCAGAACTGAACAACTGGCTTATCAACGCGTTTAACGGCGAATGGCTCAAGGTCGCTCATGCGAAGCCCATACCCAACAAGGCGAAGAGAGATATAGAGATGGTTAGGAACTCGGGACCGGAAGTCGTCGAGGGCCAACACTTGGAGTTGCAATATCTATCCGGGGTGGATTTATTATAGACTGCATTGTATAGCGGCGTATTGGTGTATACTTGTTTGGATTGTACACTTTTGAATAAACGACATTTCGGGAAATAAATATGATATGAAGCTTCCTGGTGTCGAGTTTCGAGTGGGGAGCTCGGTGATGTTATTTACGATGTTAAGGCTGCATATATTCTGGTATATTAGGTTAAGTACCTAGGTACACATAAGACGTTCATTTTCATTATGTCAAAGCGAACAAAACAGTTTTTCATAATCAATTCGTTGGTATCTTTGTTAAAATATCAATAACATTTGAACGAGCTCAAATTGAAACCATAGGTACCTCCTTACACGGAAGCTTAACCTCCTCCTCTAACTACCTAGATGGCGAGCTGCGTAGGAACCTGTGTATCGGGATCGATCTTCTCGATAATAGCAGCAGTTCCGTAGGCGCAGCACTGGGCGAAGCCCGTCATGTCGCCGGACTCGAAGCGCAGGCAAATGATGGCGTTGCCGCCGCGCGCCTTGGTCTCGGCTACGACGCGGCTGATGGCGTCGTTCCGGGCGGAGTAGAGCTTTCGAGGAGGAACAATCATTAGCTGCCGACATGACAGACAGGATCGGGAATGTGGTGCGGTGTGGTGTGGTATAGTGTGGTGTGGGTTTCAAAGACTTACCATGCTGGTGAACCACCGCAGCTCGCCGCCCGCGATGCTCTTGATCACCATGCCCATGCTCGCGGCCCAGTTCCGCGAGCGCACGGTCAGCCCGTAGACGGCGCCGAGGACGCGGACGACGCGGTACCCCGGCACGTCGAACATGGTCGTCGTGATGACGCCCTCAGTCTCGGTGAAGCAGTGCAGGTCCGAGAGCTGGGGCGGGATGTCCGCCGGCGGGGTGGAGTGGGACGTGCTAGCGGGGGATTTCGGTCCCATGGTTGTTGGTACGAAGTATGTAGGTGAGAAGAGGTACCTAATATATATATCACTTGCCTGACGATGCGTGGTTTTGACCGAAAGACTTTGGCATACTCGTAATTTGAGATCGGTGAATAGGACAACTACCACTGGGCGTTGGTTTTCCCAAAAGTCCAACAATGAATTAATCAAAATCCCGCGATTCCTTTTCCTTTATATCTCAAGTTCGTTGTCCCAGCCTTGTCACCTTGTCACAGGTAGGTATATATCGGATGCTGCTATGCGCAAAAAGCCTCAGATAATACCAGTCTGTAATTGGCCAATCCGCGCTGATAGCATCCATCGTATTCATCGTATTTTGCATTGCGGATCCGACTATATTTCGATCGCCCCTATTAGTCTGTCCATTTGCATGGTAGTGCCTCTTGGTGCGTCTTTTTCCGAATCGTCCTGGGGCCGATTCTGATCATCCCGCAGCCAAGATGTTAGAGTTGTGGCTCAGGCCGCTAGGCTTCCGTAGCTGATGGGACATGAGTCAGGTGACAGAAATTGTATTCATTAATAGATACCTAGGTATACTTGGTACTATTTGTTGTTTGAATGATTCTTTGGAAGTTAGCAAAACGGGTATTATGCCAAGACGACGCTGCCAGCCAATTCCCTGACATTTCACATGCTTGATTGTTGTTAACGTATTTCAAGGCTTTGCTTAATAGGTTATCTGATTTACGTTCCGCAGTAGCTTATTCGATATCAAATCTATATTTCCACTCTCAGCTTATTAGAATCGACTCTCCGCTCATGTGACTTGTTCAATAGTTGATGCTTGCAGATTGGAACGGGCCTAGCACGTTCAGCTTCGGCCCTTAACAAAACAGTACTGCAACAAGGAGACTACGTGCAGATACTTGCAGCATGTATGCAGAGGTAGGTATACGTACCAACGCAGGTATACATGTTACCAACCTAGAGATACCGACTCAACCAGCCTCTTGTAGGTAATGTAATATTGCTCCGTGGTGGACAGCATTCCTGTGATGTCGATGCTATACGCCCTTTTCATTCTTGCTCACCAATTTATCTCGTCACTATGAGCGTTCAAGTCAAACTAGTTCTCCTTACGAAGGCCGCTGAGGCCCCTATTTATACTACATCAAATGGCAGTCCGGCTGTGAGGCCAGATGGCTCTCAAAGAGATGGAAAGAATCTCCTGCTGAATGGCTTTCACCTAATTGATCTACTATCGCACTTTAACCGTGAGAAGATCCCGGAACGTGTAGTTCATGCAAGAGGAGCGGGCGCGTAAGGTGAATTTGAGGTATGGTGACGGCCTTTTACATTCCCCTTTTCCTCGGAAGAGCTAATGCCTGACGGTTAGGTTACCCATGACATTTCCGACACCTACAACATTGATATACTACTAGGTTTTGGGAAGAAGACCCCTTGTATCACTCGGTTCTCTACGACGGGTCTCGAACGTGGATCTGCCGAATTGGTTCGAGACCCCAAAGGCATGGCAGCCAAGTTCTTCACAGAGCAAGGAAACTGGGACTGGGTGTGTCTCAACATTCCCATGTTCTTCATCCGCGACCCGGCCAAGTTTCCCGGCATGATGCACGCTCAGCGCCGGGACCCGCGGACCAATCTCGCGAACCCCGATCTGTGGTGGGACTAGGTGTGCAATAATCACGAGTCATTACACATGGTCCTCTAGCTCTATAGCGAGTTTGGAACCATGTTCAACTATCGTAGCATGAGCGGATATGTTGGCCATGCTTACAAATGGGTTATGCCGGACGGCAGTCGGAAATACGTTCACTTCTTCCTATCTTCTGACCGCGGGCCAAACTTTACTGAGGGCGGCAAGATCCAGAACGTATCTCCAACGGACCCAGACTCCGCGACAAGAGATTTTTTCGAGGCAATTGAACAAGGGGACTATCCAACCTGGACAGCAAATGTCCAAGTGGTTGACTCCAAAGACGTGCACAAACTTGGTTTTGATATTCTCGACCTTACCAAGCATTGGAACCTGGGTAACTATCCTCCGGATTAACGTGACGCGGCATGGGATCGTAGCGATGGTCGGAATGGTCATCAATTCGATGTTGGCAACTGGTGCATTCCTACCCGATACCACTGTCCCAAAGCAGACGTCATTAGTCCCTTGACACTGAGCCTGGGTGATTTCCCACACTAATCGCACGTAAGCATTTGGAGTAAACTGCCTGGGAGATTGATTGGATGTGTCAACCGCGCTGTTCATGATGGCTATAGGAGATGGCTTATCTGATTTTTCAAGCACGGTAGGAAATGCTGGAGTCTGAAAGCCTTCCATTAAAGCACCCCAATAATGCGTAGCACCGGAAGCTGGTTGTAGGTAGCGGATAAACGGGGTGATAGGGCGTGGCGAAAGGGTTTCCTCCGTGGTATGCGGCGTCGACTTCCTTGAAGATCAGGGGTAAAGTCCACCCATCGTAGATGTCATGGTGGATATTCAAAAACAGATAACTCGGATCTTGATTATCTTGTGCGCTACGAAGGCGTAACTGTACCAGCGGCTTTCCGGCGCCCACTGTGAAATCTTGAGCTTCTGTGTTATTTAATACAGTCCATTCGATACCCTCAAGGGTCATCGCCTGTAGCAGGCCATGAGAGGGGGACAAGACTACCCTGGTGCGTAGAATTGGATGAACAGCTGCTACCGCGGTCCATACGGCCTTCAAACGTGCAAAGTTTATTTCTCGTGGAAAAGGAAGAATGATTTTGGAGGGGTCGCATTTTCTTCCTCTCTTCCAGGTTAGATGACACACGCTAGGTCGAACAGTCGAGTGTGCTCAACTACATCTTGTACAGTAAGCATATACTTGTCCCTGCGAGTCATCGCCACTAACTCCATTGCTATAAGAGAATATCCACCTCGGTGAAAGAAGTGATCATCAGCTCCTACCTGGTCCAGCTCAAGGTGAAGTGCTCCGGAAAAATACTGGTGCAGGAGCTTCTCCGTATCTATGAAGGGTATGCGTCTAGCCGTCGTGGTTTGTTGGTATTGCTCTAGTTCCTCCTTGGACAACGTAGTTGCATATTCGCGTAAAAGTTTACGGTTTATCTTATACGTGCTAGTCAATAGTAGGCTTGCCAACGGGAGGAAGACCAAAGGAACCATGTAGGATAGTAGCAAGTGCTGAAGCTGTGACTGTACCACGGAAATCCGAGAACGGAATGAATCGCTTGGCTCGCCAACGAGTCTTGTTGAAAGGTCACCACACTTCGCCATGTCATCGTTCCTGGCGTGTATGAAAGCTACAAGTACAGGAGGCCTTGAAGAATCGGGAAAGGTCACAATCTCTGCGACTACGTCCCTTGCGCTGGGAAGCGCCAACAGGATATGATGCTCTACGTCACTAAGTTCAATGCGCTGACCTCGAAGCTTGACTTGTGTATCCGTGCGCCCGATAAATCGGATTGATCCATCAGTTGTGTATTATGCGAGATCGCCACTCTTGTACATTGGAATACAATATTCGGGGTCTCGAAGCTGGCGCAACCATATAGGAGGCTGTGTGAATTTAGCCGCTGTGTTCTCCAGACTATCAATGTAGCCACGTCCAACGATTGATCCTTCAATCACTAACTCTCCAATGGCCCCTATAAGTAGAAGTATCTCATGATTATCTAGATCTACGATCCAACGAACGCTGCCTGTTTCATATTCTAGAGTCTGAAGAGTAGATCCTTCTACAGTTACCAGCTGGATTGACATAATCGATCATTCGGACGCGCCGTACAAATTGAAAACCCAAACATGATCAACCCGCTTGGAAACAACAGCTACCTCGAGCTTCTCCCCACCGAGAACTAATGTCCTCAAAGTCGAGGGATTCTCGGGCTCTAAGATTCGCGCAACGGTTGGCGTGAAGCCACAGTGGGTAGCTCGGAATCGTTGAATTGCCGTTGTGACATCGCTCTAGCGGTCATCATCCGAGGGGACACAAATACATCCACCATTGATCAAAGCCATGAGCGTGTCAAAGATGGTAACGTCAAATGCATAGGAAGCGAATTGGAAAAATCGCGAATCCTTATCAAACTCGACGGCTTGACTATACGGACGGATCGCAGCACCGGATGATGAATGGTTGCTAACTACTCCTTTAGGGGTGCCAGTTGAGCCGGAAGTGAAGACAGCATAGAGGGCATCTCCCGGGGCCGCTGGTAGAGAAGTCCATGGGCCCTTGCTAACTACCTAGGCATCCTGACTTCTCGTCTTTTATCTCGACGACGGTGGCCGCTAGACGCGCTGCCAACTCAGCATGCCTTGACGAAGAGACAATCAATCTTGAAGATATCTTCCGGCAGATTTCAAAGAGCCGAACCTCTGGGTGGGATGGGTCTAATAAGACAAACATGCCGCCAGCCTTAATCACCCCAAGCATAGCGACGGCCGTCCATCGCGACTTCTCAGAGCAAAGAGGCACAAACACATCCCGATCAACGCCTAGCACTATTAGGTGCTGAGCGAGTGCTGACTAGAGGTCTTCTAGCTCTGAATAATCGAGCTGGCCATCCCATGCACATACTGCAAGTGCTTGTGGCCGCAACACTGCTCATGAATGAGACTGTCCACGCCATGGTGGCTTCGGACAGGCGGATCTTTGTTCCACATACATATCCTTGCCTTATCAGAATCACTTAGGGGAGGCATTGATTCCTCTACCACAGCATCGTGCATCTTAATAGATATGGTTTGTTCGAGTATGGCCCCAATAGTTGTTGATTCGATTAATGTTTGATAGTCAATGTTGCTTTTGCATCTACTATCTACTTCGCAAAGGCAGCCACTCCTAAATACATCTTAAGCTTGATTAAGAATATCTAGACCGCTCATCGTAGTTTCACCTTCACCGCCGAAGTCGAGGGATAAGCATTAACTGGCATACTCTTAGCTTCGTTAGGGTAGGGTAGACACATATGCTCCGGATAATACCACGTCAGTTACTGTTAAGACTCACTCGGCAGTAATAGGAGTTGCCGGACATATGCCCATGAACCAGGGCTGTCATCCGGTACAGTTGCAAGACCACACTGGTAAGGTTAAGCTCCGATCCACTTAAGGTAATCAAATACTGACACAAAATGAAGTTAATCTATTGAATTCAATGTCCACATCCAATGTATCACAGGTACTTTCAAAGTATACATGTCAACGTATGGGGTGAGTACAGGATTTAGGAATATATTTCCAAACGTACTAATCACCTGTCTAAGGCATGCATGCGCCTACGTTAATATTTGCTCCATATATCGGACGCAAGTCCTCACTCAGAAGCCATACGATGGTTCTGGCCACATCATCTGGCTCAATTACCGAGAACCCCTTTTCCCGATATGACACCTTGATGTCGTCAACGCTGCTCGATGTAGGCCGAAACTGCGGCAGTAGTGGGGTGTTTGTGATTCCTGTGCGGTTCCGTTAGCTTGCGATGAAGATCTTCTTCCGGTACCTAGCAACGATATACTTGCCTGGAGATACGCTATTTACGCGGATTCTGAGCGGAAAGGTGTCCGCAGCCACGCAGTTTGTGAAGTATACGCTGGCACCCTTAGAGGTTCCATACCCAAAGACGTCAGGGATGTGGTAGAATGCTGCAATGCTTGCTACATTCACGATGCTTCGGTCGCATACGGGAAGATCCTTCATCGCTCGGCCTTCAGCTTGCGTAGAATGGAACACTCCATCCAAGTTCACCCGCATAATTGTGCAGCGAGTAGTCCTCTTCGCCAAGGCACACAATCTGCGGCTAGTGATCAAGAATACCGGACATGACGGCTGTGGGCGTTCAGCCGCCCCGGATTCTCTTCAAATTCACACTCACCGCCTTAAGGGAATCCAATATCATCACGATTTCGTAGCACGTGGTGCAAACGCATCCTCAGGCCCTGCTGTTACAGTTGGCGCTGGTGTCATGCTATGGGAGCTCTACGAAAAGGGCTCCCAAGATGGATATCTCATAGTTGGTGGAGAATGTCCTACAGTAGGTGCCGTCGGTGGTTTCCTCCAAGGGGGTGGCGTTTCCAGCTCTCGAAGTCATGTGAGGGGGCTCGCTGTCGATAATGTGCTGGAGTTCCAAATCGTGTTAGCCAATGTACAGTATCCTTTCCCGTTATTCTCATAAATCTTCAATAAACTCGAGTTGGCTCTAATGTATGTTCTACTATTATGACAGGGAACTCTTGTAGCTGCGAATGACTACCAGAATCAAGATCTGTTTTGGGCTTTGCGGGGAGGGGGAGGTGGCACATTCGGCGTTGTCACCCAGGCGACACTCCGAGCATACCCTGATGATCCCGTCATAGTATCAACAGTATCCATTTCTGCTCCACGCGCGGACAATGGCTTCTGGGGAAAAGGCGTCATTAGCCTTTTCTCGATGCTTCAAGCCCTCAATATCGACAATATTACCGGGCAGTTCGTCCTTACAATCACCCCTGATTTTACATACAAGGCAGACCTTATCATATATTTTTTTAACAACACGGACTTACCCATCGTGGAGGAGAAGGTCATGAAATACCTAACTATGTATAAGGCGGGTGAAATATCCTATGGACTATCGTCCAAAGCCCTATCTAAAACGAGTCTCAGCTATCGAAGGACTCCTGATATCTACCGCGAAAATTACGGAATCATCCAGTCATCTGTACTGATATCCAATAAGCTATTTAACTCGATCGAAGGACCTGTGAGGATGGCTGAAGTGTTTCGAAGCTCCCTTTGGGTCCAAATGACCTCCTTTTAACCAGCAATCTGGGTGGTAAGGTAAATGTTGAAGATGGCTCCACATCTATGCATCCTGCCTGGCGCTCTTCAGCGCAGCTTGTAAACTACATCAAAAGCGTTGGCCCGACGGTTCAGCAGAAGTTTATGGGCCTAGAGGAACTGAGTAGTGTACATATGCCTATTCTGTACTCCCTAGAGCCTGGATTCAGGGTTTCTTATTTCAATCTAGGGGATCCTGGTGAAGTGGATTTTCAGAACGTTTACTGGGGTGATAATTACAAGCGTCTAGCGCTCCTAAAGCGCGATGTGGACAGAGATGGATTATTTTTTGTTAAGAATGGGGTTGGTAGTGACTTGTGGGATGATGAAGGCTTGTGTAAAAGGAGTACAAGACGGTGGATATCGCGAGGATGACAGGGAATAATACGTCCACCTTAAGACATAGTACCGATCGATCTAAATCATGACACGGTTTGAACCAATCTTGATTATTTTGCTTTTTCAATAGGAAGAGATGGAATACCTAGAACATATGGAACTACCACGGTGGTATTCACAATGATTACGTATATTTCACTGGTGATGAAATTTCCAATACAAGGAGTAAGACCGTACTACAGTGAAAAGTGGAACTTCGAATATAAAAAGAGCGAAAACACCTTTCATTGCAACAAATTCTTTGGGATGTAGAAGCCAGGTAGCCTAAGCCAACATTGTCAGCGATATCGAATATTGAAGATGTCCATGGAGAGATCTCTCAACGCATCACACCAAAAGGTGTACAAAATTCTGAGCGATGCTTTTGACTTCGCCAACGACGATCAGAGGCTTTGGTGGCATAGCACAGCGCCTATGTTCGCTGAGATGCTACAGGTCGCGAATTACGACGTACATGCTCAATATCGACACCTGACTATCTACAAGAAGCATGTAATACCATTCCTAGGTGTCTATCCCCCAAATGACCGGGACCGCTGGCTAAGCATTCTCACTCGCTATGGTACACCATTTGAACTAAGCCTCAACTGTTCGGACTCGATTGTCCGGTATACCTTCGAACCTATCAACTCTGAAACAGGCACAGAGGCCGATCCTTTCAATTCTAGCGCCATCATGCAGAGTCTCCACCAGCTAAAGACCGTCCATCCGGAGATTGACCTCGAGTACTTTGACCACTTCAAGCGGGAGTTAACTCTCAATGTGCAGGAATCCACTTCCCTACATGGTAATCCCTTGACGGGAGTTGATATCTGGACCCAAAACAAGTTAGCTCTGGACTTGAAGGGTGACAAATTTTCCGTCAAGACATACATTTACCCGACACTAAAAGGGATCGTAACGGGGAAACCCGTACAGGAATTGATTTTTAGCTCTGTTCGGAAGCTAGCCGAGAAGCATACGAATCTCGCCCCATCCCTGGCAATGCTGGAAGAATATGTCGAAGCCCGCGGTCCGCATAGTTCAGACGGCGCACGCCTTCTATCTTGTGATCTGGTTGGTTCTGCCAAGTCGCGCATCAAGATCTACCTTCTGGAACAGGTTGTATCTCTGCCTGCAATAAAGGACCTCTGGACACTGGGCGGACGGCGAAATGACCCGGTCACTCTCGCCGGGTTCGACATGATCGAAGAATTGTGGGATCTACTTCAGATCCCTGAAGGTGTACGGTCATATCCCCAAGGATACCTCCCAATAGGAGCGAGCCCCGACGAATTGTTACCGGGCATGGCAAACTATACCCTTTTGCCCAACAAACGCATACCGGAGCCTCAGGTGTACTTTTGCGTATTTGGAATGAACGACATGGCCGTGGCAGACGCGCTAACGACGTTCTTCGCACGCCGGGGGTGGAATGATATGGCTGGGAAGTACAAGGACAGCCTCAAAGCATACTAGTACGTCATCTTCTCTCAAGACAACCTCATCATACTCTCTGTACTAATCGGCTTTTGAATCGATAGCCCAGAGGAAGATCACGCCTCGATGAACTATCTTCATGCGTACATCTCGTTTTCCTACCGCAAGAACAGGCCGTACCTCGGCGTATACCTCCAGAGCTTTGAGACCGGTAGTTGGTCCACCGGTGAGTTTTCCTTTTTTCTGAAGCCGATTCAGGGCGGTCATACTCTTTCGGGTGCTAATGCATACTTTTTTTCAGCTCGTCGTCGTTATGGACTATCCGAAGCTGTCTCTTTTCCCCTATTTGAGTCGAGCGACTAGCTTCGTATGGAGGCTATTCACCTATCTCGTACATGACATGATGATCGTTAAATGATAGTTGCAGATCGATGTTTCGAGGGGAAACGCCATTCGGCATTTTTTACAAGTTATCTGACGTAGTAAAATACTTAAATTTTATTAAACAATGAAACATCCTGTTTGCTTATAGCTGAGTGTCTGTATTTGGCATCACTGTCACGTAACACTAACACCAATGGAGGTACCTTACCTTTCCCCACAACCTCCCCCCTTTTTTGTCTTTTCGGGGCCGTGAGCCCCACTCTTTAAACTATTGTTTCCCGGCCTGCCGTCTTACCGATCTCACGGTTATGTGGACCCTTGGCAACGCCGGATCCCGGACCCACCTTTGTATGAATTTATTGCTGTTGTTGTAGGTAGATGTAAAGGTTACTGTACAAGGTGCACCTATTAGGAGAAGTACATATACATTATGTCATGTGACAGTGTCCCTAGCGGGTTGGTCACCATCGCATGGTTTATTCCGGGTTGGGCTCGTTAAACCAGATTGATCTCTGCCCGGCCGATGTCCGATAGCCACATAGCCACATAATTCTATCCATCCCCTTCTGTGACTTCTATTTTATCACCATGGCCCGCATTGGGCCCCAGGGAATCTAGGATTACCGTGTAGTCATTCCAAACCCCAAGTTGTACCGAACGCAATTATCAAATTCAGATTGTTAGTCTAATACATCAAGTGCTCTCCTCTAACTTGAGCTCGTAAAAGGCGACGTCGCATCCGTCACCTTCCCAAGCCCCCGTGGTTCTCAAGCCTGCTGCTGAGATGAGATCTTCCATTTCCTTGGCGTCATACTTGTAACTACAACCAAACCGAATTTTTTCTTCCCGTTTAACAACCACCCCATCCAGAGGAGGTCCCAGTTTGATGTCTGAATAACGTGGAATCAACGACGCTTCATGTCGACTTAAGACGTAGTTCCACTCGCTGTGAAAGTACCAATCATTGGGATCGAACGGTGTCCTTTCATCCTTTTGCTCCCCTAGGAGTTGGTTACCATAGTTCAACGCTTCTAGCGCGAAAGGCACTACACCGTCGCTAGTGTAAGCTCGTAGGACTTTCGTGGGAAGCTTGCAACGATCGACGGTAATGAGAATGGAGGAAAGTTGTGAAGCTCTTCCGATTAGTGCATTCTCTGCGATTTGACTTAAAAAAGCTGCAGCATTGGGTCTGGAGTAGTTACCGATCGTTAGACCGAACAGAAGCATATGATGCGGCTGGTCGCAGATTATTGGGGTCTACTTAAGCCACTGTAACCCATCGTCAAATGTTCCACAGAGCGCGGAAAAGCGGACGTGGTGAAATTCCTCGGTCGGAATAGCTTGCAGAGTTGATGTAAGCTCGGTAGCACTAAGGTCGAGGGCGTAGTAGTTAATGGTCTTCTTTTGAGCTTCTAAGGCGCGTAGGAGATGGATCACTTTATCAAGACTCCTAATTTTAGATAATACAAGGAATGAATCAGCAGCCAATCGGCGACCTTACGATCGGATGAATCCGACGATCCCATTTTGAGAGAAAAACTCACGCGCTTCCCATGTCCACCACCACACTGTGGTCAGCAATCGTTGATGCCATCTCCTGTGCCTTTTGCTTCAAGATTTGAACCTCTTCAGATCTGGGGTAGAAGTCTGGTTGGTGGGAATGATTATTCCAATGCCGCAGTCCCTCCGTGCTGTAAAATAGCAGGGCCGGGAGTGTCTTTGGCTCTTTAGTAAGGCCATCAATCACTTGGTCGTGAATGGAACGCTCGAACCTGGAATGGCGAATGTCAATGATAGTGGGCAGAGCCCTTGGAGCTGCTTTACCCGCTGTCATTATGTTGATACGTGATCGTTTGACTTGGTCGGCTTGGTTACTTGCTTGACACTCTAGGTAGGAGCAGGGCGGGCTTCCTTGAAGTATTTCAATGTCATGTACACTTCCTGCATCTACCTACATATACCCGGTCGGCGATTGAGTGTACTAGTGTGGACCATACCTTGCACATCTCAGGACAAAACCAATAGTGGAAAGCAAATGATATAATGATTGGGCTACCTGTAAGATATGTCTAGCTAATTGGTAGAACAAAACGAATGAATACCTAAGATGTAGTATGTCTCAATAACAACCCGAGAACCATAAGTACCTGTACCTAACCTAGTCAAATATTATAATTCAGCTTTGCTGTTGGATTTTAATTTCCCAGCACGGTCATCAACGGGCTTATAAAGCCCCACTCTAATGTTCATCTAAAAGTTGGCAGAGTGATTCTGGAGGCTGTGAGAGTCGGGGTAGACCTTCCGAGTTGAGATATGGTTCTAATCGCCAAACTCAAGAAGGACAACCCATTTGTGTTTGAATGGCTGACCTATCAGATGATTTGGTCTGTTTTAAGAGTCTACAGTAGATGACGAAATAAACGTCCCAGTTTTGGTAGTAGCAGTGTTTCGAAGAACAGCTGCCACCCACGGAGACTGCTCACTTCCGATCAGGTGCACAATCTCCGTCTCGTAAGGCTTAGTGTTATCGGTGATCTTATGAAGAGAAGGGCCGGACTTGGAGGAGGCCAAGGATTTCACCGCCTCGTGGCCATTAAGTGGCAGGAGATGTCAGCGGCCTCGTTGACGATGTGGAAGTTGAGGTTTTCAGCGAGGTGGTTATCCAGACTTCCAGGCTAGACGGAGCCACTTTTGACCTTAGCGTCGTGGACGAGGTCAAGCTGGGAAAGCATTTGCGTTTCCAGGATTTGGCGAACGACGTTCAGCCGGGGAGCCATGATGACGGTGGTTAGATGGACGAGATTATCTTGAGAGGGATGTCTGAGATATGCTGACCTGCCTTGTTGGACGAAGCGAGACGGGGAAAAAGCAAAATGAGTCAAGAAAAAGGAACAATTAAATATTAGAAAAGCAAAACTCCTGAAAACGAGTTACAAGTACCTACCTGGTAGATATCGTGATAACCATCATACCGAGTGCAAGTGTTAATGAGCTTATCCGTACTTAGCATTCCAATAACCAAACCCCCTTTATTACAGTATTCTATCGCCTTGAACATTCTGATGCTCGCTGAACAAACACACATGATGTTTTGTTATCACACATCACTACTCAGCGATACTTACGCTAGGACGATTGCGAAGACATCCTCCCACGTCTTGACCGAAATCCTCGATCATCCTCAGCTACGTCTGAACGCGATTGATGTTCTAGACGAGGAAGACAGGTATAAGATGTACGAACGCAACCGCGCAATGGTTCCTTCAGATGACAACTTCGTACACTATATTGACCACCACCGCTCCCTTGAATCCTCTAATTCGCCGGCGGTTCAGGCATGGGACGGCGAATTTTCGTATAAGCAGCTGGACGAGCTTTCGTCGTTGTTAGCAGATGAACTCATTGAGCAGGTGTCGGCGTAAACGCAGCCGTCCCTATTCTGCTGGAGAAGACTCGTTGGACTCCAGTCGCGATGATTGCTATCTTGAAATCGGGCGCTTCTTTTGTCCTTACTGGTGCGGCGCATCCGGTGCAACGGCTTTAGACGATATATAGCGCCGTCAATCCCGCTGCCATCATAGCGTCACCTCAGACATTGTCCAAAGCGTTAGCCCTCTCGCCCCGGGTAATCCAGGTTACTGACCGGCATTTTGAACAAGAAAAAGCTGAGCAAAAGCACTCTTGGCAAAGTGTGAAGATAGAAGGAAGGAATATTGCTTACACAATGTTCACCTCCGGGATGACGGGAAAGCCGAAGGGGGCTATCATCGAGCATTTGTGCATCGCAACATTGCGGTGCATGCAGCCTCGCATGTTCATGAACTCCAACTCTTGCGTGTTGCAATTCTCCTCGCACGACTGGGATGTCGCCGTGATTGAAACCCTACTCACCTTAAGGGTAGGAGGATGTATCTGCATTCCTTCAGACGAGGAACGCATTAGCAACCTTGCGCAAGCAACAAATCAAATGACGGTGAACTGCGCGGTTTTGACGCCAACCGTCGCCCAGCTGGTACGTCCAGAGGATTTCACCCACTTAGAAACACTGGTAGTTGGTGGTGAGGCTCTCTCCCTCGCGGACCTGGCTACCTGGCACGATAGAGTGCGCTTCATCCAAAGCTATGGTCCGGCTGAATGCAGCATAGCCAGCGCTGTGTCCGAGCCACTGACACTATCAAGTAACCCAAGGACCATCGGACAGCCTTGTGGGTGCGTGGCATGGACAGTGCATCGTGACAACCATCATCTCCTGGGAACAATCCAGAAGCAACTGCTGCGGTCTTTGTTGAGCCTTCGTCCTGGCTGTCGGATTTCCGACAAGGGGATATACCCACGAGGTTGTATAAAACTGGAGATCTAGTTTGACGCACGCAAGACGGCACCCTTACTTTTGTCGGGCGCAAGGACAACTAAGTCAAAATACTGGAGTAGCGGGTTGAAATAGGGGAAGTGGAGCTTTTAACGTCGCGAGCTTCCCCTAGGAGCCACGTAGTCGCTGAGGTTATTAAAAGCGCAGAATCGACGCTCGCGGCAGCCGGATCGAAACCAGATTACTAACATTATCCCAACAACTTACCACCAGCGAGGACTTATCGCGTCGTATCATGCTACCTTTCTCACATTCCACTTTTCTCGACCGCTTAGCCCTGCTGCACTCCGGGCCGCATTTATGGGTGTAGTGCAAAAACACGACATCTTTCGAACTGCCTTCGTTCCATTTTGGGGGGCATTTGTACAGATGTCCCTGAGCGAATTCGACGTCCCAGCGCATGAGATCACCACTGATGAAGATGATCGTTCTCTAATCACGGAGTCCGTCTGTCGAGAAGCAAATAAATCCCCGGCCTCGTTCGGAACTTCGTGCACTCAGCTCTACCTGATAGTGGGGCGAGCAAGCGGCCGTCTCTCGGCAGTGCTAAAACTCCTGCGTGTGCAATACGACGGCGTGACGGTGGCGCGTCTTATTGAAGACCTTCGCTCCGCCTTTGACGAAGGGTCATCGCCTGCACTATACTCTCTAGACTACCCCGGCCTTATTGCAAGCCGCGTAGCGCACAACAAGCCGTCTGTCTTCCCGGTATGGCAAGAGTTACTAGAAGGGTCGTCTATGACTTACCTCGCCCCGCGCGAGGAATACTATCGGAATGTAGACAGGTCGCAAATTGAGCTCAGTGTAATGAGTACCTGCGATATTGCAATGCCCGATGCAAATCGGGGGTTCACCATGGCCACGGTGGTCAAAGCGGCATGGGCCCTGTGTCTCGCCCAGAAAGCGGAGACGAAAGACGTCGTGTTCGCACAAGTCGTGAGAAACCGTTATCTGGCGATCTTATGTATCGAACGCGCGGTCGGTCCCTGCATCAACTTGACCCCAGTCCGAGTGCCCCTGAAATCAGAATGGGTTGCGAAGGACCTTTTGGAATTCGTCCAACGCCAGCAAATGCGAACCATGGATTCCGATACGGCTGATCGGGACGACGTCGTCAGGCAAAGCACAACGTGGCCGCGCGATACGGATCCCGGGTCTGCTGTTCACTACCTGAGCGCACCTGTCGGTAGCAAGCATATGTTCGCGGGGGATAATCCATGCCATTTCGAGCAATACGACTTCAAAATGACGGAAATCTACCCGATGATGCTGTGCTTGCCATTCCCAAGCGAAGTATACTCAGGAATTACGAACTTGAGGATCGTTCCTACAAGTGCTGTTTGTGATCAACAGCAGGCAGACGAGATTCTTGATGTGTTTGTGAGGATGGTCACTGAACTGACCAATAACGCGGAGACTTTGGCACTGGAATCCATGTTGCCTTAAGTGTCAAGTCATGTAATTGTTCAAGCCCGAAAGCGGTGATATTTTCATGTATTTATGGCTTCTGCGGAATTGGACGCGTATCAAAAGTGCATTGTCGGTTGTCTGGAAAAAAAAAAGGAGGAAAGAAAAAGAAAAAGAAAAAAAGGAGTCCGTTGGCGTATTCCGTACAGATATAATAGGTTACCTGGTTGTCAAGTGCCAACCAGCTGCCAACCGCTCCAAATAGGGGTAATTTCCTTGTCAAGAATTTTGAGCATTGTTGCCGGCGTCTTCAGTAATAGTTTTAGAGAAAAGATTGTGCTTCCGAAAGTAACCCTTGCAGATCCTCTTTGTAAATTTAATAAAGTTCTTTTATGTACGTAACTCACATTTGAATCCATTCCATTATTGCTTAACCAGGAGGTTCGACTTCATACCCATGTACCTACCTACCTACCTAGGTTAGGTACCTGTTTTATTGCTTGTTCCCGTTTAGTATCTTCTATCTTGGAAATATCGACTCTTAGATCAAGCCCAGAAGCCGCCGGCCTTTCCCCGGGTCGCATCCTTCAGATGAGAATACCCACCGCCGCCTCGGAATCTGCGGGATGAATCCGCCTTGCGATGGTAAACAGAGACTTTGACGAAGGGGTCGTCACTCGGAATTGGAATATCGTGGCCATGCTATAAAGGTATATAAGTTAGTGCGATGCCTAAGTATTAGGTAGGTACCACCTAAGGCCAATGACAGGTGACGTGATATTGGGGTGGAATATAAAAAAGAAAAAAAGCCAATACGACGTACTACTCTAACTCTCCAGTGAAGGTTCTTTTCGAGGTGAGTTGACACGTGGTCGGGGTCTGTGAGCGAGGGCAGGCGGTAACCACTAGCCGACGCAGTGAGATCCGCCGAAGAGGATGTGCGGGAAAGCAGCGGGGCCGTTATTGGGATCTGGGCCGTCGACTTCGTGTTCTCGGTGGATTTGACTCTGCAGTTCTTGCAGCCTGGCGTGTCCGGATTGTGGTAAGCCGGGTTGGTGAACGTGTATACGTAGCCCACAAGGTTGGGGTGGGTATAGAGCGGCTGGTCGTACTCGCTGAGCTCCTTCTCGTCGCCGATGAAGAAGTACACGGTGTACGGGATGCCATCCAAAGCGAATCTAGGAGATCGTTAACGCAATACTAGATGGGACGTCTGCAGTTCTTTCCCTTTTGGATAAGTCTTACCTTTTGTACTCCACGTTGATAAAGACGTCGGCAGGAGCGTGTTCCACTTCAGGAGAGCTATAGAGCTTCTTCAGCTGGTCTTGGATGTCTTTGATATACAGCTGCTTGTCGAACACGCCGTCTTTCTTATATTTGGGGAGCCATGGCTGGAGCTCGGGGTAGGAATAACCCCACTGTGTCCAGTCTCTGATATCATCGGACGTGAAGTAGGTTGCCTTCGTGTCCTTGTGAAACGGAGCAAGTGGAGTCTTCGGGGTGTCATTGGCCCCTTTCTCGATCGACCAAGTACCATTGTCGGGCAGTTGCTCATCCTCTCTTTCAAACCAATTCTCCTTGTTATCCACGTTAAGGGCTTGCCAAATGGCGAACTGTCGGTCGACATTGCTAATAGATATGTGTTAGTTGAAGGTCAGGGATCAAGGCATTGGGGATCTTACCAGTGATGCATGAAGAAGATGGGATCAAAAGCGGCAACCGGAACTTCCGTCATATGTCCAATGTATTTATCATAACCTCCGGTCCAGTTATGGATGTTGTTATGAACAAACTCCAGGTTCAAGTAAGATGATGGATCATGGACCTCACTGTATTTGGTGGTGGCGAACTGGGAAAATGAAGTGATGTATTCGGGCAAGAAGAGGCGGTATGTCATCTCGGCCAAAGGCACCTTTTCCCCATTATACCATTTATGATCATCAAGTGCGTCGGTCGCTAGTTCGTTGTCAACTTTTCCTTCCACCCACTCGGCAGAGACATTGGACGATTCGGGTTCGTAAGGGGCCCATCTGCTGGTACCAACGGATTTGGAAAACTTCGAATGAAAAGGCGGTTAGTGCTGCTCACACATAAATATAGAGTAAGACTTTCTTACTGGAATCTTAGTCTTTGTGCCGTCTGACATCTCACTGTCCACGTCTCCGACCTTGTAAGTACCCATTGGTACCCCACTTGGCATAGTAAACTTGTGCATTGGGTTATCAATCTTGACTACCGTGACGCCGTCGTTCAAGTCAAGAACCTCAATTTTGGCAGCTTTGGCAATGATCGGGACATCGTAGACGACCGAGTCGCCTCGCTTCTTTTTCTCCGCCCAATCCCAGTAAGGCAATCGAAAGGTCGCGGCTGCGTTACGCCAAACCTTGCGGCTACTTTCAGGGAGCTTTTTGATTACTTGATTTTCCATAATTTCATAAAGAACTTGCTGCAACGTGGTTTAGTTAAGATGTAAATTGGGGCGATAAGGGAGGACGCCATCGTTTACCTCGAATAGGAGCATGTATGGTCGATGCCAGCAAGGGAAGAGAAGACTATCATGAGTGCAGTAGCCTTCATTCACAGTCTGTGCGTCGGTCTGCTCGTCCCAGGCCTCGTAAGGTGAACCATGAATACCTAGAGAGTATCAGTGACAAACTCATCATTTAAAGGCAGTGAAGCTACCCCATGGCGCTACTAACCAGCTATCTTAAAGTACGAAAGCTTTTCATCGGGTTTTCTGTCCTCTAAAAACCGTAGAGCCCAGAGGAACAGGCTATTCTGGAGTAGATGTTCTTTGGTTTGTCCCGGATACCAGCTATCTACCTCGAGACGAAGCGGCACTGTGTCAGCAGTGACACCGGCCTTGATGCCAGTAATCGCGTATGTCCCCATCTTAGTTCAATTTCAAAATGGAAAGACGGAGAAATTGGTAATGAATTAGACTGAGAAGTCTCGCTTAAGGTAATGCTTGAAAGGAAGACTAATTCCTTATATTTATATTCACTTACTCCCTTGACCCTGAGAGATGGCTACTCTGCCGAGGCTGTAGTCCTAGCTGACGCATAGCCTATAAGAATACCAAGGATGTATTATGATTGACCACACGCTCTCTACTACAGTATCTTGATGACGGTATATACATACTGTGGACTCGCTCAAGCCTCCTCTACAGCCTGGCCTATTATTGATTAGGGGTCTCGACTACAGCCACACATGGAGGTTTTCTTACCCATCTAGAGCACACAGCTTTCATTTTAAACATGGGAGTTATAAATGAAACTGGCTTCATACTCATTATTTTTTTTATTCTTTGTGTTTCCGTCATTTCAGTTCAAGACTAGGAACTACGTCCATCTGAATATTCCTTAATATGTACAATTGATCATTATATGCAGAACTGTATCAAAAAACAGTCCTATACAGAAACTCGACTATCTACCTTAGGTACGTAACAATAGCCTATGTGTCTAACCGCCACGAAGCCCCTTACCCAACACGGGGCTTCGATCAGGCAGTAAAGCTGAAAGAGGCGTAGTAACACAATGTGGTGTAGCTCAATAAGTGTGGCCAATTATGAAGCCAAACAGCAATATCTACGACAGACCGCCTCTAACATATACGCTAGGAATATCGCATCTTATGGCTTCATGTACGGCGTGTGGTCGTACAAGCATTATGGCTTGAATAATTAAATTTAGCGCTTAGCCCTAAGGACGTTATCAGGATGCAGGGCTTCAGACGAGTTCAGCTTACTCAGATCTTTCAGGTCATCTGGTGTGCACCTACGTAAGGTATCTTAGAGGTAAGCATACTGTTCTGGTGGTCCACGGGATATTAGGTACCTTAACGTAAACACCTGTCTGCAGCGCCCTAATGTTTGATTCGTCTTCGATTTAACTCAAATATTATATGTGTTAACTCGCGTTCTAGGACTTTGAAGTCCTAACCGTTGACCCTAACATAAAAGTTATGCTCACAATCACAACGAGCTCACATAAAGAAACAATGGTATACTATGAATAGGCTAGTCAATTTGATGAAAACGCTATTCCTCTGGTGCTTCGTAAGGCCTCTCGACTACACTTTGGACTCTTGGACTGGGTCAACTGAATAGACAGACATGGTAAGATCTTATCACGGATGTCTGAGGAGGCCTTCAATATTGCCTGCTAGTCCCCCGATACTCGTTTACGAACCCTCTGAGCTAAATCGCATACCCAGGTGCTTTAAACTAGGTTATCCTTACTTCAGAGTGAAGTATTGTATCCTACTGCCGGTGAACTCCACCTGAAGAAATGCCACCTTCAGCTCCACGAGGCTGGCCGCTTTAACGTGTAGTACCAAGCCAATATTTGCATAGCTCAAAACCTCTTACAACTGCAGTCTATATGTTGCGACTTCGAAAGGATTAAGGGTAATCGGGAAAGAGCCGTCCTTGCTCAACTTGATCTCTTCCCCGTCATCTTCCAAGATGTTCGTCTTGAACACGTTTTTAACATCCCATATCGTTTTGACCGTTGCTGTGCTACGGCCGCCGAGACTGTCGTATATCCGGATGATAACGCTCTGTCCTTTACGACGTGGGAGTGCACTGTCGCGAGAAACGTCTTCATCGTCCTCTCCACGCTTCACACAGTCCAGAATGAGAGAGTCATCACCGGTCAGTCTGACAGGGTAATTTTTAAGTGCAGAGACGTCAGACGTCTCGTGGGCTGCAAGGATCTTGACTCGGTGATTGAAGTTGTATCCGGCGCGAACGGTTGTCGCACCCAATCCACCTTGATGAGGCAAGATGGCCCAGCGGATTTTGTGCTTCCCCATGTCTGCGTGTGCGTCGGGTGCCTTCGGAGATCGCAAGAGAGATAGGCGCATAAGGCTTCCACAAGTAGCAAAGCCGTATTTGCTGTCGTTGAGGATTGAAACACCGTAGCCATGCTCCGACAAGTCCGCAAACTTGTGGCAACAAACCTCGAATTTCGCCATATCCCAGGTGGTATTGTAATGAGTGGGTCGCTTAACAATACCGTACTGGGTCTCATAAGAGGCTTCGGTATTCCTAACATTCACAGGAAACTCGACCTTCAGGAACTTCATGGTCTCGTGCCAATCCACCTGGGCAGTACATTCGACAAACGACTGCTGGCCATCAAGAGCAGCAGACAGGCTTAGAACTGTCTTGATAGAGCTGTTTTCGCTGATCTGTGCTTCCGTCAAGACGCTGACCCGATGGTCTTTCTCTTCGAGGATTCTAGTCTTTCCGTAGGGAACCACTTTGCGGGTATCGAGGTGGTATACCTCGACGTCCCAAGCTTGCCAGTAAAGTGGCTTGTCGTCAAAAATGACGAGCTGGTTGGCTTTTTCTCCCTCAGGAATGATTTCGCGTTTTTCCTTGCGATCGAAGAGTGAGGTTATTGTACCATCCTCGACCTGAACCGTAAGTTGATCATTCTGCAAGACGAAGACACCATCCCTGATTTCCTTAACGGTAACAGCCTTGGACGCTCCTGTCTTGAACGGTTTGATGTTGATGAGGTTCTCGGAACCACAAGCGACGCCTACTTCGGACTCAGAAAGTTCCACGATCTCCTTTCTGTGCCATGGGAGAGTATTAAGTGCGAAAGTTTCGCTCCCAGACGCTGCGGACCCTACCTCGGTAACACCGAAGAGTTGATAGATGTCTTCGTAAATATTTTTGCCTAGCTCAAATACTCTGGCATATAGCTGGCCTAAGTTAGCATACCGCGTCCCTCTGGGGATTTTATTGCACCTACCTCATCCGAGTCGTCATAGCACATCTCAATAGCACTCCCCGGGAGGCAGTCGTGGAATTGACAGAGAAGAACTGCTTCCCACATCTCATCGAACGCCGCCTTTGGATACTTGTAGGATTTGAACTTAAGAGATGCGATCGTAGCTAATAATTCAAGCTCTCGTAACATAAACTCCGACTTACGGTTATTACGTTTGTTGTTGGCTTGGGTTGTGTATGTACCGCGGTGAAGCTCGAAATAGAGCTCGCCATACCAAGTGACCAAGCTATCACCCTTCTCCTCGAGCTTGTCAAAGAAGTCATCCACGGAGTTTCCTAGGTGCACTCTAGGCAAACGGCCAACTTGGTCGCTGATACCACGGCAACGCCTCAACTTCTCTATATGCTGCCAAGTCGGACCGCCGCCACCGTCACCTTTGCCAAAGACCAATAGCGAAGTGCTATCCTGGTCCATCGACTTGTGCTGAGAAACACTGCGCTTAACATCGCCGAACTCGGCTTCCGAGGTGTACGTCTCAGCTGGCGGCATGTGACATATTACCTGGCTTCCGTCAAGGGCAACCCAGTTGAATGTCGTATGGGGGAAGTTATTGATGTTATTCCAGCTGAGTTTCTGTGTGAGGAAACGGTTCATACCGGCTAGTCGGCATATTTGAGGAAGTTGGCTCGAGTACCCAAAGGTATCAGGGAGCCAGAATGTCCGGCAGCGCTCTCCGAAATTGCTCTCGAAGAATCTTTGACCGTACAGAAATTGTCGGACGAGAGACTCGCCGCTCGGCAAGTTGGTGTCGTGTTCAACCCAGCTACCGCCAATTGGATGGAATCGGCGTTCCTTAACCTTTTGCTTGACCCGGTCAAATGCATAAGGGTATAAGGCTTTCAACCATTTATACTGCTGTGCTTGGGAGCAAGCAAAGTTAAGTTCCGGGTATCGATCCATTAGGTCGCACTGGTTCGACCAGGATCTCGCCACCTTTCTCTTCGTCTCAGCCCATGGCCACAACCAACAAGTGTCGATATGGCAATGGCCAATGCCGAACACCTGAGGGACAAGCCCGCTATCATAAACCTTAGAAGAGTCGACGTTAGATCCGATATATTCCTGTGCGATCTTACGGCCTTTCTTGATCGACTCTTTATCGCCGAGAACATACGAGTCGATAATATTCGTGACGACATTCAAGGCCTTATGCTGCTCCCACGAATCTTCGGGGAATTCTCTCGCAGCGTCACCAATGATCCACGTGTCAATCCAGAGCTGCCGGGCGTCTAGATTGACGGCACAAATATCGGCCTTGACAAGTTGGAAATACTTGTTGGGGTCGGGCGGTTGGATGGTATCACCTCCAGTTGGATTGCCAAACATACTATTGCAGGCCATCTCTATGTAGATGGTATGTTCCTTACCATCTCTGAAGGAGTCTGGGAGGATCCACTCGACACGTTCACCCCCGCCGGTTAGACCCTGAAGCGGCTTTCCGTCTTCGGTCCAAACCATGCCTTCGCTGTTGGAGTCCCACTGGAATTCTAAGTGTTCTTTATCCCGTAGCTCGGCGGGAACGCGGAGCACGACTTTGAACCAGTGGGTGGACCAAGATGGACCGAAGGTTTGACCAACAGAAGCAGCTTTGTACTCGCCGGCTACGGCCTCCTCAAATGTCGGCCTTGAGAGGTTTGGAGCTGGCCATGTGGAGAGCTGAACATGAGGAGGTCCAGATGCGACGCCCTCGAACATCATAGCAAGGAGATTTTGTTTCTCCCATTGTCCCTTAGAGTAGAACTGAGTAATGCGGTCCTTGTAGATATGGGATATCCGTTTCCCAACCGGGGTAGGTGCCCGGAGGGGATAATCGGTCGAAATGACCTTCGGCTTCATAGTTTCGCCACCCATGACAGTAACCGTTACGGCAACTGACTCCGAATTTCCCGCTGTTATGTCCCTGGATCAACCAGGTAAATGTTAGATCGCTGTAGAGGAGGATTCAAGAAGTCCTCCGAAAATAAATGAAAAGTTATCAGACAGGTTACGAGTGTAAAAGAGTTGGTCTCAATGAGAGATGACCGAATAAAGTTATTCGTACGTTATAAACGAAGAGTGGAATGGAAATACGACGAGCTTCGAAGCTCCGCTTAGACTGAAGTAATGAAGTAATGAAATAAGTCAATACGGTAACGTAATTGAATAAGTTGGTTGACCAATGGAATGAAAATGGATGGGGATTGTGGCCAAACAGCTTTCAGAAGTTGTAAACAAACTGGTTTGAATTGAACCTCTTACGAGGTGTAGCAGCGAGCTTAGCTCCATATGTACTATGTAGATAGGTAGGTATGCGATACGCTAGGTAGCTCAACGGTGGATGCCGAGCGTTCCTGAAAGACGCAGGGGGATCCGCGGATGCACAGAGGAGCAGCTGACAATGGGCAGCTGGTTGGAGTCTTTGCGGGGAAGCACCTTGGCATTCCCCAAAATAAGGGAGTCTCGAGGACAAATCATCGAACGGCAAACGGGAGACCCACACTTACCCCATCGTTAAGTCACCGCTATCAGCCTTATTACGTTAGGTACCTCCTAGCTATCTCAATCTAGGTAGGGTAGCTATGTAGGCGAGTCGAGCCGAATTCTGCAAGATAAGATTAAGTATATAAATTAATATAAATTAAATAGGTCAGGAGAGTGTATAATTATTCTCAGGGTTGAGTTAGATAGGTTGTTCAGCTGAATAGTAACGTCAGGTAGTTGAATTATGTTAGGTACTAGGTAGGCATTGTAGGATGCTGAAAAGTAAAAAAGGTAGAATGCGAAGGTCGGCTGAGGTTATGAACTATTGTAACTTGGACAAATATTCAGGTGCTTACCTCTTATTCTTTTTTATTTTGTAAAGAAACATTCGGCAGTTACAAACAGTCAAACAAGACCATACTGATAACATAAGAGAGGCAAGTACCTATAACGTTACATAATAGTTCTACGAACCTGCACAAGGCCTCATGTACCTGTATAACGTGTAACCGAAGTTGTAGCCAAGGAACCAAACAAGAAGCTATTATATCGATTATATCCTGTGGATTCATCACGGAGTATATTCGAAATTGCAAATGAACAGGCGGACAGGTCACCTTATTTGATATCGAGATCGCCAATAGATGACATCACAAGTAAGAGAGCAATAAAGGGTTATTAGGTTAGGTACTGTCGAATAGACATCGAGTCATACCTATTGCACTATAATACATCTACCTCTTAACGAGTAATTGGGCAATCACCAGAGGTAACATAGGTAAGATAGCCTATGCGTCTAGTCTTGTTGATCACTTTTCAGACCATTCTTCCTAGGAAACATTGTTTTTCCTATTGCCTTTCCCAAACCAAACCCAGAGCGAATATACATGCCAATATAAGACGCCAAGAGGAACGTAGGCCACGATCAAGTTATTATAAATATTACTAGGGTGAAATCGTTGGTATCGTAGCATTGGTCCGAAGCAGTCGTTAATCGCGACGCGTTTCCCATAGAAATAAAAGGGCCGACCCTACGATTGGATAACGAGAAAAGATGCGAGATCGAATTTGTATGCATTAGGTACCTAAGGTACGTTTTAATGGTTTATTTCTGCTTTATTCCATTATAGTATTCCTTAGAATGCATCTTCTAGAGGGCAGTCGATGCTGTCATGCCCGTCTCGCTCGCATAGAGCACACCACTTCTCCGGATCCACCACACCGCTATCCTTGCCGGCTAACGGCCCCGAGTCTTGCGGGTTAGGGAGAATCTTAACTGCTGCAGAAGGAGGGGAAGAAGGTGCGACTGCTGCCTTAGGCTTCATAGGAGATAATGGCCGAGGTGTATCTTCTTCATTGCCACTGGTAGGAACCGTCAGGCTCTTAAAGCTATCCGCTTCGTTAGATGCCTGGCTATCTGCTGCTGGCTTGCCTTGCTCGTTTTGGGACCCGAACATGTTAGTGCATGTAAGTATATCATGGCCTCCAGTTTCGCAGATCTCGCACCAGAGCGTGCTAGTCTCGGTAACGGATGAATATGCATCACTCTCGGGCGTTGTTTCGAGGGTTTTTGCACGTCTGTGAGTAGTTTCAGGCGAGTCCGTCTCATGTGAGGGGACCACCACCGTCGTTTTGGAATCGCGATATGATGATCGGTTGACACTACTAAGGGTAGCCGAACTAGGACGGTTCACTGATGCACCGGCGCGTCTGAGAGACTCAATCTCACGCTCTAGCTCCTCTTCCCGGTGGCTCTTGCTCTCGATGAGATTACGCAATTCGAATACTTCCCGCTCTAATTTCTCCCTTGCGGAGTGGTTATCGATGGAATTCGGGCGAGAATTGATGAGGGAATTACTGCGCTGGGGTAGCGTAGGCGTCTTTTCTGAGGAATCTGAGCCGGGAATGGAGTCCCTACTCAGGGAATGGATAATAGCCTTCAAACCTCTAATCTCGTCATCCTTCTGTTCTAGCTCTTTTGACATAGACAGCTTGTCTTCTCCATTATTGCCCCCGTTTAAGGCGGCCGCGGCCTTCTCGCGCTCCCTCCGTAATTCTGTCCTTGTTCTCTCAACCTCTCCTCGTAGGAATTCTACTTCACCACGAGCTTCCGCTTCTCCTCGACGAGCATCTTCTAAGCCTTCTTCGAGCTCTTGGACTAACTCTTCGAGCTGTTTAAGCTGCCGTGCGACGCTATCGACGTCAACATTTCGCTCTTGTGCTTCATGCAGCTCTTGTTCTAATTCGCGAATTCTAGCATCGTAAACCCGCTGGGTTTCAGTGCTAGCCATCTCGAGAGTGTCGATAGTGCTGCGGAAGTCAGCCCTGTGCGCGTCGAACTCAGCCGTGAGCGTGGCGATTTTCTCGTTCTTCTCTCTAAGCATCGTTCGTAGTTGCGAAGTGTCCTTGTCGTCTATGCTACCCGCTCTCATCCTCCCAGTATCCGACTGGTCTATTAGCATCGTAAGCTCGGATAGACTACTCTCCATTTCAGCTAGGGTAGATGCTTGATCCTTTAATTGCCGGTCTCGATCTTCGAGTTGAGCTTTTAGTCGTTCAATTTCCTCCTCATTTATATGGGCAGCTCGTGATTGGGGACGTTTAAATGATAGCGACGACGCTGATCCAATACTTCCATTTGCTTTAGGATGCAATCCAACAGGTGTAGTTTCTTCCTCGTCGTAACTGAATATTGGTCCCATAGCAGACGCACTCCTAGGAAGTATGCTTGGCTTCCTGTCCAATTTCAACATCTTGCTTGGATCCCCAGGAACACCTCGTATACTGGCCCCGAGCTTAGGGACAGTAGGTGTGCCATAACGAGAAGGCGCCCTCGGGCCTGGTGTTGCTGTCATCGGTCGGGGTGGAGCGGGGGTTAATGTTAGCTTGCGCATGGGCGATTCCGGACGTGGTAGGGATGGTCTACTCCGTTTGCCTTGGGGGCTTGGAGCTCTAGCTGGGCCGAGAGACTTGCTAAAGCTCGGTAGGGACGGAGTTGGTGTATAGTTCGTAGCATTCTGACCGGCGACCCTTAATCCAGGGGTGGGAGGAAGGGAACTCGAAGGTGCAAGAGGCGAGTCATGTTGTTTAGAGAGTTTATGGACGGGTACGAAGATGCCAGAGCCAGGAATCGAAGTATTAAAGTAGGATACGCTGTAAAAGGTGTTGGTTAGCAAGGAGTATAGCAATACGGAATAAAATGAAACAAAACAAAAGCAAGCGCGGCTAGATGGGACGGGTAGATAAAAGGGGATGTCAAGACTTACCCATCAACATCACCGCTATTCTTGCCGCGCGCAGCATAATCTGGATGCAGCTCAACACCAACAAAGGTGCCTTTCCTTCCAGCAACTGAACCTACAAACCGGATAGTGCCGGTCATGTTTCCAGGAACCTCGACGTTATCACCCAAGTCGAAGCCATCGCCGGTGTCCTTTCCTGGTGTAAAAGGGGGCATTTTGTGTGATGAATCGGTAAGAACGGTATCTATGGCGTAGCTCTCGCTGTCATCAGGAATAGAGGCTAAGGAGCCAGGGGTCAGTGCAGCAAATGAAGCTTTGCGCGCCAAAGCGCCCGAGCTAGGAATAAGTCTCGAATGTGCTGAATAAACGCTATTGAGGTTCGGGGTGGAAGTAGTAGCTATTCCAGATTTTCTAGGAGACCGAGACAGGGTGTGTTGTCTTTGCGGATGCGGTAAAGAAAGAGTTGTTGAAGCCATAGTGGGCAAAAAAACTCCCTTCCCACTCTTTATTGCACTCCTTGGTGTGTGATAGTACCTAGTTTTTTAATTTTTTTAACCCGCTATTGATTTTGGGGAGCGGGTACTTTCAGCTCTCGTCCAATCCAATGATCTCACTGGTTCCCTGTTCTTCCACTGAATCTTACCGATTGGGGGGAACTTGGGGGAACTTAGGGGAACTTAGGAGCACTTAGGAGCACTTAGGAGCACTTAGGGGGGCACTCCTATAAAAAAAGCCCACTAAAAACAATGGCCGGTGGTGGGTCGCCGTCGCCGTCGCGTGGGAAAGAAGGAACTGGTTTCAACCAATGACTGGTAATAAAAGGTCAACAAGCTTGGTGTACTAATAAGGCCTAGAAAAAAGATTAGCGCGATAATGAAAGAGAAGAATGTATTGAGAGTAAAATGATTCATAACAATCCAAAAATAGTAGAAGAAAAATAATACATTGGGATTTGCAAATACCAGAGAGTAACCAAGATTGGTCCCAAGTCAAAAGTGTAATTGGATACGAAGTATAATAAGAAAGACCCCGACCACTGTAGGTTTTTTTTTTTCCAAGACTAGGACGGTCTCTTAAAAGATGTTATGAGCTGCAAGATAATGCGGTCGGATTCTGGAGAAAAACGAAAACATACTTACATCAGGTACCTAGTCAGTCAATATACGAAGTAGGTTAGGTAGAAATTCACCTACACTTGTTGATCGCCTAGGTACCGACCATACGACGTGGGTTCGACGTAATGTAGTGAATCCTGGAGTTTTAGATCCAACCTTATCCTCTACAATGACGCCTTAGGCAGTAGTAGAGATGGTGGTGAGGATCCAAGTTTTTCACAATTGACAGTTTCTGAATGGTAAATGAATGGGTTAAATGTGCCCAGATCTATTATCAGGATAATACGTATCTTATTACATACTTGCCTTCGAATTCCGCCGAGGGTTTCAGCGCCATGAAGCTACTACCCAGGTATAAACAAGATTCGAAGCTGTGCCAATAAGATGCCAGAACGAACACGCGCTCAGACGGTGAGACCTATCGTTTTTGGAAGCTACTTACTCTGGAACAGTCCTATGAAGCAGCAACATGACAACGCTGCTGATATCTCTAGGATCTCTAGGCTTAGCTATTCCTACAGGTATGGAGACCATGCTGCGGCATTATGCGCTGCGGCAAACGAGCATATGCAGGACCGCGTGCATCATTGGCTTATACTAGATTAGCCAGATGAGGGGTCGCAAGGTCTTTTGTTTACAATAGCAACCTATCACATTGGTAGGTTATTATATCATATTTAAAAAGTACAGCCAAAATAATACAAAATTTCGTCAACTCTTATGGAGTAGTTATTCTATACGATTCCATGATTGAATTGATAGGTACTCCAAGAACCAACTACTAGGTACCTTACACGGGTATTAATAATAATAATTTACTACATATCGAATGGAACCCCTAACCTTAGCAGCCAAGATAGTGCATGCGATAAAGCTTAATGACGTTGCATCACTTTTATTTGGGGTTTGGACCCAAACCATGTTAGTGACCTCGGAAACTAATATAGCTCCCATCCAGTTTAATTAAAATCCTAAGGTAGGTACCTAACCTAACAGGGTAACTTTGCACCTAATTGTCGGGTCCGTTAAGTAAACTTCTTCATATTATTGTACCTATTCAAAGACTCAAACGAGACATATCGCATCAGCTACCACCTATGTACAGCCATACCTTGAAGAATTATCACAGATCAAGATGGGCCAAAGCACTATATATTATTGCTTAATCGAAAGCACGCCTCGGTACACGACGTGAACTATCTTGCCATCAAGGCATATTGAATCTACCATATAACTTAGGGGGGGTCTCTTGTCTATTGCCATTTCTCATTACACAAGTCCTTCTGAGTATACATTTACTCTCGGATTGTAACCACTAAATCCACTAGAATCGCTATTGATTCGTAAACGTAGGAGTGATGTCTATGTGGATACTAGTAGATATGTAACATTAGCAAAAATACTAGAATAAGAAGGTCAATATTTCTTACCTCATCTGGTTTCTTTTTTCTTTTTTTTCTTTCTTTTTTTTTCTCTCAACATCACGCATGACGACGACAGTTCGGTTTGGTTTAGAGGTAATTTTGGTCCAAAGTTTACTCTTGCTCCACTCAAGAATCCCGCCCTTAAAACAACTTACGAAGCCAGCATCTTCGTGTCAACGCCGTTCATAAGTAGTTGGTTGTATATCAATCTCGGTGCGTTCCCAGACTTGCTACACATTAGGCACGAACCCATTCAAAAGACTTGGTAATGAAGAGCAGATTACGCTTATCCACTAGGGTCATGTGTTCGCTCAATAATATCACTTCGTCCCAGTGAATGCGTTCCATCATTTAATACCATAGCCTCTCGGTGTCTTCTGCGTAACCGTTGCTCCTCGGCACTCTGCTCATTCAAACGAGGAACATGTTCGGCTCGTAATGCATCATCTTGGTTGTCTTCGTTCGTCATATCGATCTCCAAGACGACTTTAATGCGACTTGACCTGTCCCGCTTCGATCGCCTTGGCTTAGTCGCCAACTTCGCCTTATATAAGGCTTTGCGACCCGCCTTAGTTGTTTTTAGGTGGAAGCAGATGTCGCTAATCCGGTTCTTTCTCCGATCCAAGTACATGGCAAAATTGTTCTGCCGTTCTTCGTCGCTATCCCCCCACGGTTGCCTCGCCAACCACTTCTCGACAAACCCAGCTTCGATTAACTTGTCGACGCCGTATCTATGAACCAGCTGCGAAACTAGCATAAGGCATCGCCGTTCGCCAATATCCCGTAGATAATATTCGTCATATAAAGGGTCGTCAAGCTTCTCATGTTTCATATCGTTAACGGATAACTCCAGCGACCTGACTAAGGCGCTATAAGCCTTCCGGGAATGAAGCATGTTCAAAGGCTCCTGATACGTATCCTCTGGTTCAGGTAGTTAGAAAAGTTGGCATATAGAACCATGTAAGTTCTCGAATACATACTATCCTCCATCGCAAATGCGAGAGCTCTCAAAGCCTCCATGCGTTCATCATAGTTCTCTCGGGTGATACCCCATAGAAGGCTATAGATAGTTGAGGGATCATGAACAGCGCGACCAGCAATAATTTTCAAAGTAGTGTCTCGTATGGCAAAGTTGTAGTGGCCGAGGAGATTGTCCAGAGTATCTAATCTAAGCGAGTCTTCCGTTTCTTGGGTGATATACTGGGTCTTTGGTGGCGTCGGCTTGATCTCAGCTTCGTCTCGGTAGTATTCTAAGACTGCTCTCATGCCGATGAGCAAGCCTACAGCAGCTAGGCCAAGGCCGGCGGTAACGAGCCTCTCATCTCTGAGAGAGGAAGGAAACCCCATTATTGGAAAGGTGCTAGCCCATTCGTATCAATAGAAATTATCCGTAATTTGTCAGGTATGAAAAGATGATAATTCTTTGAAGTTTTATGAATTGAAAGGTAAAGTTAGGAAGATGCGACGGAGCTGAATCCAGTATTGGCAATGTACCTTACCTTATCGATAACCATGACGGCATCCTGCGGCCAGCTAGCCCAGGTACCCGGGTACATAGTACGTATAGTGGGCCAGGGTGAGCTTGGAAATTGGGAAAGCGTTATCTAAGACACGATAAACAATCGATAAGATAATATCTTTCTCTCTCTTTGGTCGCAATTTATTTTTTTTTCTTTTACATGCGATTCCCGCCATCTACGGAATTCACCCCACCCCCAAATTCAAAGTCACAACCAAACATAATGGCACCTTCGTCAGGACGACGGCAACCGCCGAGCGCGGAAGAGCTAGACGAGCGTAATGTACGCCTACTGAGTTTCTCCTAATCCTATTGGTGGGTTGAAAATCTGACAATGTATGCTAGATCGTAGGTATCAACAAGGAAACAGTCACAAACACCGTCTCTACCGATTACCCGGAAAATTATGCGAACGAAGAGCATGCGTGGGACAAAGAAGCCTTCCGCAAGAGCTTCAAGGTCCAATGGCACCAGAACGAGCAGTTCGAGGCGCAGTTCTCGCTCATCGGCGTGGACGCCTCCATAGCCAACGCCTTCCGCCGAATCCTCATCGCTGAGATTCCCACCCTCGCCATCGATATTGTCTACATCCACAACAACACCTCCGTGATCCAGGACGAGGTCCTCGCCCATAGGTTAGGTCTCATCCCCTTCACGGGCGGGAAGAAGGGCCTGCGGGAGTGGATGCGGTTCTGGCGGCGGCCCGCGGAGGGTGAGGGCGCGTACGACACGACGTACGACAATAACACGGTGAGCCTGAAGCTCAAGGCGCAGTGCACGCACAACAAAGACGCGCCGCCCAACTCCAAGGACCCGAAGGAGCTGTACCACAACGCGCACCTGTACGCGCGGGACATCACGTTCGAGCCCCTCGGCGCCCAGGCCAAGTTCTTCTCGGGCGAGGACGCCATCCGCCCCTTCAACCCGGACATCCTGATCGCGAAACTGCGCCCCCACCAGGAGGTCGACATCGAGATGCACATGCACAAGGGCTACGGCTGGGACCACGCCAAGTGGTCGCCCGTCGCCACCGCGAGCTACCGGCTGATGCCGACCATCACCATCACGCAGCCGATCCTGGGCGAGGACGCGAAGAAGTTCGCGGCCTGCTTCATGGACGGTGTGATCGGGCTGGAGCCCGTGACGCGGCAGGAGGCGCGGCAGAAGGGCAGCGGGTACGAAGGGCACGAAGGCGAGCTCAAAGCCGTGGTGAAGGACCCGATGCGCGACACCGTGAGCCGCGAGGCGCTGCGGCACCCCGAGTTCGAGGGCAAGGTCAAGCTCGGCAGGAGGCGCGACCACTTCATCTTCTCGATCGAGAGCACGGGCCAGTGGGACAGCGACGAGCTGTTCCTCGAGGCCGTCAAGACCCTCAAGAAGAAGTGCCAGGTGCTCCGGCCGCAGGTTACGAATATGGTCTACACGTACTAGATGGGAAAGCCTCTTCTCTAGTTATATTATTTACCTAAGGTACCTGAGGTTTTACAGGGATAGATCGCATCAGGTCACACCTAACCTGTATAATGAAATTTTCCAACGGTCAGAGAGGCGAGATGGTGGTTCTAGTGGTGGCAGGAAGAGTGCCTTTGTAGATAAGAATGCGTGCGTGCATGTATGTACGGAGTTCAATTTTTTTTCTCTTTTTCTTTCTCGTTTCTCTTCGAGACACCCGACGGCGGCGTTTGTTGGACAAAATGGAACTGGTTTTACTAGGTCAAAGCAAAAATAGGGCAAGAAATAATCAAAAGACCATAACTAGAATTATTGCAAATCCACGGGTTTCTTTACTACCTTTTTTTTCACGTGAACGGAGAGTGTCGTTATGAATGCTTGAGTTGTAAATCTAAGCTATCGAGCTGCTATATAGTAATCCGATTGAACGAGATTGAAGGATATATCGTATTATTTTCCTATCAATTATTAATACGCGAGCCCGTCTATCAGAATACTATCTCCAAAGATATACCGGCAGCATCCTCGATGCTTGACTGTCCAACACATCCTGCTCTCTTCCCTGCGTAGGGGGGGGCTATCTCAACGTAACTGTGTGGCAACGCCACAGCGGCCAGATCCAAAGGATGGAGAGTTAGAGAGGTAGCTCTTCTGATGCTATGAATTGGTATCAAGTCTCGTGATCTTAATGCCCAAAGGGCGCTGCTAAGCTAGGATGGCGTGGTGCACACGTGGACTAGATAAATGGTCGTCAGCCATGTTTTCAACTTAACTTCTAAAACGAGAACGGAGTGAGCTTTGGGGGTATCTTGGGGCCTGCTACGAAAGGAATAGTAACTAAATTGTCGTAGCATATAAAAGTGAGTAAAATATGAATGTACGAACGTCCACTTACACACCTGTTTGGCTCTGCATTGTATTTCCTAGAAGCACTGACATATCCGAGACTCAGACGCGTATTGCTGCAGAGAGCACCGCTGGAAGGGGCATTATAGCGCAACGCAAGCACCTGTCCTACCTAGCTGCTGTGGTTTGATTCCCATGGCGAGAAGTGAAGACCGACAGCGGCTAGTAATACGACCTTGTACTCTCACTTCGGTATTCTTCATGCGTACCCGGGAATGCGCCAATCGGTGCCGGGACGGCAGCGCCCTCTTCATCCGAACTTTCCTCCTCGCCTAGGTAATCGTCTGGCCGATCCGGCGGCGCACGCATTGCTTCTAGAGACTCTCTTGACATCTCCGGGGGTTGGTACGGTTTGATTGTATGCATATCCCTTCCGGACGGAAGACTAGCCAGTAACGTCCCAGGCGCCGGGATAGCCTGGGTGAGCATCTATTCCACGTATAAGTTACCTTATATGAAAACTTTTTCTCTTTTTTTTTAACGGTCAGACTTACGGTATCGTTCACTTTAGTCCATTTCGCATCCAACATCTCGATCACACGTGTTTCCTCTAGCTTCCCAGCGTCCGTGCCCCAATTCGTTCCCCGTTCGATCTTTTTGTCTTCCCTCTTCTCCGCCCAATCTTTCTTCATGCGGCTAAGGCTAAGACCTTTTTTCGCCTCCTTCGGCTTGATGCCGAGTTCCTGAAGCCCGCACCGCAGCCAACCCAGCGCGTTTCCGGTCTGGCCTGACAGTTCTGCGTCGATGCCGAAGAACCGACACGCCTTTGCGCGGCTCGTCTTCCGGAAGTCCTCCAGATACCGCAGCAGCCCTTCGTTAAGCTTGGAGGATCCATTTCCGGTGGCGGACCGGCACAAGGAAGATGCCTGAGCCGCGTGCTCTGCAGCTGCGAGGCACAGCCGGGCAAATAGGTGGGCTCGCACCTTGGGTATCTCAGGCGCTTTGTACATCCACTCCCGATCGTTTTCATTGCGGTCCTGGGCGACGACGGCTGGATATGGGTCGTCTTTGAGGACGGCGAGTAAAGTGGCTTCAGCTAATGCAAGTGAAGACATGGCGCGGGCGGTTGACTGAAATATATCGGGACAAGGGGGTGTGGTAGAAAGACCCTCAGCTCGGCGAGCAACATAGTCATGCACCGAGGCGGCATCCAGTAGGTATTTTGTAGCCGTAGTAATTATTTTGGTGCGCTCTTGCATGCTCAGAGGCTCTCCTGAGGTTACATAGAGTGGATGCAAAGTAGAGCGGGCAAGGAGGGTATTAGTATAGCCCAAAGTTGAGAGAGTGAAGAACAGCTCATACTCCAAGGACTGCATTTTGACCTTAGCTATCTGCTTCCCGGGTATGGCATAGTCAGACAAGGTAGGCCGCCATTGGATATTAGGAGTAGATGTTAAGACTACGGCGACGCGCTCACCAGAAACCGACTTATTACTCAAGCCGGCGTCGATAGCAAGGAGGCATGGGAGATAGTTATTTAAATTAGAGATTACTGAAGGTAAATTTGGCGGCTGAGAGGAAGCAGGTAACCGTCTATGCTTTTTCAAGGAGTCGCTTAAAACCCCACGATATGTGCTTGCTGTGATGGCCAAGGAGGGGTGCGACTCGAAAGCGATACTTGAAGAAAAATAGAAGGGTTTCGTAGTAGGGAGTATGAACTGAAAAGGCATCTTGTTAACTACACGAGTATTTAAGATGAGAAACAGTCAATTTTATGATATTCTAGAGAAAATGAATAGGTTGATTTTGAAAATTGACATGAGTGAACTCTTGACAAGAACAAAGCTTTTCTTGAGTCGAGATAAACTCAGCCAAGTTGCTTGGCTATGTTGATCTTGGCTTGTTAAGCCTGAGTTTATATGTTCACGTTGTAATTGTACAACATCTCATAACATGATTATGTATCTAACAAAAGGGAGAAGACCGAGATATTCTCTTATCGAAACGATGCAAGCCACAGTATGGGGGCTTATGTAATTGAAAAGATGGTACCTGTTCACAATATTTGGGGATATCCCCAGTTTTCTGAGCACCACCCCTGCTAGAAGCTACCTAATCTAAGAGCTATTACGAAAAATGAGTGGATCCCTGTCGCCAAAGAAAAAAAAAGGTACCTACGCAACACCAGGGTATTTTCAATTGGACACCATACAACTTACAAGGTACTAAACCGTACAACAACTAACGACGTTAATTAAAATGTCAGATCAACTTTGACAACGTTCCCACTATCCATGACCTTTACCAGCAAGTTCATAAAGGTCACAATCCCAACGACAATACGGTGAACACAATGGCATCCGCCTCGCCAGCACCGCATAAGCCTCGGCGCAAAAACAAGAAGACACATTTCGACAATACCATCCATGTCAAACCCGAAGCTCTAATTCGCACGCCCTCGTTTCCTCTCGCAGCTTTCCTCTGGCCTGCTCGGAGCTCTCTGTCGCAATGGGAGGTCTTACCGCTCATTCTTATGGTCGTTGGCCTTTTTAGATGGGCTGCCGGACTTTGGGGATATTCAGGTTTGTTCTAACTTTACCCAGTGCACCATTTTTTTTTCTCGAATTACTCGTTATTGACCTTGTTCTGTACCCGACAGGCTTCCGGAAGCCGCCCATGTTTGGTGACTACGAAGCGCAAAGACACTGGATGGAGATAACGACACATTTACCAATCTCCCAATGGTATTTCCACGACCTAGAATGGTGGGGTCTCGACTATCCTCCCTTAACCGCGTATCACAGCTGGCTACTCGGAAAGGTCGGATCACTTATTGACCCCTCGTGGTTCGAGCTCTACACTTCGCGAGGGTTGGAAGATCCAACGCTCAAGGTCTTCATGAGGGCTACCGTTATTGTATCCGAGTATCTGATATACATACCTGCCGCCGTGATCTTCGTAAGGAGGTATAGCAAAATTTCAGGTGTTGCTCAATGGACCGCATCCGTAGCCCTGGTCGCGATCCTCATGCAGCCGGCTACTATTCTTATCGATCATGTTCACTTCCAGTATAATACCGTGATGCTTGGCTTCGTCTTGGCGAGCATGTCTAGCATGGTAGCGGGTCGATATATGTGGGCTTCCATCTTTTTCGTCTGCGCATTGGGGTTCAAGCAGATGGCGCTTTATTATGCACCAGCCGTGTTCGCATTCCTTCTGGGAAGCTGTACTTTTCCTCGCATCAACATTGGACGGTTTATGGGAATCGCAGCAGTTACTCTCGCCTCCTTCGCCGTACTCGTATTGCCCCTTGTTATAGGCACGCTATACGACGTCAACCGAGGGATTGACTCGCGACCTGATCTAGATGGGCCACGCCCTCCTTTGCCTATATTTGCTTTCCTCTCGGACTATCTAGACACGAAGGCTCCATACTATCCCCTAGTTGAACAGGCCGTGCAGATGGTTCATCGAGTCTTCCCTTTTGCGCGAGGACTATTCGAGGATAAAGTTGCCAACTTCTGGTGCGCAGCTAATGTCGTCATCAAGTTACGGAAATATCCAACCGAACTTCTACAAAGAGTCTCGCTCTTGGCGACTCTTGCTTCGATTACTCCTCCGTGCGCTATCCTGTTCTTCAAACCGCGCAAGGATCTCCTCCCATATGCCTTTAGCGCAACAGCGTGGGGTTTCTTTTTATTCAGCTACCAGGTCCACGAGAAGAGTGCGCTTCTGCCACTTCTCCCCATGACCGTGCTCCTCGCAGGAAAGCAGGGACTAGGAAAGGAAATCAGGTCCTGGGTTGGATTTGGCAATCTCGTTGGCGTGTGGACTATGTACCCGCTGCTGCAGAGAGTTGATCTACGAATCCCTTACGCAGTCCTAACTCTCCTATGGGCGTATTTGTTGGGCCTACCTCCCGTATCGATCAGTGCCTACTTCGAAGAAGGACAGAGCATATGGGTTCAATGGCTGACGGCGATCGTCCACGGCGCTTTCTACGTCGCCATGGGCGCTTGGCATATCCTAGATTTGTTTGCTCTACCACCTCCCGACAAGCCCGACCTCTGGGTCGTTGCCAACGTCGGCATAGGCGCCGCTGGGTTTGCCTTATGTTACCTATGGTGTTTATGGAAGCTGATACAGGAGAGTGGAATTAACCGCCGGAAACCCCCGGCATCTAAGGTCAAGACGACTTGACAATAGGTAGACTTGTTTGTTTTTTGTATCCATGTACATAGCCTGTAATGTACAAAATTTTTTGACATGTTGAATCTTCCATTCTGGCGTTGCTGTGGTTTCATGCGTATTAACGTCATCGGGTAGTGATGATGCAAAGTCCCGAGAACTTTTGTTTCGCTTCGCAAACGCTCGTGAAGTCACCCTCTTCCCCCATCATAAGCTACATCGATAGTGTTGGTGCCTAGGTTAGGTAGGTAGGTAGGTAAAGCTGTGTAAGCGTACATGTTAGGGGTCGTTGTGGACCCCAGGGATATCACAAGACTCATCCTAGGTTTCAGTCATCCTACCAGCATGACAAGCAGCTGCTTAGGTATACAGCGGCAACCAGAATATGTAGGTCCTAGCCGGTCTATGTGATGGATGGAATTCTACGACGTTAGTACATTCCCCAGCTGCAGTATATACCACTTTCCAATTTCCAAACCTCGTATCCATGCAGCTTAAAAAGACATGTTTGCTCTTCGACTTCTAACGCGAGAAGGACTCTGGTTTGTGATCTAAAGTCCGATACCTCAGCAACATGCGGCAGGCCGATTCATCACCTGCCTATCTGCCTGACTTAAGGTACCTAGCTGTTATTCTCACCGAGAGCGGTGTGTTTTGTGAAGCTGGAGAGAGGAGGTTCCCAGACGTAAGCATCTAGACCGGGCAGCAACATTGAACCGGCACCGGCAACGCGCTTAGACGATAGGGAAAGCAGTAGTTTCTCCACTCCTGAAGCCTCTTCCCATCGGAAGCGTACAAGGAGGGGCATACTACCTATATTCTCTGCTTGGTGTTAGGCATCAACTCTTGCATCAAAGAGGAAGAAGTATAGAGGTCCGAAAGTATGGGGGGTTGTTCAGAAGACTATGAACAGATAGGTAGGTAGGTAGGTTTATCAGCTGAACCTTCATCATTGTGAATAGGACTTCCCAGTTACCTAAGTAGGCACCTACCTATCTTCTGTCCACGTATATATATTAGATAGCCAGTCTCTCCCTTCGCCTTTCTCAATTTGTTCTACCTACGATGCAGCATCGCCTCTTTTATTTTGCTTCAATATCTCTACTTCTCACTATATATATAAACAACTATTAGATAAATCGATCTCCCTTATATTTCCTCCTTCTTCTTCACGACCATAGACCGTCATTAACAATATTTTGTCATTACCAGTACCAAATTTCCGATTTATCGTGGTCGGGTAGCGGCACTATTCGGCAGCCTTATTCAATTATTGCCAACTATATTAGCTGCCTCCTATACACCGTACATCAACCGCAACGATACATACGGATTCTAAGATATCTATCAGTATTGATATCTGGGAAGTCGAACCGTTGTGTTGATATCTACAGAAGCACAGGTTTATCTCGTCTATACACAAGTTCCAGCCCTATCCAGAACCACCCTTATTTACCAGGAAGTTTTTAAACTTTCCAACACTGCGACCAGTGCAGGAACATATTCCTTATCAGAGCGGCTAATAATGTCTTTGGAATTCAACTATAAACCAGCGCTTTTACTTGCGGAGAACTTAGTTGCTGAGACGCAGATATCAGCATTATAATTTTTGTTACGGAAAAATGCTTCTCTTCGTAATTATTACTAAAGCAACCCAGCAAGAGTATCTATTTTCTTTCCATTTTGGCTCTCCATTTGCCACTTATTCTGACCTCATTAGTCCCTATGTTCTATCTTGATTATCGAACAGCTATTACTTAAATGATATGGATATCTGGTGTTGGGGCCCAATATTAACTTATCCTATAAGCTATTCCTAAGCTAGTTCTACATTATACCTTATACATATTAAAGTCCTTACCTATTTAAAAACGTTTCTATTCTATACACGGCATAAAGAGCTGGAAAGGGTATTATTATCCTCGGATTGACGATGCTATCTTCACCTATAAGGACAGGACCGTGACAGGGTGTTGCCGCATATTGCCCATTTATATATCCTGTGAGCAATGCTAACCCTAATAACTATCTCCCTGAGTTGCTTTTAATTGTCTTTGGACGAGGTTAATAGGTACTTTTAAGAACAAACTACCTAGGCACCTAATTTAGGTATTCACCATCGCCCATGGAACAACAATATTATAGCATTAAATTATTTGCTCTCCTTCGAAGCCGGTATTCGAAATAACAAGGCTATCTATCAAGGACCTGCCCCACCGCGCGTCCATCGCATTTTACCATATTCCCAACAGTATGCGAAGACAGGCTTGCTCCGTCGATATGCAACTCTATTCTAACGACCCTTAGGTTACTTACTACTACCGTTATCGCCCGCAGCCGGCGTTTAACGATGGGCTGTTTCGGGACGGGACCACAGACTTAGGTCGCTCTGTCAGCCGACTATTTAAAGGGTAGTCCTCTAGGTCGACTTTGTGACGATGGCCAAACATCGTGCTACGTATTGGCTATCAACTTTATTTTTCTTAGGTGGCATATTTGATACAAGGGGTTCTTGTATCTCAGTTGTCTGAGCGGTTTAGAACAAGAGCTAATTATCGTTGCGATATATCGCAGTCAGTATCCAAGGTAGTAAGTTGGAGGATTATTGATGGTGTAAAGCGAAATATCTATTTACATTGGTGTAGGCGTGTGTGGTTGTGTGGCCAAGATTGGTTTATACCTATATTGCAGCTGGATGCTTTCCATAATACCCATTAACATATTGCAACTAATGTAATAACGCTATTAGAAATGGTATGTATAAAAGATATATAAATTTATTCTTTCGTTTTGGACCTACACAGGCTGAATACCTGCTTATCGACTATTAAAAGGGGTATAAGTGGGCCTGGTCTCTTCGGAGTTAAGGTGTAACTTGAACTTGAACTGCTCTCTTTCTTACCTTAGGTACCTAGAGATATAGCTACAGTATCTGGCTTTCCAGATACCTCATTGTTGTACGTTTCCTAGTTCGTTAGCACAATAGTTCGCGATTGGGAACACGCCTTCGTCCGTATACCTAATTTAAGCTACACGTAGTACGGGAAGGATAGGGGTCAAGATCACATAGGGACAAAGCAGCATTCGCATCCACACGTCGCATCACGTATTCATGCAGAACGTGTCAAAAACCTGGTTTCAATTCCCTTGTGTTGCATAAGCTTCTTTTCATCATCATCCCTTGGACAACCGAGATCCATCACGAGGCAAGCAGTAGACCGCGCCATTCCAGCTGATCTTTCCGGTTGAAAAAAAGCAAAAAATTTCTCGGACTTCGCTCTACGCCCCGTTACGCCACATAATATGCTGCCCTAGCTGGCGTGGACACACGAGCGCAAAGACAGCCTGTCCAAAGGCCTATGCGCTCATGATGCGAAGTACCGTCGGTGGAGTTTGTCTGTGGTTCGGCAAACTCTGGTCGTCTAATAGACCTTCTTCTTCTCGTCGATGCTGAATTGGCCGGGGCCGCTGTTAACTAGCAGGAGAAGACCGCCGACAATTGACAGAATCTGGAAGAAGTCGTACTTGGCGAAATCCTTGTGGGGGTGGTGCTCGTGAAGCTGCGCAAAAGGTTAGATTAGTGAATTCTTTTTTAACAAAAATACCTTGCTGGTGTCGCGTAGACTCACAGTCCAGAAGTTGTTAACCAAGACGTTGAAGACGCTCAGAATAAGAACCAAGAGGGTGGCGCTGAACTTGGCCTTGAATCCAACAACAACCATGACACAGGCGATAAGACCAATGACAGAGACAGCGATCCTCCAAATGGACCAGTCGCCGCTGAAAACGAAGCCGATGAACAGGAAGATCAGAAGCACACGACCAGCTAGCTGGAAGTACATCTTTCGGTCCTTCTCGTCGATCTGGGGTAGGCCGGCGAACGCCTTGGTCTTCCTAACCCAGGAGTCGGACAGAACCATGATCAAGCCACCAACGACGGAGAGGTTTCGGAGGAAGAAGTTGAGGTCGAAGATCAATCCGTATCCGAGCGCCTGCGTGACAACGACACCTACGAGGCCGGCAACAGCATAATCTGAATGCTTACGAATGATGACCATGATGGAGCAAGAAACCATGGTAACGACGTTTACGATGAGGAAGAGATGTGTTAAACCGCTAGGAACTATTGAAAGAAGCACGATTTAGCTTTAAAAAGCAAAGTGGATATAACTACCTTTTTTTCGGTAAAACTTACTATGCCTGTAGCTATTCAGATACACCAGTTGGTCGGACCATTGGGTTAAGATTCTTAGGGCATCCTCGAGGAATGTAACGACAATCAAGAAGCGCCCGATAGCAGGGAGGTATCTGCGAGAGGGGAAGCGCGTTAGCTCGTTCTCGTGTTCATTTTACCCCTTTGGCTGCAAATTCCATGTACGCATGTACGCATATGCGCGAGAGCGTAGAACTGGCGCGAGGAGGTATCGACGTACGGCTTGATGGGCTCGCTGATAGTATCCAAAATGTCCTCAATCTTACTGGTTTGTTCCCTAATCGCGTCTAAGGGACTGGGGTCGGCGACTTCGTTCTTGGGACCACCGAAAGGGGTCGGGCCACCAAGATGGTAGCCGGCTGTACCTCTGATCTGGGCCATTTCGTAATTTTATCGCGGATTACGTCGCCCGGTTCGAGCCTTTATGTTTTCTTGCGCAAGACGGCGGGAATGAGAAAACAGTTATTAAGTTGCGCGTGTGAAGAATGTAAGGTTGAAGAGGCGAAAAGATTCCGTGGGTTGTTTTTCTAGTAAGACGGACAAAACGGGGGACGGGGAGAGCGTCGGTACCAGAATTGGAAAAGTGAGGCACACGGCAGCTGAGCTATATATACCTCTATAAGGACTCAAATAATAAAAAATAGAGAGTATTGAACAATTGAATAAGAAGAAAAAAAAGAAGACGAAGACAATTCCGACTTTGAACTTCGTTCTCGAGTATATTATTTTACCGTCTCTCCCTGTGAGGTTTTAATGTGTGCTAGACAACCGTGTCCTCAATTGACAATGATGCAAGGTCGAAGTTCCGACAAGCCAGATTGGCTAAATTTCTTCGACTTTTGACTCTAGCTTCGGGGGGTGGGGGGTGAGCCATTAGGTATGGCATGGTTAGCGCATTGACCATTACCTAAGGTGGCATGTATGGCATGTATATGACCTGTACATTGCCCTTGGTGTGCACCTTAAAAAAACGGTGGAATTTAGTGGAATCCATGTACCTGTCCATCATTCAGCTCCGCTCAAGTACATCCAACATACATACTCGGGTACATTTACATAGATCCCTGGTACATATATATACATCTATACGTGCATCGTGATCGCGAATAACTTTTAACCTTAAATAATCCATTGCACTTAAGCTGACTGGAGGCTGACATGGACCTGGCAGTGCAAGCACCTTAGCTGACTTAGGTACCGCCTGCACCCTTCACTTACAGGCTTAGGTACGGGACGGCTTTAACGGGTCTTGCGCTTAGCCGCATGATTCCAAAAATAAAAAATAAAAGGATTTTGTACCCATGTACCTAAATCCCGACGTAATATGTATAACGATGGAATACCTAATGGTTACACATACCAAGATGAGATCCACCGACTTGGGTAGATCTAACCGGTCAGTCTCGTATAGCTTTGATTGGATATTAGATAAATGGGGAATAGAAGATACGAAATAAGGCTGATATAACTACCCTTTTTTTTTTCTCTTTCCAAAAACAGTACCGTACCTAGGTAGACATTCGTACGGGAACCCCTTTAACCCGTCTTCCAAAATTTTTATAAAGGATTATTATGCTTAACATCGCACGATATAATCAAACAATGTTATCCGATGGTTCTGTGGCGGGTTCGATTTATTCAAAAGGGGACGCGGCTTTAAAACCCGAGATGAAGACGCACGTTTCCCATAAACTGACCCGAGCGAATTTGTCAAAGGGAGTATATAAGCCATCTCCCCTTGATGGATAAAGAAGCTCAGTTACCCAACCAGCCCGTATTCATCCCTTAAGCACCGTTCTTTTATACCACGATTGTACATAGGTTGAGTATTAGCCCCGACTGACTGAGCATACGGCAAGGTACGGCAAGAATATTTAGAAAATGTAATAATAGAGAAGTGATTTGATTTGTGATTAGTAGGTTAGGTAGTATTCAGCTAGCTGCTCCAATCATTTATATAACCTCGATATATATAGCTATACCTTAGGCACCTAGCCATATCCCTTACTGCAACTCCATAGCTGCCCCGATCTGATCTGAGAATTCTGTGACATGATCGCTTCTAGATTTACAAGTATATATCTTCGTGTAATTCTTTCCCACCTGCGACGCTTGTCTTTTACACTACCACCGGTAGGAGCCATGTCGTCACGGAGGGAGGGAATACACTCGGTATAATGTGATCGGAAAGGGGGCCACTAGCGAGTAACGGGTAGATACTCGTCAGTAAATCCACCCAAAGGTCCTGAACCTGATTAACCTTCGGCTTTGCAATGCAGTCCTTTTTTTCTAGGTACCTAAGATACCAGATCCCAGAGAGGAGATGCGAGTATGGAAAGTCCGTAATCCTAGAGCCCACCCGCCGTATACTCCCATCCTCCCAAAAAGACGGACTATCCTGTCGGCCTGGAGCTGGATCAGTCTTGCCGTATTCCGGTAGATAGCAGCGAGGCAAGACGAACCTGTCGTAACCCATATTTCTTGAGTAGAGCAAGCTCAATTAGGTCGGGTAATCCTAACTAAGCCTTATTTACCTAACCTAACCAAGTCGTTTCGTATTCAGGCCAAATTCGCTACTATCGGGGATATATATATACCGTAACCGTAACCGTGATGTCGTAGCCGTAACCATCCCCGCCTCCTCCTCACGCAATAACCAACGCGTCGATCGCCGACTTCGCGATCTTAACAACAGTCTGACAAGTCGGCGTCTCGTCCGGCTTCCTCAGCAACATCAAGCAAGGCGGCTGCCAGCGGCCCGTGGCCAGGAGCGCGTCCATCACCGCGTGCCGCTGCCTGCACTTCTGCTCCATCTGCAGCACGATGTCCTTGAGCCCGATGTGCAGCGGGGCGTCCGCCTCGACGGCCTCCATGTCCGAGAGCCCGTAGATGTCGGCCCGCAGCAGCGCGCGCACCGCGAGCCGCCACAGCGCCGGCTCCATGTCGCGGTCGTCGAACGCGCACTCGTCTTCCCGGTCCAGGCCCGGCCTGCCCGCGCCCCAGAGAATCCCGCCCAGCCCGCGCAGCCGGAACACGAGGCGCCGCTGCTCGGCCATCGCCCGCCGCGCCTCCACGTCCACCAGCGCCAGGATCCGCTGGTACGCCTGCACGATGCTCGGGATCAGCGCCGCCACCAGCATCAGGTTCTGGAACACCCGCATCATCTCCAGCCCGCACTCGAAGTCCCCCGGGTCGATCCGGAACGAGCACACGGGGCAGTGCACCGCGTCGTACGCCGTCCGCGTCGCCTTGCGCGCGTGTCGGATCGCGTTCTCGACGTCGTCTGGGGGGTTTTGCATCGATTCTAAAGCGAGGTACAGAGCTGCCGTGTGCGCGCATGTCTTCGATTTGGTGGTGGTGGTGGTGGTTGTTACTGTTGCTGCTTCTACTGTCGCCGGTGGCGTGGGCGTACTGATGAAGTAGCGCGAGCTCTCTGTGCTTTCGGGCGTCGTGGTCGAACTGAATGTTAAATTTGGCGGCGGATCTAAGCTCGGAAGATCTGATGCCGGCTGCAATAGAGAAGGATCGATATTTATCGAGAAGGGCGATTCGGTATGGGGCTCGGGGTCGAAGCCGACGTCCCCAAGGCTATCGCCAGCGTACCCGAAGGACCACGAGAAGCCCTTGTCCTGGGCCGGGGGATCTATGGGCGCGTCGAGATTGATGTGGCAATCTCCCGCCGTCAAGAAGTTTATGAGAGACATGCCGGGGTCTTGGGTATCTGGCGGGGTCTGGATCATGACTGTTTTGTTCGCGGGGACGTCGTTCGTAGTAGTAGTGGTAGTGGTAGTAGTAGCGTCGTCGGCGGCTTCGTCGGAGGCTTCGTCTCGTGGGCGTTTTCGCGGCCGGCCCATCTGCTTCTGGGGAGAGTAGTGGCAGGCGATGCCTTCGCGCTTGCAACGCGAGCAGCCGTCGGGCTCTTTGGTGCAAGCTAGCTTACGCGTGCCTGTAGCAATTGTAAGTCCAATCTGGACCCGCGACGCAGATAAGGTAAGGTAGAATATAGGTGTAGGTGAATCCTCGCCTGGACGTACGGCATTCATCACAAGCCCTGTGCTTCTGAGCACATCCCGTCGGTTGGCAGGAAGCCCCCGAGGTTATTACCGTCGACATCTTGGGTGTAGATCTCGATATTAAATTTTGCTCCAAGTCGTGCCCTTTAGGAAGGGTTTCCAATGGTAATAAGAAGATTGCTCGACGCGGCTCTTCGTTTGTCGAGACCTTGAGGGTTGATTCTGAATCCTGACTCCTTTCACTGATTCGTAAGCGTAGACGTAGTGTGGGATGGGGAGTACATTAGAATAGATTGATAATACTTCATATTATATGAAATAAGGATGCAATTTTAAGGTATTCTTTCTGCCTATTAATGTACTTTAGGTCTAGGCTATCTGACCGATGGAGGGGAATTGTGGCGAATGCGAAGTTGTCATTGGTTCATCTCATGGATATAACCGCCACTCTTCTCCCCTTTACTGTGCAGCGCCGTGTTCAGCTATACACGATGTAATAAACACACGTATCAGGTTTATATATAAGTTGGATTACATTAGGTACTCGTTATGTGTTCTCTCCAACACCGAAAAAATAATCAAGTCAATCATCATCTGTATTAAGTAGCATTGCCTACCTCTATCATAACAGGTACTTTCTTCGCGCATACTACTAAAGACCGACCTCTTCTGATCCGTAGGGCTTAAACATCCAACGATGCTATGATTTCCCTAAGCCAGAAATTAAAAAAAAGAACCCAAATCTACGAATCACCCTGATGTATACTCTTCTCCCCCTGCGTGTCTAGAAGCCTTGTAGACCTCGTGAGTCGCTCTTTAGCGCATTGGCCAACCGGGTCCTCATCTTGCATCTCGCCTACTGCCCTCAGATCTGCTAGAAATCGTCGAATCCTTAGCCCTGTTCTCTCGCGAATCATCGCATCGTACATGTTATCCGCTGCCGCGTGTATGGCCACCTGGAGACCCCTGATCACATCCCTGTCGTTGATATCTGCATCGTCGTAGTCGAAGAATACGTCCAGATCCTTTAGAATGTCCTCCGTCTGGGGTACCTTGGGTAGCTTTTTTTGCGTTGAAGATTTCGTCGTTGAGTGCTTTGGCGGTGGTAGCGGAGGGGCCTCACGAGTCGGCTTGGGTGGAGATTGAGACGACTTCTTTCGCATCGGCGATTTAACCGGCGGCATCCTTCGGTTTACAAAGATGACTTTTTCGTTCTTCCGAGGCCGACGTGTGGGAGTCACCCCGGAAGCCCGGTTGTCGGTGTGGTAGGGTGAGCACGATTTTTGATTCGTCCTATCTACCAAGGTTGGAGGGTGATCGCATAATTTATTCGACTCATTGGCTTCCTGTTCCAACTTTTCAAGGTGCTGAGAAACTTCATCTAGCGCTCGTTCCAAAGAAGAAGCTCGACTGACAGCGTAACGCGCTGCTGATGGTAGCGAAGGAAGGGTGGATGGTGTCGTTTGTGGCGAAATAGTACGTTTACGTTGGCTAATTTCGGCGGAAGGAATTGGCACATCTTTTTCGAGACGAGGATATATTTGAATCTTTGATTGATCTGTGCGAGTTGGGGAACGAATTGGGGAGCTCTCCCTTTCCTCCTTAATGGTTGCAGGGAGAGGTAAACGAGCCATGGCAATATCTCGCTTGCGTAGACCGGTATGCGTTATTGGCTGTCTTATCTCACGTTCTGGACTGGCTCGCGGAGCTGCTGGCCCCGAATGCAGTCTCTGGTCACCCTGCTCGACATCTATCCATGATATATTCCTGCCTGGCGACTCATGACGTGTGGTGATGTTTGCAGAAGGAGCGGCTGGCCTTGAACTAGCCTTACGGCGGAGTCCAGACGGTCGAGTTCTGGGACTGAGAGAAGAACGATCGTGTGGTGTATGCTGGTGGTCTCTACTCCTTGCCTGATTTCTAACTTGAGTGTCGTTGACAGACTGAGGTTTATATTGTGGCTTAGCTTGAGCGGTGCGGTTCTCTCTAGAAGGTGACTTCTTCCTTAACCATGGTAAAATGCTTCCCTTGTCTTTAGATATCGATTTCTTCGTCTTGGACTTTGGAACTGGTAATGGCTCGATTGGATTCCCAGCTGGAGTAAACTCTACGTATGACCCAGAGCTCGAAGCTGACCGCTCGCTTAGGGCTTCATCTTGTCTATCAAATCCGCCATCCGTCTGTACTGGGGCATGAACGTACTTAACCGAGCTGCTTATGGGCTTTAAGCCGTCTCTATCCTTAATCCGAGGCCTTCGACTCTGCTCTGCCGACGTTACAGCAAGACCAGCTGCTTGAAATTCTTTCTGATATGGTAGGAGCGGTTGAACGGTATGATAGGATAACTTCGAGTCAGACTCGGTGGGTGTCATGACTGGAACCTTGCCAGCTGCCCCAGTGGCGTCCGCGTATTTCTCAAGCTGTCTTGTGAAGCGATTTAAGGCCTTGCGCTGGCTTGATGTCCGGGACGGAATTTCTGATGACTGATAATGCTCTACTGCCGCATCTTCTGGTATGACTAGAGTTGATAACTGTCGTTGTTGGCCTAGTGATCTGTTAATTGCATCCCAGACGAGGGGGTCTGCAAGACCAAATCTCTTCTCTCGGATTTTTCCTCGATTATGCACTACGGTGCTCATGCCTTTCTGCCTCAGACCTCCGTGTATCGGGTTGGTATGTTCAGTTTTTCTGGTTGAAGAATTTTTGTAGCCAACGGGTTGCGACGGGGCACGATCCCCGCAGAGCTTCTTATCTTCAACGGAGGTGGTTGCCTGATTTTTTAGATTAGGTATTTGCGAGTGCCTTAGTGTACCCCAATATGGGTGGTCTTCGTTGAACTCGGAGACTTGCATTAGTGAATACTGTTTGCCGCTACTCGCGGACTCTCCAGTTCCTCCTCGTGAGGAAAGACGCCTGCTAACTCGGACGCCATATTTCTTCCGACTAATCCTGCGTTGTCGTGGTCGCTCTCCGACAAAAGGCTCTAGTAATGGGGCACGAAATAATGCTTCAGTAGCTCTTTGGGGGAGCTGCTCATTTGGGATTGCTGTCGGGTGTGTGATTTTCGGTCGGCGATTGGGACTCCCCTTCTAAGGCAAACTGAGTTTAGCCATCGTCGATATTCCAAGATGGGCCCCCAAAATCTCGAAGATATGTATGTTATGAAAAAAGGTGTATTAATTGTTCACATATTCAAAGTAGACTTGGCTTTAGAAAAGAAGTTTTAGGGTCTTTCCTGGCCTCATCGTTTGAGAATGCCTTATAAGCTTGAGCAGTCGCCCTTGCTACCTCAATGGCCCCTGATAGATTAAAGTACCTACCTGGTAGGAAGTTGGCAGAGACCGTATCCTTGAGTAAAAATAAAGATGTGGCTTCCCGTTCGAGATATTATTACTGTATTCGAGTAGTGACAGAGATTAAGACGGGCGCAGTTGCGTGGTAATTTGTCGATTAAGTCCGGGTAAACCAGAATCACAAAATAGTATGTATAGAAGAAATTAGTAGGATATATATAGTCAACCTCATCTGATATCTTTTATTCCAGGTGCCGAGTACATTTCTAATTGGCGATGTCCTCTGCGTAAGAGAAACTCAATGACAGAAAAATCTCTCTTATCAACATTGACGCTCTTCTCGAATTCCGATCTAAACTATAGGTTAGCCTTAGGTAGTTATAGCATACACAAAGTAATAAAGCATTGGTATAAGATCCTCGGTATACCTGATGAAGGATTCAAAGTGTGGACGCGCAGCCTATGATCATTCGTCAGTTATACTATGTAATGTAATGGCAGCACAAAGATTGAGTGCAGCTGCACGAACCACCGGTTTCTTACGGCTTGCACGGAGGCATTGACGGTAGAGTGATAGCACATCCCTTTGCAAGCCAGACAGACGCATCTTCAGCGGTTGCGTAGGATATAGGTAGACTGAAAAGAGCTCTGCTTGTTAATCGTGATTCGTTGATGTAAAAGTCTCGGACATCATCAATTCAATTAATTCAAATTGCGGCAAATATAGATCTAACACTGCCCCCATTGTTTCATAATCATGTTTCTTTGGATGAATATATTCGCCGATTGAGGTTTTGCGAGAAACATGATCGAGACGCAAAATACTTTGAATGCTGAGAGAATTTCCCCGAGGAGAAGTAGGTAATCTAATATTATCATACCAAAACTGTTCTTCTATGAATCCATTATATAGTAGTTGAAGCCCCTTAGCAATGGTGGTAAAACAGGATCCCTGTATTATATGTTTCCCGACGCGGTATAAGAGAAAACAGATCCACTATGGGAGGACTCTTTGGATATCACCTTATCTTCTGTCTTTGATGCTGGCTCATAATTGAATACAGTAGTTCATGGGGTATCTCTGAGCGAAGCAAAAGACGAATGGAAAGACGCCTCATCGAGTCCGCGAATAAGCCCTTATCCCCTGAATAGCGACCCAGCCAGCGACAACGACCGTTACTATGATGCGTAGCTCGCGTACCGCCGCTGCAGTACTCGGATCAAGGCGGATCGTGTGTATGTGGTTGATGCCACCTGCGTGCTGTGCGGCAAGCGAAAAAGATTCCATGGTTTTAGATGTGACTCGAATCGTTGTCTGGACGCCGTGCTGAATAGAGTGAGGTAGGCTTGTTCAAGAATTAGGACATGGAATGTGTTGAAAATAGATGCTGTCTAAGTGACAAGCTAGGTACCTCATAGGGGTTTACCTAGGTATAACTTATGAAATTTCAGCGATAAAGTTAAAGTCTATGATTCTTATTTCCGTAGTTTCTGTAGCTGAGCGAGTGTAAAAATTATTTAGCGACATGGTCCAAATTTTGTGGATGCTTCTCCGTTGCTTCTGAGTTTCAACACCATAGAGAAAAAAAAAAAAATTAACCTCTTCTTAATTTCTTCTCTTCGCATGACAATTCTCATGTAAAGATGGGCAACAGAGTAAAAGGCAACACGAATGTGACAGTCATGAATTACCCTAGTTTGAAAGAATCTGTATCCTCCCTACCTAGTAAGATAATACAAGCAAGGTATTCAATTAAATGCTAGGTAGACTTGAGCTGAGAGCACAACACTCGGTGATAGCATTATTTCATTTTTTTTTTTTTGCTACCTATTATTTTTATATAATGCACCGCCGGATGAAGACACCGTAAAGTCATACGTTGCATATATAAATCTCCCATTTGGCCTCCGAATCATTCCGCCATGACGGCATGCAAATTCGCTATAAGTGAGGGAGGGTATCGAGCATGCAAGAAGCGCAGAAGCCGCAGCAAACACCACCCACCCCATTAAATGAAATTAAGTCGTCGTCACTATAAACCTCATGAACCGCACTATTAGCAGTTAAATATCATAAATTAAAAAAATCGCGCACGCAAGCACGCTCCCTTAGAAAAGTTTTACACCTTTTCAGGCACGTCGTGCGTCTCGATCGCCACCTCCTTCTCGACCTGGTCCAGGTTCAGGCGCGCGACGGCGGCCTCGTCGCCGTCGATGACCTTGGCGAGCTCCTCGAGCGTGGGGCCCTTGGTCTCGACGTACATGAAGTAGACGAAGGCGAGCTCGCAGAAGATCCAGCAGGTGTAGATGAGGTAGAGCTTCCAGGAGTGCTTGAGGCCGAAGGCCTCGAACGCGACCGGGTTCGCGTACACGTTGAGGCACAGCGCCGCCTGGATCATGATGTTGAGCACCATCAGCCCCTTGGCCCGCAGCTTGTACGGCAGCAGCTCGATCGCGTAGCCCACCAGCAGCCCCGACCACGCGCACGAGTAGAAGAAGCTGAACAGCCAGATGAAGAAGATCATCGCGTAGTTCGCCCCCGGCGACCCCCGCTCCCCGTATAATCCCGCGCACAGCGTCCAGAATATGAACACCCCGAACATGCCGCCCGTCGAGACCAGGAACATCGGTCGCCGACCCCATCGGTCCACAAGCGTGGCCATGGTCACCGAGACGATAAGGGCTAGGATCATTTGGCCTCCGGAAAGCTATAGGGAATTTTTAGGTCAGAAACGTCTTTCTTCAACTAGGCAGTTACAACTACCTAGGTAGTTTAGGTAGTTAGCTTAGTTAAAATTAGAAAGAGGACTTACGCCGAACTTGGAGTTAGAATCCGTCACACCAGCCTGATCGTAGAGGGTGCTGGCGAAGTTAGAAATGATAGCGTTACCGGACCACTGGGAGAAAAGACCCAGCGACAGGAGGACGACCAAGCGGTAACGGTTGCCTTTCGTCCGGAAGAAGTCGAGGTAGCTGCTGTTCGCCTGGCTCTCCATCTCCAGCCTGATGGTCTCCCTGATCTCGCGGTACTCGAACTGGACGGTCGGGTGCTGGGCGTTGCCGTTGGCGTGGTACCGCGCGAGGATCTCGAGGGCCTGGTCTGACTTGTCCTTGGCGATGAGGTATCGCGGCGATTCCGGGATCCACCAGATAAACACGATCTGGATGACGGAAGGCAGGGCCTGGAGGATGGCGGGGATACGCCACGACCAGTCGTTCTGGATGTAGTTCGTTCCGAAAGAAAGCCACGAGACGACTGCAAAAGTGTTAGTACAAGGTACCTAGGTAGCTCTTCCACCACCATACGTGGGGCTTGGAAAGGCGGGACGGGACGAGACGTACTGATGGCGCCGACGTTCCATAGACAGTTGTAGACGGCCGTGAGACGGCCACGATGCTGCGGGTGGGCAATCTCGGTCAGTAACATAGGAGAGGCGATCTGAGCCAAACTGTTTCCGAATCCCATCATGGTACGACCACCCATGAAGGCGTTGATTCCCTGTGCAGTTCCTTGCACGAGAGCACCGGCAATCATAATAATGCAACCGACGGCGATGGGTACTTTTCGGCCAAAGTTATCGGCTAAGATGGGGCTGTAAAAAACTGTCAGAACGCCTAACTTTCGTGCCGTCGCGGCCCGTGCGAGAGAGTGGGAAGGTGCCTAGACTTACACCATGGGAATCGAGGCCAAGCTGCCGATCTGATATAACGCAGCGAGGAGCCCGAGCTGTGATCCCTGGGGGTTGTTGAAGAACGCCTTCCACGTCTCGAATACTTGCACCGAGTTGAAGAAGGAGCTACAAGTGTACATTCGTTAGCATGTTACCTCATCCGTACCCAACGCAGCGGGTTTGCCCTGTTGTGCATGCGTGTGAGCCATACCCATCGTAACCAGTAGTCGCCGAAGCGACGCAGAGTATGAAGCAGTAGAAGTATAGCTTCCTTAAACCGGGGTCTCTTTTCCAGTCTACCTTCTCGAAGGCCGGGGCTTCCTCCTGCGCGTGGGCAATCTCCTCCTTACGGGGCGCCTTCTGCGTGATGGCGGCGATTGCCATTGTGGCGGTTTTTCGATCGCGAACTTTTCTTTCTTTCGCGAGCTCGACTGGCGATTAGGTATGTCGAGGGTGGCACGACCTAAAAGGAGAGACTCTAACTTGGTCCTCCGGTGAGGTCGAGGTTTACTACAAAAGCTTGGTCTCTTTGAGTTGGAAGGGCTATTAGAGACGCGAGGGTCTTCCAGCGAGATACTCGAAGGAAAGCTCGAAGGGAAGGAGGATCAGATATAATATAAGACTTAGGTAACTACTATATATGGTCTCCCTATGGAAGGACCAGGGACCCATCTTGCTGAGGACGGGCGACCGGACCGGTAGAGGAGCTCACTTGGACGAATTGTACCTAGCCCGTAGCCATCTCACTTTTTCTAGACGCGAGATCTAGAAATGGGGTCCTTTTCCTCATGGCGAGGTACTCGCATGTGTGAGTGGATTGCGGGTCTCTTCCTTACCCCATTGCCCCCCATACCATTCCCTTGGCTAGTCTCCCCCCTGTGGCGCCATAGCCCATGGGGAATTGAGACGAAGGAAGTAAAATGGTCCGGGAGTGCGGGCTATCACTTCACTACAAGGGGGAACCACCCGTTGGCCACGAGGAACTTGGGGATCGAGAAACAAAAGAGAGAAAAAATAAATTCACATTTCAGTTAATCATCTTGATTCTGGATGGGCCGAGCACGAGCGATCTTGCTCCCGGCCGAATTGTAACGCCACATGCACATAATCAGGTCAACAACAGCAACCCGTTTGGTATGCCTTGTAGGTGCTCTATATTGCCCGGTAGTACGTTTGCATCTGTAACAGGCATATATCTTAGTTATAGGCTTTCATGCTATGTACATTCTTGGTAGCAGTAGATCTTCTACCGTGCCTGGGATAATTCTGCGGGAGGGTAGCTCTCGCCGACGTATCGACCGGCAGCCCATGTCACGGATTTTGATGCGATAAAATAGTCGAGTTGACTGGGGTGTATCTCTTAAGGCGTTGGAACACTTCGAGAACGCATAACAACACACTCCCAACCATGTATACATACTAGGTACCTATAGTATGGTAATCATAGATGCCGCGTGTGATGTGTTCCCTCAGCGAACAGCATGATGCGAGTTGTCTTTGGTTGGGTATAATCAGATTTGCGGGGAAATACTCAACCAGTAACACCGATATCCTGGACTTGATCCCACCGCGGGACGTGAGAGAAGAAGTTAGTTTTCTTTGGGTTGTGTAAGTAAACCTATGCCAAATCCATTTGGTACAAGTAATGCTCCTATTGGTGACAATTAGGTGGTATTTGGATGGTGTACTATGTATTATTTTAGCGACAGCACCATTTGAGGACGACAACCTCTTTGTTTCATGATGGTCAACCCATGTCCACTCCAAATTATCCCTATTACGAATTCATTAACGACCTGTACCACTGAACTCCATAAGACTATAATCCTCTATTCTGGTTCCAGTCTAGAATGATTGGTTCCACGGTGTCGGAGACGGCCTAGAATATACTAATACTTTGGACTTGTATGTTAGTGCACGTCAGAATCCCTAGGGTTTAGGAGTGCTTTTTTTTTTTTTTTTTTTTTTTTTTTACGAGTGGATAGTCCATACAATAAATATCAAAACTTCACGTTGGCCGAAATAATAGATTGAGCTATAGTTTATATGTCAAAAATATAAAGTTGCACCGCAGCGAAGCAAGCGAATTTTGGTTACAATGAAGCATCTCTATTGCCGTACCTAACCTAAGACATGTTCATGTGGCTAACAAATCTGACCACTGAGATCAGCTATAACGAAAAAAACTCTTCTTCATCAGAGGAATCCATTATTCAGAGCTTTCTCCTCGTCCATAGAAATAGATTCGTATTGTTGGGATAGTGCTATATACGACCCGAACTCCTCTGCGGCGGTCGTAACTGAATTAAATTAACCACACTTGGCATTCCGGGGGGGGGGGGGGGGGGGGGGGGGGGGGGGGGGGGGGGGGGGGGGGGGGGGGGGGCCGGGCGGGGGGGGGGGGGGGGGGGCGGGGGGGGCGG